TTCGTGCGGCGTCGATTAAATAGTATACCTCTACAGCATATTTCAGCGTGTAGTGAACATTAAAGCTCCATTGTTTTTACAAGAGCTGCATCTGGTTCTTCCGTTCCCACGCTCTCCCTGTCTTTGACAGGTAGATATCTGATCTATCCGGATTCAGAGATAGTATAGGCGCTGGATAGCATCCGTAGTGGGAGAAACCATTGCTACTATAGCTGCTTTCGTACTTGGACCTGGATATAGCTGGAAATATCCACACCAGCTATCCGTCAGAGCCTGGCTTGAAAACCCGGTACTAGAGCCATCCAAGATACTGCTGGCTGCTAGCATGGCCACCACAGCCACTGTGGGACGAACCACAGCCCTGGCTTTCACCGAAATCGACAACTTAGAACCACATACTAAGCGGTCAGGATCCATCCCCCTGTTCCATGACACTTGTCCACCCTCGGGACGAACCATCAGAGCAGACCCACAGTGGCCGCAGATCGAGTCGCCCACTGCCTATGGTGAAAAGACAGTGAGGCCCAAATTCAGGGCCGCCTGGCGGGAAGTTTCACTCTATCCCTAGCAGATGTCTGTGCTCCCTTTGCGTGTATCAACGGTCATCCTGTGGTGATATTGTTAACAAAAAGAGGCATCGAGAGACTGGATAGTAGATATGCAGTAAAATGTATCGAGCGTTGCCTCCATCAAGGAGACCCGTGTCTAGCAACGAAAGACTGATAGGGAACACCAAACTCACAGACATGAGCGTGGCAAACATGACTTGAACGCACCCCTCTTTGGTTCTCCAAGATGCATCGTGTCTTGCCCCCAAGTGGATTTTCCTTCTTTGGTTATTGTCTGGATAGGTTCCCGACTGATGTCAAAGGTCTTTGGGTGCTGCACGGAACAGTTTACAAAAAGAATGTGCTTGGAAGGCTTGCGTAGGTAGCAGATGGAATAACGCGGGGACTCTCTTATGGTCTTCTCTACGGCAACCTATGATGGTCGACCAACGTGGCAGCCGTTCTGCAGGCTCACGAGCACACCACCGGCAGGAGGAACCCCCTCCCAAAGGGGCTAAGTGGAGGAAGGCGAAAGAGTTATGGGGAAGTCGCAAATAACATTATCGGCCTAAGGTCGGTTCTGCAGGGAATTGGGTCATTCGAAGGGCCTGTTCGATCAGTAGCTGAAGCCAGCAATCGAAGGTTGTACGAGTAGCGCCGTGCTGGCGGGCAGTATTAGTGGTTGTCCGAGTCGGTAGCAGCAGTAATACTAAGTACTCGGTCGTTAGTACCAGGTAGTGGTAGCAAGTGGTGTTCTGCATCGAGGTAACCTCCACATCGAAAACCCCCCACACGCACACACACACACAATTTCTTTTCCACCCCCCTCATCCTTGGAAGCCAGGAACGTGCTACAGGATACGCCATCACACAGCAGCAGGGGTATGCTACTGGGTGAAAATAAGGGGGTGTGTGGGAATAGGGCAACTGGCATGTTGGTATAGGGCAAAAAGTACGGATACCCAATCCACGTATCAAAGCATCTTTTTTTTATCCCGCAGGAAGCAGGACGATAATGACGAAGTCTGTTGGCCCGTGTAGAGGAAGGTGCTTGTTGGTCGCTGAGAGTCCCACCGAGGATTGGGTTGTAATTGTAAAGCGCTGGATGGTAAAGGGATAGGACGAGGGCCGAATGGACGGGAGTGTTCTGACTTCAGGCAAGTATAAGTTAGCTTGTCTATCCATCCCCAATTGCTGTATCAGAAACCGCCAGACTTACCAGCCCAAGCCTTGGATAAGAAGACAGCAGTGACCACGATCACGACCTCGACGTTGAACTCTTCCTCGCCAACCGAATCTACAAGCGAGACCGGACAGGGCTAGACGGAATTGCCTTGCATCGAATGATTCCGACGCTAGTCTAGAAATTGCTTGCTCCCGGTCGTTTCGTTTCCTGTAGGTGCTACCAGCTTCATCAGTCCTTCACATCAAGATTGCCATTCTTCTTCTTGCCAGAGAGGATAAGGAGGCAGAATGTATTCATTGGGCTTGGAGAAATCTGGGCCTTGAAGCCTCCTCGCCGTTTGGCAATGTTCAGCTGCTAATGTTATTGATTCACAATGTAGCACTCAACCTTCTCCTCCTCCTCTCCCTTGTCCGTCTCCCCCACACGACCGAAGCCGCCCGCCGACGAATTGGCCATGTGTTACTTCGAACAGACTCGTTGGAGTTGCGGTTACTGGCGCTGGGGCCACTTCCGCCAGCAATGCAACAAAGAATATCGAATGGGCGAGACGTGTGGGCTGAAGCTGGTCTATGAGACCAAAGTCGAGCACGATGTCTGCAAGTTGTGCCACGACACAGAGAAGAAGCAGCGGCGGTACGACAAAATGTATCGCGACGTGCAGCGGTGGCAGATGGAGGGAAACCGCAACGCCACGATCGAGCGGACATGTGGTGAAATGGAAGAAGTTGTGGGCCAGATACAGCGGATGAGAGACGAACATGGCCACAGGCTACAATCGCTAGGTCAGGTACGAGAGAAACCCTCCCCTTTCCCAGACACAACACCACGAGACACAAAAAAGCTGGAGAACTGGATGGTCATAGTGACAAAAGCGGGATCACCATGGCTAACATTTTCTTCTGCTTCAGTGAAGATAGCAGGGGTAGAAAGTCAGCTTACAGAAGACACGGCCACAAAGTCAAAGGTTAGCCAATGGATATTAGAGGTTGGGCAAAAGGCAATCGGCGCAAATTAAAAAAAAAAAAACTCGTCTTGATTTCGAAGAAATCCTTTTCATTGGAGGCTGCCAAGCCGCGGAACGTCGTTCGCTGTTGTTTTGGATCATTATTTTCATCTTTGGCTTTCAGCATGGTCCTGGGCACATGAAAAATAAGCGTTTTTATGAGCGGCCAAAAAGGGCTTCATTTGGTCGGCTTCAGTGTATAATTGGTGTGATGGATCTCTGAAGGACTTTTGATTGGATTTTTCTCTCCTCTTTGGGCTCTGCTAGCGAATGGGCCGTCTCGCACTCCTTTTGTTTTAATTAGATACCAAATGTTCTGATGACACGCTCCGTACTTTTGTCCTTTGTCGACCTTCTGCAGCGCGGCTCCCCGGGGCTCAAGATTGGAACGGCACAAAATTCATTCGGTGGTGGGCTGGATCACTTTTGTGGGTGGGCCATTTGCTATTGCTGCGGCAAAATGACCGGGGGCCGCAAATTTCCTGTGACGAAAGCTCCTTGGCGGGGGTGAGCGTTGAGCATCCAATGTCAGTCGTCAATCTGGTGTGATGGAGGTGGCTAGTCTTAGCATAGCGTCTATAGGTGGACGTCATCTCCAGAGCCAACGATGATGATTGATGCTAGTATTCCGGTAATTCCCATTCTGTGGTTGTCGTGAGGTCAAGGGCCTGATTCGTACCAGCATGTGTAAAATCCTCGCGTGAGTCGACAGCGGCGTATTTCGTACTTGTAGGCGAAGGAGTCGCTCGCTTATCGCGTTTGTACCTGGGCTAGAGAACCATGTCGCACGCTTACCAGGGAAATGCTGGCGAGAGTCGGCTCCGGTTGGGGTAGAGCACATGGATACGTGGTACCAGAAATGCCAACAGAGATCGTATTCATAGCTGTAAGGGTGGAGTCGTCCAAAATCCGCGGCAGCAGTCATACAAAGATTCAGCCTGATCAAACTCCTCTGAACGGTGCAGCAAAATACTGGCCATGGAAGCCCAATGGTGGAAAACCGTAGCTCTATCGCTCTCTCATACGTGTGTCTCGTACATGCAGCGAACACACAAGCCGGAATGGGGGCCAGCTGCTGACGACTAGCTTCGAATTGCTGTCAGGGGGGGAGCCACTGCCGTCCGTATATGTAGTAACGAACCGTAACGGATGGAAACCGTCTTTATAGTCGTTGATCCTCCGTTATAATGCTCTCCGTTGCCACCCCTCCTTGTGCTGTCGCTTATGATGATGATGATGCTCTTTGTCTCATTGCTTCTCTTACAGCCACTCCTCCGCCACTCTTGTTCGGTTTGCTGGGATTTGCAGCAAGGAGTTGGCAGCCTCGCCTCGCCCTGGACGACTCCCGCATAAATCTACTGCACTTCTCACGCTGCTGTCACCGCGCGATTCCGAGGAATCGGTTCTCCCAGTACAGGCATGATCCCGATCACCTGGATGATGTGCGGTAAGCTGCTAACCCTGTCCACCCCTCAAAACGGAACCGTGGGAACTAAAACGGCGGTGCGAGCCGAGGCCGACGAAGAACTAGACTAGAGAGAATCCGACGACTAGCGAAGACGTCCAGCTTAGTTAGATATTGTGACACTAGGCGTCTCCACACCAGGGAGCCGTGCACGTGTCTATCGCTCAATGGGCACCTTGCGGTGAAGTATATCGTGGGTCAGTATCGTTTTCTACTCGGTACAATAATCGGTGTTGCTTCTTGTTGGCAAGCAAGACCGTATTCTTCAGGCATTTCAATTCACATCCTTTTGGGCGCGGCTTTGCGGGCGCATACCCGGCGGTCCCCTATCACGAAAGCTCGATTGGTGCGATGCTGACAGCCACCATATCGAACTGCGAACCAACACTTTGCTGAATGGAGTATAAAATTTTTTTGTTCTCTCTGTGAAGACCTGCTGTTGGTACAAGCGCTTTCCCACCCTAGTCATGCGCCCCTTTTTTTTGTTCAAAGAAAAGGAAAAAAATTGACAAAGAAAAATAAAGAGTGTGTGGTTCCGAGAAATTGGTAACTCCCTGTTGAAGAAGCATCCCACTTAGGACGCCATTCGCTCAAAGAAGGGCTCCTAAACCCCCAGTCGATCCCAGGGTATCGAGAAAAAACTGATGTCGAAAGGAAGAAGAAAAAATTGGAGAAACCCCGAAAAAGGAAAATTGCTTGTGAATGCTGGATCTATCATTATTCCATCCGCTGTGCCGCTTTTGACCGTGGGTTATTACGGCGCTCCGCAAAAGAAAAAGGAAAAAAGGAAACAGGTCGCTATTCCTTCATAGCTTCGGCCGCATCTGCAAATGTGCCGACAAGCGCCGCATCGTCTTCGTCCAGTGTCTTTAGGCTGGCTGGGCGGTCCCCATGCAGCTCGTTTGCATCCTCGTCGGCAAGCCAGTCGACTTTGATGCCGGGCGGCGGGCTGTCTTCATGCGTACTCAGTTTGGACACGAGATGGTGATAGCGCGCTACACGAGCACCTTGGCCGGTGTAGACAAATGTCGACGATGACATCCGACCGGAATCCTGTGGAGCAATCTCAAAGATGTCGACCATGTTGCTGCGACCACCCAGTCAGTCTCGGTTCTCAAGCGAAAGCGGCAGTTGCGTAATTATCAAAGGAAAAGGACTCACTTGGATGTCTTTGCGACAACTCTCTGCAAAGCCTCGTTCTCTCGCTGGACCTCTGCAGTGTCGCCTTCGCCGTTCAGCGCAGCATCGCCGAAGCTGCCATACTGCACGCCATTACCGTCATCGTACAGTAGCCGGTTCTCCTCGCTCTGCAGCAACACGTAGTTAGTATCGGAAGAATCGCATGACAGAGAAGATATCAGCAGCAGAGCGCACCTCATCGTAGACGTCCCTCTGTCGCCGTCCCAGGCATGATTGGCAGAGCCCCATGGTCTCTGTCTCGGAATTGCGCGACTGCGTGCGGCAGCTCGGCGCGAGTAATTGACGCGTTTATCGGATACTGTAAAGATAGTGGTGTATTGATACCATCTTCTGGGGCAGACGGCAGCGCAGTCCAGACCAAAATGCGTGGTTTTGTCGCTCAAAAACCCCTGCTGCGATGCCTGCCGTTCGATTTGAGGAAGGTTGAAGCCTGCCTTTGTCGCGAGCTCCTTCGGGTAAATCTCGGGCCGCCAGCCCAAACGCATGCTCTAGCGGCGATTCCCATTTTGGCTGCTCCCTTTTTTCCCTGCAGTACAAGTTACAGCGCTATGCATGGCTCTTTTCTATTACTACATATAGTAGTAGTAATAGTATACAATGCTATGGCACATGTAAGCTAAGGTACTCTTGGGAGTGAAAAGAATATGATTTGATCGTCTCTAGATTTTGGAAGAAATTCTCAATCTCATGGAATGTGTTGATTCATATATTTTTTATAAGTCCAGTTATTTTCCTGCCCTTCTAGATGCTGTAGATCGCCCGATAATCGCCTTCCACCAGGGAGCCTCCCTTATAGAGTCAAGTTGGCCGCTCCCTGGAAGCCATTGGCCCCTTGAAATTGATATATAGATCTATTATCGCCCTCTTTGATCCTTTTTCTTTTCTCCTCTACATTGTCTTGGCTGATTTCGAGGCCTTAGAAGTAGTGTGTAAACTATATATCTGTATACTATATGATCTCAAGGGGCTAGAAGCCTCCTTTATATCGCTATCCCATTCTTCATCAGATTCTATTCTTTGAGTGAGAACTGAACATGATGGGCCCATCCTCTAGCCAGACTTAAGAGCCCTCGGATAAAGGTATAAGAAACCATGTCCACCGCCTCTGCAATCATGCTTTCATCATCATCATCAATACACTACTCCATCATATACACGCCCACTTTAAAGAATCGCCTCCTCCGAGTCTTTTACATACTTTCTCCAAAATCATAGTCACATCTATTCACAATGCTTAACAGGCTTCCATTGGCCATAATGGCTGTCCTTCCGCTCGCCAATGCCCGCTTCAACAAACCAAGAGCAGCAACCACTGATGACATCCGGTGCTGCCCCTGTCTACCAAGTGCACTCAGTCCCAGCGGTACTACAGTCACTGTTACTGTTACAAGCCCCAAAGAAACTGTAACAGTAGACCACACAGTCGTCCAGCCTGCGACTACCATCTTCGTCACTCAGACCTTTATCCCTGAATCATCTCCAGTTGTCACACAAGAGGTCACTGTTCACCCTGAGCCATCGGTTCAGACGAATACAGTGATTGGTGGCGGTACTGGCAGTCCGGACATTCTGACTTCACTCAAATCGGCCACTACAAAAACCGTTACGAAGACAATACTACCCGGTGGAGCTCAGACTGGAGGGAGCCAGCCTGAATCGCCCACGACTGTGACAGTGACGATTGGACCGGACCAAAGCAGCCCTGATGCGAAGACCACAGCTGTAGAGTCTAAGCCAGCCAGCTCCCCATCTATTGCGTCTAACTCTGCTGTGACTGTTACCATCAGTCAAGCGAAGCAATTCCCTTCAGCCGAATCGCCGAGCTCAGCAAATGGTGCCACTATCACCTTAATCGCTGCCAGCGAATCAGCAGCCGGTTCTCCTACAACCAGCCCAAGCGTCAAGACTGTGACCTTTGTACAGGAGCCAGATACTGTCGAGACGATCACCTTTGCGGATCCGGCAAACCCGAGCACCACCACTGTGACACTGGCAAGCAACTCGTCAGGTCCAAGCGTTATTTCTTTCCCTACAAGCCCGGCAGGCCCAAGCACTACTACAATCACTTTGACCAACAACCTGTCAAACTCGAGCGTCGAGACTGTTACCATTGTGGAGAATCCAGTAAGCCCAAGCAGCACTATCATCACTCTGGCTGGCAGCCTTTCCGGTCCTCCAATCGTCCAGATGGCAAGCTCCAGTGCTGCAGCAGCAACTCCAGCAAGCAGTCCTTCCAACTCTCCTAGTTTCCAGACGGCACCTTTGATGGAGAATTCACCAAAGCCAAGCTCTACCCCAGAGACTCCCGCAAAGAGTTCACCAACACCAGTCTCATCGATCTCCATCATCAATAACTTGGCAGCTCCAAACGCAACAGTGACCTTTATCCCAATTCCCTTAATCAACTCTTCGCCTCTCCAGCCAGCCATCACAGCCCCACCACAAGTCGGCACAATCTCCCCGAACATAAACCAATTCACTACTCTCACACAGACAGTCACTTCTGGAAACACAGTCAACATCGAAATCACAATCATCAACATCTTTACTGGAGAGACCATCTGCAGAAAGAAGGGCAGCGGCAAGCCGTGCGATTCGAAGCCCAAGATTCATGCTTCGGGAGAAATTGGTTGCTTGACGACTGGGGTCTGTACGGAGACGGCGACTGCTTTCAACACTGTTATTGTGACGGTTGAGTCGGGCATTTGGACTAATGGGACAACTGCAACTGGAGCTGCTCTACCGCTTGGAACAGGAACTGCTGTTGCTGTAGTAGGAACTGGCAGCCCTATGATCCGTAGGGGCAGAATGCCAATGATTCGAAAGCGCTTTTAAGAAGGTGAACAAGGAGACGGTAATGCTATGATGGTTGGAGAAAAGTGAAGTATAATGTTATGAGCGGAATGCTTTTATATACATGTAATGTGTGTGTGTCTATGTAATCAGTGGTATATCAGGTTTATAGGAATTAATGGGCTTACTTGGTTTGTTGTTTTCTTTACTGCGTGGTTTACTTGGCAGATAGCTATGAAAATCTTACTTTACAATTTTACTTCAAAACATCTCGATAATCAAGTATCCGCATCTAGATGACTCTTGTAGGCTCCAACTTTGGTGATAAAATCTCACTTGAAATCGAGTATAAGTTTCGACTTATGAATCATGGTCAATTTGGATATTTTGTTTCATAAAGACCTCATCAAGTATTTCAACTCATCTCTACACCCAATTCTCCCGAATCACCTCGGCAATCACCCCATGATCCTCATGCTGCTTCAACCCACTCACAACAACCACCCCAACAACCCCATCCACGCCCTCGACCCTTATCGGAATCGCTCCCCCGTGAATCGCATACTGCCCCGCCTCACTCGGCCCCAGCCCAAACTTGCCCGCAAACAGCTTCTCGTCGCCCGCGTGCTTCTGGCCCAGGAACCACGAGCTCACGCCGAACCGCAGCACGGCCGTCCTCTTGCGCTGCACCCAGCTCTCGTTGTCGGGCGTCACGCCAGCGCCCGTGGCGACCTGATACAGCGTCTGCGTGCCGGCGCCGTTGCTGATGGAGATGAGCGTTGAGCGACCTGCCTTGGCGTAGGGGAGGAGGCGTGCGTAGAGCAGGTTGCCGAGCTCGACGGCGTCGGAGGAGGTGAAGGAGGAGAGGGTGAAGCCTTGGCCGCCGACGTCTGTGTCGGCGAGAGCTTGGAGCTTTTATATGATTAGCATCTATTACGAGTGTCTGGATATTTATAGGACAAACACACTTCTTCGGGGGAGCTTCCGCCAGGAGGAGACTGGATGGCAACTGGACCACTGGAGCTGCGAGCCGCCTCCAGGGCTTTTTCAAGGCCGAATCCAGCCGCAAAGTTGCGTCGCCAAACTTTTTGAACCATTGTGTCTTTAAAAGATGTTGTGAATAATCAAGGGAAATAAAAGTAAATAGTGGAATGAAGCTTCAAGATATAAATGATATAACAATAGAGCAAGGGGGTTGTCGCTAAGTTTTAAACTTAATTCATTGACAGCATTGCTTGCGCTAGACATCGGGCCGATCACGAAATCGGGCACGGAAATTGTTGCCAGTGTCCGGGATTTATCTGGATTTGCTGGTGGATCTGAGGCGGAAACGGTGCTGCTAAATGGGGTGGCGTATATGAATTGGCGGGGGCCCTCGAGTCGTGTAAGACGGCGAATAGCTATGAAGATGGAGTTTTGTGGAGAGAAACGTGGTAATTGCTCGTGGGTCACAGTCATGTTTTTGAATTGAGTATGACGTTGAGGCGATTGTGGAAATAGTAGCAATTCTACCTACCTATTTATATCGTGTGCGTCAATGCGTCTAATTCCATGACCTTCTGTCAACAGAACTTCTCCCCGTTTGTACGAAACAACTGGAAATCAAGCTCATTCTGAATCCAGTCTCAGTGACATGGCAAAGCAAATACATCAAAAGTCCCAACTCTATCTTGACATGAAATCATCAAAGATCCCTCCACAGTGCCCCTATGCATCATCTTTTCCTGACTTGTAAATAAATGACAATACATGAACCTCGCAAAAGAAGAAAGTGTAAAGCAAAGGGGGGATAAAGGGCACAGGCCTAGATGGGCACGCTTCATGCCTCTCCCGTCGCATAGCGCATGTCAACCTCCATCGTCACATTCGAATCTCGTCGCTCGGCTGGATCCGACCGCAGACCATTGCTCTCCACAATGCTCGCCACATCCGAAGTCATCTCCGACTCGAGACTTTCAATGCTCTGCAGAGCCTGGATAAACTTGCCCTGTTCCATCTTGAGCATCTCGCGCTTGTTCGCCGTCGCGGCATCTTCATCCATGAGCTTCGCGTAGACATTCACAGAGTTCGGTCCGCGCACGCCCAGCTGCTCGTCGAGGTAATTGCGCAGCTGCCGGCGAATGGCGGGGATCATGCGGCAAACGATGCGCTGCGTCACGGCATCGGAGTATCGTAGGGCGGCGAGCTTGTAGTACCCTCTAACGTACGCAACAACCTCGACCTCCCGCTCAAATTCGTCCGGCTTCAGCTTGGTTGAATCCTGCTCTCGCTTCTTCAAGTCTGCGACTTGCTTTTCTTCTGTAAGCCCTTCCCACGGAACGAGATCTTTCTGTGCGTAACCTGCTCCTATCATTCTCATATGGTGTCGGAAGCGAACTAGCACAGCTCTCTCGCTCTTTAGGCATTGGTTAAATGCTTCTGTGTTGTACGTCATGACGCGTTCTGTCTCATCGCCATAAAGCTCTTGGAGTGCTTTTCGGGTTTCTTTCCAATGGAAATCCAAGCAGCTCTTGAGATGTCGCTTCGCCTCTGGGTATATAAACCGCTTCTTGAGATTCTCGAGGGACTTGTTCAAGGCCGTTTCGAGCTCAACGTGGAGCAAGCGAATCACTTCTTGTAAGTAAACGTTTGTAGGTTGATTCCATGGCTTGATAGCCTCCATGGCCAGGTCATTGTATACATCTGGAGGGATGATGCTTGGCATGCCTGCCTTCATCTTGGCCTGTATTTCTTCTTTGACTTGCCTAAGTGTGCGGAACCCCCGGCCAATGTCGCTAAATTGCGTAAAGGGATATACAAGACCCATGTTATGTCCAGGATGTCCAGGCGGCGGCGTTCCAACATTAACATTGCCTGTGTCCTCAGGCTTGACCATATCTGGGGCTCCGTTGGCCATATGATCAGTCCGGGACCGCTTCGAGGGCGTTGCTTGCTGTGCTGTATGCCGCCGTTTCGACGGAGTAGAGAAACTTGCCGTGGCAGGACCAGGCGCTGGGGCATCCGGCTCATCATCGTCAGACAGTACTACTGGATCAATGTCGCTTCGGTCTTTGAGAGTAAATTTGGGCTTAATCTCCAAAAGACAGTCTCGGAAACTATTGGGCAAGCTATTGATGCGTGCAGCAAAGTCGTCGATCCTGATACGGGCACTATCAGCAAAGCTGTTGAGGCAAGTTTGGATTTCCAGTTCCACGTTGCTGGGGAGCTCTGGGAGATTGGCCAGCTGTCGGTTCGTTTTATCGAGAAGGTATTTGACCTTGGACTTAATAGTGGGCAAGCTGCGAGGAAATAATTAGTGACCGAACGCATAAAGACGTGGGTTACTCACCTTTTTGCAAATTCCTCGCCCAGCCGCTCTGACAGGAATGCTTTAAGCCGTTCAACGCCACAGCGGTGGACAAATTGATGAAAGGGGGCGGGCCATTTATCGACAGACTGATCCTCGAACATGCGCTCTTCCCACTTCTTTAACTCTTCCAATTCCTTGCCTTGCGGGCGGGAGGTAATGAAGTATCCTAGCCCCGTAGCATGAGCATACCCCTTCATTATCTCGAGCCACTGGGCGTGATTTCCACCGTCAGGAAGCAGATCTGCTTTGGTGAGCACACCGATAGTCCTGTCTTTGGCTTTCAATTTTCGAGTGAGACCAAAGGTTGCAGAATTTTCGGCATCACTATTCATCGGCATGGCGCAGATGATGATGGCAGAGGGATGCTGGATGTAGGCGCTGGAGAGATTCCGGACCACATTGACCAGATACTCGTCGTTGGCATCGGCGGGATTCTGAAAAATACCAGGCATATCGTAGAATGACAGGTCCGGCAGGTCAGGGCCTTTGATCTCTAATGCAACGACATTGGGTGAAAATTTAGCCAAAGTCTCTTCTGCCGCCTTGTCAATTGGCGTGTTCATGGCGGTGGCGCCCCGTCCAGGGACGAATAAATTGTGGTTTTTGTCATCGTTTAATATGGCAATTTGGGCCCAACGCAGGACATCTTCAATCTCACTCTTGTCATGCATCGTCTTGAATTCCAAAACGAGGGTACTGGGTCGCTTTCGCCAAGGGAAAAAGGGGTCGCTATTGGTGACGTCTGTCTCATGTATGGCGCCATCGGGAGGTTCATAGGAGTATTCTTTCCGCAGCCAAACGCGACAGGACCAGTCGGCGTTGCGAGAAACGCGAATGTGAAGAGGGCATCGGGTGCAAGTTCCCTCACTGCGCGGCAAGTCCAGGTTGGCAAGGCCCGACATCAAGCTGGATTTGCCTGCAGACTGATCTCCAACGAGCACGAGCTCCGGCAGCTGAACATCGTGAGACACACCGAGTTGCTGCAGCTCTCCCAGGGTATCGTTGCAGTCCTTGAGCTTCTTGCCAATGTCTTGGAACGAGGTCTGAAAGAAGCTTTCCTCTAGATTTCTAGGGCTGGCCGCAGCCACTGTGCTTGCAGCCGGAGCAGCTCTCACTTCTTGAAACACGGGATCTGCAAGATCTGACTCTACCGTGCGTTCACTAGGCGCCGCTATAAAGTACAAAATCAGTATCTCGCTGGTTTGGCAATGTTCATTAGCTGGGGACTTACGGGCATTAGATCTATTGCCGCGAGGATCGATAAAGGACCTGTAAAATTCTGGTGCATCCAGCGATTCGCCAGGTTCGGTGCTGACATCTGTGACTGTATCGTGACGAGAAGCGGCATCTGGTTCACGCTTGACAAGATTCTGCCGATTTCTCGAGCCGCGAGGACGGCCAGGTGTCGAGTGTGGCATGACGATTGTTCCCTCAGAGGAATCCTAATCCGCTTGAGATGTGGGCTGGTTATTGTCGGACATGGAGATGATGCCAGATACCGTGAGAAGACAGAAATAATGCGGGCGCTGGTGTGGTGGCGTGTGTGATATTCTGCCTGATCTTATCAAACGAGTGGATGATGGATATGCAACAGGGTGAATTGGTCAATGAAAGCGGGACAGCAGGGTAAGATAAGAATGAGAGAAGAGCTTTTCACAGTGAATATCAACTATTAAACAAATAGATAGGGCAAACAAAAAGAATTAAACGCAATTAATGACAGAAAAGTGACAGAAAAGTGAGAGTCGGGCAAAGTGACGCGTGAGTGAATCGACTTGGGCTCAGAACGCTGAAAGAGAAGAAAGTTGTTGATAGCAGAAGATATTCACCCAGACAACTGTTGCGGCCCCAGTGCGCTAATGCTTGATAGAGGAGCCTGTGCCTGATTCGCCCGCCAGCGAGCTACACGCAGTGTGAGTGGGAAACAGTGGCATAAAACAGGGCATTGGCTTCTGTTTAAGGCAGATTTCAGAAGAGAAAATACTCACGATGATACTTGCCAAGCTATAGGCTCAACAGCAGTTGATGCGTTAACAGAAATGAACGGCGATGCTCTGAAGCCTGACTCTGGAGTTGTTAGCTGGAGCTGATTAGAGCTTGAGTGTTAGCCCAAAAAGGGGGGCTGGGATCAGGCTCAGTCTCAGAGCTCTAGGCACCACGTGACTGCTATATGCATGGCAATCCGAATGAAGCTTCTATCTCTGACCTCAGAAGTCATCCGTCTGAATCGATGCAATGAAGCAATTTGTTTTACGGTACATGGACGCCTTGTATATTCGTCTATCTACATCTTTCACCTTGTTCGTATCAGCCCCAGTTCAGTTACTGAGAAGCGCCTAGTCGCCCCAAGTAGTGGATCCAGCGAAAAAGAGCTCTGCTGCTAAGTTTGTCCATGCAGTGCATTGTGCTAAAGACACAGTAGAGCGCTATCGAGGCCTGTGAGAAGTACTGGGTACCTCTTAGCCGCAGCCTTGCCGGTAACCATGCAGTTGGTACAAGATGATCTTTTGCCAGTTTGCTCGTCACTTTGGTCTCTAGTGCAGGTATCGAAGATCGTATTTTTATTTAACCAGCGCTGTAGAATATGATGGATATTTTATTGGCCCAAGATGGCACCAATCATTGATTTTTAACTGCTGGCTGAATGCGACCCTGCCTAAGCCGTGAACAAGGCTGTGCAAGTACTCTTGTACCTGCACCACCGCTCTGGCAAAAAAAAAAACTGTCGAGAGAAATTTAGTCTTCGCCATTGTGCTCTTAGCTCAACGCAACCCCGTCCAAATTTACAGCCTCTCTATCCTTCTCAGCTGGGCTGCAAAACTCAATTTACTTGCGGGAACTAAAGTCATCATGGACGTTACCGATGGACGAAACGACGCCTTGGCTGATGGCCGACGCATCTACTTAGGCGCGGCTACCTGAACTCTCTCTCACACTATATTGCGGCCATGCAAACTGACTGTCAAGGCAGGCAACCTCCACTATGTGCTCAAGTCAGAGGACATCGAGGAGTTCCTCATTGCTAATGGCTTTGACGACATTGAGAACATCCACATGTCCATTGACGCCGTCAGCAGCCGCAACCCGGGCTACTGCTTCGTGGACTTTGCCCAGCGCCCAACCGCTGAGCGGGCTCTCACCTCGCTGCAGGCATCGCTGCGTGGTCGTGAGATCAAGGTCGGCCCCTGCGAGCCCAGGAAGAGGCGCAATGAGAACGGCCGCTCGGGCTTCCAGCAGCGAACTAACGAATGGAGAGGTGCGCCTGGTGGCGATGATGGCCAGCAGTACCAGAGCGAGCAGAGGCCCCGCCGTGACTTCAACCGCTCCGAGGAGGTGGTTGATGAGTCCCAGGGAAAGCGACTGTATGTTGGCGGACTGGCCAAGATGGGCGACCAGGACCAGAACAACCAGGAGATGATGGGAATTTTCACCGGATTCAACCCGTATGCATACCCTCGCTCTCTCATGAGAAACTCACTGTGTGAACTCACAGCTAATGAAAATATCAAACCAGCTCATACATTGGCAAGCGCATTGCCCCCCATGACAGCTCCAGAAGCCCTGCTGGCACCTACTATTACTGCTTCGTTGACTTTGAGACCCAAGACGAGGCCCAGGCCGCCATGCAGGCCCTTGACGGCGCCGAGTACGATGGAGGCGCGCTCAAGGTTTCACTGGCCAAGAGGAACGAGAGACAGTCCAACCGCACCAACGCGACACCGGACCGCAACGGCCAGGGACGCGGCTGGTCACGACCATCCAACCCCCGACCCGAGGGCGGACTGCCACCATCTGCCAGGGCCATGGGATCCAACAACTGGAGGAGCCGAGATGCCCAGTAGATCGGGATTGCATCTGCTGCTACCACTACTAGCTACTGCCTCCGCTAAAATTGGAGTGAGAAACGGGAGAGTTTTGAGACGAGGTCATTGGAATGCTGGGACAAAAAAATCTACTTGGGAGCATCATGTATTAATTCGTTTATTCTTATGTATTTGTTCCATTTACAAACAAAAACGGCTGAATGCGGGGTATCACGACGGGCAAAATGACATGAGCAGTGTTGCATCAAGACTCCTTTCTCATGACTCCTTGTGAATAAAATCTCCAAAGCCAACAGCATACACATACGGCACCAGCAACACCAAAAATTATGCTTTTTCGGCTCAAAAAAAAAATCCCATAGCACCCCTTGGTCCCCTGTTTTTTTCTTAGCTTCAGGAACAGCCACCACGTGCGGGCAATCTCCCACCTCCGCGGGGTCCTTTTTTGCTTCGTGTCCCGCACTCGCTTAATCGCATATTTTCATTTCCCCTTGTCGTATCCGTACATGCCAGCCAGCCAATTTCACAAACGTCGTGCAGCAGCAGCTCCACCGCCTTGCCTTTTTGCCCAATTCCCCGGCGAGCGTCTCTTTCTGTCACTTCAGCGAGCAATTTGTTGATTCGCATCTGTTTCCCGTTTCTCGTTTCCTTCTTTTTCTTTCTTTCCGTTGAAGCTGAAACCGAAGCTTCTTATACGCTCCTCCACCGAAAGATACCCCTCCTTGAGCTCTCCACAAACATGTCTCTCCACGTTCCTCTGCCCCATCGGTCTGCCACTCCAGTGGGCGCTGCCACGAAGGCTGTGATTCTGGTATGAATGACCCTTTGTTTTGTTTTGGAACGATCATTCTCTTTATTCTCTTCGTTTGAACTCAAAAATTCTTCCTCAATGATTGCGCAAGTATCTTGGGCATCAAAGCTCAGCCTTGACTGACAGCGCACACCACTGATACTCAACCAACTGCCCGTCATATACCACTGATTTCTATGACCTTGATATTGAAATTCTAGCTAACTTACATGCTTCGCTTCATAGGTCGGCGGCCCCTCTCGTGGCACGCGATTCCGCCCTCTCTCGCTTGACCTCCCCAAGCCCCTCTTCGAAGTCGCCGGCCACCCCATCATCTGGCACTGCCTCTCGTCCGTCGCCCGCGTCAAGCAAATCCAAGACGTCTACATCATCGGCTACTACGACGAGTCCGTCTTCCGCGACTTCATCAAGGACTCGGCCAAGGAGTTCCCCGGTATCAACCTGCGATATCTGCGCGAGTACGAGGCGCTGGGCACCGCTGGCGGTCTGTACCACTTCCGAGATGCCATCCTCAAGGGCCGCCCCGAGCGCCTCTTCGTCCTCAATGCCGACGTCTGCTGCTCGTTCCCGCTGGAGGAGATGCTTAAGCTCTTCATTGAAAGGGACGCCGAGGCCGTCATCCTCGGCACCCGCGTCAGCAACGATGCCGCGTCCAACTTTGGCTGCATTGTCTCCGACTCCCACACCCGCCGAGTGCTTCACTACGTCGAGAAGCCCGAGTCGCACATCAGCAACCTGATCAACTGCGGCGTCTACCTCTTCTCCACCGATGCCATCTTCCCGTCTATTCGATCTGCTATCAAGCGCCGCACCGATCGCCCGGCCCGCCTCGTCTCCTACCCCTCCTCCGACAACTTGGATAACTTCACCATGCCCCGTGCTATCGCCGACGATGATGATGATGAGGACAAGAAGGAGGTCATCCGCCTCGAGCAGGACATTCTGGGAGACATGGCCGACAGCAAGCAGTTCTTCGTCTACGAGACCAAGGACTTTTGGCGCCAGATCAAGACTGCCGGCTCTGCGGTGCCCGCCAACGCGCTGTACCTTCAAAAGGCCTCGCAAATTGGCAGCGACGAACTTGCCCCCGCAAGCGCCAACATTGTTCCCCCCGTCTTCATCCACCCTACCGCCGATGTCCACCCCACTGCCAAGCTTGGCCCCAACGTCAGCATCGGACCCCGCGTCGTCGTTGGCGCTGGTGCTCGTATCAAGGAGAGTATCGTGCTGGAGGACTCTGAGATCAAGCACGACGCCTGCGTTCTGTACTCCATCATTGGATGGGGCAGCCGTGTTGGCGCTTGGGCCCGTGTTGAGGGCTCACCTCTTGCTGCTGGCAGCCACTCAACCAGCATTATCAAGAATGGTGTCAAGGTGCAGAGCATTTCTATCCTTGGCAAGGACTGCGGCGTTGGCGATGAAGTTCACGTGCAGAACTGCGTCTGTCTGCCATATAAGGAGCTGAAGAGGGTATGTTATGCTAGCCGTTTCTCCATGGTTCTTATGCTAACAAGTATTACTAGGATGTCGCCAACGAAGTAATTATGTAAAGCCGTCTTGTGGCAGAGAGTGAATAAGTGGTAAGAGTAGGCAATAGAGTAACTGGATGACAGCAGTTGTTATTCAAGAAAAAGTGGCTTGAAAAGATTTCAAGCGATGTGAAAGCTATATTTAAAAGAAAGTTTCCCTGTTTGTAACGATGCCACGCATTCCATTTCTTCATTTTGACAGAAGTACTTGTAGGACCTACTTATAGATCATTAATTTTAAAAGAAGCAGTTGCTTTTAGTGTTGAAACGAGCTAACAGTATGTATATATATATATATATATATATTCTATTCTATTCCAAAGAAAGGCTCAAAAAATTGAACCAGATACATTGCGATAAGTAATAGCATTTATGACAAGGCACATACAGTAACCTATTGCTCTGTATAAGCATCCAGCGACAAAGTTCATCTCCATTGGCTCGATTCGCTCCTTCCCCTCCCCCATTCTATACCAAGTACGTGAATGTATTAAGAGGTATTTTTTAAAGCAGTAATAATATTCCTTTTGCTTTTACCGAAGAATTGCGTGATTATTCGTTTCTTCACGCTTTGAACATCCAAGGAGATGTTGTTAAGGACTACGCAGTATATTCTCTTCTGGCTATTGCGAGTGTTTTTTTAACTTGAACTCCTCATCAATGGCATCCCATATTGTTTCACACAGCAATTTTGGCGACTTTGCCAACGTACATAATGGAAATATCTACAACAACTGGACAGCTGGTCAAGGTTTGACTTGTCGCCAATTCCTCCACCTTCCGTATGAACATAGTAGCCAATGCATTGTTCCAGCTCAAAATGACTTGGACGTCACCTACCTCCACGATTTGAGAATCACGGATCCCAGACTTGATAAAAAGAATTCTAGATACAAAGGACCCTCTGCTGCGTGTTTCCTACAGCTGGATCTGGGTGGAGGTTATGTCACAAAAAAATTGCATCACAATATGTACTGCCTTTGATCTCCTTCAACACAAATAGACGAAATATTTACACCGTATCCAGATACATTAGCCTATTTCCGATACCAGTGCATATTTTAGGTGGATCACCTTTTAGCCTCAAGTGAAGAAGAGAGGGCTGAGGCCATTCAAGATTACGGCAGCCTGTATACGTTCTTCAATAATGTATATATACATACTGGTTGGAAGCTATTTCTCTATTGCGGGCTATGGATCTTACGATGGAAGCAATTCATAAACTTCCAATTCTGGATATAAGTTTTAGTCACAGTTTGAATCTCTTTGGCCTACACTAAAATATGTCATCGTTCAGTTGAAGAAGCAGGATACGCCTGGATTACACGCCTTAATGTGAGATGCCATCCGCTTTTTCCAATCTAATAGAGTTATAATAGAAGTTGCTCCTTTACAGACTTACTCTTCGGCATTGGTATTTGCGCCAGAATGCAGCATTATTCGACAGAAATTCGAAACAAAAATCCGCTAAGGTATTCCCCTTATACTCAATCGACCGAATACTTGGGGAGCATGTGTATATACTCATGTTGGTCATAGGCATAAAGTCACATCCCTAGATTTTTCAAAAATGTCACACCTGTTGGTCTCCAACTCGCGGGATGGGACAGCAAGAATATGGGAAATGGAAACAGGCAATTGCCGGCAAATGTTGATCTTCGGAAGCTATCACTGGCTTGTGAGGATGTCTCCAGATTCAACAAAAGTGGCGTCGAGCGATTCAACAAGAATATATCTCTGGAACACGGCCACAGGCGAGAAGATGCATACGTTACAAGGTGGTGGGAGAAAATTCTGGTCAATTACCTTTGCACCTGATTCAAAACTTCTCGCTTCAGCTTACTATGATAAAACTGTCTGCATTTGGTGCACCGAGACAGGCAAACTTCTGCAGACACTCCAATGTCACGAAAAGTATCGTTATCAAACAATGTTTCAAGTTGCCTTCTCTCCCAACCTGAGGCACGTCGTAGCGGCAAACGCTTATGCCGCGATGGTTTGGACACTGAAATATCGAACGAGAGATGCAATTTACTTTAGGAGGGAGAAGACCGCATTGTAGCAGTCACCTTCTCTCCCAACTCTAAGCTTCTTGCCTCAGCTCATTGGGATTCTCACCTGGATTCAAGCAGCGCAAACTCATGTATTAATGTCTGGTGTATTGCGACGAGTCGCAAGCTGAGAAGCTGCTGTACTAAATGTCCCCGTTTGTTGTAAGAAAAGCTTGCATTCTCTTCCAATAACGAGTTGATAGTACCAACAACGAATGGGCCGTGTCACTGGCAATTCCAATCAACCTCAGATTTCGAGAATGAGATGTCGGCTTCGTATATGCAGAGCGATTCATGCACTGATTGTTCCTTTGATATGGCTTTCTGTGCAGTATCAGATGACTTCAGCAACACTATTAGCATCTGGCAGTTAGACTCCAGCGACAACAATTCGGATGCTCTCAAAAAGAATGGTACTTCTACACGCAGCTTTAATTGTGTCGTTGTCTCGCCTGACTCGTCAGTCGTCGCTTCGAGCGCTTTTGGCACGGTAGTCACCCTATGGCGGACGGATACGGGTCAACGTTGTCAAACATTGAGAGGCCACAATGGTCAAGTTACTGCTATAACGTTCTCACACGATCCTTCAATCATCATAACGAGCGACAAAAAGAGAACTGTGCGTTTCTGGCAGACTGCCACCGGGAAATGTACAAAGGTTTTGTCAATGCTGGAATTCAACAGCCATCATTATTTCAACAGACGGCCCAGACTTTTCCCACAAATAGCAGTATCTGCTGATTTGGGGATTCTTGTTTGTGGCACTAATGCAGAGATGCTTGTTTTGCGGAAAAACAACAACAAAGTGTATACGTGCGTTGCGCAATATCCCGCTCCCGTTCCCGAGATGATGCATCACATAATGTGCATCGAACACCCTGCAGTCATATTTAATTCAGTATTCGTGAGTTGGAAGTCGCTTTACTCTAAGCCCGTTCGGCACCGCAAGTCTGAATGGGAGCACTGGCAAATAGACACGGACCAGTCTATGAAACTACATGTCGGCAATCGATATCATTCAATTTTCTACCAAGAGAAGAAAAATGGGTTTATCATTCTCATACAGAGCAATTGGGGACAAAAGTCGGCCAACGGTGACTTTGCCTGGATCACTCGAAATGAAGAGCGGCTGATATGGATACCCAAGCAATTTCGTCCACGCCTTGAACGGCATTGGAATTCTTTGGGGTCTATACTAGCAATTGGAATGGACGCCAACACTATGATCATTATCAATTTCTCTAGGTAGCTAGACACCGTTGCTTGGAAAGATGGCGAAGTGGAAAGCTTGAAAAGGAAGAGGAGAGACTCAAGTTTAAGTATTACGCAGAGGAACTGTCTCAAGAGTTTGAGAATGTCTAACTCGCATAGAGGAGCATTTGTTTTATTCAGCACACAGTTTTTTTTCTAGCATTCCGTTCCCGGCTTAACGAAACATGTAGTCCAGACTTGGAGAGAGTTGAATCGAATATATTCTTCTACCGATTTAAGATAAATTATGTACCAGATAAAATTAAAGCAGTAGAAGTAGAAATAGTAAAACACGGCCGTAGATTAGCAACCTTAGCCGTGGCTGGGTTATTGGATAACGAAAATGGTAGACTGGATAATCATTTCTCCAACTGCGGTGCTTTAGCTTTGAATCAATGGTCACGCAAAAGTTCATACACGACCTCTGCGCGAAGCCTCTTTCCCTTTTGCTTGCGACCTTTTCTGTTAATATTTTGTTGCTCATTCAACTTTTGCTACCAATTACAGGAGATCTTTCCTTCTGAGTACCCTACTGCGCTTACTGCAAGTAGAGAAATCGCTACTATGCCTTTGCCTTAAATGGCTGACGATTATTTGACTGTTTGCAAAACCACAGTTGTGAATACCGCATCAACACGGCCACTTTGATTCTGCCACTGTAGTCGCTCCTAGGGATGAGTGCTCTTGAGAATTCTAGATAACTCTCGGATGTCACCTATATCAGTAAGCGAATGCTACTCATGGCACATTTCTGGTCCTTGATATTCTTGTCATCTTTAGGGCTAGCCGCTATCCGAACCCATATTCACATGTCGAACAAACAGTCTTCAAGGGTCTTTTCTTTTTTCGACTTTAACACAAACCGGTGCCTCCAAGTCACTGTGACTCGAGAAGCCATCTTTCTCTCATCTAAAATTGACTGCTAAAGTGCTGCTTCGCTTCGCGGTATGACTCAACGAACAGGCACTTTTGTAGAGCTGAAGCCCGATTAGGTAAGGGCCGAGGCGCGCTCCTCTATGTCACTCCAACACTTAAGCATAAAATAAAGATAAAAAGCACTATTTCCGCCATGGTTTGCGCTTTCAATCACTAGTTCTACGCTGCTGTATTGCTCTTACAAGAGGAGACGTCACCATGGACGGAATCGTTGATTCCGACTTGGATCAGACTTTCGAGATTGTAGAGCGAGATACGGTGCCCGCGCCTCCATCACAGCAAAGCGACTCGTACAAAAAACGCCTGTCTACTCTACTGAAATGGCTCCAACCAACCGACTTTCTCTCTCCGGGAAGCGAATTCATGAAGCATTTACACTCATATGTGCCTGGAACTGGTGATTGGACTCACAAATCGCCCGTCTTTCGCACCTGGGCCAACTTAGATTCTAATACCGACTCTAGATCTGGTAATGATAACAATAGTGGCTCATGTCTCCACGTCCGCGGATTAGCTGGCACTGGAAAATCAGTATTTTCGGCTTCCACAGTGCGCCAATTGCAAGAGTCTGGCAGCATTGTGCTGTTTTTCTTCTTTCGTCAGATTGTCGAAAAGAACCACAGCGCCAACTACCTCATACGTGACTTTGCCGCGCAGCTGCTTCCCCATTGCCCTGCCTTGGTGACCACATTGACCACTATATCAAAAGATCATGCAGTCAGCGGTAGCGAAAACAGCCTAGTATGGCCTGCTCTTGTTGAGGCGCTCACCACGGGCATCACAAAGAGTGTGTACTGCGTGGTGGATGCTTTAGATGAGATGGACGATGGAGATTTTGAGGGCATGACTCATCGTCTCGTTGAGCTGGGCACCGCTGCACCTGGCAGAATCAGGGTTATGATGACGAGCAGGCCATTGCCAAAGATTGAACAGGCGTTGAGCAACTCTGGAATAGTGAAGCTGAAGCTTGATCCTACCCTCCTTTACCCAGACGTGGCGCGTTATGTCGACGCCAGGATGGCCACGCTGGACCCTCCATTAAGCCACGAAAAGAATGAAATGGTAAAGCAGACTATCTGTGAGCGAGCCAAGGGGCTCTTTCTTCATGCCAGACTCGTTGCAGATAACTTGGCTGAAGGCTTGCGGGACAGGCACATCACCGAAGAGACTCTGCCGGACAGCCTGGACCGCCTCCCAATAACGCTTCAAGAGGTGTATGAGGGCATGTTGAAAGAGCATGCCCATCGCAGCGGAGTCACAGCAGAGCAACAAGCCAAAGTCCTCATGTGCGTAACGCATGCGAGTCGACCCTTGCGGTTAATTGAGCTTGGATCGCTGCTCTCCAACATGCTGCACATCAGTCTCGGACAAGGAAAGGACTTGGTACGGCAGAGTTGCGGTAGATTATTGGAACTCCTAGAAGATGAGAGCGTGAGTGTCATTCACCATTCCTTTACTGAGTTTCTGCACGATGCCACGAGAAAGACGAACGCCGACGCTTTCCCCGTTCTTGATGACACAACCTCGCATGAGATGCTATGCGTGCTTTTGTTGGAGTTTCTCGACGGTTGTCCGCATTTCGATGTTACTCTCGATGACTATAGAGAGGCAAATTACGACAATCACACGTGGGGAAGAAAAGAGAGAAAAAGAAGAGACGATCTCGTCAACGACTTGCGAGTAACACACCCCCTGGTATCATACGCTGCTGAAAATCTCGCCTTTCACCTCAACAAGGCATCGGCACAGCCACTCGCAGTCAAAGAAGCCCTGACTCGCTATCTATGCCCCGGAAAGCCAGCATTTGAAACAATGATACTGATGAATTGGAGAGGGCGACTATCTGCCTCTTTCAACGTTTTCCACCTTGCCACTGCTGTGCGGCCCCCTCTCGCCATGCCACTGAGGGTAGTCGAGATATTTGCGGCCACAGAACCAACACTTCTTGACGCTCATGATTCAGACGGCCGTACTCCTTTGTCTTATGCTGCCGAGAATGGTCATAACGACATTTCCCAGTTTCTGCTTGCTAAAGGCGCAAATGCACAGTCGGGCGGTAGTCAAGGTCGAACGCCTCTGCACTGGGCGGCGTTGAAGGGGCATCCGAGAATCGTTCGACTTTTACTGGCTGCGGGTGTCGACCCACTGATTAAAACATTTCCGGTTCTTGAAGAATATGATTCTTATGATGAGTACTTTAAGAGGTATTCAGAGGAGGAAGCCGAGAGTCAGAGAGAGACCGCCTTGTCGTTTGCGTTCAGGGGCGATAACCCCGGGGTTATCCAAGCATTCATGCCCTTCATTCCGCCAGCTGAAGTCAATAAATGCTTCCATCAGGTCGACAACGTGGAAAATATCGAGGCCATCCTAAACACGGGCAAAGTCGATATCGAATGTTTCCGGGATGGGAAAACAAGGCTGTTTAGAGCAGCTGAGCGCCACAGTCTGGACTTGATCAAGCTGTTACTCAAGCACGGGGCTGATCCGAATAGAAGAAGTGCCCGCGAGAGTATATATACCTATGGAGAAATATCCCTGCAAGCAGACAACGAACAAGGACCAACGCCTCTTCATGCGTTTTGCTCTCCCGACGACAGATGCGTTCTCATGAAGGGGGACGTGAACAAGGCGGAAGAATGCGTCCGAGTTCTTGTCACGGCTGGAGCAAAAGTCAATGCCACAATGAGAGGGGAGCGCTCTGTCAATGGCCACAATTTGACGCCTCTCCATCTCGCTGTGCTCAAGACTGATACAACATTTGGATATTGGGGCTCATTGGACAAGTCTGAGGAGATTCTGACCCGCGCGCTGCTTTTGCAGGGAGCCGATCCCAACGCCCGTACAGATACAGGAGAGACACCCATGCATCTCGCCAACCCAGAGAAGCCTCAGCTGCTTGATTTGCTTGTTGAATTTGGGGCAGATATAAACGCCGTGAATGAGATGGGAAGAACGCCGTTGCTCGAGATCATCAAGAAAATGGGCCATTTCTTCGCTTCATTCTCTCTTTTCAAATTAAAAGCAGACGCCTTGACATTCCAAAAATTCCTCGATCTCGGGGCTGATGTGCACGCTACAGACAACAATGGAGATAACGTGTTCCATCACATCATGCATAGCATCGAGTTCTTTTCTGATGCAAAGTTTTTCCCCTTTATTCAGCAGCTTTTGAACTCTGGCGTGGATTTAAATCAACGGAACCGAAAAGGCCATCCGCCCGTGTGGAAGTATAGGCAATGCGATCGTACAGACGGTGGCAATCATATGGACAATGACGAGGAGCTTCTTCGAATACTCGTCGACGCGGGCATGGATTTAAGCATACGTGATTTGAAGAAAGGCACGACAATTCTGGGAGTGGTCGGTGGTAGATTCAAAGAGAACAACATTATGCAGATGTTTATCCGCCTAGGGGCTCAATTGTCCACCGAAGATGACGCAAGTCTGTTACATGATGCAACGAAAGGTTACAAAAAGGACGCTGACTGGTTTCGCTACATGATATCGATTGGCACAAAGCCAGATGTCCTCGGTCCTGGAGGGGACACGCTCATTCACTCGGTTCTTCGCTCAGCTGGAGATGAAAGTAAATTCATTGACATCATACAAGTTCTGGTTGAGGCTGGTGTCTCACCACTCACCACGAATGAAAAAGGAGAAACGGCATTGCATGTGGTGAGAAGTACAAAAATCTTGGAGCGTGTGCTTAAAAGCCCCTTATTCAAGGAGTTGGACTTCAACCAGCAGGACGCGAACGGCTTCACCCCCTTACACCACGCCGTATCTCTTGGAGAGATATCTGTAAAGGCTCTTCTTTGTGCTGGAGCTGATCCAACCATTCTCGCTGCCGTTGATCTCTCCCCGCTACATGTCGCCTGCCGGGAGGGTGCTGCTTCCATCGTCAGCCTCCTCCTTTCAGACTACCGAAGTCGAGGCGTGCTTGAGAAATACGTCAATCTTCTAGGCGAGGGCATGGCACCACTGCACTACGCCTGTCGTTCTGGTCGGCCTGAGAGTGTCTGGGAGCTGCTCCGGAGTGGCGCAGATCCCTGGTTGTTGGATGTGGACGGCCTTATGCCGCTCCATTCCCTGGCCGAGTTTGATGACGTGGAAGATATATGGCGCCGGCGTCGAATACAAGCAGCGGATATTATCACCATGTTGCAGCAAGCTGGGGTTGATTTGAACGTCGAAGTAGTTGTTGAAAATGACGACGGGAAGACCAAGACTGTAACCCCTATGGATAAGGCCGTGGAGGAAAAGTGCTGGGATATGGTGCGTGCGCTTCTTACACGCGGCGCCAAGGCTCGGGACAGCCAGCTACAGTCTCCAGATTTCATCTTGGCTACAGATAGACCCAAAACGGCCGAAAAAGCTCGCGATGTCTCATCTGCATTGCCCAGTCCGCAGCATGGCACCTTGTTGCGAGGGCGATGGTCAGTCCTCTATGCAAAGCACCGTCCTCTGAGCGAAGAGAAGCTATACTACTTGGCAGACGGACAGGCCATATTGGATATACAGGCTAAGGTGGGTGATGAGGGGCATAGACTTGACCAACTCGATCCCTTAAAGTATGCTCTGGATGACGGGGACTATGACAGTATCAAAGAGTACGCAATACTGGGTGGTGATGTGCTTGCTCTGGACGGTTCTGAGGACAATACTCTCCTCCACCTCCTCGTTGAGGGGGGACATGCAGACCTACTCGAGTATTTTACCGACAAAGTGCATCTTTTTGAAGCTCAAGGCTGGGTCCAGACAGATGAAGAAAACTGCGGCACGCTTCTTGGCACAGCCTGCGAGCGTGACCTCCCATCTTTACACATCATAAAGCTGCTCGTCGAGAAGATTGGTGTTGATGTCAATGCTGTCTACAACCGACGAGGATACTGCTACAAGATTCGAGGAGGCACCGCATTGCACATTCTCGCAAGCGGCAGTCGCTTTTGGCAGATTGAGGCGCTCGAGTATCTTCTCTCAAAAGGAGCCAACATAGAAGCGCTCAACAAAGACGGAATGACGCCGCTGCTGGCGGCCCTGGACCAAAGTTGGCCTGATGGTCACTGGCGAGAGGAGACGGTAAAGGTTCTGCTGAGACATGGAGCGGATGTGAATGCAACTGTGCGTGAGACGGAGGAATCGCGTGGATACACCAGTGGCCTCTCGGCGTTGGACTTGTCGGATAGGGGTGAGTTGACAAGGTTGTTGATTGAGAACGGAGCAGATACTAGACCTGTGCCGGGACTCATATCCCGCATGGTGGTGAAATGGCACGACCCTTTACAGATTGGAGTGCTTCTAGAAGCTGGACTGGATCCGAACGAGTTGCCAATGCCTAAAACAGAGAAGGAAGACGTGCGTTATGCACTACACGAAGCATGCCGTCCGGAAACAACAGCTGGTACCTACATGTACTCAGAGGCCGAAGTCCGTTCGCGAAAGGCAGCAATTACAGGATTGCTGCTCTCTTCTGGCGCGGATCCATTCGCAACGTATCCCGACGGAAGATGTCTGCTGCATAGTATCATCGAAGACCAGGGTCAACTGGACAACGTCCTCCCTCAACTCTCACAAAAGGATATCGACCGCAAAGAGAGCCAGCATGGACGCTCGCTTTTGACAGTAGCTTGCGTTCCGACTGTCCGTGTGGGACCACCAACTTACAGCAGAGAACCGCCGTGTCCGAGTATCATGTCTAATTCTGTCCTTGGTTTGTTGAAAAAAGGGGCTGACGCTCTTGCTGTCGATGATGAAGGACGAACACCTTTACATTGGATCTGCACTCTTCCTGGAAACTTCGATGAAGAACAACAGAAGGCTTTCCTCACGCTGATCGAACACGGCCCAGCCGCTGTTCATATGGCCGACAAGCAAGGCCGCAAGCCTCTCCACTTAGCACTGGCGGCGTATTCCGATCGCAGCCAAGAGTCTCTCTTTGCCATCAAGCATCTTATATCCGCAGGCGCTAATGTGAGCGAACCGGATCCCGTAACAAGCAACTCGATACTACACCAACTCGCGCCTCGTCTTGTCGGTCATGCCGAAAGGGCTGCTGAAGCCACCAAACTCTTCCGCGAGCTTTCTTCTAGTCTCGATATAAACGCCCGTAACAACTTGGGCGAAACTCCCGTCATGAGTTTCGCAGCTGCTGGATGGGAAGGCACACGCGACCCAACTAGAAAAGTCTCTCATCCCAGATATGCCATTGCCAACGACATCAATCATGCAACAGCCCTAAGTATCTTTGTCGATCTAGGAGCCGACCTAATGGCTGTGGATGCAAGAGGACAGACGTTGCTGCATATCACAGCAAGGCGAGACTTTCCAATCGATGGCTCGGATTGGGATCAACGTGATGATGTTATCAGTGCATTTGAGAAGTTGATGGAACTGGGTGTCGATCCGCGGAGAGAGGATGTTGAGCTGAGGACGGCGATTGATGTTGCTGTTGCGAGGAATGTACGTGGTATTATCAAGTTGTTTAGGCAGAAGGTTGAGAAGAAGGTGGAAGAGAGCGATAGTTGAGAGAGATTGGTAGTTATAAGTAGAAATAGCTTTAATGATGTGGATTGGGAGATCTTCGCATGTAAATAGTTTATTGGTAGACAGCTATCACCTGATGGTAACCTTTTTCGACTTAACTAAATGAAAGGAAAGGAGAGAAAAGAAAAATATCACTCAACACCCTAATTTCGTTATCCAGCATCCCAGCCGTGACTTGATTGAGCAATCAGCCACTTACAGTTTGGTATACCTTGCCTATCCAAACATCGTGTACTGTATACGTACTTGCTTTGGAATAGCGGAAGCGAAGGAGTACGAATTGAACTAATTGAGAAACAATAAAGCGGTAGACAGAAATGTCGGTTAGACAATCCAAGCTGCAAGTCTCTAACTCACAGGGGAGTTACCTATCTTTTTGTCCGCTATTGTGCCCAGATGTATACTTGAAGACGGTTATAGCTACGTGGAATTGAGAAGTATAACAATCACATCAAATCCTGTTAAGCAGTTGATAAATAGCAACCTTTATGAGTAGCTTCTACAGTGTAACCTAGTATCTCAACTATATTGCTGTACCATGTACAAAACATCATCTCTGTCCTATGCCTGCAAAGTTCTACCCACCCGAGCCGTCTCTAGTGCCCAATGAACTGTTCTTCTAACCATTTATGCTTTCCTTCTACAACCAATGATGCATGTGCTCAAGCTATCTGGCTGTTAGACGAGCCAAGCTCAAGCTCATGCTCAAGGTTGGATGAAGCGTTTGTACTTCGAAGTTTATCCCAGTACAGTTTCAGTTTGGGAAGAGCCAAAAAGAGTGCAAGAAAAAAAGCAAGACCTCCGAAAATGGCGGAAATCATTTCATAGTTCATGGTGGAGGGACTGGTGCTACTGTCGAGGTGTTGGGTGTTTGCCGTGTCTGCCAAGCGTTCTGGAATATGGTGAATATGCGTGACATTCTGCAGTTGTGAATCAGATAAAAAGTCTTCAATGGCGCATAAGGCCCGTGACCAGAAGACCAGTTGGTTCGATATGTCTCTTACCATTCTATATATTATGATTATAAATATGGCTGGTAGGTAACAGATGAAGCGGTGTTTGCAAGCCGATGCGACTGATGACGGGATCTGGGTCTTGAAAAAGTGAAGAGGGCATTACCAGCTTATATACCTAGATGGTCTGGCGTTAGCCAGTTGATGAGGGACGCTCCATGACGGCCAAGTTCTCCGGCACTTCTCTGAGGATCTTTCTCTGAGGATCTTTTTTGCTTAGCTTGCCATGCAAGGCAGAATCTATGTCAAGCCCTGCATGAAAGAAGCAGTTTTGACGGGGCTTAATGAGCTGTTTTCCCCATTTGGAGGGAGAGATGGCTTCCAGTAGAACCGGAGACCCCCCAACGGTGCTACTAGTTGTTGAACCACGGTAATAGGACGTGAAATCATCGGCTTTGTACCCACATGGTCGTGATCCTAGAGTGCATTCGCGTCTTCCACCACTCCATTACGTTCTAGGCCTGTTAGTTGTCAGGCTCGATTCAGCTGATGGGCTTATCACACCCTGTAACAGAAGGAATAGCAATATACGCATGATTTGCTGGTCTATAGGAACATGCCTGCGTTAATCCCCGCCTCTTACCGATCTTTATACGAAACGGAACCCCAGTCGTATTACAGCACTCCAGTTATAGCCCAGCAAAGCAGTTAGTCTATACATGAAAGGATTCAATTGTTGTATGCGCCAAGGAGTAGCGGCGGCAAGACGTTCTATGGCTGGGTACTGATTTACAGAACCGGGCCGCTGGATGACTTTTCTCTCAAGATCGAAAACGCCAAAATAATATATGCGATGTCGCTTCATCGACACTACCAAGCGTCAACTTTGATGAAACCCAACGAAATACTTTTGCGAACCTTTCTTAAAAAAAAAAACATCGCATCTTAAGGCACCTATGTATGAATAGATGTACGCTTGCTTCCAGCAGTCGAATTTCAAGGCGTGTTTATTTACACATCCAAAATTTCTGTAGTTAGATAGACGCCAAAAAACACTACCCTCTTAGTCGGGCAAGAATTTATTTATTCATAGGTACACGCCAAGTTTTCGAAAAACACTACCCATCAAGTGGTCTTATTCTTTCCAAGCACAGGATTGAGGGGCGTGTTTATTTACGCATCCAAAATTTCTGTAGTTAGATAGACGCCGAAAAAACACTACCCTCCAAGTGGGGCAAGAATTTTATTCATAAGTACACACCCAGTTTTCGGAGAACACTACCCATCAAGTCGTCTTATTCTTTCCAAGGACAGGATTGAGGGGCGTGTTTTTTTTTCCTATTGATGCTGACTAACTGGGTAAGCAACACACTTGCGGGGAAAGAAAAGACATGGTAGTCCTATCAGGTGCTATAGAAGAAGAGTCCAGTTTGAAAGATTATTAGCATTTGAATCAATGTCCAATTTATCAAATTTGAGCTTGGTTCAAATTGTTAGCGGCTCAGGTTTCTCTCACTGTTGGTGTTTATTAACTCAGCATTAAAGAGGACGCAAGGTTTATGCGAAGTTTAGCACGACAGCTTTTCAGCAGTCGCAATGTGAGGGATCACGAAATATGGCCATCGCGAGCGAAACCAAAGCAAGGTGAACAAACACAACAACTAAAAGGGTTGAGGCTCAAAGAGAAGCAGAAAGTGATACGACCGAAAAGTTTGATGATGATGAAGAGAAGAACTAAACTTTCTGCTGAGTGACAAGCAGAGGAGGGAACAACTGCTACAATAGTGGGGTCGCGAGACAAGCCGCCCGCAGCACTCTATACATTTACGTATGACTGTCGACTTTTGATGACCAATGAGCTTAAGCAAGAAGCTTAGATTCATGCGAAACTACGACCACGTGAAAACCTTTCTTCCCGTCATCAGGTACAACGTATGCCTGCGAAACAGATGAGATGCCATTTACATAAGAGTATTTATACTAGCCACGAGAAAATATGCTGCATATGAGTCTTAAGATACAAGAAGCGGGCAAATAGCGCATTGGTTTGAGTTTGAAGATGTAAGGAAGAGTGTCAATCCTTCAAAATTACTCATTCAAACATTTAGAACATTTGTATAGTACTTTTGGAATCGGAAAGAGAAGTAGTGTGAATTGAGCCAAAGAGATGATCTTTGTGGATGCAAACATAGAACCGCCCTTTTTGTAATAACTTACGATAGATGCCTTGTCATAAGAGATATTACTTGGTGCAGTGTCATCGGCTCAATCATTTGTTTGTTTAAATATAGAAAAAGTCGGTGTTACACCATGGCGAATGTAAAGTAATGGGGTATATTTGCAGCCATTTATACAGCTTCTCTTCTGAGCTTTCCATCCATTGCCGTCTATACCAAAGCTTACAAGCTCCTATTCGATCCCGATTCCCCTCGTTCTATATGCACCTATCCATTTTCCGTTCCTTCACACGTACAGACCAAGTTATAACAATAGGACTAAGCTTTAGCATTAGTCCAAAAATACTAAAAGTGTTTTTGTATTTCCAAGAAGCAGGAGAAATATGATGAAAATTTCGAATGCCGCTGCCAACTGGGTATTCATAGCTCCTTCTGCGGAGCCAGACGGCTTCCTGGGCGAGCAAACATCGGACTGCTGGGACGACTAGACGTCGAAGCCACGCCCTTGGCATCAAATGGATCGATGGCGCCAAGATGTTTTGAGGGCCCTAAGCGAGGGGTGCCTATAGGCGTAAGAAGACTTTCGATAGCAGGCTTTTCGAATGTGGCTACTCGAATGGCCGGTGGTCGAGCGCGAGAGGGGCTTTCTTCCGTTATACTATACATGTATGTTGCGAGTAGCACCAGCATCGTTCCTAGAAGAAACTGCATTATTCGTTAGCAAATCTGTGAGCCCTCGTTAAAGGGACATACTCACGGTAAAAGTGACTTCAAACTCAAAAACCCATACACTGACGAGAAAGCTCAATATGATGCTGATGCTCGTAGCAAAGTTTTTGACGATATTATCCGCATCCCTAATCACCAAGCTGGCCAATAAGCCGCCTGCCGCCTGCAAAATGACTGTCGCCCACACAATAGTGTTGTAGCCTTCAAAAAAGCCATGCTCGCGGATACCAGCTCCATCCTGCCACATGACGCCACCAAAAAGAGCAGCAATCATGGAGTAAAAACTCAGCTGCAGGTTTCGTATCCACACACTAGCCTGGGAGGAGTTTTCCTTGAGTATCTTCTCAAAGTAGACTCCAGTAAGACCGGAGACTGCCGCGGCGATGAGCACTGCAGTCACACCGACGGAGTAATTCATGGGGGGTTCGAGAGAGTGAAGATCGTAGTCAATGCCTTCATAGGTGGCAGAACGGCGCGTGAGATGCGCCGGCGCGTCGTCGGGAATGGCGTGGCCGAGCTCGTGGCGAGATCGAGGGAAGAAGTGGTCGGGCATGCCGTGGAGGAGAAGCGAATCGGCGCTGGGCACATTGGTGGTAGTGGATGAGCCGGGAAGAGAGACGACTGAGACGCCGAGAGTGAGAACAATGAGAGCGAGCCAGCGCTTGAAGCCGAGTGGCCGACTTAGGAGGTAGACGCTGAAAAGCGCAGTGGTGAGGATCTAGTTGTCGTTAGACATGACAAGAGCTTATTCAAGCTGTCATTGTTCCTTACCTTTAGCTGATACAAGACCTGGAAATGCACGGCATCCAGGTTCTCGATAGCCACATACTGCAGGATATTCTGCAGCGTGTAAAACACCCCGGGTATAATCAGCTTCCACCCATCGATCGAAAACATGGCATTGTAGATCTGCTCAAAGAGCACCGTCGCAGGCGTGCTGGGCGCCAGCGTCTTGGACGCCTCGTACAGGCACAGCGTCAGGGAAACGGCCAGCTTGATAACTTCGTGGAGGAAGACGGCGGTCGAGGGAAAGTATCGATGGTCGCCGACGGGAGGCATGATGCGGCTGTAGTGCATGATGAGGATGAAAGCCGAGTTTTGGACCGTGAGCTGCGAGACTCCGTTAGCAAGAAGAGATACGAGAGGAATTGAGCAGTTCTCACGCACCAGAATCAGCGAAATGGGCTTTCCAGAGCTCCCAGCCCGGATGGCCGAGCCTCCGCTGTCGAGCACCGCCATGGCGGGCAGATTTGAAGCGAGAAACCAAAGAGAAGTGATGGGTGCCAATTGCTTCTTTGGCGGATCGATGTGCTGAGCTTGTGGAAGAAGTATAAAGCAGCAGTTCAACCTGTAGCCAAGAGTAGCAAAAAGAGCGAAAGATCAAGAGGAATGAAGAGGCTGGTGGTGATTGCTTCGATCGGCTGTCCACGCGACACACCCCTCAGCTCGAATTCGATGACGCCAAGCTGGAGCTGACAGGAGCTTGAAAGAAAAAGCCACTGGGCAGCCCTAGGCGGAGAGTCGGGGCCGAAAGAAAGCTTGGCTCTGCTAGCGGGTGCTAAACCAACTAGAGCTGTCTAGTACTACAAGTAACACCAATTGCTCGCAGAGGCATTCAAGCAACGCCAACCAAGAAGACAAGAAAAGCAGAAAAGAAGCTATTACAATGGAAAAGTCTCTTCACTCATAACCACATTCATATATTCGTTTCCAAAACCTCTCCTGTCTTCCGTCCCTGTGCCTGGATGCGACGCATAACCCCCCTGAAGCCCCCCTGTAGCTCCAGCAGCCCACAGCGAAACAACCCACAGTGACGCACACCCACCAACACCAAAATCCACTGCACAGCGCCAGGACCCCAGATCTGCGGGGCAAGCTTTATACGGGCCTGGCCCTTTTTTGTTCCATTTCGGGTTATCGCTTTGCTTTCATGTTGATTTACATATTCGGATCTTGCTTGTTCGCTACTATGACCTCTTGACCCCAATTAACAATGCATGGATAAGAACACAGTAGTAAGGCAATGTGATTCGTAGTAAGCTGCAGCAATGGAAATGACCTGCTTTGCCAGAGTCTCACATGCGCCGGGACTTGTTTAGCTTGTTTCTTTTGGTGGCGTGTGTCACACATGTGGCGCCAGCTGAGACCCTGAAAGAGCGAATCTAAGGAGAGAGATATGCTTGAAGAAAATGAGAGGGAGTAGAAATGAAGAAAACAATTCAATTCATGCCTACAATTTCAACAATTACCATAGATTGCAACATCTTGTACAGACAATGCCGTAGAGCATTCGGACCTTACCGTTGTTGTCATTGTTGTCGTTGTTGTCGATGGCCATACCCATGTGCCTTTGTGTGACATCATCAGTAGCTGCTTCAGCAGTGAGACAGAAATGTTTCAAAACAACTCTCGCAGCCAACATATCATCTAAAATCGGCAGAACCAGTGAAAGAGAAGCAAGATAAAAATATCGACTGTATTTCCGGGTATATGTTTCCCTAGGTCGCCACCCCCCTGCATACACGACCGGACCAGCCTGTCACACAAAGAAAACAAAAAGATTCAAATTCCAAACTCCAAGCCCCTGTTCCCTGCTTATGACCAAATTCCCATATGCCGTTTGCCTTCCATGACCAAATCGTTTCATCGACATCGTAGTCGTCATCTCGCCAAAAAAAAAAGAGAGCCCAAAAGATCGTTGCTTAACTCATCGAAAAATTCCTCTCGTCAATCACAGTATGACCAGACTGCAAGCTAGGGATAGCATCCTGTCTGCTAAGATCGCGAGCCATCAGGTCCCAAAGCGCAAAGCGCTCGGCCATGTTCTCGTCAGGGTTCCTCTCTTGCTCCCGGAAGCTATCCCGCCGCTGCGGTCCAACCATCCGGCTCTTTCCTCTGAGGTTGAATCCCAAGTTGAGTTCGTAACCCCTCGCTTTCGGTCTTTGCGTGTATTCCGGGAGGCTTGGTCGGTGTGCATGTCGTGCATCTCTCCTGCGGTAATTCCACACGCTCTTTTGGGGAAGAAACATGCTGGCACTCATGGTAGGCACAGCCATGTCTCGCAGTGGTCGGCTGTAAAAGTCGCCTATGGCATCCAAATGGTTGAACAAGTCTTGGTGGCTCTTGCTTCGGAAGAACGATAACGACCCAATGTCAAACGTTGGCGATATTCCTTCTAACCCTGTCTTGTACATGTTGCTCAGCTGTGATGCAAATGCCTCGGATGCTGATCCTGTGTCTTCGCTATCACTCAAGTTATTGCCCTGTCGCCAGTCAGTATTAACAAAGCCAAGACGACCGAGACTGCCCCGGATCATCGAGCTGATCAAGTCAATCCACGTTATGGCGGCGTCACCAGGAGTATCGAGACTGTCATCTTCGTTCGTCGGCCTATTGGGTGCGTGGTGGACGTCGTGGCCGCCCAAGAACCAGGACACATCCGCATCTGCGTGCAACAGATCAGGATGTTGGTCGATGAAAGATTTCACTGGCTGCGCATGACTTCGCATCTCGTTCTTGTCCAGTGAAGCCTCGTTAAAGCCGTAAGCAATCTCGTGGTCTCTCATAAAGCGGAAGACATCAAATGTGATGTCGTGAGTAAACTGCGCCTGCTCTCGATGATGAGCACAGATAGCACGGCACTGCAGAAAGGGGGTAATGGTTCAGGTCCAAGGTCACTTACGCCAGGTTCAATTCTCCAAAACCAGTCATAGTCTCTGAGTCGCTTTTCGCTGGCAAACGGACCCGAGTTCCAACGCGAAGTTTGACCAAGGAATGACGTCGACTGGTCAACTTTGGAGGCGTGATCGCCATCAGTTGCATCTCTTGGCATCGCATCGCAGGCAGACGATGGCTTGGCATATTGTGACGAAGCCAAGTTATGCTCAGAGATGACTTCGTAAATGCAGATGGCGCCGGTTGCGTTTGACGTTTGACGCCTGAATTCTTCGCTCAGAGGCTGGATGCTGAAGAAGACCCAGTGATAGTGGTATCGGTGGTTGAATGTCTCTTCGAGCTGCGACATGGAGGACAGGACAGCGGGTAGATCACGCTCGTGGGCGAGTGAGACGAAAGCTGCTTTGGGTCGTTGATCAGCAGCAGTAGAAATGGCGAGGCCATGCACGAACGATGACAGTTGGATCAACAGAAAGATCCAAGCCATGAATGACATAGTCCAACGATGTGAAGCGTTTAACGTGCCGCGTTGCTTTGCCATGATGAGCCTCGAAACGACGAGAATGGAAGAGAGGCAACAAACTCGATAGCTGCGACGGAAGATGGGAGATGGAAGAAGCGAGCTGTTCGGCCGTTGTGTGTGTCACGGCGATGTGATGGGAAGCGGGCTGGGGAGAATGAATAGGGTAATACGAGATAGAAGGGAAGAAGAGAAAAGGAGAAAAGGTAACAAGAATTCAAGAATTCGCAAGAAGTGAAAGAGAAGTGTGGCGAAGTGAAAGTGAGCGACAGGCTGGTCTGGTGATGATCCAAGGAGCGGAAGTCAGAAAGTCGAAAACAACGAATGAAGAAGGGCGAAGAGACGAAGAAGAGAAGAGAAGAGAAGAGAAAAGGGACGAAGTTCAAGTAGCAGGCGGCAGAATATAGAACCGGTGAAGCGCTGGAGTTGGCAGCTGGAGGAGGAAGGCAGTATGGCTGCCAGCTGGCGGCGGTTATGGCATGTGATAGTGAACATCATGGGCTACTATAGCAGCAAAAACGTTATTTCGTTACAAAACGAATCTTTTGATAGTATCATGAATGCAATTGTGAATACAGAGAGCTCATACTCATACAGTTCTACCAAAGATGCAAGAATCAAGATATCAGGGCAGATCAGCGTTCATCCTCTACTCTTCGTCCATAGCCAGCACCTCAATGCATCAACATTAAATAGACATATACAACCCAACAATCCATCAGCAGAGATTGCCGTACCGCAGCATTCATAAGGGATATAAAGGCATAGACGTGCAGCGCTCGCACCAAAAACATTAGAGGCCAATGCTTTCTCTCCCCTTTCCTCCAAAAATAAAATAAAATAAAAATAGAATCGCCTAAAATAGCTTATATCCATTTCCCTTATCCCCCCAGCGCCAGACTATTCCAGTATTTTCAACACACACATAAATAGAGAGACATTTAAACCCATCCGCCCTCTCCCCTCGGAACCTTTTTCTACCTTTAATCTTAGGTACAAGTTCTTTCACGCACAAGTGCCAAATCCAATTAAACAAACACAACGATGCTTGATATATGTGCGTGCCGCCATGCCACGCTCATTGCTGTTATTCCCTCTTCTCCTTTATGTTTCATGTAGATAGTTGGTTCTATGCCTCCACGTCCATGGAGTCGACGTCTGCGGAGACGTTGTCCAGGTTCAAGTCTATGAGTCTTGCGTATTGGGCCGTGACACGTTGTAACTCGCGGAATTTGCCTAATCATCATTGTTAGTTTGTGGTCAAAGGAGAGAAAAGACTGGAAGTGTCATACCGAGGATAAGAACTACTCCCTTTAAGAGTTCTTTTCGATCCCATCCGCATAGCTGCTCATCCGAGCTGTACCACCCACGACTGACCGTCTTCTCAGACTCCTTCTCTTCAAGAACGCCACCCAGCAAGCTGTTGAGAAGCTCCTCTACTTTACCCCTAGCCCCTTCAGCACCCAGGCGCTTGGCGTACATGAAAAGGTATAGCCTGAACTCGTCGCTTGCTCCCAGTTGCAGGGCACCAGCAATCCGATTCTCCAGATGGGCGATGCTGACGCTGCTTTCCAGCCCCTCGGATCCAGACTTTTGCATGACCGTCTTGATAATGCGCTGTAAAGCATATGCTCTCCCCTTGAGAAGGAACTCGTTGGTCGTGTGTCGTTCCAGGAAGGGAATGATCCCGGAAGATACGGTAGCGGCATGGCTGCCCTTGTCCTTGTCTTCTTTGGAGTTGGGCCCAACAGCTGTGGACTGAAGGGCGGAGATGGATGAGTCGTTCGAGTTCCAGTATTGTGAGCCGACAGCCCACCATGCCTCGCTCAGTCGCTGCCAGGTATACATGTCCCGGGCATAAAAATAGCCATCGCCGTTAGTGAGGGTTACGATAATATGGCCGGTGGAATTGAGGTGAGCAGACGTTACACCGGGGCCAGGCGTGGCTGAATGCTGGTTTAATGATGTCGTGGCAATGTCAAGGATAGGGCCGACAGATACGGGCGGGTGAGGGGATGATTGAGTCTTGAGGTCCCAAACATGGACCAGTCCCACCGCTGTAATAGCCATCAGCCAGTAATCTCTGCATTCGAGAATGACGGGCTGGGACTCTAAGATGATGGGATTTAAAAGGCGCCTGCCGGCGGGCGTCCAGACGTGCAGTGAGCCGTCCTCGCAAGCTACAGCCCAGAAATATTTGCTTGCAGTCACCAGGATGACGGCTCGAGGCATGAATTCTTGCCATACCAAGACCCCTCTCTTCGTTACAAGAACGTGGGCTGGATCACGCGGGTTAGGGTCGTTTTTGGCCTCTAGGATGATGTTCTCAGGGAGCTTTGATGCGTCGTCTAGTGATGCCGCATCCGGTTGAAGAATGCCTCGCTCGAGTGGTCGCAGGATGTGAGATCGTATCTTGGGAACTGCAAGGCGGACTTGAGCGTAAGAAATAGAAGGGTTCAGAACAGCCGGACGCAGAAATTCTGGGGTTGGAACAACGCCGTGCTCGACGGGCACCAGTGCCGCATACTCTAGACCGTCAGCTCCATTGGTTACAACGGCTGTAGGGCCACCCGCTGTCCGCTTGGCCACAGGCTCTTCGTCATCGTCCATGTCAGCGTTATTGACACGGCGCTTGTTTCCAAGCAACATGGCAACAATGCCTCCCTTTGGTAATCCGTCAAAAGGCTTGCTAAGATCCAATATCGTCTGTGGAGCGTCGTTTTGTGTGTTCTTTGTCGTCGTTGACCCAACAAGTTGGCTTTGAGGGAGAGAAGACTGTCCTGTCCCAGACGATGAAACCAGCAGCGGCGCCACTCGTTTTCTTCCATCTTTTCCGACTGTCACTCGGGACTTTAATTCGCGGACCCGATCAGCCGTCTTGTCCGCCGCCTCTTCTGGCTGTTCACCCTTATCCTTGTCCTTTTCCTTTTCTTTATCTCTGTCAGAGTCTGCGTTTCCATTGGTAGCCAACTTGTCAGTAACCGGTGTAGAAGATTCAGCTTTACTCCCCTGGGTGGCTGGAGTAGACTCCTTTGCTGATTCAGGCTGGAAGTCGCCCATAAGAGCGCCCATTCTTGACTGCACCGCTCTTGATTCGCCGGCCTTACTGTGCTCTTCCAGCATCAGCCCATCCACATCTTCAGCAATGCCCATGCCCTTCCGAGAGCCACCGTATTTCTGTAGTGCCTTGGCGTTCTCCTCTTGCTGGGCCACCCATCCCAGCTCGCCCTCGTCAAATTTGGCCACAACCACGCTGCCGTCTAAGCTGGATGCAAACAGGGTCTGGCCATCTGGCGTCCAGGCCAAGTCAGAAATGGATTTGCCTGCCAGGTCCTGAAGAACGACCACAGGCCGGGAAGTGTTGGTGTTCCAAATACTAAGAGTCTTATCCTGGCCTGCAGATGCTATAACAGTAACCAGCTGTCCCCCATGACCATTTGCCGCCCCGTTCTGTCCAGGCTTGACCGTGTGGAAAAGTCGTGGCGAGAACATGCACACCTCAGTTGGCGCCTCGTGCCCAATTAAGTTGATCTCGCTGTCCCATCTCGTCCGCTCGATAATGGCGACAGAGCTAACTGGCCCATTCACCGCATTGGCGGCTGCTATGTGGTTGCCGTCAGGAGACCAGGAGCACCGGCGGAAATATGTGGTCAAGGGAGAGCTCTTAAAGGGGGAGCTGATGGTCGCATCGAGGACAAAATTGTTAATCATGTCGTGCTGCGTCGCATTCGGCGCGGGAGGGGTGAAGCGGAAGATTTTGATGGTTCGGTCGTCGCTGGCCGTGGCGAAGAACTTGTTGGCCGGGTCAAACGTGATGCCCTTGACGTGGCTCTGGTGCGCGGGGATCGACTTGAGCTTCTCAAACGTGTGGCCCGACCAAACGACGACCTTGGAGTCGAGCCCGACAGACACCAGCAGCGACGAATCGTAGGACCAGGCCAGGTCTTGGACGTCGTTCTCGTGGCCGATCAGGCGCTTGTACGTCTTCCAATTCTCGACGGGCGGCGGGTCGTTGGTGCCAAAGGTGGGCGCGGGCGGCCCCTTGTCCAGATGGTAGACGCAGATGAGCTTATCGTCGGCGCCGCTGGCGAGATACCGGCCATTGGGCGAGAAGCGCACCGAGTGGATGGTGCCGAGATGGTGGCTCATGTGGCAGAGCTGGCGAGGCTTCTTGTAGCTCTCGTCGTCGGCGTGATAGACGGCCTCTGTCGACCAGATGCGCACATGGCCGTCGCCGCCCGCCGTGGCTATTCGCTTGCCATCGGGCGAGACGTGGCAGCTGTAGACCTCGAAATCCTTCTGCTCGCCGCTATGGCTAAGCCACGAGGGCTTGATGATGCGCATGTCGAGGGGAGCGCGCGGTCATCCAGGTGATGATGGCAGAGATGAGTTTCGGCCCTAAATTCGTAGTCTCGGTTTAATGCGATTCGAGGGATGCTGCGATTGGAGGTTGAATGGCTCAGTATTTTGAATTGACTGTGGTTTAGCCCAGCTCTGCTGGAGCCGAGAAGGACGCGAAGGCGCGTTTTCGCAGCTAGGCTGTTTGGCACCAGATGCTACAAGTTCCAATGGAAGCGGTGCTAAGAATGATTGGCAACCGGAACAAGTTTATTGCGGGGCTCTGCTTCTTACGCTTCAAAGTCCTCAGCTGGCGATGCCTTGGACGGAAATGACATCATGCAGTGAACATACAATGCAGGGTCTTGTGTATGAATCGTAAGATATCAAATGTGTACATTAACATGATTATGGACTAAATAACAGATGGTCAAACAAACAAACACCAAAACCCAAGGCTATTTTTCCCTCCAGACGCCGCAATTCGAATAAAGTACAAGTATACATAGTAGATACGTATTCGGCATCATTGGCGTGAATCATTCGTATAACTCTCAAGTCGCATTCATCAAACCCTCACCGTGGAAGGTTTATTCATCAGTCTGTCGACGCCCTCTGGCTCAGGAATGGTTTCTGCAGTGCTGCTTGCGTCAAGCTGGAAAGGCCGGTGGCTGTCGGGCTCACTGCTTTGATCAAGCGATTCCATTGTCTCAGTCGTTCCGGTAGTGCTTGTAGACCCAACTCTGGCAGAGCCTTGACACTCCACTGGATCCAGCTCCAGATCCGAATTGTATCTCAAAATGGATCCTGCCACTCCCTTGGCAACGTATTTTTTGATGATCTCGGCAAGCTCGTCGTCCAGCGTCTCAATGTCGCGCACCAGCGATCCCAGCGCGTGCCATCCGACCACGTTCTTGGCTGCGTTGTTCCAGGTGCTGGCTGCGGCGCATACGCAGTTCATCTCAAATTCGAGGACTTTGCGATATAGCTTCAGCAGGCGTTCCCTCACTCCGGCTTGCTCTCTGTTGAAATCGGCGTCACTCTTCCATCCGCTGGCGAGCATCAGCTCTGATAAGTGCATGTACCACGGGATGCGTCCAATGACATGCACCGCACCGCGCTTCATGCCGTCAATCTGCATTGTCGGGCCAAGTAGAAGCTGCCAAATTTAATTAGTTTCAGCAATACACATATACAGACACATAACAAAGAATCTTACCGGTGTCAGAATAGTAATGCCAGACCAGGCCACGGCGGTGGAGGGATAGTCGGCCCAGACAGACTTGATTATCCTCTTGGACATCTTGACCAAGACTCGAGCATAGTTGTCTATCGGGCAATTGGCGCCACGACACTTGCGCAGTCCCGATTCGGTAATTCTGATCAATTGCTTCAGTCTTTCGTCATCTGAGCGCGGGAGTGTCTGGTTGATCCCGCCAATGGACTGATGCGGCAGTTCCTGGCACAGGATGGATTCGTAGACCGTCACTAGACCAGCAGACCTCAAGTTGTCGCGTATGGAGTTGTAGGCGGCGGTCCAGAGCTCGAGGGAGATTTGCGTGTGTCGTCCATATCCCTTTGGCATGGCGAAGCTGGCGGATGGTGACGGCCCTCTGTAGGTGCCCAGCCATTCAGGCGTGGCGACGCCGCTGCCAGCATCTGAGTCGTCGGGATTTGACGTGTGCGCATGGGAGCTGTGATGGAGAAGCCGGCCGACCAGCTTCCTGAGGCGGCCGGTGTCAGCGTCGGTGGTCTTTGTCATTTGGCTGACTCGATGATGTGTGCGTGTAGTATGTTTTCAATGTTGGTTCGCAGACAATGTAGGCGCATGTAGAAATATTGGTTTTACTGTTGCACCCTCGCGAGGCAGAACCATGGCGAAGATGTAGATTCAGGCAGGCATACCTCCATGGAAAACGCCGGGTGGGCGATGGCGCATTGATATCCCAATTTTTTAATAGCAAAATGGCCACAACAAGCTTCGGGCTACCGGCAGGTCGGCTCGCAGTGACGTCTGGTGGTGCGCCAGCCCACATCAGCTCCGGCTCAGGGCCGGTTCACAGCCGGTTCGGGCTTCGGCCATCGGGATAAGCACCGCGGCTGAAGCCTTTGAGGCGTCAAAAATGATGGCATCATGCTTTCCGGTTCCGACGAGCGTGGCTTGCAGCTCCAGGCGCCCAATTACTTTCACCCCCAGATTCCGGGAGAGATGGTGGGCTGCTATTGCTGGAGAGATCTCCGCGGCTGGGTCTGCCATGTGTCCCGGGATGGGCGTGGATACACTGTCCAGTACCCGTAAATATCCGTGTATTCGCGTCAACGAGCTCGGTCAAGGGACTCAGCTACGGACGAAAAGGACTAAAAGCGAATGCCCACGAAGAGGGTCGAGAGCAAAAAGCTGGAAATGCGGGGTGGAATCATCGGCCATGACGAGCTTCAGAAACCAGAGGAACGACCATTACGTTGCGATCTGGGCCAAGCAGGGAAGATTGGCACCTAGCAATGGTTAATGTATGGGGATATGGAGATGCTATGGAGAAATTTGTAGTCATCCAGAGCCACAGCTGCGGTGTAGCGAGAAACAGGGTCTGAAACAAGGCCAATCAAAAATGCACATCGCAACTTTTGCATGTTTCGCACGAGGCATCGAATCATAGGCCGTCGTCTGCCTTCTCCTGGCCCTCGGCATCGTCAGCATCGCCAGTGCCGTAAGGGACGCAGACGGCCTTCTAGGGAACACGGCGTCTTGTCTTTCCACCTTCTACTTTGGACGAAAAGAAGGACAATCTCCATCCCGCCACCGCTGAATCGTGCACCTTGCAGGCTAGTCCTCCCCGGCAATCTTGCCTCGATTTGGTCGCCTTGTTTAGAAAATGTGAGCCTAAACCCATCACGAACCGCTGGGCCACCCACGTTTCGGCACCACGCAGCGATCGCCCATAGTTTGTGCGCGCAACACAGAAACAGGCACAACCCGCTGCAGATGATCAGCGTTACTCGGGCCCTGAGGACTTTTCCCACTCGCCCTTTAATTTCCAGCACAGGCCGTTGGAAGCCTGTGCGACCGGTATTTGATGGCACTAGCCGTGGCTGGTGTCCTGAGCGCGCCTGGACTAATCAATATGGAGGCGGATGGCACGGGAAAGGGTGTCGAGGAGACAAAGAAACTGGAATTGATTGGGCAACAGGTTGATGAAGCCAGTATGAGCCCATCATCACACGTGCTCTCAAGCAGTTGAATGAATGTCGCCGTCGGGTTATAAAGACGCTATCTACTTATCCTTGCCTGCGGTCTGGAGCTGCTGTGTTCTCCTCACTCGGGATGATAAGTCAACTTCAAGGGCCCATGTACGATTCCGAAGAGCTGAGCTGAGCACATTATCTGCAGGTTCATGCTGCCCCATTCGTTTCGTTTCTATTAAGGCTGAGCCATTGTCCCCTTCTATTGTCTGGCCGGCTGCCAGGTGTTAAAGAGGCAGGGACTCAAATACTGCCGCTGGAGACGGCTTCTCACCGCACACGTACAAAAAGAAACCTGGAAATCTCTGCTTCCTTGCTTTCTCCTCTTCTTCCCTCCCCCTTTCCTCCAATCACGCGTGCAAGTTGCCTTTGTTCTTCCTCGTGCACTCAGCCGGCTGCCACTTATAAACCTCAACAAAGCACTCGACATTCGTTTCCATCTCAGTAATTCCAACAACTACAACAGCATCACTTCACAAGCAAAGATCAAAACAGCCTTTCCCATCATGAAGTCCTTCACCATCATTGCAAGCCTGGCTGTTGCTGCTGGCGTGAGTGCCGCGCCTGCTGGATTCCAAAACAGCACGGGCATCACCTGGACCCCAGCGCCCTCGGATCAAACCACCTGCGATCCATCCAGCTTCGCCCAGGCCCCCGTGAGCGATGCCGCCGACTGGCGCTTCTGCGCGGCCCTCTCGAGCGCTTGGTCCAGCACCAACGGCACTTTCAGCATCCACGACGTCTCGGGCACCAACTACATGCCCGTCCTCAAGGAAGAAGGCTGCACCTTGGGAGTCAAGGCCTCGGAGCAGGGTCAGGGTCCCTACACCATGGGAGACCAAGACATCAAGGCGATTCTGAGGATTGCGCTGCAGAACTACTCGGATGGAACCGATCTCTCTGTCGAGGGCAACGTCAAGTGCAACGTTGCCACTGGCGGCCGGGCTGGTCTGAAATGGCAAATCTATGGCCAGTAGACATGCTGCGTGCTTGTCTATGGATGGAGATGAAGGAGATGTTTCTTTTTTGCCGCTTTTCTCGGCCATGGCAGCGCACTCTTTGATCTGCCATTTCACGGTACGACTGCTGCGATGAAGATATAGGTATCCATGAAGTAGCGATCACTAACTTTGGATTTCTAGGACTGGAATTAGCTGTTTCGACGACGAACGAGCAGGGCGTTTAGGGAAGGCGGACGGCGTTGATACATGTATGGGCTCGTCACAGAAGCCAAATGCTATGGTTAGCCAGCACAAAAAGACAGAAGATAATGATATGACACATTTCTTAAGTTCGGAGCATGCTCTTTTGTCTCCTTGACCGTGATTTTCGCTGGAGCTACTTCTAGCGGCAGGTCGAAATAAAGGTTTTGTTCTCAACACTTTTACTAGGCCATGATGTAGACATACAAACGTGGTTCTTCTTGAGCAAAGAGTGGAGTGATGAAACATGCATGCAGGTACATGTGAAGTGCAAATAGAGCGACTCCACAGAATCCTTCGAGACAAGATCTCATCTGCATGGCATCTATGAGTGCACCTGAGCTGCAGCCTAGTTGCCATCGGCCAATGTATCTCACAGTTGGTGTTTGCAACTGGGTATAACTTAGGGCTAATGGTGTTATACAATAAAATGCACGATATATCGAGCCTTTGATATATTGAAACCGCATTCTTGTTGATGCTCCTTCTGCGCCTATTTATATACGCTCATGTTCATTTGAGGAGTTCACCTCCAACACCATCCAGCATCTTGCCTAGACACCTTCCTTTCAAGCGCTGCGTCAATCATGCTCCAATCGATTCATGCACAGGTTTTGCTTGAATTGAACATACTGACTTGCATTAATTGGGCCTATTCCAATGCAAATGCCCAAGCTTTCACTTTAATGTTAATATCGTAGCTGGTTCAGGGTAGCCGAAGGAGATGACAAAGATTGCCGTGCCCGTTTACTGGCTGCGAAATCTAGTGGCCATTGGCTAGGCGCAGAAGCCCACTAAGAGCTGCAGTAACAGCTGGCAAAGCGGCCTGTGCGCTGCCAGCTTCACTTCCAAGGTTTACTTCACTGGAAGCTCAGAAGCCTTGCCGCCCAAACGGGCTAGGCTCAACCAGGCCCTCTATTATGCTCTGCTGCAGCAACTCGATGCGCGCGAGCCTCGTCGCCTTCCAAACTTCTTTTCATCCTCTCCTTCGATTTCGATCGCCCCATCGATTGCTGGTGCCGAGGGCCGTCGACGAGATTGAAATTTGGCTACTACGACCTTGATTGTCTCCTTCTACCCGATTTCTTTTCTTTTTTTCGCAGTCATTTCCTCGTCTTTTCTCTTCTCTTCTTTGTTCCTTTGTTCACCCGTCGCCGCGTTTCATCGACATTGAAAAATTCTACGACAAAAACGCCAGATTCACGTCGCCTCTTTCTCCCACCAAGTGATGACGAGACACGCAACGTCATTGTCCACCTAGAATCCAGGGCACAATGGCGGCTGCTCCAGTCGACGTCGCCTACATCGCGGGCCACCTCGGGCTCGACCAGCCTGTGGTGGCGTCCTTGACGACACAGCCCACCGTTGAGCTGGTAACTACTCTGCTGCAGGCCGTGGCTGCCAAGGCCCACGAGTTCGAGACCCTTTATGCAGAGAAGCTTCAAACAGACATCGAATTGGAAAACGCCGTTCGGAGTTCCGAGACGAAATCTCAAACCTTCAAGGGGACTGCGGAAAAGGCTCTCAAGGATGTCGAGGAAGCTAGACAGCGCCTCAAAGAAGAGGGTACGTGTTTTCCTGCCTGACGGTGGCCCTGATGCCGCGTTCTGTTCTTGTCTAACCGTTGTGCGCGCTTTAGAAACCAAACGACAGTCTTTGGAAAATGATCTTCAAAGCTTGAGAGCCAAGTACTCCGACCACGATGCCGAAGTCAAGGCCCTCAACGACAAGATTGAGACTCTCCAATCTTCGAATCGAACGAATCTTGGCATCATCGAATCTAATAACAAACGCGACCAGACCTTGACCGACGAACTCACCAAGCAGCACCAGCGAAACGTCGAACTCGCCCGCGAGCTAACGACCCTCCAGCAGTCCGAGCAAAACGCAAAGGGCCAGCTTAACAGTGCCAAATATCGGCAGGAGGCTCTTCAGCAGCAGCTCGACTTGGCCCGCCAGAATGCCGAGTGGCTCGAGACCGAACTGAAAACCAAGAGCGACGAAGCCCTAAAGTACCGCAAGGAAAAGGGCTCCAAGATTGCCGAGCTTCAGAGACAAAATGAAGACGCCAAGGCTCAAATCGATGCTCTTCACCGCGCCGAACAGCAGCTACGCGAACGACTCAATGCTATGCAAGCAAAGGCCGATGACGCCCTTGTCAAACTGCAAAAGCAAGAGGGCTCGTTTGCTGCGACCGTCGAGAGCTACAAGCAGGAATTGGAGGACCAACGCCGCCTTGTGGACATGTCTGAGCAGCTGAGCAAGAAACACCAGGAACGTGTACGTGAACTGGAGTCGGAGAAGGAACGTCTCAAAGACAGCTACGAGAACGAACTTCGGCGCGTGCGCCTTGAGCTGGAGTCGGAGCGCCGTGTCACCAGCGACATGGAAGAACGAATCCAACGATTGCAGAGCGACCTAGACGAAGCCCAAGTCCGCATAGAGCACGCTCCTGTAGGATCTGCACCGCAGACGCCTCAGTTCAATGGCTATGTCGCCGGACGGGCCAACTCTCCTTTTGGAACTCCAGGTTCCGCCCGAAACAAGTCCACCATCACCGCCACACAGGCAATCGAGCAGCTTTACCAGGTAAAGGGCCAGCTTGCTAGCGAGAAGCGGCGCAACCAACAGCTTGGCGAGGAGCTTGACGGCATGATTGCTGCTCTGGAGGCCAAAACGCCAGAGATTCAGGAACTTCAATCTGAAGCGGAGACTCTTCGAAACGAGATTGCTCACATGTCTGAGCTTTCGCAGCAGAGTTTCGAGGAGCGAGATGCAGCAAGAAAAGCAGCAAGGAAGGCGGAAAGTACGCTTGCTACGGCCCAATCCGAAAGCAAGATTCTTCGCACTCAACTGCGAGATTTGGGCACACAGATCCAGATGCTCGTCTTCAACATCTATGCCATTGAAAAGGGCATGAGTCAATTAACAGAGGAAGAAAAGTTCCGTCTGCAGCAGCTCGAAAAGGGCGAAATCACCGAAGAAGCCTTGTCCGATATGTCGGATACCCACCAGTTCATCACTCAGAAGTTGGTAGTTTTCAAGGATATCAAGTCGCTACAAGCCAAGAACGAAGACTTACTGCGCATCACCCGAGAACTTGCGGAGCAGATGGAAAGCGAGGAAGCGCTGGCTGCGAAGCACCAGGCCAAGGAGGATCACGACTTGGTGGAGAAACTACAGCAGGATCTCGCTCATATGGTGGAAGAGATCAAGTCTGCTAAAATCACAATGGAGAGCTACAAGATGGAGCGTGACATGTTCCGGCGACTTCTTCAGCAGCGCGGCGCAGGCGAAGATCCTTCTTCTTCTCTCATGCGCCACTCTATTGGAGGAGGAATGCCCGTCACCAGCATTGAGTCTGTGGAGCAAACTGAGACGTTGACAGAAGCCTTGCGCAAAATTCAATCTGAATACGACAGCTTCCGAGACGCCCAAGATGGTGCACGAAAGGACTTTAGAGATCAAATCAATCACCTGACGGCAGAGAAGAATTCGCTTCAGACTGCCAACATCAAACTGCAGGGTGAGGCCAGACTGGAATTTGAGCGACGAGAGATGTTGCAGAGCAATTATATCGCGCTCCAGAATGAGAACAGTGAGCTCCAGAAGCGAACTCAAATACTGTCTGAGACTGCCGCCAAACAGGACATTCGTGTTCAGCAAGTTGCTGAAGAGCTTGTGGAAGTCAAGGGCCTCCTAGACAGCATGCGAAACGAAACAGCCAACTTGAAGGCGGAGAAGAAGCTTTGGAAGGATATCCAGGAGCGAATGAGCAAGGACAACGACTCTTTGATTGAGGAGAAGAACAGGCTGGGCAACCTCTTGACCGCTCAGCAATCCCTCGAAAATGAGCGCAATATTACCGAATCCGAGGCTCGCCGCAAGGCTCAAGCCAAGATTGAATCCTTGGAGCTTGAGCTGAGTACCGTGCAAAAGAAGCTGTCTCAAACCTCGGATGATATTCAACACCTGCAACAGAGGAAGGAATACGAGGCTAAGGAGTCTCAGAAACGAATTGACGATCTTATGACGAGCCTGAGCCAACTTCGAGAAGAGCATGTCAGCGCCAAGACAAGCCGTGATCATCTTCAAGCCCGCGTTGACGAATTAACCGTGGAGCTGCGAAGCGCCGAAGAGCGTGCCGGCCGCCTGCAGCCCCGTCCCACGCCTAGATCAGGCCTCATGACTGATAACAACTTGCGTCAACAAGAGCTTGAGGCCGAGGTTCAAGACCTCAACAACGACATTTCAGACCTCAAGCGTGATCTCGACATGGCCAACACGCAACTGGAAAATGCAAAGGCTCAGGCTGAGCAGTACAAGGAACTGAGCCAGGGCAACGAGGAGGCGCTGGAAGATTTGCGTGCATCGCAAGACCAATACAGACAAGAGATTGAGGTTCTCATTCAAGAAAAGGACAGCAAGATCAAGGAGCTAGGTCAACAGATTGAAGACTTGTCTGCTGAACTCTCACGATCCAACACCGAACTATCCAGCATTCGCGACTCCCAAGGCGAAATTGCACGAAAGTACGAAGACGAGAAGACGATCTTGGAGGACGAAGTTAAGCGACTCAAGGAAGAAAGCAGCCGACATATTGAGGCTGCCCGATACCATCAGCAGGACTTGCGTGCTCAAGCTGAGATTGCGTCAAAAGCCCAGCAGGACTACGAAAAGGAGCTTGTCAAGCACGCCGAGGCTGCCAAATTGGTTCAACAGCTTCGCACCGAGTACAACGAGTTCAAGCAAGAGTCGGCATCGCTGCGCGCCGAAGCAGAGTCTGCCAAGGTTGCACTCGCGCAAAGTGAAAGCTCATGGGAAGACCGGAGGCAGCAGCTGGAGCAGGAGATGGTCGAACTCAAGCAACGACGCGAGGATGCCAACGCTGAGAACAAGCTTCTGCATAAGCAACTGGAGAGCTTGACTGCCCAGATTGCAGATCTGCAGCACATTCGCAACGACAAGGCCGATGAGGACGAAGCCACGCCGGCCATTGGCGTAGGCGATGCTATTGAGGGCATGCGAGAGCTCAACGGATATCTGCGCCGTGAGAAGGAGATCCTGGAAGTTCAGTACGACATGAAGACCAACGAGTCGAAGCGACTACAGCAGCAGGTCGAATATCTGCAATCACAGCTTGATGAGGCGCGTCTGAAGCTCGACCAAGAGCGCCAGTCTTCGCAGAGCGGCAACACCTCCATGGCCCACAAGGATCTCATGGACAAGCTGCATGAACTCAACCTCTATCGCGAGAGCAGCATGGCTCTCCGGACGGAGAACAACCAGCTAAAGGATCAAATATCTGAGAAGAACAGGAAAATCGAAGAGATGGTCCAGAGCATTCAGCCTCTTGAAGCTGAGATTGAGAACCTAAAGACACAGAAGTCCTTCTTGGAAGAAGAAATTAAGCAGATTCAAGCAGACCGTGACCGTTGGCAGAAGAGGACTGAGGGTATCCTGACCAAATACGGCCGCGTTGACCCAGCCGAGATGGAGCAGCTGAAGCAGACCATTACCGACCTCGAAACGGAACGGAATGCTCTCAAAGAAGGCGCAGGGCCCCTCCAGGCGAAGATTATTGAGCTCGAGTCGACGCTTGAGACTGAACGTGCCAACTGGCTAAATACTCGATCAAAACTCACGGAACAGTTCAAGGAACGATCTCGCAAGCTCACTGGCGAAAAGAACGAGCTTAACCAGCGAGCGACTAGCTTACAGGAGCAGCTTGACAAGGTGGCCAATGATCTTGCCGGAGCACAGAAGCAAGTTGAGCAGTCTGTCGAAGAAAAGGCAGAGCTGTCGAGACAAGTTCACTCTTTCCAGCAAAAGGTTGAAGAGCTTCGCCGACAGGCTCAGCAAACGCAGCCTGCAGCTACGCCAGCTGGCCAACAGCCGCAGTCTGATGCGACCGCATCGTCAGAAGTTGTTACTGTGCTTCAGCAACGTCTTGCAGACGCCCAAAAGGAACTGGAAGCAGTCAACGCCCAGAAACTAGGAGCGGAACAGCAGCTCGAAAGATTACGAACCGAATTGCAGACGGCTACTTCGGAGCGTGATGGTGCGTTACAGAAGCTTCAAGAAGCTGCCGCCGCGGGTGCGCCATCTGCCGATGGGCCACCTATTTCAAACGTTGACGGTGCAGAGCCCCAAGCTGTTGCAAATGGCTTGTCGGATGCCGAGAGAAGATCGCTGGAAGAAAAGGTGGCCGCAGCTGAAGCAAAGGCTGCTGAGTACGAGCAAAAGGCCAACGAAGTTGAAGCCAAGATTCAGCAAACCATCAAGGAGCGCTCGGACAGGATGAAGGACACACTGAATAACAAGCTGAAAGAGAGCCGCGCCAAGCTCGAGGACGAGTTTAAGAAGAAGGACGAAGACCTGAAGCTACGATTCGAGCAAGAGAAGTTGATCTGGCAGGCCGAGAATCCATCTGGGTCGGCCCCGGCAAAGGACGCACCCGCTGGTGAACAGGCACCGTCAAGCGCACCACCCAAGACTGAGGAGCCTTCGACTGCCGCTCCTGCCACAAGCGGACCGCCTGACCTCTCTCAGCTGGATGATTCATCTATTCGACAATTCTTGTCCTCAAACGCCACTGTCAAGAACATCATTGCCGCTAACATTCGCAAGAAGTTGGACACAGAAAGTGCCCGAATCAAGTCCGAATATGAGAGCAAGATTACAGCGGCACGCGAGCAAGCTCAGCTCATGGAGTCCAAGAAGTCTACGCTACGTATCAACATGGCGGAGAACAAATTGAGGACTGCGACAGCGAAGCTTGGTGTTGTTGAGACGGCGGCGAAAGAGACGCCGCAGAAGCCAGTGGTGGAAGTTTGGGAGGTGGCCAAGTCGACTCAGGCTCCTCCGCCAGCGCAAGCAGCCAAACCTCCGGCTCCGGCTCCGGCGGCAGTCCCAGCTCCAGCCCCAGCAGCTACCTCGCCCGCGAAGCGGCAGTCTGTCTCTGGCAACGTACCAGCTTCAAATGCCGCCCCTCATGCCGCAGCCACGGCTGGCCAACCCGTTAACGATGGTCCAAAGCCCGTCCCTGCAGCGGCTCCTGTACAGGCTGGTCAACCTCCAGCAGAGTCAAAGGCTCCGGCTCCTGGCTTGGCTGCGCCAGTGGCCAGCGGAAACCCGCCTCCTCAGGCTTCAAATCCGTTTGCTGTGCCTGTGCCCGCCAGCGGCTCTGAAGCTCCCAATCCCTTTGCTTCAAAGCCTGAGACGGCGGCTAACGCTCCACCGGCTCAAGCTGCCCAACCGTCAGGTTTACCACCAGCACCACAACAAGCACAGCTGCCGCAGATACCACCTCAACCCCAACAGGGCCAAATGCCCGTACGATCTGGTATCCCGATGCCTCGCGGAGGCGGACGTGGACGAGGAGGAGCCTACATTCCCCCTAGCCAACGAGGCGCAAGTGGCAACCAAGAGGGTGGACAAGGCCATGCTGGCCGTGGCGGACGTGGAGGTGGACGAGGAGGCCGCGGTGGGATGAACCCATCTGCTTCTGACTTCCAGCCTGGAGCCAAGCGACCTAGGGGGGATTCCGAAGCCGCAGCTGGAGCCAAGAGAGCCAGAGGAGCTCATTGAGGAGGCTTACACGATGTTTTGCTATATGCAAGAATGGAGAGGGCAGATATTTTGGAACAACGCTTGCCATGTATAATGAGGGAAGATATGATTGTGTTGTGTTATTGGAGGCAGAAAACAAGACTTATAATAAAAATGGACAGGGAGGCACATTGGGATGCATCATGTATTCTAGCACTATTACTAAACTCGGGATTTTCTTTCTTTTCTCCATTATTCGTAATTCTTCTCGTGACATGATTTGGGTGTAAATTCATCTATCTATATGAATGCTGGATCATTGATTGGAACTGCAGGCTGGTATAGGATGCTGTTTATATGGCGCCGCTGCTTATGGTGGGGCAAAGGCACTTGTACTAGGCGGAAGCCATCGGTGGATCGGCGCCTAGTGTGCCGGCATGGCGCAGATACTACAGCTAAGAAAAAAAAAAAAAACTTTTGGAGTTTCAACGATAAGAGTCTTGCGATAATTCCACTTCGACTACTTCGATTGACGCTGGTATCTGGCACTGGGACAATCACAAGAACCCCTGCTGCACCTTCCAAGACAATCCCAAGACAATCGCAATCCAATGGTACCTCCGTCAAAGAAGCGAAAGCTTCAGTCTGTCGCTGCGCCGGCTGCGAAGCGCAACAAGAACTCCGCCAAAGGCGCCGTCGCAAAATCCGGCAAATCGAAGGCAAACCCACGCAAGCTCGTCGACGTTGCCTCTCTCGGCTGGCAATCGGTCGGCGAGGAGTTTGGCGGCCTGGAAGTCATCGAAGGAGTTGATGTGGTAAGAAATGGTGGGACTGTGCAGTTTTTAGTGGCGGAGAAACAGCAACAGCAGCAGCAGCAGCAGGCCGATTCTTCCGAACAACAACATCGACAGGGGGCGAGCAAAGCGGGCAAACGCGACGACCGAGCGGACGAGACTCATGATGCCGTCGATCAGCCTGTTGAAGGGCCTGGGGACGGCGCTGTGGAAGGCGAGGATGTCGATTCCGGCGAAGCTGGCGATTCTAAAGGTGGCGTGGAGGGCCAGGGCGGCAAAAAGAAAGCTGCAGGAAAAGACGGGGCCAAGAAGGACGCAGGCAAGAAGCAAAAAGCGCAGAAAGACAACAACAACAACAAGCTGGCGGCGGCCGACAAAGAGCTACAGAAGCCCGCTTCACGCAAGCAGCAGCAAGGCAACTCGTTCGACGCCCTCATGGCCGTGGACGACGCAGCCGCCGCAGAAGAGGCAGACATGGGTGCCTGGGTGGAGCTGAACCTGTCGACGCGCATTCTGTCGGCGATTGCGAAGCTGGGATTTGCGAAGCCGACGCTGATCCAGGAGAAGACGATTCCGGAGATTCTGGCGGGCGAGGACGTGATTGGAAAGGCGCAGACGGGATCGGGAAAGACGCTGGCGTTTGGAATTCCCATCGTGGAGAAGTGGCTGGAGCTGTATGAGGAGAAGAGGAATGTGAAGCGTGAGGGCCCGACGGCGGTGGTGCTCAGTCCGACGAGAGAGCTGGCGAAGCAGCTGTCGGATCATATCAAGGCGCTTTGCGATGGGTTGCCGACGGCGCCGTATGTGTGTACTGTGACGGGTGGGTTGAGCATTCACAAGCAGCAGAGACAGCTGGAAAAGGCGGATATCGTCATTGCGACGCCGGGTCGTCTGTGGGAGGTGTTGGATGGCGATATGAGCCTACAGAACTCGTTTACCAAGATCAAGTTTTTGGTTGTTGATGAGGCTGATAGGCTGTTCAAGGCGGGACAGTTCAAAGAGGCTGAGGATATCATTGGTGCGCTGGATCGAAAGGATCCGGAGGCGGAAGATGATGACGATGACGAGGAGCTGCCGCCCCGACAGACGCTGGTGTTTTCTGCGACGTTTGATAAGAATCTGCAGTCCAAGTTGGCGGGGAGGGGGAAGGCTCCGAAGGCGGCTGCTGGAAGTAGTGACGAGGAGAAGATGGAGTATTTGATGAAGAGCCTCAAGTTTAGGAGCGAGCCCAAGTTTATCGATGTCAACCCTGTGTCGCAGATGGCGTCTGGTTTGAAGGAGGGCTTGATTGAGTGCGGTGCTATGGAGAAGGTGAGTTGATTATGTTGTTGTTTTTGTCTCATTGCTAACTATCTGCCAGGATCTCTATCTATATACTGTTCTCGTTCTTAATCCCGGCAAACGCACACTCGTCTTTACAAACTCCATTTCTGCTGTCCGCCGTTTGACTCCTCTCCTCCAGAACCTCGGTCTATCCGTTCTTCCCTTACACTCTCAGATGATTCAAAAGGCTCGTCTACGGTCAATAGAGCGCTTTGCGGCTTCCAGGAACTCCATTCTCGTCGCGACAGATGTGGCTGCGCGTGGTCTGGATATCAAGGAGGTGGATCAAGTCTTGCATTACCATGTGCCTCGTCAGGCGGATACTTATATTCATCGATCTGGTCGAACTGCGCGTGGTGATCGTTCTGGTGTGAGCGTCATTCTGTGCTCGCCGGAGGAAGTCTTGCCTACACGACGTTTGGCCGGTAAGGTTCATGCTGAGCGGGACGGTAGTACGAGCCTCAAGCGCGAACATTTCATTGAGACGCTATTGATTGATCGGAAGATTGCGCAACGACTAAAGTCTCGGGTGGACCTGGCCAAGCGCATTGCCGATGCTGTTTTGGCAAAGGAAAAGGGCCACAGCGAGGATCAATGGCTGCGCAACGCCGCTGAGGAGCTGGGCGTGGACTACGATTCTGAAGAGTTTGACGGCAGCGCGCCGGGCAATTGGGGTGGCAGGGGAGGAGGCCGCAAGAAGAAGGAGAAGGAGGCGCGTCAGCTGAGTAAAGCGGAGATGGGAGCGCTGCGGGCGCAACTTCGTGAGGAGTTGAGCAAGAGGGTGAATTTGGGAGTGAGCGAGAAGTATATCACGGGAGGGAGAGTTGATATTGGGGCGTTGTTGAGGGAGAAGGAGAAGGGGAGTGTTGGCGGGTTGTTTTTGGGAGGGGATGGGCTGTTTGGGATGAATATATAGATCTGTGATAATTTATAACAATTAGCAAGTAGATATAAATCTGCTAATAGAGCACTTTGCTTCTTTGATGCATTTGAAGATTCTTGAGTTAATAATTCCGAGCCACTGTATCACACTCCCCTTGCCTGTCCGACCTAGGCCTTCCTCTTTCGTATCTGGATTTCCGTCTTTCTGGAAGGGATCACTGAGCGGCCGATCCACTGCCGCTCGGGCTTTTTACTAGTCATTTTGATGTCGTAGTCGAGGATAATGGTGGCCAGTATGAGTTTGAACTCGTGGGAAACAAAGAATCGCGCTGGGCTGTTATACACAGTTAGTACAGATACTTCTAGGCAAGTGAATTGTCTATAATTCTACATGAACTCACCAAGCATGTCTTCCATGACCAAAAGCAAGATGCTGAGGGCTCGTCGTCACCATCCCCAGTCCTCTCATCCGCGTCCCCTCTTCAGGCTCGTTCCTCTTCTCTTCGTCAGATTTTGCGTCCCAGGCTTCTCTCATCCTGGAGTATCTCAACGGGTCATAACTTTCAGCATTCTCATATAGATCCTCGCAGTGATGAGTCCCCTCGAGGTTCAGCACGACATAGCTGCCTTTGGGAAAAGTCAAGTCCAGATCTGGATTGTAGACTCCGTTTTCGGAGACAACTTTGCGTTCGATAACTGTAGCTAGAAAGTTGCTCAGACGCTGAGACTCGCGGATGGAAGAGTCTAGGCGCACAAGGTTTGAAAGAGCGGCTTTGGTCCAGGGTCCTGATTTGGGCTTGTTGGCGATGATTTCGGCACGGAGGATGTCGAGGATACCGCTTTCGGGTTCGGAAGAGAGCAAGTCTTGCATCCACAGTTGGCCGGTGAGGACGGTTGTGTGGATTGCGGCGAATTCAACGGGTAGCAGTCGCTTGGATAAGACGACGGGGTCTAATTCAAACGTCTTCTTTTCTGCCAGCGCCTGTCTGATGGTCCAAGTGACAAAGTCTTCGGGTGGGACATAGTCTTGAAACTCGACATGTCCGTTAGCTTGCTTCAACATGGCGTTGAGGCGTTCCTGAAGCAAAGGTTGAGCTACGGCGTCGGCTGAGCGCCAGTGTATGTAGTTGGCGATGCCGAGGAGTCGCCCGACGACGGGATGCAGGATTTTCGGTAGTAATTGAAGGATGAGCATGTTACGGACAACGTCGTTTGAAACGTTGGTCATGTTATCGACAAACTGTTTGTTGCGGCAGAGCTCAGGCCCGACGAGCAGTCTGTTGATGACTCGGGGTACTATTTCCATCCACAATTTCCAAAGTGTGAATGACTTCCAGTTCTCCGTGTCGTCGCCAAACATTGTACCCACCACAAGCTGAGTTTCCTCGTCGACGTTGGGTATTATAGCAGGTAGATGTCGAGCTAGATGTTTTTGCAGGACTCGGTTGGGAAATGGATCGTGAGCCAGGCGGCGGCCGAGGAAGTTGTATCTGGTATAGAGGGTGGCGTTGTGGGCGTCGTAAGTTGAGAGGATGTGGTCGGGCTGGTCGATCATCCAGGAGGCTTGGCTGCGAGGCAGGACGATTTCTGAGTGACGAGATAGAGGCTGTGGTACTTGAAATGGAAAACCATGTTTGCCGAACTTGATAATAGGAGTTGTGACCATGTCAGTGACATCGGGTGAATGGTGCTATGAGCTGGCAACTCACTTTGGAGTATCCGTCTTTGACCCATTGATTGTATTTTGTGATGGCTCGAAAACTGTCAAGAAATGCATTGAGCTTTCCACTTTTGCCCATGGAAGGGATATGGCTCGGTGGATGGCTGGCGAAGTCGTTGACGAGGTCGATGATAAATGTTACGACTAGGAGAAGAGCGCCGAAGCTCCATACTTGGCTCGAGGTCATTGAGCCCAGCAGCTCAGAAATAGCCATTGTGAATTTGATACATTTATTGATATTGTTGATCGGATTGCTGCTCACTTGATGGGTGAGTTTGCCGCCAACTGTACAGTTATACGTAATTAAATGTGAATGGAGACTTGAACAATGAATCAAAAGCTCAGGAAAAACTGGCGTGTGTAATAGAAAAGATAGAGAGGAGGAGATTAAAGTGTCTTGGATTGGCAAAAATTACATGCATACAGTATTGGCTAAGGTCTTGACAGGGGCATCGGCAGGGAGGACTTTTGTGTGTAGACCGGGCGGCTTCCTTGTTGAGAAATAGGTTTCTTCATATCTCTGCCTCTCTTCTAGCCGTATACATTACATTTATACACTCTATACTTCCACCGGATGGCAATATTTCCATCAATCGCTTTTATCGCAACCACGGCAGTTGAAAAATCTCTAGACTAGCCGATTGAAATAGTGGTGCGCTTCCAAAACTAGCTAACATCTCATTTATGATCCCCTCTTTACACAACTCTGACATAACATATCACTTTCATCTGCGTCTGAATCAGGGATTGATAATCGTATTTGCCGACTAAAGCAACTGCTAGCTTTATCACCTGCAGGAGACAAGATGCAACCACTGCATGAGGTTATATCACCGGGCTAGCCGTGACATCGGGCACTAGTTGTAGAAACCAGGCACTAGTTCACTAATCGGTGGCTAACATATAGTTTATGCTTCAAGTTGAATCTAAGTTGTAAAAGTTGTCTAGCAGCACTATTAATTATGTTTTATTAGAATTATGCCTATACCACAAAGGCTGTAACATGTAGGCCGAGTGTAGTCGTCACCAGATCTTTACATCTTCCGCTCTATAACTACATGTACTCTAAATTCCTGTCCAAACACCCTGGACAGTTGGCAAGTTCATTGTGCCGTTGACAAGGGACATCGTTAGATGCGGAGAGACTACTGACTGAAGTTAGAAGCTTGATCTTATTGATACATTGGTTTCTGCACCTACTCATTTGTGGCTAGTATAATGCGGCTCGCGGACCGATGCCGTGGCGTCCGAGAGATCTGAATTACCTCGATGTGGTAATCTCAGCTATTACCCTTTTCGACACTTGTTCCCTGTCAAAAGGTCGTCGCTTTTCAACACGAGTCGGAACTCACTTGTCCTTCCCCCCCTGTCCAACTAGAGCTCTTGTTCTACAGCACTGTGGTTGCAGCCTGTTGAAATGAGCTCGATCGAGTTCCACTCGGTTCCTCTGCAATTTTGAATCATACGTTCATATGCATCGAGCCGTGTTGAAGAGTGGCGTATAGAGAGTATCGAAGTCGAAGACGTTGTAGTATCTTGCGAGCCGTTTCCATTTTCAGCGTTATCGGTATGGCACTGAGACAGCCACTCTTGAACGAGCATAGATGCGTCTTCGACTTGCTCTTCAGAAGGCTCGGCTAGCTTCTTTGCATTCGTACTTTCTCGTTTATCACCATATGGTACATTAGATGCTCTTTGTAGAGAGCTGACATTGCGTTCAGAGACGGAATTAGCGACTGGTTTGAGTGCGTGGCATATCCTCGGCGACGCGTGGTCCGCAAGAGAGGGCACGCTTGAAGAACAACTCTCCTGTCTTTGAGTGTCTGGTTCATCCACAATAGGTCGAATATTTTGCTTTGTAAGACTATCGACTTTTATGTCATGAGCGAATATATTGCCACTGCAATATTGCCCGAAGAGCGATTCTATTGAAATGCCTGCGAAAGCGCGTTAGTCAAGCTTCAAAACTTGTACGGCTATTCATGAGAATAAATCACCCTTTTCTCGCCATGATTCAAGATGGAACGTGCAGGGCCATATATCCTTTGGTCTGAAAGCATCAACTAGATTGCAAAGTTCGGGGTACGAGGAATGTCGCGAGTAGGGGAATCGGATGATGTTTGGAAGCATATCTCCAACTTTGCTTCTAGTAGCAGAGCCTGCTTCTGGATGCTGATTTGCGATGGGAAGTATGGCATTTTTCAAATCAGTCAGCTGAATGTCTTCGGACTTGATGTTGAGTTGCAAACTGCGGCTGGTTGCTAATGCGTTTGTCAAGAGTCGCGCGCACTCGGCTCGGGCTTCTTCTGTGGTATTCTTCAATGCATCTATTCTGTGAAATTATTAGCCCCAAATAGTAAGTAAACATTGTCACCATTACGCACATTTCGAGCAAACTATGGAGATCGCTCGTGCTGGGAACTTCAAGTTCCATCTCCCGCTCCAAGTCCTCGCCGCCTCCTCCTATTCCTGCTTCGTGCATGACATTGCCGTCGGGAAATGACGCAATGACGGGCTGGATTCTGACGACTGAAGATTGTCTTGCGCTGGAGCACATGTTGCCGCTTTCACAGCTGTGAAGGCGCACGTCTTTGTTTGCAGTCAAGCAGCCGGGCTGAAAAGAGTTTCCACACATGAAGCCGGACAGAGCAGCTGCAGTTGGCGTTAGATGTGAGCCAAAACTAGATCGTTCTGGAGATGCGGTTAGGGAGCTGAAAATGCGAAGTTTGTAATCGTCAACGTGGATGGGAGAGTTTAGAGCTTTGGATAGAGCAATCCAAACATCTTCGTAACCATAAGTCCATGCTTGTATATAGAAGATTGTGTCTTTTGGATACTGCGCGACCTTGCGTAGCAGCTCTGCGATGCCCTCAGCCTTTGTCTGGAAGGGAACGTTGTCGGTGAAAGAGGTGTCGAGGTATATGGTGTCTAGAGTCTTGATGCCACAAGTATACTCGATGAGAGCTGGATTTCGAGCAATGGTATTGACAAACCATGGTTCACAGCGCATGTCGCCAGTATAGAGGAAAGCCTTGCCCTGTCCCTCAATGACTGAAGGATATTAGTGGAATTATTTACAAGGGACATGCTTCACTTACGGAACATGACAGAGCCAGGGCAGTGATTCGCATCAAAAAGTGTAACCAGAAGCTGATTTCCAGGTTGAAGTTCGATTATGGTTGGGGATTCGAGTGGAAGTGGTTTCTGCTGAGTGTGAGCTGCTGCCAGATGACTCTTTTGATCCGTGATTTAGTGAGCGTACAATTACTTTGCTGAGATGCTTATAAGTCTGCTGCCGCGCCTCAAGAATGCCTTTGCTGTAGTTGATGCGGCAGGGATAGCGCTCAAGCCGTAGCAGGATTTCTCGTGTAGCCGCAGAGCAGTAGACGCTGGAACAGCAATCAGCACTAATGACTGGTTTTGGTGTTTGGAGGCTTACAATGGGGATCGAAGCGTCTCAAGTCCGGCGAGATGGTCTGAGTGAACATGGCTATTTGACGTTCAGGACGTGTTTGCGTATCATATATCGTATCTCTGGGGATAACTTTACCTCAAGAAGCACGCTGATGGCGGTGAAATTCCGTCATGGTGTCGAAAGTAATCAACTGCGAGCATGTCAGAGTCGTTCATTTACCGAGAGAGCAGTGATGTACACACTTCGTATGTCTGGAAACTCGCGGACCAAGCCATTGAATGTGGACATGGCGGTTTCATGATGCGATGAAAAGCACTTCTGAAAAGAACATTGAAGTTGATATCACGAGAAGCGTGAATTGAATCAGCCAGAAAGCTTTTACTGGTTGGAGGCGCTAGGACCGCTATAAACAGCGCCACTTTAGGCAGCACAGGCACTGGCGGGCGCCTGTTGTGCGCTGTAAGTTTTCTGTCGCAAGTGGCGCACGGATACATGACACCAGTGGACATGTAACACAGGACTCCAAATACAACATGGATGCACATATCCTGCTGGCAGTTCGAGTTTTAAGAATATTGCTTGCGATTGAAAAAAACCCTGTGTTCTGATAAGACCATTTATTCTAGCCGTTATCTGAAGCCAGTACTTTTCAGTGGCCCATGGCGGCCCGACCAGCTCTCCCGTCTCATCACAATGAACGTACAAAGCTCTCAATCCGCTCCAGATATAGACTCGTTCACAACATCGCCTTTATCACAACATGGAAATAAACGAGTTTCTTATCGTAGAATATAGTTCTGATGGCCTCGAGTTGCTTCACCATCAACTGCTTCAAGCCCGCCGATCCTGACGTCTGTAGCCTGAAACTTGGTCTTCTCTGCACCATGGCTCGTGATATCAAACATGGACTGCTCGTTGTTTGATATTTTAATCAGCTGGAGGCTGATTTTTCGCGGTAATGGCTGGGTCTGTCTCTTTCGTAGACAAGTTCGTATGAACTGTCGTTATCGAAATCAGATCTTTTACTGGTAGTGATTGTGCCATCCAACTTATACGCCACAGCACAATGCCAAGGAGTTGTGTAGCTGGAGTCCGTAGGCAACAGGTTGATACTTAACTTCGCTGCTCCAGTTGACGCGTGTATAGACAGGCGGACATAGTCTTTGTATTTTTGTCCGATAGCATTAGCAAACGCCTGCATTTGTTGTCAGTTAAGCATCAGATGGAGTCAAGGGGTGAACGCTTACATCTCCGCGAGCCAGCATTTGCTGAGCTATGTACTCCAATCCCTGCTGAAACTTGGCCCTGCTGGCGTCGTCTGTAATGTCGTACATGTGCTGGAGATCTATCCCCACGGCCTTGATATACCCCTTGTATGTCAACTGGACGTCTTCTCTCTGGCTGGCTGTCTCCCAGCTCCAGTCAGGGCTACTAAAGCCGTTGAGTAGTGCTCGTCGGAAGTTTGACGCGTTTGCCACGTAAATCATTTCTTCGAGTTGGTCTGGCAAAGTGATTGCTACGAGGTCTTGGAGTCGCGCAAAGGTTATATGCGTGTGTCCCTTGGCTGTAGCAATGGCTCTTAGAGTTTCCCCATAGTTCCACACGTCCAAGTCTGACACTCCAAGTAGATCTAGGCGTTATGGAGTCAGTACTTCACTCGGCTATTATAAAGAAAAGATTGACAAAAGCGTACCATTGTATGTGAGGCCATCCGAAATGATTGTGAGCTGTGCACCTGGAGGGTAAACCTCTTTAATGGAAAGGCATAACCCATTGAGGTGTGCCAGCGACAGCTCTTCAGCCTTGTCAGGCAGCTTGCCCAATACCTTGCCCGACCCTGGTTGTGAATTTGGAGACTTGAATGGGAAGCCGGGGAGGGCCATGGGAATTGTAGCATTTGCCTTGACATAAGAGTAAATGACAGCAAGATATTTTAAAGCGCCCTCGTCTGCCTTGGCTGTCGTGTCACTTGATCGTTTAAGGCTGTACCTGTTTATGACTTGAAGAATCTTGGAGGCAGTGTCAAAAGCGGCTACGTCCACGCCAACAGGCAAAGTAACTGAGGGACCAGACATGGTTTCAATTGGCTTGGCGCAAGATAAATCGATGCTGATTATTTGGGTTTAGTTGACAGCATCAGGTTGATTGGAACTTCCAGACCTTTTATAGTCTCCGGTCTTTGTGACAATAAACGAGGCCTGATTCCTCTACCCTGACATTGCTATGTGGGCATGTTGTCTCACCGCTTGCCAAGGACGTCTTGATGGAGAACTATGATACCATCTATGCACCATCGGGCTGTTGCTTATGCTGATGATGTCCAAAGACGTGTCTTTGGCAAATGCTACAAGAGGCTTCTGATTTACGTGCATATACCTCTGGCCCCTGTAAGCTGACAGGGAATAAGCCGTAGCTCATCTTTTGATCATAAACTGCCGATTCATGCAAGCAAGTCTGACTGCTGGATCTGTGGCAGATCCTTGATGATCCTGCTCTATATGTCGGATTGTGGGTTATTACCTGATTGTGGGTTGCCGCGCTGCCATGCCGGGGAGCTTGGGCAGCAAGACAGTAACGCCTAACTTGGAGCGCTACGGCGGTGCTTGTATCTATGTTTTCAAATGTTGCAACAGATGTGTTTCTATACCTGTGGGGCCTAGATCCTTTCAATGTTACATCGTAGGATAGAGGGTTGCATTCCAAATGCAGTAAGCTTACACCTTAAGATGCTGTCTATATATCTGGGCCAGAGTCCTCACACGCGATACAGAATGAGTAGTATTACTTGGGCGGGCGAAAGCAGTCAAACTAATTCACTTGTCTATAGCATGCGATTCTATTATCCTCATCGCTAAATGCGTGTATCCGAAGTTCGCGTTGTAGTACCTGCATTGCAAAGTCGTTAATTCTTGCGGACATTGAACCCGCTCATTGTGGGCCAGTTGGCTCTTCCACATCGACTTCATTCGAGATTTGTGGGCGCTTCTGGCTCTGACAAGATGAGGCAAATCCTATACCGGAGCCGATATTAGCGAGTCTTCTTCATGCAAACGTAGCCAGACGGGCAAATCTCACCAAGATGTGGTCCAGTCTGGTTTACCACCCAGAGCCTTGCACATGGCGCGACTGCTTGTGTTTGTAGGTGACACGTCCGCCGCGATTAGTCCATCGATCGCAGACAGTGTGTTCTTTTCTCGTAAAAGCTTCGCGGCTAGCTTTTTAGCTAGACCCTGACGTCTATAAGGCTCCTGTTGTTGGTTGACATGTGAGCTCGCGTTTGACTAGGATTGGAGAATCAATGTGCTATTACTAACCTCACAGTGAATCGATATGAGTGAGCCGTCTATTCCCACCAATCCCCACACTATTGGCGTCTTATCCGCGAGCTTAATCGTAAGGTTGGGGAGGTGAACCAACTCCTCTCTATCCAGCTGCTGGTTAGCTTCTTGTTACAGGATAGACAATTGAGTTTTTGACTTGCGGTGTTCGAGGAATGTCTGTTCGGGCGCAAATAATGCGGCAATCATCCAAACTGGCGCTTCCCCATTCCATTCCCGGTGGAAGGTCGTCACCAAGGACCGGTAGCTCGTCTCTCTTCATGAGCCATTTATCAAAAAGGCCTGAAGGCCTAGACTCGACTCTGCCTTCAAATGTTTCCAAGATTGACCGAATCTTTGAGTGAAGAGTCCCGACCAGAATGCGCTCTGGGTTAGTGAATAACAGCTCTCTCCCGTATTCTTTGCGCAAGCTAATGACTTTTCCAACCAATTCCGCTACTTGTTCCTTGTAAACCTCATCGGTACTCGGGTCATATCCGTTGCGAGGATGTTCTAGAGTCGAATACACAAACATCTGAGTGCCTGACCTGGAAAAATCCAGATATGCTGCCGTATATACATCAGGCTTGGATGAGAGTTCAGTGGCTGAGATGAAGATGACTCGAGCATGTTCGGAAGTTCCATGCGGGAACTTTGTGAATTGCAGCCGTCTTAATAATGGCAGCGAATATGGCAACTCAGCGGTAAGTAGCTCTACGAGCTCTTGTGGTACAGAGTCGAAGGACTCTGTGTGGTTGACCATCTTGACTTGAGCTTCGTCTGTTGTCCAACTGGCTCAAATTGCTCACAGCACATCATTTATTAGTGGCAGCTTCTAAAAAAGTGGCCCCGATTTCGGACCCGCGACAGTCGAATGCGAGTGAGTCAACATGTGAACTCGTAGTCGATGATATCGCCATCTCAAGTTATTGGACAAGAAACGCAAGATACAAGTGATGAAGATGACCATTTGAGAGCTTCAAGTCATAGGCCGAGCGGAATCGCTTCAATGGGCTGCGAGCACGCTCTAATGACTCTGACAATATTCCCGATCCACACTTGCACATGAACAACCCGCCAGAATGAAGTGACTAAGGCTAGCACTTCCAATTTACGTCCGGTGATTATCTCAACTTGTGTTATAATTAAGTACGGCGTTTTGGGCTTTATAAAATCTTCCAAAAGTATGCAGACGTATCATTTACAGCCAACAATTGCAGGTTTTCATGCCAATCTTCCCAAGCATATTACAATGGCATAAATTGGTTTACTCCAGCGACATAAATTGCATCGCTTTAACTGAGCTAAAGTAACTGAATGGAAAATTAAGTTACATGTGAAGAACTTCTGCGCGACGTTCTAGAGCGATTCCATCATATCGGACTCATTCGTATGATTTTCTCCACAGTGATTACGATTGCTGTGATGCCTGGACGGGAGATTGCGATTGTTGAGCAACTCTTCGTATAGAATAATAAAAGAAATCCAGCGAAGCCTAATAGCGTATGCTGACCAATTTTGGAAAGACAGATTTATTTTTCATGGACGGATAGGAGAGATTTCTAGACCGCTACGCATAAAACCTAATGGAAGATGGCAAGAAATTCCGAGGGGCGAAGAGCGAGCCGAGAGGCGGGTATTGTGGGGAGAGCGAGTTATCAACTAACTAAGCCGCGACAGGTACAAGTGCAGTTTAGCAGCGTTGGATCTGTTTGCTTGGCCCTCTATTTTGATCCTCTTCAGAATTCGACATTGGAAAAATCGTCGACTGTTGAATACATTACAAAGAGAGAGGCAACTTATGCCGAGCAAGCTGTTAGATTGGAATGGAGCATTGGCGTGAGTGCACATATAAAACGTAGATGTCGGGCGTTTCCATGTAGCTGTCTGTAAATCAGTATTGTTCAATCGACCATCAATTGGATTTCATCAAGATTCTGTTCTACACAGCTTTTGATTGTAGCACGAAATAGACTCCACCAGATTAAGGTTGCTCGGTTTATCAACAGCAACCTCAGCAATGGCTTCAGGAAAGATTCTCGTTACGGGCAGTGGAGGTCTTTTGGGAGGGTTAACCATTGATCTTCTTCTCGAAAAAGTGTCTCCCGAAAAGCTTGCTGTTATTACTCGAGATCCCTCGAAAGTCAAGCGCCTCGTCGATCAAGGGGTTTCGGTGCACAAGGCGGACTACTTCGACTACGACTCGCTCCTCTCTGCGTTCCAGGGCGTTGACAAAATCATGTTTATCGGGGCACACGCCTTCACCGACCGCATCAAGCAGCACTTCAACGTCATCACGGCTGCGCGACAGGCTGGAGTGAAGCACGTCGTTTACACCTCGATCCAGCGCCGAGAGGGCTCAGGCGTGGTGCTGTGGGACATCACCGAGAGCGACACCTTCACCGAGCAGGCCCTGCGCGCATCCGGTATGGCGTACACCATCATGATGCAGCCGGCCTTTTTGGAAACGTTTCACACGTACTTTGGTGGAGAGATGCTTGAAGACGGTGTCCGCATGCCGTTTGGCAAAGACAGAAAGACGGCGCCTGTCACTCGAGACGACCTCGCAGCGGCCAATGTTACTGTGCTGACGCAGCCTGGGCACGAGAATAAGACCTATAAGCTGAGTGGCGACGAGGCGTTTTCGTTTTCGCAAGTTGCCGAGATTCTGAGCGAAATCAAAAACACAAAGGTGCCGTCTCAGGAGGTCAGTGAAGAGGAATATGTCAACTGGCATGGACTTAAAAAGGGTGGCCCGCCTTTGCTGCCGCAATTCCGTCTCAGTTGGGTTAAAACAATGACGAATGGTGATTTCGAGGAGACGACGGGAGACTTGGAGAGGTTGATTGGGCGGAAGCCGACTAGTTTCCGCGAGTACTATGGCAAGCTGAGCTACCCTCCTTCATAGATGTCGACAACGTGGACTCAATGTTGAATAACGTTGCCAAGTTAAAGACAAGGTTGAAGAAAGTTATAAATGATCATGTTCACTGTCAATGCCATATTGTTAGCTTGAGGTGTACTGTAGTACATGATCGAAATTTCAGCTGTTAGGCATAAGCCACTGTCGCCCAACTCCGTTTTTGAATTGTGTTTGCGCTATAACAACGCCATAAAAGCTCACTATTCTGCTCAGCTCATAGACTAATTGACATCTCAATAGGTAAATTCAGCGCTTATGGTGGTTTGGCATGTAAGCGCAAAGTATAACCCAGTGAAGCGAGGCTATTCAACAACTTCAAGTAATCAATAAATATATGGCTGCGTAAGCTTCACCAATATATGGCTTTCACATGCGACTATAACTGCTTCGATCCCTCGCAAGGCATACTATAATATAGTCTCGTCTATATTAGCTATAACTCTTGTTGCCTCTACAACACCGCATTAATAACTCCGAAGCAAAATGATCAACAAAATGAATAAGATAATCCTCATATTTGGCTTTGGACCTCGTATCGCTGCAGGCGTGGCTCGCGCATTTGCCAGCAAGGGCTACAAGGTAGCGGTGGTTTCTCGCACCAACAAAGCAATTGAGCCCGGCGATGATTACCTATGGATACAAGCAGACTTGTCAGACGCCTTCTCAGTCGAGGGTGTCTTCACTACGGTCAGGAGTAAACTAGGGATACCGAGCGTGGTTGTGTATAACGGTAGGGATATTGCTGGCTTGATATTGAGTGGAGTATATGCTAAGAACATCGTCCCTAGCTTTCGCCTTTTCCACGCAAGGATTCGATCAGCCATTATCCAGTGTAATTACCGATGCTCATATCAATACTTTTTCGGCTTATGCAGCGGCTCAGCAGGCAATCAAAGGCTTCGCAGAATTGCCGCCGGATGCCTCCAAAACGTTCATTTACACCGGCAATAAGCTGCATCTGATGGCGATGGAGCCGCTCGTTTCCTTTGGAATGGGCAAATCAGCATCTGCGCACATGATACACTATTTGGCGGAAGTGTATAAATCTAGTGGCTACAAGTATGTTTTGACATTTTGATTGAGCAGTTCATGCTAAACAAAACCTAGATTCTACCACGCTGATAACCGTGAGCCCGGAGGAGAGGCCAGATATTACAACCCCAGTCCCGAGGCTCATGGCGAACACTACCTGAGATTAGCAGAAGAAAAAGAGCAAGGCCCGTGGAATAATACATTTGTGGATGGGAAAGGGTATGTGAAATTTGACGAGTCGTTGATATTCGGAGGCCATTTCCCCCTCCCAAGTTGAGATGCTATTGTGCATACGTTGCTAAGTCAAACAATGTGTACGATACCTGTACATTTACGTATATAACTTCAAGGACTCTTTAATCAATCTTGACTCCTAGTTTGCCAACATTTCTGAGCCCCCAAAAGCTCAAAAGAGCCGCTACAAATCTGAGACCGCTGTTATACCACCAACCCGCCTTGTAGCCCTGGAGCAGCGCTTCATTCGCATTTGATGACTGCGATGATGCCGCCACTTGCTGCGCAATGATTGATGTCGAAGCGATGCCGATACTCTTTCCGATCTGAGAAAGCATCTGAAAGACGCCGCCAGCTAACGCCTGAGTCTTTGCAGGAAAAGCAGAAGTGACTACCAGATTTGCGATGGTGTATATGAGATCTGCGCCCAGGGGGTTTAAAGCCATAGCTTGAAAGACTGCATGCCAGTAATTGGGGCCATCGAGACGGCACAGAGTGGCGAGAAGCAGTGGCGCGATGCCACTTACAAGGCAGCCAATCGGCACGGCAAGTGAAGGCCTCAGGTAAGGAAGAGACACGCCAATGGCAATGTTCATCATGGCTCCAGCAACTGGCGCCGGCAAGAAATACAGAGACGCCGTCAATGGAGAAATGTTGCGCACTTCCTGCAGGTACAGCGCCGCGAGTTGCTCGCTGGCATTGAGGGCTCCCCAGACCAAGAAGACGGTAACACAGACAGTTGTGAAAGGCAGGTTCTTCCATATCGCATTTGGTATCAGTGCTGGTCGAGAGTGACGTGTCTGGTGACGCATCCACAGCCAGAACAGCGGCAAAAGCGCGAAAGAAATGCAGAGTACTGTCAAGTTTGCCGGCTCGTGCATAAGCCTGCCAGCATCAAGTCCCGAGACAACTGCGAGCTCATACGATAGAAGAGCAAGTGCTGCACTGATAAGAAGACAGCCCAGCCAGTCAATGTCTCGTGCAAGGCGATTGAGCGTCTCTCTCCCCAATATCGTACCATCTATGTCTGATGGCAGCGCCCACAGAGCCAGAATCAATACAACAACATTCAGTATGGCCGTCGTGTAGAAAGCCCAGCGCCAGCCAAGCGTATCACTGAAGACGCCGCCCAACACGAGACCCAGTCCGAACCCGACAGCTTGTCCTCCGCCCATGGCAGAGAATGCGGCGCTGCGGCTTCGAGGGCTGGTGCCAGCAGGAAAGGCGCGAGCTGCAATTCCAACAGCGCTGGGCAGGCAGAAGGACGCTGCAATACCAGCCATAGCCCGAAGAGCAATAAGCTGTGATGGTGTCTTGGCCAGTCCTGCCCCCAATGCACTGAGGGTTTGCAATAACGCACCCACGAGGCAGAACCGTCGACAACCCAAAATATCGGCGGCGGCAGCACAGAGAAGCAGAGTGCAGCCACATGCCAGAGCAAAGGCTGAAGCTGGCCACAGCTGAAGCTCTGGGGGAAACCCCAAATCTGCTGAGATGACCGGGATGCAGACTGTTAACAATCCGGCCAGCAGGTTGCTGATGCCGCTGATGCATGTGATGCAGACGATGATGGCGACGGCTCGGCTCTTTGAGATGGATGCAGAAGTTTCAGTGAGTCTAGTTGGTTCAGACAGCTCCATCATGGCTGGAGTGTGGCTTGGAGCTGTCTCCAGCTCTATTGTTGAGCTGGTCTGCGAAGGCGACATGTTTGATGATGGACTCCTGATGAGTGCTCAGCAAAGGGGCTGACTCTGTACAGAGGATGACTCTGCATTGATCGTTGTCGGAGATCATTGTGTTTGTGACTCTCGGTCGCGCATCTTATATCTCCAATTGGATATTGGCATTGGATTTTCTTGGCCAGTTGAGACAACATGTGGTCAAAACGGTCTCACAGCCACAACTTTGAGCCGCGCAATACATGCAATTCTTAGGTGACTGGAGTGCTCATTTCGGGCTTTTTTATAGCCGTTTGAGCAACGTGTTAGCAAGAGCAATCCATGTGTCAAATTCAGTTTTGTATCGATCAAGTTAAGGCTCTGTTTAGTAGTCAAGACTTAAAGGACATGTGAAAGAAACCTGGATACATCTACCTCCAATGAGCTTAGAGATAACCGAGTCGATCTGAATGGATGTGGATTGCTACTACAAGCGACACTCCGCGGCTGCGATTTAACAAAACACTGCGCAAGTTGCCTGTATCCACTGAAATGCTAGTCGGCAAGCCGGCAACGCCGTTCGTTTAAGGAATTTGTACACTCCCCAGTTAGCACTAGATAGTTCTATGTCGGCGCCGGGCATAAATACATGTACTGAGTCTAAAAGGAGGCTACTATTTCGTTAAGAAACTATATCAGTCAAGGCTTGTAACAAACGAATTCTATCTCAACATCCGTGTTTAGAGGCAATTGAGTAACTCCCATTGAACATTCGGGTGGGCCGTGGCTCAGGCATCATTTCCTTCCACACCTGCTGTTATTTAGCTTCATATCTGACCTTAACATGCCATTTCAACTAACCTGATTGACCAGAGGGAAATTCTTATCAAAATCCGTGCAATAAATGGTCGCTTTCACCACATCCTTCAATGTCATGTCCTCAGCAGCCAGCACTGCTTCAAGGTTCTTAATGACTTGTCTTGCACGATCTTGGACCTATATGAGTTGCATAAGCATGTGCCCTAATGGACAGGGTTATAGTAATACATACCGTTCCTTCAACCATAGTGCCGTCGGGGCACCCAGAGTACCCTGAGTCCATAGGAACGGACCTGCTCTTACGCCCTGAGCGAACTATAAAAGGTTGGTAGAAAGTAAGGCCCAAAAGAAAATAAGAGAAAGAATTATGTAGAGTCAGCCATACCAGATCTGGGATCGGCGGTGCCGGGGCGTTTTTCGTGACGATGTGTCTCAGTGCCAGTAAAAATTGGTGTTGGTTTTTAAACGTGCGTGTTCCCAAATTGCTCAAGGCCTTGTCTGCTAAATATATAGCCAAATGGAAATTTTTATAATTGTAGATACTCTTATAAATTAAAATGCATTGAATATTCCCAGGGTCGAATTTACGTCATTTGCCTCGGGTAATAGAAAAGGCGGCTCGTCCGAGCGTGAGCGTCGATATCTAAAGCAACACACTATACGCAGAAATGTGGCGTCCAGCTTCACAGCCTGACTAACGATACCTTAGCAACATCAACTCTATGAATCCATGTTTCATACGGTTACCCTGTCGTCACGATATCCACCGTTTGGAATCCAAGAGAGGTTCACAGAATTTCATCACTGTCTTGTTTTTTATTTATTGATCAAGATCATCCACTAATGTGGTAAACCATGACAAACACTCAGACATTCCGGCTATTGCTTCTCAATATTGTTTGAAACAAGCATATAAATTCAGCCAATTTCTGTGTTACTACACTCGCTCACACGACAATCAACTGCAACACCGCAAACGCAGCTACCATGTTTTTAGTACTCTTTGAAGTTCATCCGTCAGCAGCTGAAAAGTCTCACTATCTTGACATTGGCAAAACACTTAGGCCGGAACTGGTCAAAATTGACGGCTTCATCGATAACATTCGGTACGGCTCTTTGACCCAGCCTGGCTGGGTTCTATCGCTCTCGACTTGGAGAGATGAGAAGTCGCTAGTTAGGTGGCGAATCAAGGGTCTACATCATGACGCCCAAGAGAAGGGTAGAAATGAAGTCTTCTTAGACTATCGACTAAGAATCTGCGAGGTTACGGCAGATACACACGTACCAAACAGACACAAGGTCCAAGAGCAGCGGCTGGACATTACGCGCGCAGGCGACGCAGAGGCAACTGTACTTATCAGTATGGACAAGACGGGATTAGAAAACCCCACGAAGGAAGAGGCCCTGGAACGTCTTCATTTGGAGTTGGGCAATGTGAAAGGCCTCGTGTCTTGGGATGCGTTCAATGCTGTTTTAGATCCTGGTGATGTTATCGCCTATCTGTCATTCACAACTGCCGATGCTGCAGTCGATTTTCTCGAAACGCGGGAGGGCCAGAAGGATATCAGACACCGGGGAGCAAGAGTTATTCGAGACTACGGAATGTATAGACGCGACGAAGCTCCGCAGTACTATCCGGAGGTAGAACGAAGAGAATAAGACGCCCAATTTTGAGACTGTTTTTAATGCCTTGTTCGAAAGCCAAATACTAGTAGAGGTACTCTGGTTCTTCTATTACATGTACATGTACCTAGTTATAGACCAAGATCTTATCACTTGGCATTGTGGATCGGCCTGTGTCGACGAAAGCCGAAACATACATCTAAGCGGATACTCATATTCTTGTATGACCCACGGTGCACCATCGACAGAAAATGTTTATCCATTTCAAATACTGAACAAAGAACAAGTATTCCTCGCAATTAGACAAACCAGATGACCGAACATGTCGTTTACGTCACGATATCTGAATATCGCATTAGTACGACCGCATACTCCAACTCAGAACATGCAAAGCTAGGTAGACGCACCGCCGTCGAAAGTCCAACCGGCTGCACTTGAATCTGTCGATTCCCCGCCTGCAGCCTCAGGGGCAGTGAAGATCATTGTTTCTCCACGCGGCTGGCCAACAATAGCATACGACATGTCTACGTAGTTACTTTGCCACCACACTGCTTTCAACAGGCTGTTTTCAGCATCCAGCGTGTCAAACGCCCGTTTCAGTGTCTCTAACTTACCACGCGCATCGATAAGCGACTGTTCTAGCTCTAGGATGCGCTTCGCTTTGCGTTCTCGGTATATTCTTTGAGACACTCGATTCTGAGCTCTCCGGCGCTATATTCAGAGTATCAGCACTGCAGCTGTGTTCTACTACCAACCTGAAGTCTTTGGCCATGTACTCACGGTCCTGGCCGCCGGAGACGCATTCTTGGAACGGGCTTTACGCTTCTCAACTGCATTCTTCTTGTTGCCAGACGTATCGTCGGCATCGAGACTGTGAGAAGATACATTTGTCTCTCTGGCAGCTTCATCATATGACAAACGCTTGAAGACTGTCTTCTCTAACATTTCAGAGGCACCACTCTTTACTGTGTTAGGACTCGGACCAACTCTCCTAAGGCTCGGGGTAAAACTATACCGAGATGAAGCATTGATGTTCAACGGCATTCTGCCTTAGCGGTGCGTCTGCCAACTCTATAGTAGGCCTTGGCAAAGCTCATTGGAGATTATAGGTTCATTTTGGGGTTTCATCGTCGGCGAGAAAGGCAGCTGTCGCTCATTACTAGAAGTGAGGTCCTGAAATATGCAACAATCGAAGTGTAGGAGCGATTATGTAGCTAGAGAAAGTTAATTTGGGCGGTAGGGACGGATGTTGTTATATATAGAAAAGACCACCGCATATATGTATCAAGATATAACGTATGTATAGGGGCACGGAGAGTTTAAGCCAAGTGTCAGTAGTAGACTTAGGGACGCCCGAGCATTTAGTATAATATATGCATAAACGCAGAATTAGCTTTCACAAACAAAAGGAATAACCATCAGGATGAAATTGAAATTTAAGATTGTCTAGCGCTATGATATGAAGTCATTGCTCAAGTTTCAGGATAAGATCGACGATCTGCTGCGCCCGCCTGGTATATGCAGCAGGCAATCCTGTACAATAAATCAAGACAAGCTAGACCGTAGTAAGTTACACGAGCCCTAGTGATTTGAGAAATACACTTTTGTCTGTCGTGTAGCTATCAGTGATTTTCTCGCAGCACTTATATTAGGGCTATGGCAAGTATCGACTCCACTTAGCAATTGAGCACAGAAAGTACAACCAGCACCCCAAGACACGATATCAGTCACTGTGCGTTGTAAATTCATGATTACGGATATTTGATCCATTAATACGGCTCCCATATGATCAAGTTAGCTTGCTGTATTAGATATGCGTGGCAGTTGACGGATCACTAGACGGGACCCTCTTCACGCAATGTGAGAAGTCGATGGATCTGCATCCATTAGTAGTATTTGTACGATGTTCTATTCCAAAATGAACGAAATTGGTCGACCGGCATCTGATATCTGATAACTCGACTGCCACATTATGCAAGACGGTATGAAAGCAAGCTTAGCGTTGACCCGTCGGGGAGAATACATCCAGAGACAGCCGCTAGATATTGGTGTGGTCAAAAGAGCGTCAATTTCGGCCTAGCCGTCTTGAGCATCCAAATACAAATCCATTGACTAGTATGTAGGAGCCGTTTCTCCTTCAAAGCAGCTATACATATCAACTCTCACTTCCTTAAGACATTACAGTCCTTGATAAGGCTACAAGAATGCCAAACGTATCACACGTTGGAGCTCTTCCATGACTTCTAGTGGGTTCTGCTACTCATTTATACCAAGTGAAGAGAAATGTCATTGGCCTTGATGTTTTAGCATACCAAGCAATAGCATCAAATACCCAATTGAGATTAGTATCTAGTACTTTACTTTGACAGAGTCGTTACTACATTTGGCTAAGAATGAAGATGTCTAAAAGGTTGCACTGTATATAGTTTCTAGGTGTTGTAAAGCCCGGATTGTTCAAATCGAGCATATGGTAGAGGTTACAAAAGAGCTTTGTATTGGTACAAAGGGAGTGCCACACGGGCCTATAAGAAATAGCTGAAATATCTTACTAATAGAAATACAGAGCATTCCGGCTGGCCTATAATGAGCCTAGGAGCCGGTACCCCGTGCCTGCAAAGCTCGGTGCAGCTAGTAGTAGGTTCAAAGGCTGCATTCCAACATTAGGCGTTGCTTCGTATATGCTTAGCTTGGCTGTGTTGCTTTGTATGTGATTCCATGTACCTCTGCCTCTCAAGGATCGCTCTGACTGGCTTCCAGCGGCTGGGCTGATTTAAATAGGTTGGGTATATAGGATCATGGGAACAGGATATGCTCGGTTGATGAGGTCTATATTTCCAAGTTAAGCCGGGGCAGTGATAGCTCCAGCGTACTTCTAATCATAATAAGCTACCACAATGGCTATTGGGAATTTTGAGACGCCGATGTGGCACCATTCTGTAAGGAGACATCGAACAACAACTTAAACGAGAATTCCCTAGCGATTTGCCCACTACATAGGATCCCCGAAAATTCCGGTCTTAAGAACAGGAGGACGCTTCTGCGCAGAATAACCGTCAACCCGCATCCACTGCTCGATGCTTCGTATCCGGTTGGGGTGAATTCTATCCAGGCGATTGTAGTCTTTCGTCCATATGCCCGTATTACCACCACTCTCCTGCCATATGGTGTACCAGGGTACCAGCTGGCCTGCCATAGTCATCAACGTTGGGTCATCAAAACCCGGTGACCCAGCCATGCCAATTTTAGTCGCAGGCCACGTTTTAGCCACTTCTGACAGGCTTGAGGGCTCGAAGCGGGCTGGCTCTCCAGTGACAGCTGTAAAAGCCGATGCTACCATATCACCGCTTGTGTGTGCAATAGCAATGCTAAGCAGACCACCCTCAAACTCCTGTGGGTGCTCAAGAATATACCGAGCAACCCAGGCGAGATCCACTAAAGCCACAAATGGAACAGCGCCCTCGGATCCGATTGGCATTTTGAAAACGTACGTTCCATCTGCACCCTTGGTAGGCGCCCAAGCAGTGAGGAAAGCTTCGGGATATGGTCCGGTTTCGAGGATGCTCCAGTTCATCTTGTCAGTGGGCTGGGCTTTCAAATATTCTAGGCATTTGATAAGTACAGGCACAATGCACATAAAAAATTCCAGTAGCCATTTTTATACTCACCACAGACTTTTCCCTTAGCATCAACGAAGGGGACTCGATACGTCGGGTTATAGCCGGACCTCTTAGACACATACGGCAACGAGCTATACACAAAATGGGCGACTCCAGACCAATACGCAATTTCATATATCCGGATGCCCCAGTAAAGCTCAGCCTTCTCGCCGATGGCGAAGCCATTAGTATTCACGAAGCATGCGTGTACCCCTTGAAATGCTGAAAAAAGAACCGCTTCATCGTAACAATTCCCTTCGACTAGTTCAACAAAACTCAATGTAGATAAGGCCACACACTCTTCCGATTGTATATTGCGGGACATGACTCTGATCAAAAAGCTGCCACTTTTCGCAAGCTCCCGCACAACTGCCGAGTTCTGAGCTCCGGCACCGCCAAGCACGAGGACCACTTTTCGATCGGACATTTGATTTTGGATGAAAACGAAATAAAATGTTATAGAAGGAGTTTTCCTTCGACATTCAGCGGCTTAATATACTCGGTTCCAGAAGTGGCATATGGACCTGTACAAGGCATTACTTAATATCTACGCGAAAGCAGGTTGATATCCTAAAGATTGAAAATGGGTCAACCCGGGGCCTCTTAGTAAAATTCCCGATGCAGTGCGGGGACAGCCCAAGCGTAGAGATTCAAACTCGCCGCAGAGCCGTGATGCCTGCCCATGTTTATTAAATGACGTGTCTGGGGTCTCCCAAACTGCGTACGCCCCACGTAATTAATAAACACTCCGTTTATTCCTATGTTGAATAGACATGAATATCAAACCGAGTAAAAGAAACGCCTTTGCGAAAGTTGAATTTCTAAACAAGCTGAATAACTTTAGCTGACCCACTGCTCTATCCGTAAGCCGTGATACTTGTCGCGTGACAAATCCCACGTCAAGTTTCATCTGTCTGTGATGTTTCTGGGGAGGGACAAGTAGGACAATAATATAACTGCCATAAAGCTGGTATACCTTATAAATACCGCTTGTCATCGCTCAATGCTGGGCTAGATTATATCCCGCCTTTTTTGGGAGCACCTCATCAGAATCTAAAACAAGTTAGAACTTGCCGTTTGCTTAAAATGGAGGCCCTCGAAGCGCGCAATCTCTTCTCCGTTAACGGGCTGGTGGCAGTCATTACAGGGGGTGGGAGTGGTAAGTGTCAACCCTTTGGGGTTTTCATGGGTTCCCAGGCGCTCGGCCAAGTTATAACTTTAAAACTTTCGCTCACTGAAAAGATAATAGGTCTCGGAAGAACTCTGGCCCTGGCACTTGACGCTAATGGTGCGTCCAAGGTGTTTGTTATCGGTCGCAGAGAAAGCAAGCTTCAAGAGACAGCTTCATTGGGCCTAAAGGGCTCCATCATTCCCGTCGTGGGGGATGTGACATCGAAAGAATCGTTGAAAGCTGCAGTCGAGAGGGTTGCGGCTCAGACAAATCACATTGACCTCCTCGTAGCAAACAGCGGTATCATGGGGCCTTCCGGCGCTCCTCCTCCGAAACCAGACGGCAGCCCCGCTACCGTGGCGGAGCTCCAGGAGTTTCTTTGGACGCCTTCGCTCGAAGACTTTTCTCAGGTCACGGACATAAATTTCACAGGAGCCTTTTATACCTCCGTCGCATTTCTGTCCTTGCTCGACGCGGCAAATGCCAAACGCTTACCTCCAGTAAGCGGGGTTCTCTCGCCCCCTCGACCCCAGATAATCATCATGAGTTCTAATGCCGCCTTTATTCGCCAAGTCAGCGTTGCCGGTTATGCGTATGGCGGGTCTAAGGCGGCGGCGACATTGCTCACCAAGATGCTCTCGACTACGTTACTTGGACATCACATTCGTGTTAACGGCATTTGTCCAGGCCCTTACCACTCCGAGATGACTGACTTCATCTATGAGGCCTCCGGGATTGGTGGTAAAGGTATCTCCGAGGGCTCCTTTCCAAAGGAATTTATTCCGCTCACGAGGTCCGGTGCTCCTGAAGACATCGCTGGTGTTATACTATGGATGGCGGGCGCGGCGGGTGGCTATCTCAATGGCAGTATTATTGTTACCGATGGAGGAAGACTCTCGGCTATGCCGTCTTCATATTGATCACTTTCTTGGGGAAATACGCAACGGAAACCGCCGTTTTTTCTTTAATATATATATATATAAAAAGGCCGGCCTTAGATTGGCTGAGTCTTTAACTCTTCCTCTTTAGAGATTTCTGTTCTCGCATACGCGGCTAAGTGAAGATGAATAAGAACAAATGCGATAACGAAGTGAAAGCTTACATCCACAGAGCAGAATTACACCATACCAAACAAGACAGAGACTCATTTCAGTCAGCCCTTATAGAACAGAATGTCCACCCCAAATGACAATGCCACGAGCCATATCTGAATATAGTGTGCGACATTTATGACCGGGCCGCGACAAGGCCACCAGAAGCACCCCCCAACGTCCCAAAACAGTCGCCTACGTGAAAAGCCGCTCCCTTTCAAAGCTAAGGAGGCTAAGATGATCACTTCACCCGCCACGGTCGGCAGCAAGAACGACTTTTGTACGGCTTTCAGATGGCGCCAACAGCGGCGTCGTGCAGATCCTCGGGCAAGACCTCGAATCTAAATCGTCACCAGCGCCGGAGAGCCCGCCAACAGTCTCAACTCGCTGGGAGCCCTGTCCGGCAAGAACTTTCTCCAGACCAGAACCTGCACTCCAACTTGAGCCACATTTTATAAACTAGTAGCGTCGACCGCATCGGCGGGCCGGACAGCAAGCGTAGCCAAGCTGAAACGTCAACCCAACTCCGAAAGCTAGGAAACCAACTGGACCCGTAGGTTGAGGCCCGGCTGGGGGCCGCTTTAAGAAATTCCATTTAGAAGGACCCCCGCCGATGGTAATGAGAACCCCACCGACAAACTATATGGGAGGGGATAGACAGACCTTGCACATGAGGAACCCTGTGCGAGATTTACGACGACAGGAACGGGCAGCAGACGAACAGCATCCTGAATAGCAGAGTCTGAGTGAACGAATGGAAAGTAGATAGGATGTAGTACGGGACAGCCAGCAAAGCAGAGTCGATGGCGGCGGACGAGATAAAGAGAAGAACCTGTGTTCGCGGAAAACAATAACAAAAAAAAAAAAAAAAACAGATGGTCTGGAAAGGTACGCTTGGCTGGAGTTGTCCCTATGGCAAAATACTGCTGCACAACTACTACTACAAGGAGTGCACTAAAGATAGAAAGTACAGTAATAGTGTGATAGTCGTCCCAGGACCATATACCGCTAGCATTAATAAGGCCCAGAGTGAAGAGGACCCAAGTAGAGGTAATAAGGCCGATACTGAGTAGCTTAAACTTAACAAGGCGCCGACTAACGGTTTGCTCCGGTTTTGGTTGATGTGATGACGTGGAAACTTTGTTGAAAGAGCATACATTACGGTTTTTCATTCCAGCCTTTGTGTTCAAAATAGTCGTCCTTCAATTTCCGGAGCCAGGCAAATAAAACATTAATTCCTTTATTGCTATCTTGTCTGTGTAAGCTAAAGTGGTTGATATTCTTCCAGTATAGAAATCATCTTACTATCAAAGTATGGAGAGTTATCCTCTATAGGAGCGACTTAGTCATGCCCGGATAAGATTATGCCTGTTTAGTAAAGTGCACTGCCCGCTCATCAATTGCCACCCTAGCAGTAATATCCAAGCGGTTTACCGGTTTACGGTTCGAAACAAACCCCGGCCATTCAACCTATGATTGATGCCGAGAGCGCTCCCTCAAGGTAGTCCTTTCGGAATCCGGGCCCATAGCTGAGACAGAGCGAGATATTTGACACGTTTTTGAACAGGGCCGACTTTGAGATAAAGATGCTTGACTTCCGCATTGCCATAGAAATATTGTCTCTACTCGAACGCCCTCCAGTAGCCGATGGAAAGAACAAATCTGCATTGAGAAAACAAGACGGATTTTTGAAATACTCCCCCGAGAGACCAGAACCAAATCCACTATAAATAGAATCGTCGATGATGAGCTCAAGAACGTCGTCTCTGACGTATCGAAGTGACTCCAAGTTTAGGTACGATGTAACTTGGTCGGCATTGAGAAACGCGCCCTCATTAGCCGGATGATTGGGACCGAGACCATCTACATCAGAGATGATCTCTGAGTTAATCATCGGCTGCAAAGATGGCACCTCAGAAGGCCAATTGAGCGGCAGAGTATTGAAGGTGGCGCTGGCTAGGCGATACATTTCGCCGTTTCCAGGCCCGAGGAACCATCGCAAATTAAAAAGTAGCTCTTCTCGGGTGTGAATGTTAAGGGCATATCGAAAAATAGTATTTGACGAATCAAATGATTCAAGTAGAGAGTGATATGCATAATACAAAGATGAGCTGACAACCATCAGGCTCATCGAGACTTGACGAGACTGATTGACGGATCCGTGCAAGTTGAGAGATTCAACCACGCGTGGAATCTGCATCCAGCCGTTGCCGAATACATTTTCAGAGCTTAGGTTGAAGCAATTGGATGGCTCACAGTTTGCGAGGATATCTCCAATAGTTGACTGATGATGAGCAGCGGTGGCATCCGATATTAGAAGGTTCCCAGCCCTGGACTCTATGCATAGCTCGGTGTGGTTATGTAAACCTTCAACACGACCGCGGTGTGCTTGTATAGAGCTTGCGTCTTTGAAATCAGCGGCAGCTTCCTGTTGTTGAGGCGGCAATGGATTACTCCGCTCGGCCATGTCGTACGAGGCAGCCACGTCCACATTTTCCTTTATGAGAGACAGAGCGTTCTGCAGCAACAGATGGATTTTTTGACCTAAAGCTGGGTCAACATTTGGTAGACTGGAGCCTAGAAGTTCGTCGGCAAGCTGGATAAAGGTATTGCCTAGTTTCTCAAGTGTTGCCTCCAGGTGGTAAATCCGATTTGCATGTCGTGCCAACTCGGTAACCCTTCTAGCATGGAACAGCCGTTGCGACTGGCGGTTCTTTTCCCTCCGAACCTGTTCAAACACAATCGGTTAGTGAAACTGGGCGATGCAAGCATCCTGCCAAACGCTTAGAAAGCACGCAATTACCTGGAGAGTGCTGTCATGTTGTTCTCGCGGTTCCCGTGGATGCCGTCTGGGCTTTGCGCGACTGGTTGGCTGGGAATCAGTACTGGTATCCATGGGGTGCTCACAAGGTATTCCAATGTCAGGCAAGCTGGTTGGGCACCACGATCGAAACGGGGATTCTCGTGTACCTAGAGCGTGGGCAACTGTGGGTAGTGAAGGATAATTTGTCAGATGCGGCAAAGTCTAGCACCGGGATGCCGACACGTCCGGCCCGGCCAGTCGTATTAGCTAAAGTAAGTAGGCTACTCGGTATAGAATCCTAAGCTCCAAGGCTATTTACGGTGCACTATTAGTTGCAAACTTTATAGAAACTACTTGCGTAGGCGCATTTTCGAATTGGTTGACAGCCAAGGAGTGTCTCGATACTTCGGCGGCGAAGTCCCTCCCAGCGACAACTCAATTTGCTACGCCAAATGTGCGAATAGAACCCTTGCATGGCCAAATAAGCCATCATATTCCAGACATAAAACAGCGCTTCCTCGTGTGCCGGGACTTGCTCCATGCCTCAGTGTCCCACTAGGCATGTATAGGTGTGTGGACTTCCATAAGGTCCAGATCGACTGTAGCAAGGATTGTTCACATAATTGAATTTGAATGAACTGATGAAACAGAAGTTGAATTCTCTTAAGGAAAAGTGGTTACTAGCTATGTACATCTTAGGTGGCCTTAGGAAACCCGGCAGTCGTAGATCTAATCCTTTACCCACGCCCAAAAAAGGCCAAGGCCCGTTCAAGAATATCGCGCAAGCTTCGAGGCTGAAGGCCCAGAAGATCGCTGGCATTATCTTCGTCTTTCAACGCATGGCCCGCACCGTCCGCAAAAAAATGAAGTTCCAGAAGGCCTATATAGGCGCTTTTGTCTCCTTTTGCCAGTCTCTCGTCTAGTATAGTCGACAGCTCCTTGCTTGATCTCTGAGAACGATCGAACCGTATGCCGCATATGTCTTCTGCCAGATTAATGACTTCAGACTGGGTTGTTGTCACCTCAGCGATGCTAAGGTACTTGTTGGCAGTCTTGTCAGAGCGGCGAAGCACTTCTAGAATGGCTTTACTGACGAAGTCGAGGCTGCTGGCTGAGAAAGTCTCGTTGCCCGAGTCGAGAAGCATCGCTTCATGTTTGCGTGCATTTAGAATAAAAATTCCATTTTCCAGCGCCTTGAGATTCGTTAGACCTACAAACAGGAGACATAGATTCCGTAAACAGCAACTCACATAATCCAACCAAACTTCGGTGGATAAACCGGTCCAAGAGAACCACTCGTGTCTCTCGGATAGCTCGATCAAATAATCCGAGTTACTAACTTTCTCTCTGAGAAAATGCCCTACCCGGCTATCGCGGTATTTGCGATTGTTTAAACCAAACTCTGAAGGTATGAACCTCGGGACACGGGCTTCAATAATCGCGTCAATGAGCGTTCTCTGGGTTGCTGTCCCTGCAGAAGCAGTCAACGAAACAACGGCATCTTGCCCTACAACGGCGTTCCGAATCGACTCTAGTGATGAGAAGTCGACACGCATCACGGCAACGCCTTGGGGAAATGTGGCGGTTGATTCGTTCCTTGTAATGGCAGTAACCCCAAAGCCGCCGCGTAGAAGGGCCTGAACGACGTAAACGCCAAGATTACCGGACGCCTGAATTGTCAACTCAAAATCATTCTACTAGGGTGGAGTACGTACTCCCACAACGGCTACTTTCATGCTGGACATCCTCCTCTCTTCAGAAGAAAAATATGGAGGTAATAAATAGAACGGTGGGGGTTTCTCAATACTCGATGTTGAAGTAGACGACAGACCACCCACAGTTGAAACTAGAAGAAGCACTCAGATCACGTAGGGGAGAAAATCATTGGATGTGTCAGACCTTGATAAGGATGTGGTGCAACATTCATTCTTCAGAATGAATCTATGCCGTCTCACTGAGACATTACAAACCACGTTGCGTACGAAATTCGAGATAGCCTGTTGAGGGCGTGCAGTAAACTTCCGATTATCAATGCTCGCTTCTTCCATCTGCTAAAGCATTTGGAATCCTTGGAGACACGGCACAATGCACTCAGGGAATATAGAGTATAGTGGCCACCAGCCCGCAAGGTCACATTATTAATTGGCTCCAAGGAAGCACACGACGGGTTTTAGTTAGCAACAAGAGGCAAACGCGAGGCATTTGTCTTCACTTCAGGTACATAGTAAAGTGGTGTAGTTGCGTAGCAGATTGTCAATGTGCATAGCCTGGACTGTTACCGTATATGATCTAGTCAAATCTATCCATCTACACCACATCGGGATTTTTACTAAAAAGCCCGCGCTCGTTACCATCTCGGGTATGAAATGCTCCACCGTTATTAGTGATCGCCATGTCACCATCCGTGTGTCCCCATTAAGTATCTCGATTCACCTCTTCATGCCAACAACTAGGTGCAAAGTCAAATTAACTATAGGGTGCACCTCACAATGGCCTCTCCCCGGTCTATACTCCTTAATTAGTGACACTTAGTGTAATAATGAATTTAGAAGATGTTTTTGACCTGTCCTCTCGTTGTGTGATGGAAGCAAGGTTGAGCTATTGGCATTGGTCAAGTCTAGGACAGTCAACCCAACAGAAGTACATGAAGTCGGAGTATCATGGAGGTCCGGCGGTAGGTCATAGCTGGTGTACATATAGCAGCTATTGGTAATTGACTTGCTCGTAAAATAGTGCAAAGTCAGTGCTCGTGGCCCTCATATATTGCTGACATTGCGATACTCATCCCAGCTTTCATTGTAGCAGGCGATGAAAGAGAAATCCGAGTGCTTTATAATGATTATCTAGTATATAATTTATTACCGTTTCCAAATGATGTTCATCCCACTCAAAAGCCCTGTGATACCAGTATATAGGATCAAAATACCATATCCGCTCCCATACCCTCCTATAGCTTTTCCTTGCCAGGGCATACTCGCAGTAAGAGAGTCGCTGAGCGGGCCAGAAATAACGTTTCCAACGCCGCGAGCCACACAGAGGCAGCCATGTATCATGATAGGATCAGCATACCCATATCTGTCATTTTCGCCTCTTTGAGAAACCTCTCTCATGATTCCCGGCCAGATCGACGCCCACCCGCCAGAAAAGAGGCCGTAGAAGACGCAAAACAGGTATAGCACAGGTAAAGATACCGTGAGTCCCCATATTACCAAGACAGATATAGCTGCCCCTACTGCTGAGATGGCCATGCACGTTGTGACTGCAAGCTTGTCGCTTAGTAAACCCATGACTATAAGACCAATGGCAATGGCCAGATTGAATAGGATGATTGTCAACGCCGCCAGGAAAGGTGAAGCTCCAAACGTCGTGCGGGCATATGTCGGTAAGTAAATAGCTGGGAGGAAATAGCCCGTCGCCTGGATGACATTTGCCAATTGGTACAAGATGAAGATTTTCGATGCAACGAATCGCAAGTTGAGCGGCCTGCTATGAGTAACAGGCGAGTATGGCAGTCTGGGCTTGATCAATATCGTCAAAGGGAACGAAAAGACAAAGAGAATGCCAGCGGCAACTCTCACAGCATTCTGGAAGCCCAGACTATCGAGGAGAGCCTGGAGTACCAAAGGTAGAATCACGCCTCCAGCGCCTGCGGCGCTCCAAACTATACCGTAAGCAAGCCCTTTTCGCCGAACAAACCACTCGTCAATGTATAGGGTGCAAGGGCAGTAAGCAAAACAACTGCCGACCCCGTACAAGATTCCTTGGGTTACAATCAGCTGAGGCACGGTGGTGCAGAATGAGCTCAATGCCAAAGCTAAAGAAGCGATAACGAGGCCTACAGGAGTGAACCACCGGGCTTGGCGAGGATACAGGCGGCATAACGCAACAACAAACGGTGTTCCAATGTACATGATTCCCTAGATCCAGTCAGACCATGCAATAACAGTAGTAACAGGGCTTTCACACACCGTTGTAGTAGTGCCGATGGCAGCGATGCCACCGGAGCCATCGAATGGGGCATGCGAGCTATAGTAATCTTGAAACACGCCAAAGGAGAAGCCAAAGCCTGTTTTCTCTTCAATAAGCCTTGAAAACACATTTCTCATTGTGCAAGATCTCACCAAAGGTTAGGGCTTCAACACCCCAGCAAGCGGCTAAGAATAGCCACGCCGCCGCTCCAGTATCGACAGGTGGCAGGGAGAATTCGGCACTGGAGCCTTGAGGTTCAGAACTAGCACCAAGTACGTCCAACTCCTGTTCATCGTGATTCAATGTATCCGCACTCACATGGCGGAGCTCGACTGAGCCTTGGGCCATGGGATAAGAGGGATTGATAACAAGCTCGTAGGAACTACCTTGTAAGTAATAAGACACAGCTATAAAATCGACAATTTCGTTGAGATTTGAAAACAAGAAAGGATAACAAAGAGGAAGAATTTGTCTTCTTGGTAGCCGATAAGCTGACTTAGATACTAACGGAGTAAAGTTTCGGCTTCAACCGGTATCGGGAGCGGGGATATTTGCTCGGCCCGAGCCGGTGACATTTCACGATTCTTGACAGAAGTAGGAAATAGGGGTTATCGGGTGTAGGTCGTGATGTTCTTCGCGTAGTCTGGAGAGGCTGGTATTTCTTGAGTGTAGCTACGTGAAATCGGCGGCAACGACGCCAATTGGTGCCGCGTTACTCTTCGTCTCATTGGATTGATGCACGCTTAAGAGCATATTCACAACTGCTTTCTCTCTCCTTGGATGTGGTTAAAGAACAATTTGCTGCTCTTGAACCTGTTTCTTGGCTGAGCTGCGTTGTGGCGGCATCTAGCCAGAGACATGTATCTTGATTCACCAACGGCCAGAGAAATGGCGGGCAGGACATCGTTGCGTCAACGTGTTTGCATGGCACATTCTACATGTCGCTAGGTTGTATTGCTCAGTTACAACTGTTTGTTGATCCTGTAGAGACTGGGAATGCGGGCAGCAGCTCGCATAAGCTTTCCGATACATCTCACCAATTGGTCGTCCTGGTCTTGTGCGCATTTTGCACCGCAAAGGGGAATGCAAGGGCGTAATTCGCCCAATTATTCTATCTATCCCACCTTCTATAGTAATCATTCTTTGCTTTCTGCACCCATTGTGCCATTCATTTCGGCCCGGCGATGATTTGTTCGGCTTCCGCCAAGGAATCGGAAGCGTATTCGGAGCGGGAGCGTATTCGGCGCGGAAGCGCATTTAGGGCACACTCTCTATGCGGACAAGGGAATTGCTGATATTCTCTCAGATGCTATATAAACACTTGAAGAACTTCTACTACTTGGAGTTTTTGAGTTTGTTGTAGATTGAGCAAGAATCGGATCGTAAGTGAATAAATGATGGCTGGCAACAACTGGCTTGAACAAGCGACACCAACTCCAAGCCTGAGCCCAAGCCGATAAGCCTCTCTGTCCCTTTCCTCTTTAGTTTTTATTTTTGAAGATGAGCCCTATTTCGCCTCAATTTCCCTGCATATAATACGTGCGTCTCGACCTCTTGCCGTCTTCTCGCGTCGGCTTCGGAGTCGGAGTCGGAGTTGGGGGCCGGGGTCTATGGGGGGCGCTCGCGCTTGGAGTCGAGTCGTTTGCTGCTCGAGTGAATCATGCTACCCAATAACATGCGACTTTTTCGAATACTGCTTGAAGAGAATCGGGCGCTAGGATTTATTTTTGTATTCATGTTTTGCGGTGGTGGAGACAGTTCACTTACTTGTCGCATCGGCCGTTTTTTCGTCCGGAACATGCAAGGCTAAAGCTCTTGATATTCTGGCCATTGAACTTCATGCACTGATTGTGAGATGTACCAGCGCTGGAGGAGACCAATAATGGTACTTGGACGGGTGATTGTTTCTGGATGAATGAAAGTTTTGTTATCACCCAGGACATTGATGTCGCCGAGAATCAAAAGGCCGCTCTTCTGGCGACTGAGCAGAACATTTAATCTGTGCTCGTCTGTAGTAAATCCTGGGCCAACCGCTTCGGTGGTACCCATGATGGCCACAATAATGTCCGCTTCGCGGCCCTGGAAAGAGTCAACGGTCGCGGCCGGTGGCATCTCGGCAAGAGCGGCGTATCTGAGTCGCTCGCGGCGCCGTTCAACAAGGCTCACATTTGCCTTGTAGGAGCAGATAATGGCCAGTTGGGAGGCAGAGATGGCAGGAAGTTTGACCAGCTCGAGTAGAAAGTCCAAAGCTGCATCAACCTGACCTGGGTTTCTTTTCGATTTAGTCACATCGTCCACAAAGGAAATTATGCCCAGACAATGGAAAAACACCTCTGTAATGGACCCGATAGGCCATCGGCGTAAACCATCGTCTTTATACGTGTCGAGGAGATACTGTTCTAGAGCCCGGCCGACAGGATGGTTGACAAGGGGCGCTACCTCTACCATATTGAAATGGGGCATCTGCGTACACCTTACTGTGGCAGGTATTGAAGAGTCCCACGGCTATTCGGAACTGGGTCCGCGGGCGATAGATCGGCCAGCCAGAGCCTCTGAGAAATTCCATCGCTGAGACCCTGCCGTCATTACCAAAAACGATTGTAGTAATTGCCGTCATCATCCCTCTCATTATAGCTCATAACGGGAGGGGGGAGCTGCTTGTCATCACCAGCCATGGCCATTGGCAAAAGTGTGTTACCCCACACAGCGTACAAATCAGCGCGGCTAATATTGCCCGCCTCATCTATTGCAACGCCCTGGGCCAGCTCTTCCTTCCAAGGTCTGTAGGGTCTCTGGCATGACATCGCCGTCGTTGTGCACAATATGTCAGCTGATTGGAGCAGGCGATAAACAATTTTTCAACGTCTGCTTGCTTAACCATGGGGCCACTCTCGTATTCTTGCCAAGATATAGCTCCTATTGCCATATCGCGAAGACGGCTGTAATCTGCCAACCCATCAAGCTTTTTTTGAATATCATTAAGGCCAATAGGTGCCACTTTATGGATTTCGCAGACAGCCGTAGCGCAGCGTAAAGCTAGCAGGAGCCAGAAGGATGAAGAAAGTTGTAGATTCCATTGGTATTTGGGTTTCCAATTGCTGTTGGGTGTTTTAGTCACTGTCGTGAGATCTTCCGGCTTCCTTTGCAAATTCGTCCAGCAATTGAAGCCCTTGATCCTGGAGAGCTGCCTCTTTAATCTTTCTGGCGATCATTGTGCCTTTGTCTTGTGTTGTCTCTGCTCTGCTTATGACACCACCAGAGAGTTGGCCCACCGTCCTTCGTTATACCTCACCTAGCCTACCTGGGCGGGTGTTGATTCTCATCAAGTTCCTCTTTCTCGTTAGATTTCAGCGCAGACCTGTTAATGTAGCAAATTCACCGCCGCCAGTCTGCTCGCAAATAGAGGCTCGATGGCTTCCTTCCGCACTTCTCTTAGCACCTCTGCATTCTTTCTGTGCCAATGTCAATGACATGGTGGGAAGCCGACGTGGATGCAATTGTCTTCGCGGAAGCTGTTTGTTGCTGCTGGTCGTGCTTGTCGAGTCATGCTACCGCTAAACTATGAGATATAGCCAGAACGTGGATTCCCAGAACGTGGATTCCCAGAACATGGATGCGCAATATCATCACCATCCAGCTAGAGGGTTTATTTACTCACTTCTAGGACAAACTAGCAATTCAAACAATCAACTTCTACTATTTGTTTTAGTTTCCATCATATCTGGCCAAGTACTTTACTTATAGGGCAGTTTAAATTATTTAATTATACTCTACCAGGCGGGATGTCTTAATGTTCCTTTACTTGTCTATACCTAGTGCTACAGTTTCTGTTCTTATATCCTTACTGCTTAAGTCTCGTACTACGAATTGTGCTGCATCGATATCCATTTCATTAAATATATACGAAGTCGCTACTACCCAGCTATGCAGTCTATATAGATCCTTACTCTTTATTCCCACTCTTTAATCTGACTACACAAATGCCTTGAAGCCATTGCTCTCTAAATTTCATTTCCTGACTTGTTATCGGAATGCGTTACCAGGTGCCTTTTCAACACCGTCTTGTCTTTGAAGCCTGCACCACAAATATGACATTCAAAAGGTCGCTCATCGGTGTAGGTGAGCATATGGTGTCTGGGGTTAGTCGATACATCGAAGATCTTGCCACACTCAGGGCACTTATGTGTTGACGTGTCGGTACATACCGCAGACGAGATATTGTGTTGCAAGCTCGTATAAATTGGAAAAGTTTTCCCACACCCATTGCACGCTAACTTCCAGAAATCCTCTGTGAAGTCATCTGGGCCTTGGCTCTCAGTATCGTCGATTGCCTCGTTGTCGTGCTCCTGTCGGCAGTGTTTAAGGAGAAGTCCGGCGGTTTTAAAGCTTTCTGGACAGTCTAGGCATTTGAATACCAGGTGGTCTTGCGTGCCAAAGAGCCAGGGGTCGATGGGGACCAGCAACATCTTGAAGGATGGCGATGGTGGCGCAACAGGCGTGATGGTTCGGTCCCATTCGCCCATCCACAACTTGTCTCCAAGAGTGGGATCAACGTCCCAGTAAGAATGCGAGATAGGGACCTTGCTGATAAGCTTTCGAAGCGGGTTCCAGTCCATTGACGAATAGTTGTACATGGTTTTGTTGGTGGCCCAAGTTAGAAGGTATTCCAATTCTCTGCGGCCTGATGTAGGTAGCAGAGGTAGCAGAGGTAGCAGAGGTAGCAGAGGTAGCAGAGGTAGCAGAGGTAGCAGAGGTAGCAGTGGTAGCAGAGGTAGCAGTGGTAGTAAAATCTCCTGTTGCGTTCTAAAAGAGCATGTCTATATCATGGAGCCTTATCAAAGCAGTAACAAGCACGAGATAAAATGGCGTATTTCTGTTTTTGAACCACTTTGACGGCATGTTATGCAATTCATACCCAGGGCCCACGAGAAGTCGACTCCTGTATAGTCGCAAGTGCCTGTCAATTTGCTGCTGTCGGCGCCTCACTTTGCTGCAGTTGATGTGTACCGATGGTGCCATTGGTTGAGGTCCGATCCGAATACGCCCATTCTCATCAGTGAAAGCTTCGTACTTGTCACTGTCCGAGGGGATTTTTGTGGCTCTAGATGGACCGTCTTTCACGTCGACCTCTTCCAAGTCATCGAACATCTCATCAACGTCAACAATGGACATTATGTCGTCGTCGGATGAGTCTTCTGGCTCGACATCATCAGGACTGGGCTCAGACTCTCCACCAATATCGGCAAAGTCATTGAAGTAGTTGACTTTTGGGGCAGCGGAGACACGGGATGAACGCCTGGGGCCATTTGATGGCGGCGGGATCTGCTCAGGGAGGGAAAAAGCATTGGCGGGAAGAGTTGCTGGGGTGAGGGGGGGCAATTCTTCAGGAGTCTTGAGGCGAGGCCTTTTCGGTGCCGGGATGTCGAGCACATAGTCTACTGTCGGGTCGAAGGGCACAATGTTTGCCGAGACCTCAGCAAGTAGCCGTCTCACTGCCAAACGAGTCTGTCTCCTTGTCTGCCGAGAGGGTAGTCTCAAAGCTACAAATTATTAGCAAATGAAAGGAACATGAGATGTGGAAAGATGACATACCATTTGGGTTGGAGCCACCCAATCGACCATCGCCAGAAATGGCAGCGTCGCGGTCAACCTCGAACTGTACTCGCAATTGGTCGAGAGCGTTTCCGGAAAAGGTCCGATTGAGCTCCGTTAGGATGGTGACGGGGACGGTGATCCAGTCGGAATCCTTTACCAGGTTGAGGAGTTCGATCTGCGCGTCGATGCCGGCACGAGCTTCATCCGCTTTGTCCTGGATCCGAATTCCGAGCATTGTTTCGAGGTCTTGCTTCTCAGGGCCGCTACTACCTGAAATTTGTTGACGGATGGCCTGGATGTCGTCTGTGATGGACTTGCAGGCGAGGTAGTGTTCCGTCACGCGCCTGGCGCATGCATTGTAAACGTTGGGAGCCATTGCGTGATATGCTGGACATTGTTAGTACACTGTACTTCAGGATGTACAACTTTGGACGTGAGACTTACAAGAGAGTGAGATGGTGTACTAAACTGAGTCGTATTGTCTGTGAGGGTCGTGGCAGGTCGCCGTAAGTGATACACACTTTAAAGAGAGATGCGTAAAACTGTCGAAATGTAACTGGGTTGTCCGAAATGCTGGTGTAGAATACCGAAAACAAAACCCACTCTAAAGAGAGATGGGTGAGTATCCGAAGACAAACGTCGCGACGCGCAGCACGACGGCGAGGGAAAAGACGACAGGGACAAAGGCACGAAAATGGTGCTAGAGAGAGGTACAGACGACGCAAAAAGCTCCAATTGGATGAATGAAGCTTGAAAATCTCACGACAATGACTAGGATCACGATCTTGCTCCAGACCAAGTCTTTTTGTCTATGATAAACGAGGAGGTTGCCAGAAGTGATACCCACTATCGCGAGATAGGTGAGAATCCAAAGACAAAGGTCGAAACGGCGCAGCACAGCGGCAAGAGCAGAGGCGACACAAGGCAAAGGCACAACAATGGTGCCAAAAAGATCACAGCAGACGGCTTCAGTTGCGGTAAGAACTGGTGGAAGAAGCTGAAATATCACACGACAATGGCTAGAAAAATGTGACAAGATTATGCTTTCCATGGTCAAGATTTTGATTTTCTTTGGGCGGTGCCATGTCGCTCCTTCCTCTTTGCCCAGTCGTCATGTTCCCACACCACATGCATCCATTGTTTTTTTCTTACAGCCGCTACTACTGCTATTGACGGGAGCTACAGCCGCTATAGCTACCTACAGTTATAGGGGCTACTACAGCTACTACTGCTCAACTACTACTGCTACTGCTGCTACTGCTACTGCTGCTACTGCTGCTACTGCTGCTACTGCTGCTACTGCTGCTACTGCTGCTACTGCTGCTACTGCTGCTACTGCTGCTATCAACAGGTAAGGTACGGTAGTTACTGCTGCTACAGTTACTGCTGCTAGCGCCTGCAGCACGCGACTTGGTGCGCCCGTCGTCATTCACATCTCCAGAAAAGACGATAAGTTGCGCCAAAACCAAAGTAATAAACGCCGCGTGCATTATAGATTACATGTATCTGTACAATAACAAACATGAAAACTCGGCGTCAGTTGAATGACCGCCTCGTCGCGAAGAACTGTCCCTGCTCAATAGGGCAACACAACACTGATTATAAGAGCACAGCACCGCAAAACCCAAATAGGGGATCAAAAAGAGCCAGATCAAAGGAAAGGTCTCCCCAGCGCCCACATCGCAATCAACACAAAAACATTGTCCTTTTCAATCACTTTGCATCTCTCCAGGCGAGAGAGATATAATGAATATCTGGCTTTGTCGCGAATCTCCAGTCAAGGTTTCCAGTATCAGGGGGGAAAATAAGATTGCCTTTTTTTAGGTGTCTGGGATAGAAAAGTCACTCATAGAGTTCGTCGCTGCGCAAGTCCAGGTGTTGCTCCAGATTCTGGGCCAATTGGCGCGGTGGCAATATTGATTGAAGCTGCTGAGCATGCTCTTGCACCAGCGAGCACACAAAGGCAGGAATACTGGGATTCATCATGCAAAATGAAATCATATTAACAAACTGAGTAACTGTCTAGGCGTGGTCGGGATCTCTTAGTGACGCGACTGCTCTCAACGCGTCCTTCCGGAGTTGTGTCGCTTTCTCGTCTGCATCTCGTTCTTCAGAGAAAAGCGCTTCATCTTCAGTCACTCCGCAAAGCCTGTGTAATGTAGAAATTAGCAGTCGCATGGCTCTCCGAAGATGCGCGTCTGCCATCCGTCTTGGTCTTGTGGCCATCTCGCAGTACAAGAGGGAATCCTCAAATATCTTCAAATCAGCCTTTTCTACTCCTCCTGCTTCTTCCAACATTGCACCCAGCTCGTCCGTGTTCATTGACACTCTCGTTGCTTTCGCCATTTTATCTGCCACAGTGTTCCAGACAGGATGGGCAGTGTGCGGCCTCTTTGTTAACGATTCATTAGTCGCATCTTGTAGGAGCGCGACTTCTTCTTCTTCCGCGCTGTTTCCCAAGCTGTCGTCTGAGCCGACATTCTCCTCTTCCAATGAATCACGGGACTGCACAGATCCATGGCGAATAACATCTGAGCCCGGAATATACGGCTCCGGGGGATAAACATCATAGTCAAATGGACGGGGGATTGATCCATCTTCAATCCACATTCCCTCTGGTGACAGGCGAATAGTCTCCCTTGGGCCGACATCGCTCATTCTGCGCTTAGAATCACGTATCTCAGATTCAAACACATCGTCGTGAAATCCGAACTCGCCGAAGGAAGGCAACCTTAGGAGGAAAGCCAACACACGGGTCGATTTAACGAGTTCATGAAGAAGTGCATCAGCTGCATCAACGACATGCCAGAATCTGACGACGCCTGGACATTGGCTGGGCTCAGATCTTAGACCTCTTGAACTCGCATCCTTGAAAGTTATAACGCCTTACATTCTTCCTCGTATCATCTTTCGTGCGCGGCCGAGGGGTCCTCACAAATACTGGGCCCAGCATATACATAGAACAGCCAACCTATAGTGTCTTTGTAGTTGCATGTCCTATGTCCGAAAGTGCGTTTCTCTTTGCCTCTTCGCTTTCAGCATCGTCGTAGGCGGCCATCTTTACCGAGAATGACGTGTAGAAATTCTCCTTGGTCTGTGATTTTCGCTTGTTGGCGGTAAGAGTTGTAAGTCCAATCATGTAGAGGTTACCTCCTATATTTGACGTGCAATTATCAGATACCAGCTTGAAGAGCGCATGCAAACAGTTCGGCTATTGGCAGCTCAAAGCCCCCACCATTAATATTGATTGGAAAGTGAATCGTAAGTGGACGAATTCATAGCCGGCAACTGGCAGCTTGCAGTTGGCAGCCAGTTGGCAGCTGTTGCAAGAAATCAACAAACGCACAACCCAGGGCTGCCGGCCCCCTCTCAGTTCCCTTTTTTCTCTTCCCTTCTCTTCTTTCTTTTCTTGTTTTTTGCTCTTTCTTCTCCATGGTGAATTCAGCTCGTGAATTCAGCTCGTGAACTCAGCTCTCGTCTTCTGCCTCCCGCTCTGCTCTCGCCTCCGGCTCTCTGGTAGGCCTATATCTCTCTGGTTGCTATTCACGACTGTCGACGAGCTTCAGCTAATAACAATGTCATCACAGTTCTTCTCAAGTTTTGCACCTTGAGTCTGCATCGCCGTTGTCCCTTGTGACAACCTGAAAGTTCTCGCCCGCGTGTTTTGTCTTGTGCCTCGTGCTACTTTCCCATCTCTCTTTAGAGTGGGAAACGTAACTTCGATACCTTTTCAATCATCTCTCTCCGCCCCGCGTTCGACGCTGCCTCTTTCGATATTGTCTTCGCCCCTCTCGTTTGGTGTGCTCATCTCCCCTTGAGTGGACTACATCTGTAGATACGCCGCTCTTCTCTTCGACTTCATTGAAGTAGCAAGTTTTTGCGCCGGCAGTTTCTGCCTTTGGGTTTTCGTGCCTCGAGCTGTCTTCCTTTCTCTTCGGAGGAGGAAACTCTTTTTTTTTTTCTTTTCTCTCCGGAGAAGGAAACTTTCTTTCTTGCAGAATGTCTCAACCAACGGCACCTGAAAGAACCCCAGTCCCTAAACCTCATTACTGGAAGTCAAGTGCTCTTTTGCTCGACGACACAGTAATCTTCGGCGGCAAAGGGCTAGGCTTTGAGACTCCTTTCGACATTACTATCCATGTCCACAATGAGACTCACAAGACTGCTTGGTTTGGATTCAGTTTGAGTGTTCCCTTGGGACCCAATCTTGAGGAAGATGGCTTTGGCATGTGCCATACACGTAAGTCATTTACATACGCTTGAGGGTCCCTATATACGAGCTAACTATTTGGACTCGCAGTTTCCAGACATAGCGGCCGACTCCACGTTGCCCCAGCTGAGACGTACGATATTCAAGTTCTATTTCCCAGCAACGCCTATTCCTTCACCGAGGACCTCCCTCCATCGCTGCTTGCCGCCATCCCCGACTCCGACAAGTTGTGCCGACTCAACGTTTACCTGAAGCCGGGTACCTACAGTACTATCAAAAGGTTCGGAATGCCGTTTTCGCACCCAGGCACGGAGATCGAGGCAGTCATCAACGACAATGAGCCAATGTGCGCTGGTAGGACCCTGGTGGATATTCTTCAACAGCGTGAATTCTCGTTTGTTGTCGCTGCCTCATCCAATGCGGTAGACGCTCATTGGCTCCAAGATCTACCGCCACCGTTCCGTTACCCGTATGGCGAAGAGCACTCCTGGTCTTATGAGCGATACGATGAGCTCATCAAATGGAACAAGGGTCCCCAATTTGTGCCTGCTTGGAGCTTTGACAATGAAAATGAGCATCTTGCTGCGCTCACACAGTCTGAGATACAGGACGTCATGTGGGTTCACCAAGCGTCCAAGGAAATCCGCCAAGAGTTTCTGCGAGCCTACTTCATTGCCCCCGGTGATGCAGACCCGCAAGATTGCAGAGAGCTCTTTGCTATTGTTTCTCTTGGGACACAGTTCATTGAGCAATATCGTCAGCCTTGGTCCCGTCTTGTCAGCTCAGGGCACCTGAAGCTTCGGCTTTTCGATCATGAAGGTGACCAGACTCCCGCGGAATGGAGCGCACGCATTGCCGAGGGTTTCGATATGGCCAGGCATTCAGTGCACAATGGAGACTTTGTTCTTCAGGTCCAGAGACCCAGCTCGGCAGATATCGACCACCGCCCCGACTTCGTTGTCAAGGCTTTCAGAGATCGCAGGAGTGCTGACAGTGCGCTTCGACGGGACAAGGACAGCTGGACCTGCGTCTCTCTGCAATTCGATGACGACTTGTTCAGGGACCAGATCCGTAAGGTCAAGGCAGTCAATTGGTTTAACTCCGAGGCAAAGCCGTTTAATGCGCCTGAAGAAGTGGACGGTGAAGTGGCTTCGCCGCCAGTTTCTGAGGACCTCCAGCTCAAGATGGCGCTTCATCGCGCCCTTGTGCACGGCAATGGCTTCTGGAACGTCCTCGTCCAAAGGCTGGATGATGAAGAGGTCGAACGACTCGCCGATGCCATGGCAAAGGCACGTCTGACCGACAACGCCGACAATGGCGGATTCCAGGCAGAGTCGACGCCTCGCCGGAGCCTTCCTGCCGTCAATCTCATCGATCTTCCCCAGAGGCATATCGATGCCCTGCTGGCAGATGTCTTGCTCGATGACCGTCTGCGCCTCTACAACTATTTGGTCAAGAGCCATCTCGGCCTCGTTCTTGTAGCAGCGGTAAGTGATCTCCCTTCTTATTTCTAACATTATTCAACGTCTGCTACATCTGCTCTTGAACATCATTTGCTAACGGTTAGAATCATTTAGCCACCTGGTTTCGGCAAAACGAGCCTTTTATCCACCATAACGCTCTCCATGGCAGCAAATCTCCGCAAGATCTTTGCCGCAGCACCAACCAACGTTGCGACCGACAACTTTGCCGAGCGGCTACACGTTACAACGGAGATTGTTGTCATGCGTCTGAACCAGGGCAAGGAATGGAGAGACAAGACGAGAGACCGGCGCACCTTCATCATGCGCGGGTATAAGCCCGAGGATGAATATCAAGCATTCATCAACCTCTTGCGAGATCCAAAGCTTGGTGACAAGGCGGCGCCCAACGATTGGATCAGTGAATCTCATTGGAAGCTGCATCTCTCTCCCTCTTTCTGGCTTCTCATGGCCCTAGGGTCCGAAGCTGTCCGCAAGCTCCATGATGACGACCACTCGAGCATCCACGAATTGCAGCGCATACTTTACTCGATGCCAGACTGCGAGCGCCTTCGTAAAGTGGCCAGAGGAGACATGACCTGGGAAGAGTACCAAAGCGGCCCAATGGCGGACAGAGAGGAGATCGAGAGCATGTTCTATACTCTCTTGCAGGCAGTTGACATCTTGTGCACGACGCCGTCGCTATCATGCCAGGGTGACTTCAAGGCCTGGAAAGAAAAGGCCAATGGCATCGCCGTAGACGAGGCAGGCAATATCAGCCGCCCAGACCTCTACTGTGTATGGGGCAACACGCTTTTGCCATGCGCCATGGGCGGTGACGATAGGCAGTTTGCTCCGGCAAAAATGACTCGAGAGAATGAGACGGATGACGATGAAAACCATCTCAACCGGTTCGGCGGGGATGCAAGAATCTCTGCGCTTGAGTTCTTCAGAGGGTCCGGCTGGCCTACCTTCCGTCTACGAGTCCAGCTACGAATGGCCAGGGGTCTCTTCGACATTTGCCACCAGCATGTCTACAGAGACCTTCCTTTTAGCTACGGCGCTGGGAGCGTGCTTGGGAACCATCCTGTTGGTCAGGCCCTGGAAGAGTATCTCTTGACGAGATTTCCGGAATTGTACCGGTCGCCTTCCGACACCCTTAGCGCTTGTTTTTTCCATTGTCCAGGCTCGACCTGCGTTGTAGATGATGTGAGCAAGTCAAAGAGGAACCCAGACCAGGTAGAGCACGCTCTGGAGTTTCTCAGCGACTTGGTCACGAATTCGGCAAAACGAATCCGCGCCTCCAACATCGCCATCATCAGCCCTTACACGGCTAATGTCAAATATGTTGAGCTTCGTCGCAAGGCGTACCCGGCACTTTCCGCCATGGCGCCAGCCGCCACTGTCGACTCTTTCCAGGGTCGTGAAGCCGACATCATCGTGGTCATCATGGGCACCACGCAGACTGTCGGCCCAGGTTTCACGACGGATAAGCGACGGCTCAATGTGATGCTCAGTCGTCAAAGAAGCGGTCTCCTCATCTTCGGGGACATCAACGTCTTGGGACCGATGAAAGACATGGGCAAGGGCAAGGGCAAGAGCTTGGTGAGAGTGAACGAGGATGGAAACAAGCAGTTTATGCGAAAAGGCATGCTCTACCACGTGCTACGAAAATTGCATGATCAAGGTCGCGTGGTGACATTGCCGTGCAGGGGCTGGTAGGAGAGATTTTGGGATTGGACACGCAGTTGTAGTCATTGTATAGGTCTACCTTATGTAGTTTTTTGTATTACATGTAACAAGTACTAATTCGCGTTGTTTACTGGTCCTACTGATTCATACCGTGAGTCTATGTCAGCCAGGTCCAGTTTCCACACACGGTCACTTTCAAGATGTCATTGGTAATCTCGATTGGACGGTCCTCCTCTTCAAATAGATTGTTCGTCAATTAATAGAGGATATCGAACCATGGGATGAGCGGTCCGCGAGAGCCTTGCAAATATACAGAATATACAGAATAAGGCGCAGTCTTGGTCCTTTCTCAAGGTGCAACTTGAAACAGGACCGTCATGAGCACATTGGCGTCTAGAGAAAGCTGGAGAGACGACAGAGACGATGATGATGACTTTGAAACGGACAGGCATGCCGCCCCCCCAAACAAGTAAAACAACCAATACATAATCTTCTCCGGAGCCTGTGACCTCACCAGCGACGAAGGGAGTTCAAAGAAGCTGTCGCTTGGTTCCATGTTGATCATTCGAGGCATACTGGAGTCCTTCATTATGTGAGGTAGTACTAGGTGCTTGGATCCAACTTGCATCATGAGGCTTGCGATTTTGTTGATACACATATCCAAGAGAAAGTCACGTACACGGCTCATGCGGTAATCACAGGAAAGAAAGCAGATCCAATGCGTAATCTCTACGACATCAGACGCAGGGACATGCGAAGTGGGATGATAAAGTCTGTTTCTTCTGTCTATGATACAGGCTATCGGGCTGCCATATACTCAGAGTTGGGAAGAACAAGCCAAATGCTAGACAAGAGACCGAAGAGGACGGTCGGCAGCGACATGGAAGGCAACGACGACAGCCCGCCAAGCGCCAAGACACGTTTCAATCAGCATCAAGGGCATTAAGCTCCCAGTGAGAACGTCTATTCTTTGCAGAATAAACCACTGATTGTGCGCTGAGCCAGTACTCCTGGTGGATTTCCCATGTGCATTCCTCTTCGTTTATCGAAGTTTAGCGGAACTTGCCAGGGTTAGCCCAAATCAGCTTGTACATACAAGCGATTACTGGGAGAAGTAGATCAATATCGGACATTAAGGCTTTTGAGTTGATTCAACAAGATATCCTTCAAAAAGTGAACTCCCGGTTGGGAGAATGTAGTGGCCTGTCTTGCGATGCACCAGAAACAGGTGACGGCTTTCAACGAAGGGGACTGCAATATCAAGAAGGGAAAAGCTATGTGCATGTATCCAACAACCCAGGTGGATTATTCACGCACCAGCAGTAAGTATAGTAAGTATAGTAGATATAGTAGATATAGTAGATATAGTAGATATAGTAGATATAGTAGATATAGTAGATATAGTAGATATAGTAGATATAGTAGATATAGTAGATATAGTAGATATAGTAGATATAGTACTAGATATGTAGCGCTAATCTACCTATCTGATAGTTAAGGATACACCCCGCGAATAGTCTCTAGACTGTCATGTTGGGCCTCTTAGTCCTGCCACGCCTTGCACAATAGAGATAATTTCTGCCATGGACAGGGCCATTAACCAGTCTACCTCTGCGCAGTTCTTGATATTGTCCAAGAGGCCCCAGAGACGCTGTTCTTCGTCAGTAGCTCTCTGCTTCTCCTTCACGCGTTGCTCTCTGTCTTCTTCGGCAAACATTGCTTCGGGCAGCGGCAGCCGCAGCCGCAGTGCCTCGGCTGGGAGAGTGTCAATGTCTATTGAGGTGACAAATCCCTGGCGGTTGACATGGAGACCTTTGCCAGGGGGCAGATGTACCGATAAACTTTGCACGGTCTCTCGAATATGGTGTCGCGCATGGTGTAGATATATGCATTTCTGCTCTGGGCCCATAGTATCCAACATGTTTTACTGCGAGTCCGGCATTTGCCATGGGGGGCCTCGAGAGCCAGGTGGCTCATTGCGCATGGCGACTTCTTTGAGATCCATTGTCCAGATACGACCAGTTTTCAAGATACCTCTAGTAATCTCAATTGGGTGGTATACCTCTAGTAATCTCAATTGGGTGGTCTCTACCTGCACAGTCCACACCATCCATGAGATTGCATATCAATGTCTATTCAGCTTCGAGGGGAGAAGTAGGACCATAAAATTAATGATCGGCGAGAATTTTTGGGACACATAGTTAAATGGTCCTGCAGCCTTCGTCTCTGGACAAGTGGGTGTACTTTGGAGTACCCACGAGGTGCACAGGTGGTAGACCTGTCATGACCAAGTCACCATCGGAAGGGAGCAAATATGGCTCCATGTTGATCATTCGCGGCATAAGAGAATCCCTCATCATGTGAGGCAGCACAGGGAGTCTCTGGAAGGGAGAGAAGCTTGGCACTTTCGTCCCAATCTCCAGCACAAGAGCACAAGTGCTTTGATCACATTGGGATGCAGTTCAGGGTCGTCTGGCACTACCATGTCGTTATGTCTTTTGTCACCAGAAACAGTGCAATCCACATATCGGAAGAAGTGTATAAACTCCGCCAAGCCTGTAACCTCTGCGAATCGCAGCCAGTGTGGATAGTACACAAGGCATTCAGCTAATGTTGGCTGATAGATCTTAACATTGTCCACTGCGTTACGACCCTCCTCCATAAATTCTTCAGGGTTCAATTGGTGGCCGGCAACAATATTATACCATGCGAACAGAGCAAGATATAAAGTATCCAGTGTTTAAAAGATCCTTGTCGCATTTGAGGGCAAATTGTTCCAGCCGCCTAGTGAGATCTTTGGGGAAGGTCATGGCTTTGATGAATGGGACTGGGTATCTGAAACCTGATATTCAAGCTTACCGCAGTAAACTCGCTGGCGGTGAGTGTCCTCTATCTTGTAACAGGTGCCACAGGGTTGCCTTTCCAAGGATTTTCAACAGTCAATCCAAAGCTGTTGCGCACCCCTTGGAGTCCTTCTGAAGCTCCTCGATAAACTGTTGAGAATATATGCCCATCCACTAGCTTCTTAATAGCAATCAAGTTGGCCGGCTGCAGGAATGAGTAATGCGGAATAGTTCGCATGCCTGTTGCTGAGCCTCCTGGTTCCATCTTGAATTGGTTGCGTTGAAATTGAAAGTTGACTTGCAGCATTGCCTCTGGCCTCATGATATCACTCCTGACTGGTCTGACAACAACTGGTTTGGCATACATATATATCGGCCCTTCATTGTGTGCGCCTGCCACCGCGGGTTCAGGGCGAGGAGTATATTCGGGATTTTGTCGGAGTCGCTCTGCATCTGCTCCATCGTCATATTGTTTGTCAGATACAGCCTCATTACCAACAAATCAACCAGTATCGATACTCACCCTCATTTCCCTTGTCTTGCTGTTCTCCGCATCATATTATCCCAAGGAGAGGAGATGCAGTCCACTGCCGAGAGTATTGTTTCATCAAAAAACGAAAGTTCTTAAAGAAATTTAATAGCAATCTGTAATGGTGGAGCTTCGACCAGACTCTGAGAATTTCTGCTTTACTAGAGCCCATACAGTTGATACCATTCACGCAGCTGGCATCACTCACGGCAGCTGGCATCTTGTGTGGAATTTCTTTGTCCTTTTTCTTCTTCTTTTTTCTTTTGTTTTCTTTTGTTTTCTTTTGTTTTCTTTTGTTTTCTTTTGTTTTCTTTTGTTTTCTTTTGTTTTCTTTTGTTTTCTTTTGTTTTCTTTTGTTTTCTTTTGTTTTCTTTTGTTTTCTTTTGTTTTCTTTTGTTTTCTTTTGTTTTCTTTTGTTTTCTTTTGTTTTCTTTTGTTTCCTTTCTCTCCTCTCTCCTGCAGCTCTTTTTCCTTCATTGTCGTGTCAATTCTCCGGACAAATCCGACCCGAATCATTCCGCTTCCTTTGCTGCATCAGACTCAATCTCCTTTTGGCTTGCCCGCCAGGTAATCTCTACTTCCCCACATGAGCTTGTCGTATCAATCAATGCTCATCAGTCGATAGCTCGCACGCAAACAATCAAGATGGGCGACGATCTCGAAGAGTCTGCCAGCGCACCACTTACCACGTCTCAAGAGCGCGTTCTCGCTTTCGTACAAGAGTTCCTACTGCGGAGAGCGGGACAAGAACATCCATTTCCCACGGCAAGCCTCAAGGACCCCTCTGTAGTGGCCGATTATTTGGCCATGAAACGTCTAATCGATGAAGGACTTTTGACGGTGCCTCCCGATACAACTATACGTCCTGGACGTAATGGGCGCTGGATAGGCTTCCGAGTACCCTCCTATCCGTTCACTCATATGTCTTATCCCCGCGATCTTTATATTTCTGACTCGGGATTGACTGATCGCTATGCATTCACCGGCACCAATACAAGCTCGGCCAGCAGCATCGAAGAACTCTGGCCTAGAAGCACAAAAGACGACGAGGAATGGGCCTTGGAATGCCGAGTTTATGAGGTAATGGAAGCCAGACCATACACTGCTCATCCTGTGTGGAACTCGGTCGCAAAAAGAGGACGCATGAAAATTCCAGGGTTGGAAGCGATAGTGGAAGAAGCGGGCAAAATCGAAGAGGCTGATTTCGAGACATTCGAGGAATCTCTCTTGCATTGTGACTCGGATACAAGGCCAGGATCGGCACCATTAGAGGATTTGCCCTTCCAAACGGTTTTCTACAAGCTCTTGTCGGCACTACACAGACTCTGCGGAGAGATGGAACATGAGACCTTATTCTCAAACATGACGGATGTACGGTCCCTAGTCCAGAAAAGGGCTCTCGAAGGAGTCTCGTCGCTACGAGATGCCGAAAACGCACACACCTTCATCCACTTCATTGACAAGATACACTTCTGCATGGTGGCTCCGGAGATCCCTAGATGCGTGACTATACTAGTGCAGAAACACACTGAAGACCTGCGAGAGCTACTTCGTTCACGACAATTGGCCCCAAAGCTGAAGACACTCTTGAACGCCCACGCCAATCGCCACAATGAATAAAGAATCGAAACTCCGTGTCTCGGCTTGGGATATCGCTCACGTGATGGAAAACTATGGGGAGAAGTGCATATGAGGAGTCTATCGGAAAATGGGACGTCAGAGATGCTCATGATTTCTTTTCTTTTCTTTTCAGCTTTTTGTCTTCTTACCCTGTGGACTATGGCCTCTTGGTAGGCACTATTTTTCATCAAGAGGAAAACACATGCCTGACGCGCTGCTTTCTTTCTCTTTTCTTCTTCATTTAGTCATGATCATGCACGTACTTGGTTCTCAACTCTCCCTCGAGAGGTTTTATATCGCCAGAGGAACTCATGCCTCTCCTGAAAGGCGGCAGGGTGGAGTTAGGAAGGTAATCATAGTTCGTGAACAAGATACAAATGGCAAGACAACTACCTGTAGTAGCTTGGAAACTTTGTGAACTACGCTAGGATTGCATTCTCTATCATGCATTTGAAGTGGCTTCCTCTTGCCGTGCCGTACTCCACGTCATAGCATTCACAAGTGAAAAGATGCAGTCCTCTGCTGTGGTTATTGTCACTCCAAAAGCTAAAGCTGAGGCATCTCAAACAATTTCTTGAAAGCCCGTACAGTTGACATGATTCACGCAGCCGCATCAACTTATGCCCGCCGACTTTATCATTTCCCTTCCCTTGCCTTCTTTTCTTATCTGTTCGTTCGGAAAAATCAAGGCCCATGATCTGGCTCACAGCTGGATCGGCAACTGGTTCGGCCCGCAATCGATCGTACCTGAATCTCGATTGCAAGGCCCACTTCAATGCTTCCAGCCCCACCTGCATTCTACTGCTATATATTTCCTCTCCCGCCGCTTTTTCTTTCCTGTTTCTTCCCTCTTCTTCCTCATAAAGAGGGTGCCACTTGTCTTTGTCTTCTGAGGAAGAGGAAAGCGGCTTTTTGCCGCGGGCCTTTTCGGGCGGTCCCTTGGAGGAGGGCAAAGGCAAGGGGTGGTCTAACTCGCAAGAGTGGGCTAGGAAGGCCCTCAACCTCACCCTCAGACCTCTTCCCCTTTACTGGGAATGTCATAATCTTTGGAACCCTAATGTTTTCTTTTCATTGCTTGGCTGGGGCTTGCCCTGGCAGCGAAGAAGAAGTTGATGGGCCCGTCACGGCAGCACATCCCACGCATGAGCTCGATGGGGTTACACAGATCCTATAGGGACCAGAAGGACGAGGCTTTCCTCAGAAGCGAAGCAACGGATACAAGGACGAAAAAGATTTGCTAGAGTAACAGATGCCTTGTCTGAAAGGCGGCAAAATGGAAGTGAAGGGTAAAATTCTTTTGTGTCATATGTAATCTTTCAGCGCATTTGGTTTAGGAATCCTGTGATATGCCCCGTGGCCGCATTCACTAGCATGAATTCAAAGTGGCGTACATCACTGAATTCTCTTTGCATTCGTGCCTCCTAGAGCCGGATCGATAACGGGTCTTTGTAAAACGCGACGGATAAAAGCAAGTGAATTGGAGGCGAGCGATAAGGCCACGCGTCGACGCGACACCATTCTGGCGCATCTTTGGCAGCTGGAAGACACTTTGCCTCGCGTGTCAAGCACCAAATGCAACTGATCGCACATATTCAACATTTTCCATTCGCACATTTCTATGCATATGCCCCCATTCACCCTGTGTAGCAATCCGCGCTGGGGCATCTTCGTGAGCTCTTAAATCTTCATTCATGGGCGGAAACTCGTCCAAAGCCATTCTGGCAAACAGAACGTTCTTCGGCTGTTCTTCTTGGCTTTGAGAAGCCTGTGCCGGTGATCCTAGAGTCGGGACTGCTCTTCTAGAAAATGGGTAGGGCTATCTGTCTTCTTTTGTTGGCAACGACGATTTTCTTCAGCATGCTCCCTGCTAATCTGCCTGTTTTACAGTTTCTCACGTCGTCGCGCGCCTCTACGCTTCAAGCTCCATGACTTTCCTCCTCCTTACGACCCAAAACAGCTGCCCATTTCAGTTCTGTGCGAAATAGAGATACCCGACCGAATAACAGACCTGTGCTCCTGAAGCTCCTCCGTACTCCTAAAGCATCGAATAGTAAGACACGAATCGCACATGGATAATTCTAGTTCGAACTTCTCCTTATAGGCCGCCAAGCATGCGTCCAGTTCTTAACTCACAAGATGGTTTTGTTAGGCAGAGGTTACGATATCGGAGATCCAAGCTCTAACATAGAAATTCGATTCTCAGAGACTTTCTTTTGTCTCGACCGATAGTCTGTCGATTTATCATTTCCCGCAGCACGTATTTTGCCGAAAATCACGTTGCTTTGCCGCATATCTCAGAGGCTCTGTTTTGTTTGTCCTCGTCAGCCTATCGATATAAGTCCCCCTCGCAGCACATATCGCCCGACATCGCGTTGCTTTTCTGCCCATCTTTTTCGTCAAAGGCCTCCCAATCTCTTTCGGCAACTCCCTCTCATGCTCTTGGAGACAAAGTACTTACAAATTTTTAGCTCATGCATAGACTCAGCATTTGACAAATTACTACTCGCCCATCGTTCCCGAAAAACCTATCCCTGTTTTGAAGAGCCCCGAGGCACTTTTACATTCTCTTCGGCCCATTTAATGTTCTTCATGATGCGCGCAATGAGTTGGAGCCTGAAGATTACAACCGCCGGACCAATGCAGAATCGGTCGTTTACCAGTCTTTTGCTGGCGGTTTTCGCGATTTGAACAATTTGCCAAAGAACTTGGCAAGCCTCTCGACTTGCACCACCCAGGACCTCACAGCCGTGACCACTCTTCACCTTGCCACTCGTCCTTTCGAGCTCATCCTTGTGTACTTTCTCGCATTCTCTTCGTATCAATTAATCATGCACTTGACGTTTTTGAGACAGAAGCCATACGAACCCTTTGTTGACCTGTTGGCGTATCTGATACTTCAGACCACAGAGACTAGTATAAAATGGCCAATACGTCGCGGCGCCTAATTTTGCATTCTACCTTAGCTGCCTCGTGTAATGACCTTGAGTTTCTTGTTTCGCCTCTGCACTTCCCACATCCAAAGACGCTTGAATCAGGCCCAGTTGTCCTTGGTGTTACATAATCTTCTACTCTCCCCAATATCTCGTCCAAAGAGTGGTCGCTCGTTTGAAGCCCTCCAAGTACGGGTAAACGCTATATAGGAGGAGAGCAAGTCAAACTTAGCCCCGTTTCTACTTCTGCTAGTACTTGTAGGCACGCGACTTGTGGCCCCTGTCGTTTAATATCTCTAAAGAATAAATGGTAACAGCACAGCGACAATCAGAGAGTACAACTAGAGCAAAACAAGGAATTCTCGATCCATCTACTATAACATATCGCCCTACATCGTCTTCTTGCGTCCCGTTATTTCGCAGACACAGTTTCACCAAAATCGTTGGTTGACAATTCTTCTTGCAGATATTTGTCTATGGTTCTTCTTAAAGGTAATGAAGGTCGGTAGTGCCAGGCGTCATAGAGGTTGCGTTCCCCTAGGTAGAACTTGATTGCCACCCAGTCACTACGATTCCGAATTGCTCAGTCGGAGAGCCGAGAAATCTCAACGCCACCCTTCCGCTGCTCCGTGCTTTTGGGAATTGAAGGTATTGTGTTTTGGAGACTTGAGCCGTTCTAGGGTAGGTAGTAAATACGAAAGAAAGTTGTACTAATAAGAATACATGTATTCCAGGAAGAATTAAAGTGGAAAGAACTAAGAATGCACAGTGTTTGCTGGAACTCAGTTTAGGTCGAGAAAATAGCAAGTTACAATAGCCACTTGAGAATGAAGAAGTGTAATCTTGACGGAAGAGAACGAAAATCCAGGCAAGTAAAGAAAATGAACAAAGAGGAGAGAGACAATAGATCAAGGGCGTGTTGTTGGCCCATCTCAAGTTCAAGTGCCACTTTAGGCGACCATGAGTTCAGTTCAACGCCCGCGGGGTACTTGCAACCCTCCAAATGACCCCGTGGACAGAAGTCACTCGCGCCATGCGCCCTTGTTCCGGCTTGTTTCGATATCGGCCGCCGAGGCTTCTGGTTTCCAACGGACCCACCATGAGCCCTTTTGAGCTCCTGCAAAGAGGCGCAAGAATATCATGGACTCTGCGCATTTTCCACTACAATAGGACCTCTTTCTTATCTGGCCGCAAACGCTTATCTGGCCACATCTAACTGAGGTTAAATCCTCTCAATTGGCCGAGACTCGTTGATATCTGCTCCGTCGTCGCTGCCAGTAGTACAGGCGCGCGAAGTCCTGAACAGTATGCTAGCCACAATTGAGGCACGCTTCGGACTTGACCAGCAGTTATGTTCCTAGTTAATCTCATCGCTGGTGGCAGTATACGAAGCCACTAACGGGTTATATCACCCAAATCTACATTAGCTTATTTGGCCGTTCGGTTGGGCAAACGCCGTAATACAATGTGCTTTGCAGAAATACCCAGTCTAAGAAACAGATAGATGATCTTCGATTATGGCACAGGTAAATGTAATCGAGGAAGCGGATTGTCGGGGTAATTACATCAGCATGGCCGAAAGTTTATGTTGCATTGTCCGTTCTTTTACAACTAACTAATAAAACATTGCTTTATAAACCAGAGTTGAGCCAGTGTGAATTGCAAGCCAGCTACTGACAGCGATCAGTAATCACAATGTGTAAGTTTTCTGATTACTGATCTGCTCGCCAGATGGTCCTCCGGAAATTCGGTAGAACAGCCATCCCACCGGCTGTGGATAAGTTCAGACTATGAGCCCATTGATCTAAGAGTTGTAGCTGAGGCGACAGGGCGTCGTTGAACAGAATCTATGATCAGTAATATGATGTCGCTCGGTGCCTAGTTTCGCAACAAAACGTGGAGCATGGAAGACAAATCGAGGTGGCGGAGGGCAGCTGTCAATATAAATATCTAGCTTCCCCTCGATGAGATAGCTGAGGAGATTGAACAACAACAAACACAGTCAATTGCGATTAACTCTTCTTGTATCTATTACCCAAAGGCCATAGGTTTCTTCCCCCTTCAGCAGCAAATGGCGCCCCTCGTTTTCGTCGTTGGTGGCACAGGAGCCCAAGGCATCCCGATAATCCGCGGGCTTGTTAAGGATAAAGCGTATGCTGTGCGTTTTTTGACTCGCGACGCTACGTCAGCCAGATCAAAGCAGCTTCTCGCCTTGGGAAACGTTGAAGCCATCGAGGGTACCTTTGCAAGCGAGAGCGATCTTCGCAAAGGATTTCGCGGAGCACAATACGCCTTTATCAATATTGACGGCTTCAACAGCGGCGAGAAGACTGAGACGTATTGGGCCATAAGGTCGTACGAGTTGGCGCTGGAAGAAGGCATCAGGTTCTTTGTCTATGGAAACCTCGACTATGTCTACAAGAAGAGCGGATTCGACCCAAAGTTCCGGACGGGTCACTATGATGGAAAGGGACGCGTTGGCGAGTGGATTTTGCAACAGAACAAGAATCCCGAGATTTCCAAGAGGATGGGCGCCGCCATCTTCACAACTGGCCCATACATTACGATGGCCTTAGGAGCAAAAACGCCAATGAGTCCCGTCGTTGGAGATGATGGAGTCGTCACCTGGAAAGTTCCATTGGGGTCCGGGACTGTCGCACATGTGGATTTAGATGATTGCGAGCACTACGTTCGATGGCTGTTCGATCACCAGTACCGCTCGAATGGGCTGGATCTGGAAGTCGCCATTGAACTTGTTGACTATCACGAGATGGCCAAAGCCTTTGAGAAGGTGACTGGTCATCCTGCCAAGTATGTGGACGTTTCCTTGGAAGAGTACTGGGAAACGGGCCCTATGAGTGCTGCAAAGAAAGCCGCGGCAGGGTACAACGCAGATGTTACTGACCCTGCGACGATGAATTTGCGAGACAACTTCACGGGATTCTGGAATATGTGGAAATACACATACAAGGAAAACCAAGGAGTGATCAAAAGAGACTTTGCGCTGTTGGATGAGATTCACCCAAATCGAATCAAGTCGGTGGAGGAATGGTTTCGGCGGGAAGAGCAAAAGAGCAAGGAGCAGGGATTGCCCAGTCTGTGGGAACGAGCCACCAGTTTGAAGCCTGTCTTGAAGATTGCCGAGGATGGGCGAAAGGGTCGGCTGTAATATGAGTGTTCTTGTTGAGCTGTTGAGCTTTCTGAAGGCTTTCTTCTTTGCAGATAGTAGCAGTACTAGAAAATGTTGAACTTGAATGGCCCAAAAAGCAAGCATTAGCGATGATGAAAGCTCTATTCACGAACATCAGGATGCATGGGATCCGACTCACTAATGTCGGGCTTTCCATGGCCAGCTACGTGGTGATGGAACGGCGGGGAGCGGCTGAAATAAAGGCGCGCCCTTTGTGAAAGACCAATTGCCGCGGGTCGTCATTGTTCTGTCTTTGACGTTAGTGAACAACTGTCGTCAAGGTGGTTTGGCCCTTGTTTATGAGGACATGTAACTGCGCTACATGGGTGTGATTTGTAAGTATCAATCATTTTGTACAGATGCCATATATCTTGGCTCGGCTTGCAAGATGACACATGCAATGACATTATGCTCGACAGGGCTGTTGCTGGCCTCGGTAACTGCTATACAGATGCTGCGTGTGGCTTTGTCTCGCAGAAATTTGAGAGCTTGGCGCCTCGAGAGCAGCTCTTGTCCATGTCCCTCACGGTTGCGTTGGCTTGTGGATAAGAGGGAGATGCCGCAAACATTGCTCAGCTCAAACCACCCTCCGACCTGAATATAGGGATGTATGTCTTGTTCAAGTTATGAACCACATGACTGAGGTATATTATGTCTTTGGTTTCTCACTATTATAGAAAACGCTTCCGAGGGACCTTCAACAGCGAATTATCGGATGGGTTTCGTGCTACCCGCCAGGAGATCGAAGGACACGTTTGCCTAGTGATGGAACGGAAGCGCAGAGAGACGCTACTTGATTATCTGTGAAACAAATGGTTAGCTGGAAAGTGAGCTGGCGAAAGTTGTCTGTTGATAAAGGGACACAAGATTTAAGATCGGGGAATGACCTGAGAATGGCCATAGAGGACGTGGAGGTGATGGCCGGGCAACCGCTGAGTCGCAGTATGAGAACGCTGAAGACAACATTAAATATTGAGCGTTACGGAAAAAGAGAAGCTCGGAAAAACTCATGGTGCGTCCCGATTATGGCCAGCAGCCGGAGCAGTTGATGCAGTTGACGAGATACAGTCGAGGCTAGCAGCTGGCCCGAGTGACACTGGCGGAAGTGACTTTGGTCTACGGTGTAATTTGTATGCAGTGCCAGGTAGCGATTGCTCTAGCAGCTCGATTCAAGAGGCTGCCCCGTGCATTTCCTTTATTTTGTGCGTTTGCTTCATGTTCTTTGCTTTTCCCTCTCCACTTTGTTTTCTCAAAACAGCCATCTCCGATATCACAGTCTGTTTCATCCTCACTCGACTGACTATCTTGCTGCTTCTTCTACGCCATCGCGCTACTTTGTTCTTTCGAGACTAAGTACGTCTTTTATCACTTGGTTTCCCTCATTGCTCTCTTCAGAGACTCACCTCCCACAGAGATACTTGCTACTGGGTCTCACTCAACTGGCACTCTTTCGCTTCTGAGTTCTTTCGAGACTAAGCTCGCTTTTTATCACTCGTTTCCCCTCATTATTCTTCTCAGAGACTCGCCTCCCGATTCTTGCTGTGCCACTATCATACGAAACCTTCCTTCCTAGGACTGACCTCATTCGATTTGGGTCTCTTGACTTCTTGCTTCTTTCAAGACTAAGCTCACCGTTTGTCATTCACTCTGCCTTGTTATTTAATGTCAGAGACTAACCTCTTGCAAAGATTCCTGCTGTACCTCCATCACGAGAGACCCGCCTTGCTATCTCAGCTAGACTTGACCTTGCTCGACTGGGTCCTGCCGTTATTCTTACTTCTTCCGAGACTAGATCGCCATATCTTGTCTCCTCGACCTCGATCTCAGAGACCCGAATATACCAACCGTTCTTCCTACACCTCTTTGCGCTTCTGCCTCGCCGGCTCTGATCTCTCAAAAATGGACTCTCCACCTCCGAGGGCCCATTGGCTGTTGGATTCGTATTCGGAGTTAAGCCCACACGAGAGACGCATCATGTTACTCTGCCATGAACATTGGGTTCAGCACATGACTGACACTGGACACTTTGTTCTGTCCCCCGAACTAGATTTCCATGCTACCAGAATACAGCCGGCATCAGAGATATTGGCCAAGTCAAGGGAGAAGGAGGAGATTGGCGAGCCAAACCCAGTCGCAGACTTGGTCTTGGAGACTCTGCAACAAGCGCCCGCATTGCGATACAAAGGTTGGAACAGAGTGAAAGATACCCTCTCCAACATCCCGCCATCAAAACGAACAACGGAGCTTGTAGGCCTTCTATGCTCTGCGCTTCAGGGAGAGATGGTTTATTGGCAGCGGCTTCAAAAGATTGAGCAGTCCATTTCCTTGGCGTCCCTGAGATCACTGAGCACTACAGCGGCCATATTCCCTGTCATGGTCCTGACCGGACTAGAAGTCAAGCCAGACGAGACTGGGACAAATGTTACCACAGGGTTTCCTGAGATAGAGGAGGATTACTTGGCGTTGGATGACATACTCGTCCAACTGCAAAGGCTGGAAACATTTGATCCTGATGATCAGGCAAACCAGATGGGAGTGCAGAGATTCAGGGAAGTTTTAGGTCGCCTGATGGCACGGGTTCGCCCGGGGGAATTGTTTGCTGCTATGGCTGGGCACCTCGCCCAGCTTGTGAGAGATGCAGCTCCCGACGACAACTTTGACTTTAATGATCCTGATCAAGTCCTAGCCGACTGCGCCGTGTACCTCTGACAGCCTTGCGAAATGAATTTGCTCTTCCAGGGCTTGCTTATGCTCAAGACTCGTGCGGCTTTCTCTTCCTTGATGGGACTCGTGATGGAAACGACAATGGAGGATTTTTGGGTACTTGCTTGATTCGTTCATGGGATCATAGTTTTCTTGCTTTCTTCGTCGGTGCTTTGATGAGCGTCTGATAATGGGCTTCTTTGGGACGGGTGCTTTTTTGGCATGGGTGTCTTATGGCCGGGGTTAAACATTCTCGGTTTTTCGTTTCTAACCTTTCTCTGAGGGATTCTCGGCAACGGTACACGATAGCGCCCTTTGATATGCAGGAAATTACAGCTGCAATAACATTCGAGCAAATATTCACAAAGTTTTCTTCTTTTCTCCTTCTCTTTCTTCGTTGGCGTGATTTTCATTCATTCTCAGTTTCGCAAATTATTACCGAGGCATTGATTGTCCTTCCTGGTCGGGGTAACAGACAGTTATCCCTTTCGCCTGTATTAGACCGAGAAGAAAAGTCGACACTACTGAGTTATTACATAGGTGTCCCGAAACTCGACGTTCATGGTACGAAATGCGCACTGTTGACAAGCCATTCATGGGGTAAATAACGTGCCAGCTTCACCACAAATGCTGCGCTACCACGCTATTTCAACGAATACTACCATACATGCCGCTAAACAACCGTCCCGTGGAAAAGCGGCCGATTAAGCAAGTGAGGCTGGGGATCCCCAGTCCCTGGTCTCGGCGAAGCGTAATTCACCACCCGATTGGCTAAATCGAGCTTCTCAAAGGATTCACTTCCACCACAGCTGGGGCAGGATCAATCCCTTCCTCGCGCAAAGCTGCGCGGTGAGCTGTTCGTAGCGCGATGCAGCTGCAAGTGGCCGAAACTAGCCTCTGGATAGCGGTAACCAGGCGGCCGAGAACAATCGCATTGGTCCTTTTGAGATGCCTAGCCGGGCTAAACGCCAACCTTGTAACGTCACATTCGCTGCACTGTTAGGGAGCTGAACCTGCACACGCAGACCAGAGTTTGCCGTAACCGTTGTTCTACAAGGGCAGACTTCGAGTTATAAACGTAGACTTTCCCCAGTTTCTAGGTAGTAGGAAGAATAGAGATCAGGTTTCGCCAAAGGAACAGTAGACGGAACTGGAAACCAGCCTCATCTCTCAGACACAACTCAAGCTGTACAAGATGCACAACCTCCTCACTCTCACAACTGCCGCGGCTGGCCTCGTCGCAACAGCCTCGGCAACCAAAGTGCCCAGCGTCAACGTGCCCGCTTGTCCGCGCGTGGGCAGCATCAGCTACAGCAAGTCGGTGCCTGATCTGACTCCCTTCCCGCGCACGCAAGTCGATCTCTGCTACACAGACACCAGCCTGGAGCTCGCATTCACTGCGTTCGACGAGGTCAACTACTACTTCAACGCGTCGCAGGGCATCAACGACGACATCTGGGAGTACGAAGTCATGGAGGCCTTTCTCTACAAGGGCACCGACGATCCAAAGACTTACGTAGAGCTGGAGGTCAACCCCAACAATGTGACCTACCAGGCCTTTGTCTATAACCCGTCAAAGAACCGCACTGCCGGCGCGCCCTTTGACCACTTCTTTGTGTCGGATCCTGCGACTGATGGCTTCAGCGCAACGACGGTGCTCAACAAGCCGGCCAAGACGTGGAAGAGCACCGTCACCGTTCCTCTGGGCATCTTCAACGTAGATGACTGCAAGGCCAAGGGCACGCAGTGGAGGATGAACTTTTTCCGCACAATAACTTCGCCCGAGACATACCCCAATCAGACGTTGGGAGCATGGAGCCCGCCAAATGAGGCGAGCTTTCACATCACACCATACTTTGGCCATGTGAACTTTGTATAAGCTCCAGGATAGGGCCGGGTATATGAGCATGACTTGGAATAGATGATGTGTACCTATGATGAATTCGTCTCATCTCGTCTATTACTCCTCTTAATGACTTGGGCTTTAATGTATATATTGTGTCAACCCCCGAGAAGCCATTGATGCGGTTGGAGCTATGCGGCAGTCAATTGAGCGGCATTGTGGTTGGCACTACTACACGTCAGCGTCTCATATAAATGTCTTTGCGGTACAGTCTGCACACACCAACTTGGCAACAGAAAGATAAACACTGTAAAGTGAATATATGCACAAAGAAAGGAAAGCAAACGTAGATATTAAAAAAGTTCAATGGCGGTGGAGGTAGTGAAATGATAGACGTGCTAGAGATAGTAGAAGCAGTAGAAGCAGTAAGAGCAGTATAATACCCCCGTGCGTTGCTTCCCACTCGACACTCTCTGAAGTTTACATTATAGCCAGCATATCATGACTTACTTTTTCATGCCTTGATCTTCGCTAATTCAGCATCGCATAGCTTGATATACTCCAGTCAGGGCTTTATCGCCGAATGGAAAGGCACGCCATCAGGCAGACTTTATGAACCCTCTGCGGTTAAATGTGGTGACAATTAAAAATTCCAAAAAGAGGAGATGAAGTATTAAGAGTAAATGAAAGCAGTGCGCGTAGCAGCGTTAATGAAGGATACCGCTGTATTTGTAAAGCCCACGTATAGTGAAACTGGAAGGCCGCCACCTTTTGAGCTGAAACGAAACGCTTCATATTGCAATTACAAGCCGCGAATGCGAAACCTCCGGCGGCATATTCGGCACCAAATACTATGTGATTCCTAAACGTTCACCAGTCAAATAGGCGTTTGCAGCGCATTGTTGCACGTCTCCAGCTCACCACAGCGTAGTAAACGGAGATGTAACCGTCCAGTAACGGCGATCTTTTCTCAGTAAGGGAGTTGAAGTCTTTTGCCAAATGAGGGCTTACTGAAGTTGTCTCCTCTCAGCAGCATATGCTATTGTCTCTTTTCTCGATACGTTCGGCCCTTCTGCGAGTGATCAGCAGGAACGCAGGAACGCAGGAACGTTAATCTGCCACGCGATGCCGTTCGCAAAAACTGCTTGGGTTCATAAATAGCCGCGGAGTCGCCTGCTCAGTTTTTCCGGCAAGGCCTTGGAATAAGCAGTGAGATCTATTATTAACTAGTGCTTGCTGTAGCGAGTGAGGCGAGAGAAGAACAGCCTCGCTGCTTACACCCAAGGAAGTTTATGGCGGGGCGTTTCTGCAAATCTTCACCAGAAGAAGTCTAAAAAAATCCGCGAGACTACGGCGCTGTCAGGTCCCTGGAATCTAATGACAGCGTCTTGCGACTTGCCTGTTTGGATGAATGAGAGAAAATGTTGGCTCAGCTCGATTGTATACGCATAACGTGCGCTTATCAGCCTGATCTTGGCTGCTTGCTGGAGACAGTGAACGTTGCTGTTGTTCTTTACAGCTCAATACGTAGCCACTTACATGCAGCCAGCTTCACATACGGATATGCGGCACTTTCACATCACTTGGCTTTATCCATTCTTTCGCTCTACTGGCTGTGATGTTTGTTACATGTACGCGTAAGTCACTGCTCTCATGCAGGTGTTTTCTCTCTCAAAGTGCGGGCAGCGCTTAAGGCAGCCGTCTATCCGGGGCATGCCGGTTACATCTGCTTCAACACTCCGAAGTCTGTACATCACAATTATTCCCGCCTTACAACCTACCTAATTGAGCAGCTCCCGTTGCCTTTTGTTGGCTCTGGTTGAAACAAAACCGTGCCCGTAGCGTAGTTTCATCCTGGTGCTAGCCATGTGGGGTTGGACATGACCCAAATCATGGGCGCACGGCGCATAGGCTAGATGGGATCGCAGATCTTAACCCTCCGTAACAGGTGCCATCCTTAGCCGTGCAGCTCAATACTGGAATAGGCAGCCGCTTTAAGATGTGTGGATCGGGTGAAAGCCTTACAGTAGGATGCCATTCTACATGTGAGAAGATGCGAATGTGTCATCAGGATGAAGAAAATGGATAGACAATCATGCCTGTAGAAAGAGCATTGCCTTGGTCAATGTCTCACTATTTCCAAATACATGTACCAGAGTGTCGTCATCGGTAATGAGTGAACCTCATCGATGTAAGACAAATTGAGCACACCAAGCAATATAACTTTCAACAGCCATTGACAATCAGGTCAAACTGCAAGCGCCTACTCTAAAAATTAGCCTCTGGCGTACGTCCGCGGTTACTGTTGATCACTTCTTCTCTGAATAGCGCCCTAAAGACCCCTTCCATAATAAGCACTGTCAGACGGAAGCGATGATCACAGCTCAAAAAGGACTCTGTATTATCGGACGACAAGTCTTTCAGGAACGTAGCATCTATCAACGTGGGTACTGTCCACTTACAACTCGCCATTGGTTGTCGTGAAGCTATCAGGTACTCGATAAGCTGGGCGGGGCTGTTGGCTGTAAGTATTGAGTGTAAGATCTTTTTAAACGTTGTAACAAGGACTAGCCTTGCCACGCTGCTTTGAAACAAACGTGGAGCATGCACGGCATATCCATCTGCTGGTTGTTACATTGCAATCATGGTCGTGGAATCATCTGTCTAAGGCTACGGCTGACATGGCTCATACGCTGAATAGTACGGCGTCTGAAACATAAATACGCCATCATCTGCCTCTTCTTCCATTCCTTTTGCCCTCACTCTTCACTCACCAACGAGACCTTCAGTCCACAGTCCTTTCTTATAAAAAGATCCTTGACGGATCCCTTTCATTCCCTTTTTGCTTTCGCAGTATATACAGTCCTTTTTGACACCTTCATTCGAGCTTTTACTCTTCGACTTCAGTCAACTATACATACAAACAACACTCAAGATGCTTTTCACTGCTGCTCTTACCGGCCTTATGGCCACTACCGCCATGGCTGCTCCCTTCCGCCGACAGACGAATTCTACCGCCGGCCTGAACGTTGTCTACTGGGGCCAGAACGGCGGCGGTACCATCGAAAACAACGATCTTTCTACCTACTGTACTGCTGAGTCAGGCATTGATGTGGTCGTGCTCGCGTTTCTCTACCAATATGGTAACGGTGTTACCATTCCAAGTGGTGTTATTGGCCAGAGCTGTGCCATCGACACTTCTGGCAACCCTTCAAACTGCGGCGATCTGACCACTGCCATTGCTACTTGCAAGTCCAACGGAGTCAAGGTGGTCTTGTCTCTGGGCGGCGCAGTCGGTGCCTACTCTCTCTCTTCTCAGGAGGAGGCCGAGACTATCGGACAGAACCTCTGGGACGCTTATGGCGCTGGCAATGGAACTGTGCCGCGCCCGTTTGGCTCTACTACTGTGGACGGTTGGGATTTCGATATTGAGGCTTCATCTGGCAACCAGTACTACCAGTACTTGATCGCCAAGCTCCGCTCCAACTTCAACGGCGGCAACTACGTGATCACCGGTGCTCCTCAGTGTCCAGTGCCGTAAATTTTCCCAGAATTTGCATCCAGATGGCTAGAAAATAGCTTGCTAACAAGTCTTGTGGAACAGAGAACCGAACATGAATCAGATTATTACCACTTCACAGTTCGACTACCTCTGGGTGCAGTTCTACAACAACCCATGTAAGCAAGCCTCTAAACAAGTATACTGAGAGATATTAACGATTCAAAAGCATGCTCTGTCGGAACCAGCACACCCAACTTCGATGACTGGGTTTCCAACATTGCCAACACTCCCTCTGCCAACGCCAAGATCTTCCTTGGAGTGCCCGCATCGCCACTGGGAGCAACAGGTACTGAATCTGGCGCTCAATACTACCTCGAGCCCTCTGCTCTCCAAACTACCGTTAGCCAGTTCTCCTCCAACCCTGCCTTTGGCGGTGTCATGATGTGGGCTGCCGGTTTCTCCGATGCCAACGTCAACAACGGATGCACTTACGCTCAAGAGGCCAAGAAGATCCTTACTACTGGCCAGATCTGCTAAATGTCGAGACGATAAGCCTCGATTTCGCTCTCATGAAACATGAAGAACGACCATCTTCTTGGAACGTTCCACTTTCTTTTTCTGTACACTTATCACATTTCTTCCTTCATTATCTTTTCTCTTCTCTCATTTACTGTTTATATTCGCCCTTTTGGACTGTTGTACTTACTTTTACACTCGCTGGTTGAGGATATACATAGACGCGCACATGTATATATAGGTAGCTGATGAGCTAGATGACACTGCCATTTGGCACATTGAACAAAATGACATTTGCATATAAAATCACAATGACCTTTGGAGTTGAAAACGAGTTCTGTAACTGTATAAAGGTTAATGTTCAGTTTCGAAGAGTTGTGAGAGTTGGTTGCAGAGCAAAGGCGGTTCGCGTCGGCAACTTCACCACAGCGCGGACTAAGCATTTAGTGGTTGCGTGAAGTAAAAAAAGTCAAGCGCTCAATCGATGATGGCATTAAACATTAGTCTTTTATTCCATTTCGTATTATTGTAAAATCGCAAAATACCACCCAAGCTTCGTCAGCGGCTTCTTGCCCAAGTCGCCCTTTAGCCAACATCTATGCTCGCTCCCTGCATCGCCGGGTATAATCCCCCATCCTGCACCTGTGCAACCCGGAAACGTTGCACAATTGGCTATGCAATCCTCCATATCTATTGTATATAAATTCCCCACTTCGACCGCCTGGCCTGCGCCGCTGTAGTCTATTCCGCAAACGAGCAAAAATGTCTTTTTTGAGCCGGGGACGGCATATCTTGTGTTGTTGTTTTGAGGACAGCCAAGCAGGTTAGACGGAAGAGTCTCGGTGGGAGAGGCGGTCCTTGAACTCGTTGACGTTGATGTGTGTGATCCCGGAGGAGAACTGGTTGTAGGGCTGTTACAGAGGCCATGTCAGTTTACAGCATTGACTCAATGGAGACTGAGTGGTTATCAATAGGTAAGAAGCCCGTCTTGTTATCTTCGCATACCTTGGTTGAACAACTGCCTTGTGCCTCGCACCAAGCCCAACTCCAACTCCAACGCCGACTCCGATCGCTACAAGTAACCCAATAGCCGCCATTATCAGCCAAAACAGCCGGGAAGACACTCCGCAGATGGTGGCTTTGGCTGGTATCGGGGCTGGCGGAGCAACATGGTCATACTGGTAATCGTAGAATTCACCCGCTTTATGGAGAATGTTGGTGGTGCTCGACACATCGACATTCGTATCTCTGGTCGTCGGAGGCGGCGGAGGCGTCCCTTCGCGATAGAAAGTCCCGGCGGTTTGGTCAACCGACCTGCCCCGGTCTGGAGACATCGGAGCCCCCGGAGTTGCACGGATCAGATTTCGCCTGCCGCTGTCGCTGTTGTGGAAGAGGACGCTTTGGCTGCTGGTGCTGATGGTCGCTGAACGTCCTCGTGGTGCACCGAGATCATCTCCATTTCTCTCGGCCTCGCTGAAGTAAGACTGAAACCCCATTTAACGTCTCCGGTAAAGTGTCTCGCGGAGGGCGCGCTCGAGTCGTTTTAAGCAACTTCCTTGGCGTTCGATTTTTTTTTTTTTCTCCTTGCTCTCCTCTAGCGCCAAACCCCGGAACGCGTCCTTGACGTCAAAAGTGTCGCCGCCCAGATGAATCTTGAGACAGAGCCTCAACTCAGCGAGCCCGAGTTTGCAACCGGCAGAGCTCCTTAATTTAAACGGCAATGCGCTATGTCATCACGTCTCGTACCTTGACTGATTTCCTTCTTCAGCGCCATCACGTGGCATTATCCCTGCTGGTTCCTGCAGAGATTCGATAGTGCGACGATGAATCCGCTTTGGAAGCCGATATTCGTGTTAGCGCTCTTAGCAAGCTCATGTCACCGCGGTTGACGGGCCGCTAGACGGAGCCCAGACTGGTTCGCTTCGCCGTATCCTAGTCTTGTCATTGTGCTTTGGCCGCGATGTTACCTGTGGTATTGTTGAATCGTGAGAAAGCAGTGGCCCCTTGTTGACACGGACACCATGTCTATTGTTACCACGGATTTGGTTGACCGTAGCCGAAATAGCGGCTTTATCCTAGACGGCGATCTCGAGATCATCGTTGCACGCAAAACAAAAGACGGATCCAGAAGAGAGAAACAGCTGGCTTGGTGGCGTAAGGCTTCGAGTTCAACACGTCACCAGGAGCAAGTCCAAGCTGCCCAGTCGCGTCGAATGCGGTGACTTATCCATGCCGTTTTCCCCTGATGGGATCGAGCGAGCGTCTTGCAGACATTGGATAATCGACCGAGGTTATGAACCACAGTACGATGATGACATACTCTTGGCGGATGAGTAGTCGGACGTTGTCATGAAAACCAAACACTGAACTAATATTCAGCCATCCGCCAAAATTGTAACTATCTTTCCACGCAATGGGTCTAGCATCTTTCGATATACAGCAGTGATGGAATTTGCTTTCCTCTGATGTTATATTCCGTCGCAACTGAGCGCTGCCACCCACTGATGTTTCTGGTGGCTGTTGGTGGAGGACATGTCGCGCTTTTTGTCTCCTCATTCGGTACCGCCAACAATTATGGTTGTAGCATTTTGACTTCCCAGACCGGTGTTGAGACATGTAGATATCGGGCATAATATATAGCTTTGAACACCGTGCACAGTTTTCGGTGGCTTGATGGCGCAGTAGAAGCCGTCTTTGTTTTTTTAGGCTGCGCTGAGCTTCATTTCGCGCTGAGCCGTGCTTGGCTATCGTTTGCTCTTTTCCGGAATCGGTGTCGCGATAGGCGTGGAGATTGCCTGGCCGGCAAGTTCCTGCAGCCTCTCCGCGGAGAGATACGAGATCGAGGCTAATTCGAGAGATGTTGATAGATGCGTTGGTGCTGCTTGAGCTGGCCTGTTTGCGCAACAACGGTGGGGGCTTGGGTACGCTTGAATGAATGCGGAGAGCCGGATCCCACACATTGGGCTTGACTGGAAGAGACTTGTATGCTGGATGCATCACCGCAGTGTGATTCTAGTAGATGTCTCTCGTTGATAGCGCATTGTGGAACTGGGGTTTCGTGAAGCTTCTGGCGATGGTGGTGCCAACCGCTGCACGCAAGACCACTTTCAAGAAACAAAATGCCAGATGACGCGCAGCTTGTGAATGAGCAAAAAGAAACAACCAAGTCAAAGAAAGAAAAAAAGAAAAAAGCAACGACAGAGGCAGGGTTCGAACCTGCGCACCCGAAGGTATTAGATAGCGAGAATCAGTGTTAATTCAAGTCTAACGCTTTAGACCACTCAGCCACTCTGCCTGTTGATGTCTGTAAGGCGCGGTAAAACTGTCTATGTACTACTTGCTACTGAGCATCCAATTACCGGTCTCATCGTCAATTCAACACGCCTCCTTGCCAGCTTCACTTCTCGCTTTCAATACAGGTACTCATTGCATGCGTACCTTATCTTCCAGAGAACCTTACAGGTGCCTCATATCCAATTTATCTGCAATTCTTGTTTCATAATTACGTTTATTGTGGCGACTGGCGACTGGCGACTGGCAGAGTTTGCATTCGGCGTATGTCACGACATACCCAACCATCAAGGTGCATGTGTGCGCACTTTGAACTTTAATCATGGATCGTGCGAGGTATAAAAACCCTCTCCAATCCCGCCAATTGGTGAAATGTAGTACTCGTATTTCATCGCAAAAAGACTTGTTTCGAGAGGTCCATTCACTCGACTAGCAATCCAAAATTCACAGCCAAGGTGCAGTCTTCCTTTGATCCCGGGTAGCTCCGCGATACGCAATCAACCAATCCGGCCACACCAACAAGCATTATCTGCCCGTGCTGTTCAGGCTTCCCCGCCATCTCGCAGCTCCATCTGGGCCAAGATGCCGGATAAAAGCACAGCCCAGGACAAGCCAGCCGAGGACAAGCCAGCCAAGGACGGCCAGAACGAATCGCCGCCCCCCCGCAGTCAACCAGGTACGTCTCCAGAGCCCTCACTCTTACATGTTTCATCGCGCGATCCCCTCGCAGTGGATGATGCGCGACAACATCTGCTAACCGCCCATCTCGCCCTTCAGTGCCTGTACCGCCGCGCAAAGAGCCTCCAACTCTGGAGCGAGGCCAGGAATGGGTTCCTTCAGAATTTTCGCCACGTACGGCATCGCGAGCCTGGTGGCCGCAAGGCTAGCGTCTGCCATGATGCCTCTCAACCTGATGATGCACGCCGTCGATCTCCACGCGAGACCCGACCCAGAGCAGCGCGTGACGATGGAGGAATACGAAAAGAAGTATCCCAATATCAAGGCCTACAACTTTTCGGTACCCGTTGACCATTTCCATAATGAATCGACTTACGAACCTCATTCAAGCGACTCGTTTCCCCTGCGATACTGGCTGGACATTTCCAATTATCGTCCCGGTGGCCCAGTCATTATTCTCCATTCAGGTGAATTCGATAGCGAAGGCCGACTTCCATACCTTCAGCACGGCATCGTCCCCATCTTGACCAAGGCCACGGGCGGTGTTGGACTGGTCATGGAGCATCGATACTACGGCACCAGCTTCCCCGTCCCAGACCTCACGACCGAGAACCTGCGTTTCCTCTCCACAGACCAAGCCCTCGCCGACACTGCCTACTTTGCAAACAACATTGTGTTTCCCGGCTTGGAGCACCTCGATTTGACTGCTCCTGGGACGCCTTGGATTATCTATGGCGGATCTTACGCAGGCGCCTTTGCTGCCTTTGCTCGCAAGCTGTATCCCGAAACATTCTACGGCGCAATCTCATCTTCAGGGGTTACTGCCGCTGTGGAAAATTACTGGCAGTACTTCGAGGCAGCGCGCCAGTACGCACCCGGCGACTGCGGACCAAACACGCAAAAAATTACACAAGTCGTAGACACCGTTCTCTTCAGTGGTGACAGCACCAAGGTGCGCAAGTTCAAGGAGATATTTGGTCTGGGAGAGCTCGAGGATGACGAATTTGCTTCCACCATCATTCGGGGCCTCTACGGGCTGCAATCGACCAACTGGGACCCGGAAGAGGATGAGACTTCTTTCGGAGTCTACTGCGCCATCATCAACTCTGGTAACCGGCTGTTCTCGAGTACCGCCCATCTCGTCCCAACAGTGGGGGAGCTTGTCAAGGAAGCCGGCTTTGGTCTCGAATCCGAGGAGCTTACCAGTCGCATGCTCAATTACATTGGCTATATCAAAAACTACGTCAAGAAGACGCTCAAGTCGACTTGTAAAAATAAATCGGCAAAGGAATGCTTCTCTGCCCGCCATGCTCCGAATGACGTTCGACTCGAAGCCGGCTGGTTACGCAGCTGGGCCTACCAAGTGTGCACACAGTAAGTATTTCTGTATCCTATGAATTCGCCTGGTATATTATGAGCTAACTTGGTCAGATGGGGTTATTTTGTCACTGGTTCTGGTACGCCCAAGGACCAGCTTCCCATGATTTCTCGAGCCATCACCCTCGAGTACGCCTCTCTTCATTGCGAAAAGCTGTTCAACATCACCACTTCTCCTGATGTGCAGTCCATCAATAAACTGGGAGGTTTCAACTTCAGCTATCCTCGTCTGGCTATTATTGATGGACAAGAGGATCCTTGGAGAGCGGCGACGCCCCATGCTAGCGGCCTGCCCGACCGAGAGTCGACTACCAGCGAGCCCTTCTTGCTCATCAACTGGGGTGTCCACCATTGGGATGAGTACGGCCTGCCCGAGGATGTTCACGTCCCGGGTCTGCCGCCGCCACAAGTTACTCAGGCACACCAGGCTGAGATTGAGTTTGTCAAGGCGTGGCTGAAAGAAAGGGAGGAGGAAAAGGGAAGCTCGTTACCAGTGCTGGGCCAGGAAGAGGAGATTATAGATGAGCTATAAGTTCGTGGATAACATGCGACTATATGTTCTTAGCGTGCTCTTCTTTTTAATGAATCAAGTCCATTTCTTTGCCCAAGTATCATTCATCAAATTGAAAAGCCTTCGAATCGTCGGCCAGCCATATCCGGATTTCTTCCAATGCATCAACGGCAGAGGATCAAGAGCTCTCACAAAATTGGCGGGAAAGAGAGGCATATAGGCAGACACAGGGATAAGAATACTGTGAGAAAGATGCGCTCTAATAATGTCTGATGGTGACACATGACGACTGTTTGAGATTCCATGGTATATATTGTTACCATCTCGATAGACTACGAGAGTCCCCGTGAATTGGTAGATTCCGCTGACGTGTTCAAACGTTTCGTTGGTCTCGAATACGTCCATGTTGGTGTCTGTGGATTTAGTATTGGCATAGCAAGAAGATTCAGGTAAATATAGGCTAGTGAGAAAATGAAGACTTGCTACTAGGCGATTCACTTGTGGTTCACCGCTTCAAAATGTAATAGACGTTGTTCTATAGTGGATGATGGAATATGGTCCGTGTGCCGGTCTATATCCTATTGACATTCCCAACGACTACAGCAGCCAACGCGATGCATATCTAGGAAGCCTCTAAAGAGCCTGTTAATTGCCATTCTCTAAATCGAAACCCCAAGCGAGCGGTTAGCGAAGGTTCATGATTGTAGAAGCACTAGCCATCTGATGCCGAATGTTCAACCAAAAAGGAGGTGATGATAAATAAGTTGTCTTCATCCTGCTCAGTCAGGGAAAGAATACTAAGCTAACATGACCACTAAATGCAGTAGGTATTGAGCAGAGTAGCTTTAGTTAGGGCAAGTAGTGGTGCAAGATGAAGTTGGGTGTAACCTTTGTATGCCTGCCAGGTATGTCTCGTTCCACGGATGAGCATGATGCCACGATATACCATTATTTTTCTTGGCCGATCCTATTATCCAACAATCTAGCTGTAGCTCAACGAGTGAGCCAATCTATATGGAAAGTAAAACAGTCTACCTCTTGTTTATTTTGTAGATTTAGAAGTAGCAGTAGTAGCAGTAAGTAGCAGTAGTAGCAGTGAAAACCTACGCTACACCTGGAATGATGGATAATAGAACTGCGGCACTGGATACAAATATGTTTCAAACGAAAAGAAAGAAGTCGCTGGCCGCGCAGTGAAAGCCTCGGATATGAACGCGACATCTCGAAGATGGATAGGATCTGCAACGTTCATTCATTGTGGCATCGTCCAAGACTAAAGCGGCATTTCTTCCGAGGTGTTTGGTTCGAATCTAGAAATGCCGAGAGATCAGCCGCGTTTCTTATAGTGGAGACGCAAAGGATGCTGTGTTCTGAAGAATGAATGGTGGAGTTTGTCTTGAATCAGGCAAGTCTACGTCTACCTACGCAAAGACTGGACCTATCTGTCGGGACAATCAGCGTTACAGTTGCAGGCGCTGTATACAATATGACTGTATATTCAATATAGGTAGATATAATACAGGGAGCAAAGCCGCCACCATTTTTCGATCCTTTGAAACTGTTTAGTTTGCGCGACTGGAAAACTCGTCTATACGAGTCAGGTCGGTGATATCCCGAGGACCACAAGGCCTATAGTCCAGTACTTGTACCTACATGGCTAGCAGACGGCAGTTCAGAGATAGCGCCGCCGATACGTGTATACACTGGATGTCAGAGAGCCGAAAGGCTCCTAGTCTCACGCCACCTTAAGGGGTCAATCTGGTGGCGCTCAGCGGCTTCTCGGAACCGGATCTAGCCGTGCAGTGCAGCAGGAAATTCTCCTTGCCTAGCAACTTTGAAGCTCTGTAAATCTGCGCTGGAGTATCGCCAGAATTGCGGTTCTAGCGGCTCGGCAGCTCCTCTGCATCCGAGCCGGGCGCTGAATCCGCGGACAGAATGCCGGCCATAGAGATCGCAGCAATTTGAGACACTGATCAGCATTGCTTTTATCCATACGCCAATGCAACGGTATTTTTACGATCGCCTTTTTGGTTATAGACAGGATAGTATCTGCTGCATGAACTCTCGCGCTTGCTTGATTCCGAGGTCCACGGACGACTGTGTCTAGAGTAGCGTCCACGAGTTCGAAGGGCTCCATCATCTGGCCATTCCTAAATTCACCCAAGCGGAATCGGTGATGGAATTACCGACTCTCCAAAGCGTCGTGCAGAGTTTCAAGGAAAAGGAGGCGGAATTTTGTCGGCGTTAGGTTGTATTGCCTCTGCCGGTGCCGCCGTGTATTGTGGATGATACGTCATACGGGAATAGGAACGGGAGTCTTCCTCGGGATATATGTTTACGGTAGGATCAAACACGTTCACACGCGAGTATATAATGTAAATATCCTGTCGACGATAAAGGGGAAAAATAAACATAGCAGTCCTTTATCTGAATAGCCATATATTTTATAAAGAACAGCCACTTATAATTTTTTTTGATAATATTCATTTGATACTTTTACAAAGAGCAGCCGCTGCATTACTACAAACACCACTTCCTGACTCGATAATTCATCTATTCTAAAAACAACAGCTGCTTCTAATATGGGTTCCGTCGCAACGCTTGAAGAGACTCGCTCCATCATCAACGTCATTGAAGATGATGCTGCGAGTGACCCCAATCGCCCGTTTGTCTTTGTACCCCGATCAACAAAACCTCAAGATGGATGGGAGCCAGTCACATACAAACAGCTAACAAACGCTGTCAACCATGTCGCCCATATCATTGCACAAATGGTCGCCAACGATGCCCGAAAAGACAACTTCCCGACAATCGGCTACATCGGCCCAAATGATACGCGATACATCATCTTCATGCTGGCGTGTATGAAGGCAAAATGCCAACCCTTTCTACCATCTCCCCGAAACACCATCGAAGGCCAGATCTCTCTCTTGAAGGCTACCGACTGCCGCTATTTCTGGTATGGAGAAGGATACTTGCCAGTTATCCAGAAGATTCTCGCACAACGCGAGCTGCAAGTAACCCAAGTTCCAAGTGCCAAGGAATGGCTCGAGGCTACGCCCAAGCCTTTCCCGTATAATTATTCGGCCTATGAGACTCGGTCACATCCATGGATCGCTCTTCACACCTCGGGCAGTACGGGGATTCCCAAGCCTATGCTGATTAGCCAGGCAAATCTCCAGCTTCTTGGCAAGTTTCGCGGTATCAGCGACCAGCACGGCAACACTTCTTTGTACAATGCATGGGCTTCTCGCTCAACAAGAGTGTTTAACCCAATGCCGTTGTTTCACGGAGCGGGAATAGGAATGCTCATGATGCTCGTTGTCTATTACAAGATGCCCTGCGCCTTGAACATTCCGGAGAAGCCATTGAATACCGAGCTGGTGTTGCAGTGCTTGTCTCATGCCGGAGTTGATGGAGCTATTCTACCTCCCTCGGTCATTGAAGATGTCTCTTCCACTGAGGCCGGCGTAAAAGCGATAGCAAATCTTAGCTTCATCTCCTTTGGAGGTGGCAGTCTGTCCGGGCCAGTGGGCGACAAGCTCGTGGACAATGGAGCGTTGATAATTAACCTTTATGGAGCTAGCGAGTAAGTTTATCACTCAAGATAATGTCGACTACTAGTTGCTAACCAAATACCTAGGACTTTCCCTCTGGCCCTACAAGAGCAGCCAAATCCTCGCCTTTGGCGGTATTTCGTTTTCAACCCCGAACTTATAGGAGCCGAGATGATTCCGACAGCGTGGGAGGGAGTGTATGGATTCAAAATTCGCCGTAACAAAGAAGATGCTAGTCTCCAGCCTGTCTTTAACAATTTTCCAGAAAAGGATGAGTTTCTTACCGGAGACTTGTTCGAGGCTCACGAATCCCTGCCCAACCACTTCAAGTACTATGGGCGAGGAGATGATGTCATCGTCTTCTCAAACGGAGAGAAGCTGAATCCAGTGGACATAGAAGACATGGTCGTTGCTCATCCAGCTCTGAAGCATGTCCTGGTTGTTGGACAGCAAAAGTTCCAGCCAGCCATCATATTGGACCCGAAGAATCCCGTGAAGAGCGACGCAGAAGCAGAAGCGCTGATTAACGATGTTTGGCCTCTCATTGAGCAAGCCAATAAGCAAACAGTTGCGCACGGTCGTATTGTTCGACAGCTGGTAGCTCTTTCAGACCCCAATATGCCGTTTTTGCTAGCTGGTAAAGGTACCGTGCAGAGGACTCAAACCGTTCGTTTGTACAACGACTACATTGAAGGTATCTACCTGCAAGCAGACGCTGCTGTGAACAATGTCAACTTGGATCTCAGCAGCCAGCAAGCTTTGGCGTCATCTATCAAGGAGCTGCTTCAAGACAAGCTTGACGTTGAAAAGCTTGAGCAAGATACGGACTTTTTTAGTCATGGAGTCGACTCATTGCAGGTCATTACCCTGGCTAAAATGCTGCAAGCGGGACTTGAAAAGGCAGGCATCGAGGTTGATCCTAACGTTGTCGCACCTCGTTCCATTTATTCCAACCCTTCAATCGAGCTTCTTTCCAGCTTCATCTTCCGCTCAATATCCAAATCTGGTGGAGAGAATGGCGAGTCGGCAGAGGTCGAGTTTAGTGCACAGCAGATCAAGGCCATGGAGGCTATAGTCGCAAAATACACTAGCAATCTCCCGGAACGCAATGATGCTCAAAGAGACCCTAATGAAACTGGTCAAACAGTCATCCTGACGGGATCAACAGGTTCTTTGGGAAGCTACATGCTCGACCAGCTCATCAACTCGCCTCGCGTCAGCAAAGTGTACGCACTCAACCGCGGCGCTGATGGAGGCCGTTCCCGCCAGGAGGATATAAACGAGAACCGCACCTTGACCAAAGACTTCTCCAAGGTTGAGTTTTTGGGCTCGGACCTATCAAAGCCAAATTTTGGACTTGATGCTGCCAAGTATGCGGAAATGCTGTCTTCCGTAGACAGAATCGTCCACAATGCTTGGCCGGTCAACTTCAACATGCCAATCGCTTCCTTTGAGCCATTCATCCGCGGCGTCCGCCACTTTGTCGACTTTGCGGGCGCGTCGCCCAAGAAAGTTGCTGTGGTGTTTGTTTCAAGTATAGGTACTGCAAATAACTGGAAATCTAGTGAGCCTGTGCCTGAGCGACGACTTGAAGATCCAAACTTGGCAGAGATGGGATACGGGTTGTCGAAACTCGCGGCCAGCTTCATCCTGGACGCCGCAGCCGCACAATCAGGCTTAGCCACTGTGTCTGTGAGAGTGGGACAAATTGCTGGGCCCAAGGCTGGAAATGGCGTCTGGAATCCGCAAGAGTTTGTACCAAGCTTGATTGCAAGCTCGGTTCATCTCGGAGCCATTCCACGTCATATTGGCCCATTTCAAAATTCCGATTGGGTCCCGACAGAAGACGTTTCTGGAATCATCCTTGACGTGGCTGGCATCACAAATTCCGCTCCTATTGCTGAAATCAATGGCTACTTCCACGTGCAGAACCCGGCCAAGGTGCAATGGTCTGAAGTAGCCGACACCCTTAAAGAATTTTATGGTGGACGCATCAGAGAATTCACAAGCCTGAGCGAATGGGTTGCGCTCCTGGAAGCCAGCGCTTCTGATGAGCAAAACCTGGATAAAAACCCTGCCGTCAAACTTCTCGACACGTATCGCGGGTTTAGAGAAAAGGAGGCAGCCGGAGAGGCATCTGTTGTTTTTGACATGAAGAGGACAATCTCCAAAAGCACAACTGCAGCAGCTTTGAAGCCCATTGATACAGAGCTGTTGCGGAAGTGGTGCACTGCGTGGAACTTTTAAGGCGAGTGCGATTAGTTAGTGAAAGTATTTTCTATTTAATTTGTCGCTTGTCTTCAAGTTTGCTTGTTCATATTTAGGATTTAAAAGAAGTAGATAATTGAATGCGAATTGCAGAACCACAATGAACTTTGGATGGAGATCGAGTGATTAGTCAAAAGATAGAGCCACAACCATTTGTCAATCATCCTTCTACCACCCCTAGCTTAAGTCTCTATCAACCACGTCTTCTAAAATCGTCTCATTCCGGGCTTCAGCTGCTTTGCGCGCCAACTTAAGTGTCCTGGTGTCTCTTTCTGTGTTTCGCGTAACCCACCACGTCAGAAGAGTGACCAGCATACACAGAGCGACCAAGGCCATGGCCACAGCAAATGGAACTGTGTAATGAGGAGCGTATTTGCTTCTGAAGATCTGAGGTCCCACTGCTCCTCCTATCTGGCCATACGAGTTTACAAATCCAATCGAAAATGCTGACCCTGTTGCTCGGCTTGTGGTTTGGACTCGCCAGGGCCACATGAGCGGATACCATGCTGCTGCACAGCTGTTTCCGATGAGCGTAGCTGTATAGACACCGGCATTGTTTGTATAAGCCACCAGAACTGCGTAGCAGGCGATTATCGTCAGCAAGCACCCAATTGGATAAAGCGGCCTAGGGTATCTGCCATTATCGGCAAATACGCCAGACACGGCAATCAGAATTAGGGACGCAGCCGTAATTGGTATGTTGAGAATCTGAGCCGTCGCAATGTTCCTGTCGTCATGTGAATAGCTTATCAAAGTAGTGCTGCAATGAGGAGTCTCACGTAAATCCCAAATTCGCAATGACGGTTGACTGATAGAAGCGGACGCCATTCGTGCCAATTGTGTAAATAGCCCAGATCAGGGTGAACAACCAGAGTCGAACATCTTTAAGCGAGTCTACGATTTCGCTGAGTCTAAAATTTTGTTCATTGGCGCGAGGAGCATTTTCGGGTAGCCGAGCTTGAATGAATGCCTTTTCCTTGTCTGTCAACCAGCTTGCAGTCTCTGGAACTAGCCATCACAGCGTGTTAGATTAAGTCATCTTTCGGCTTGGGATATACAAACAGTCTGGAAGTAGAAACCACACAGCGATTCCGAATACGACCGTTACAGCTCCTTCGGTGAGAAATAACCTGCGTGATAATTGTCAGCTATACTGCCAATGGCCTCAGTAAGGCGCAGAGACTCACCATTGCCAGCCCGAAAGCCCAGAAGACCCAGACGCGTTATCAAATGCAAAAGCCAATAGGCCGCCGAAGATACCAGAAGTATTGCCACAGATATCTTGAAAGAATGAGAATAGTGCAAAGAGTAGAGTAGTGCAGTAAACCCACAAAAGTATAAGAGTCTTAACGACATCTCATCTGGTCGATACCAATACACCATCTGCAAGAGAATGCCCGCGAACTGGCCTGATTCTGCCTGTACTCTAGTAAGATTTCCGCTTAGACTGGGGAGGAGAAACATACTAGTCCAAGGAAGAACCTTGTAGCGTAAAGGCCGCCTTTATTATGCACAGCAGCATGCAGCATCAGACAAATACCCCATGTAACTATGATCCGCGACTGCCATTTTGATGGCGTGAAGTATTTTAACAGCAGGTTAGATGGAGCTTCTCCAATGATGTATGGCACCTTGTCAAAAGTTAGATGCTGAAACAAGACAGATAGTATCTGGGATCTGGCATACATAGTATACTACCGTTACAAGATTGTACTCGTCCGATGTCATGCCAAGCTGATTCATGATATTCTGATGAGTGCCCTGGTTCATAATTCGAGCGTTTGATACCTGCAACAAGTCGTCAGTCTAAGCCATTGTTTAGTCCAAGTTGACCGTTTTCTTACATTGTCTGAATCTAAGTTCTTGAACATGAAGATAAGTGAGCACAAAGGCATTAGATGCCAATCAATGCGCCTTAGGAGCTTCTTCTCCTCTTCGGCCGTGAGAAGCGTACGTGCGCCTTGGCTATCCGCTTGAAATCCATCAATTGCCTCGTCAACTGGTAATTGAGATATTGTCTCTCCCCGTTTTGCATAGTGAATTTTGTTCTCGTGAGATATGATCGGTGTATTCACTTCAATATTTGTGTCAGAGTCTTTGGTAGTCATTTTGCGCACTTGTCACAAAATGTGGTTGTCTATACTTGCTTTCGACATACTATCTCAAGCTTACTTATGGCTTGAAATACATTGTTAAAACCAAAAAAAGACAATTTCCATTGATCATGTCATGAACACCCTGCAAGCACGCATTTCGGAAACACTCCGCAATCTAGCTGATCAACCGATAAGCTAGTATTTGAGAACGCAGCTACAAACCAAGCATTCAGGTGGTGACACATCATTGTTGATATGCATAATAATTACCGTTTGTTAGATAGACAGTTATATCCGGGCGACTTATATGCACTCCATATATCATGCGCCCGTTGGCAGATCTAAACTCACTGTTGGAGGCTGTGAGGGGCAAGCTCGCAATCAAAGTGCACAATCACGCAAGGCAACTATGATCTCAAACGCACCAAACGGAACTAACTGGGTTACGAGGCGCATTTAGCCAGGATGCGATCGGCATTTGGAGTCAAAAATCGTATGTTAAGTACATCGCGGATCATATAAGTATCTGGCCAAGTCATGGCGGCGCGTGGTAAAACACGAGAAATTAATCGTGTTATGAGAAGAAAGCATACTATTTGACTCAATCAACAAAGTTTAAGACATGGCAACTGTAATCAATCTTGCGCAGGGGCCCGTTGAGATTCCCGCATATCATCAAGTGCCAGAGACAGCTCACGAATGTATGATGATAAAATCCCCTTTATAAACACCCATTACTTACATGTGACTTTTGGAGTGGATTGGGCCGACCTGGTTACTCTAGATCTCTCTCAGTTTGAGGAGCCAGGTGGTAAAGCCCGTCTGGCAAAGCAGCTTCAAGAGGCCATCCAAAAGATTGGTAATGTCCATCCTGTATCTCATATCAGTGTTAGACATTAACTGGTAAAGGCTTCTTCTACATAACAAACTTTGGTTTAAGCCAAGAGCAAGTAGATCGCCAATTCGCCATTGGCAAAGAAGTGTTTCGATTGCCTGCAGAAGAAAAGCTCAAATATCGAGCTGAATTAGAAAAAGGGGGCTATAACGGCTACAAGCCGCTGGGTCTTAGAGTAAGTATGACTCGCTTCACCGCATCGCTCACAGTTCGCTAATATGCCGAGCAAAGGAGGTTGCTCCGGGCATCTATGACAACACTGAAATCTTCAACATACCCAAGTTCATACAGGCCTATGAGCGTCCACAGCCGGAAATCATCAACCAGAATCGCCAGGAAATCGAGAACTTTGCACGACATATCCATGACCACATTGTTGGGAAACTGTTGATCCTCTGTGCCATTATTCTGGAGCTACCAGAGGATTATTTTCTGAATCACCATCGCTACAATGAAAAGTCCGACTGTCATTTGCGGTACATGAAGTACCATCATCGTTCAGAAGAGGAAAACCAAGCTCTCGACAATGTCTGGGTGAAAGGGCACACGGACTTTGGAAGTCTCACGCTGTTGTTTCGGCAGCCTGTTTGTGCACTGCAAGTGCGGACTCCAGAAGGAAATTGGCGCTGGGTTCGTCCGTATCCAGAAAGCATAACAGTCAACCTGGCCGACTCGCTCGACTTTTGGACCAATGGGTTCTTGAAGAGCTCTATTCACAGAGTGGTAGCCCCTCCACCAGATCAACGAGAAACCGACAGGCTCGGTGTCCTGTATTTTTTGAGGCCAGAAGACAGCACGGAACTGAAGCCCATCACTAGCACTGTCCTTCAGCGGCTAGGCTATTCTAAAGAAACAGACACCAGTATAGCCGGGATCACAGCCGGTGAATGGGTAAAGGCGAGAGTCGCTAAGGGAGTTGCCAAAGAAAATAAGCCACGGAGCGAGGTCGAAGAACAGGTCATCATCGGAGGATTGACTGCAAAGTACTATGATTAGATACACAAAAGAGACTTATAAGCTCCAAGCTACATGTCATCTTCAATGTATTGCTTATACACTGTAGGATAAAACTTCTGACCATTAAGTCTATGCGATCGTACTTTGGTTCGCAGTTGGCTTTCCCCCCAAGTGTCGTATTTGCCGCGTAGAAATGGAGAATCAATGGCCTTGCTTTCCTCTGATTCAAGACCAGCATCGCGCCGAAAGTTGGAGAAGTGATCCTCCAAAGTCCCAAGAGCCTGGCCTTTGGTCAAGTCGCGCCGTACGCCTTGAAAGAAGGGAATGCTGAATCTTTCATCGCCGCTCGAGAGCACTCGATGTATCGTTGCCTTGCAGACGCCGTGCGTTACTACTTCAAATGCTTGTCCAATATTTACCACCAGAGTGCCCGGTATCACAGGGACGTCGATCCAGTCGCCAGCTTTGTTGAGAACTTGCAGTCCCTTGACATTTGGTGGCGAAGCCTGCATTAAGAACGTCCACCAGCCTGATGAGTCTTTGTGAGGGCCGACACCTTGGCCAGACCCAGTGACGGCAGGGTAATGTACAACCTTGAGCCTATGCTGATCGGAGAGGAAGGACTCGAATGTGTGGCTGGGCAATTCTAGCGCTTGGGCAACGAGAGTAAGAAACCGCTCTCCAAGAAGAGTCAACTCCGAGATATAATCCTCAACAATTGGCTGCAGCTCTGAGAGTCCAGTGGGCCACTACCGCACCAATGCCGAGTTAGACATTGCAAGAGAATGCGTGACGAACTATATTGGTACATACCTGGTTGGGGCCTCTTAGGCCTTCATAGAGAGGTGCATTAGGATCTGAGATGGCCGTCAACTCCGTTGCAAACTCGATTTGCTCCCTGACATCAGCCTGGCCGTTTGTGATTTCCGTGCCTGCACCCGAGTACCCAAGGAAATGCTTCGAGTTCTCCAAAGCTGCTGCCGTTTTTGCACTGTCTGGGAGCGCAAATAACCTCGGAAGTATGTCAACGAGACTGTCAAGCACGTTTTGAGGCACCTTGTGATTTGAGATGTATAGAAATCCCACTTCTGTAAGGGCGATGCGAAGAGCGCTGAGGAGGGTCGGGAGCGATGTGGGATCATCTGCCAGGGCCAGGTCGATGACAGGAATCTCCTGAAAGCTACTTTTCGGACCCGACATTATTGGTAACGAGTATAATGCGATGAGAGCGAGGATACTCAATTAAGCAACTGGAACTTCGGAGAGAAAATCCGGGTTGACAAATTGAGGCTTTTGCGACTCCCTTAGCCGAAGTTGCTGTATTAAGCTTGCTTATGTAAATTCTCTTACCAAATACACTACGTTGATCTTTGAGTCTAAAGGAGATCATTCGATTTAAGTGGCTGGATTAGAAATGATGCCATTTGAAGCATGACTAACTAGGCGTATTCTATCCGTATGCTCGCTACAATTACGCGAAGAATGCAAAACACGTCGTTCAATCTAGTGTAAGCTAGACGTTCACCCATGATGGGTTTGTTCTCCCTGACAAGTAATAATGTCTTGCTATTTATCAGCCCAGCGAAACATAAAATACGGTGCAAAAGTCTATACATTTAGTGACAAGGACTTTTGCGTCTTAAATCATCGGCTTATTCGACGTGTTGAAGCGCAGCTTCAAAATTGGTAATCAGGCTGAAAACTGATCAGGCACGTTGCTTCCCTCTGTTGTTACAGCCAGACTACTCTGAGAGTCTGAGGCAATATATCTTTGCTTACGGTAGGATATCTTAGGGTGTCGCCCATTCAACTTTCTTGCCTATATGAAAGTTAGCTCATTTCGGACATTTACGTTTCATCTCGCAGGGTAAATGCTGAAACAGCTTCCTGCTTTAAGCTAGTTTACTGAGTGAGACGAGCTCTAAGCAGTCGTTGGCATGCACATGGATTACAGCGTTCCTCACACTGCTGACTAGTAAAAAGTAAAGTAAATTTGACACTTGACGAAATCCATGTCTTGGAGTCCATTTCCGTATGCCCGGCGATGCCCTTTGATTCATATCTCAATAGTTCCAACTCGGTGGTTGATAATCCGAGCAGCTACGTATCGCGCGGTTGAGCCTACAACTGACACTAATACTTCCAATATTCCTGCGCCATCTAGAAAGGTATACCGCCGAAAAGGATTCATCACAAACATCCTTTCGTAATCCATAATAACCTGCAAAATGGATATCTAATAGATACTGCAGAGTGCAACGTGAGCGACATTTAATTTTCATCATTAGGCGTATGGCGTATGGTAGCCCCCACATGAGAATCTGGATGCGTATTGATGCTCTGCATGGATGGTGTCCTCGCACATGCCACCATCCCAAAATGCTGGGACAGATGACGATGAAACGATCATCGCTGTGGTGGGATACCAGTCATTCACGTGGAGGATCCATGAGTTGCATCACGCATGACACTAGCGATATCGCTATTGATTATTAACCAGTTGTATACTATCGCTGCTCAATACACTGGTTGCTCCGGCTGTTATCTGCATCTTGACTTGGCGATAACATGTAACATCACAAGGCATCTCGACCTGGGGTGAGTAATATCGCAGCTGGGGAAAAGCCCCAGCGCCAAGCTTTACCCCAATAGGCGCAAGTAAACGGCCGCTATCTAATCATCCTGCCAATGAGAGCTTAAACCGTCCGTATCTTCGTGGGGTTTTGCTGGGGTCCCATGAGCAGCAACTTGGCTCTCTTGCCGCCACAATCACATCCAACTGCTGTCGTTACATGACCATCAATGGTATTGAACAGCTGCTGCTGCACTTTTGAGAAATATGAGGTTCCTTCAAAGCATCAGCTAATTAGCATGATGAAGGCATTTTGTCTATCGGTTATGGGTTATTATCGGTGCCGTGTTAACCGTTGCAAAGCTGAGTCTAATTACAATGCTATGCCAACTGCAATTCGGGCCTTCCTAGTGGACGTCTAAGCGCCCTAGCCAGTATAGTTTCGCACAGGAACAAGTAGATAAAGAGCGCTTATAGAAGATTGGAGATTAAAGCATGTCGGAAATGACCAATAACATTAGCAGATTTCTTACTGCTATCGGACAGGCTCACTCAATATACATGTCCCTTGTAGATGGCTGACACTTTGTTAGCTGATTCATGTGCTGCTGACATTGATACTGGATTTGTCGCGAAGCCAACCTACGTGACTCGAGACGTTTTCATACCTGACACCAAGTACCCAAATTTGCAACTCTCAGCCAAAACCACTTTATGCGGTAACTGTAGCCTCAACCCATCGCAACATTAGACGTGTGTGGTAGCACGAGCGCCCACAAGGCGTACAAGGGAATAGTTTGCGTCTTAGGGCTGCTTGTGACACCAGGGTGCAACCCCAGACCAAATGACTGCCGCAGCTGTTGTGTGCACGCACGTGGAGCGAGAGATTAAAAACTCAAAGGGTGCAGACAGCTACTGATAACGGCTTAAGCACTCAAGCTACGCGCCCACGGGAACAGCATCAACGGACCCTCCAGGCGTGAGACCTCAGGCGGGTTGTTGCGCGTTTGCAGCTTCTACCTGACAAAAAGAGCGTGGGCTCAAACACCTCGCGATCTTAGAGCTACCTGATTGAGCCTAGACATGGTTCCCACGGCAGCCGAATTACCGAGCTGTGTAGCAGTAGTCCAGGAACGCGAGATCCAGTGGCCGGGCTGCAGCCAATCGCCTCTCTCGTGAGTTCTTCATTGAGAATCTGTGTCGGCTCTTCGCTCTGTACCGTTAACTGGCGGTCCGTCACTTGATCCTTCATATAGCTCTAGCGGGCAGCTACACGCGCGATCGAGGCCGTCATGTAACGTCCCCTTCCCGGATTGGATGTTTCTCTCAGATTAGGCATCTGGATGCAGGCGAGAATGCGGAGTGAGGCCATATTGAGACGGGCTGCAGGGAGTCGGTGCTTGGTTGGGTTTCTAAATGGTTTTTTGAGTTGATGTTTAAATACACCTCGAGGTTCCTTATGTCGATCCGTTTCTGTCGGAGCCAAGAGTTTCTTCATCACTTTCACATTCCCTTTAAACCAGGTCCTTGACGGATCGGTCACTTATCTTTCCTGTACATATTATCTCATTTTCGTACATAACATTATACAAAATGCTCTTTCAAAAGACTCTCTCCTGCCTCGGCCTCTTGGCCAGCCTTGCTTCGGCCGCTCCATCTCTTAGACGTCGACAAAGCCCGGGGGCCCTCAACGTCGTCTACTGGGGCCAGAATGGCGGCGGCACTATCGAGAACAACGATCTTTCTGCGTACTGTACAGCAACCAGCGATATTGACGTATTAGTACTGAGTTCCCTATGGCAGTGGTCGAATGGTGCCACGGCCATGGGAGGCTCATTCGGTCAATCTGTTTGTCCTCTCTCTTCACCAGGTTCACGGAGTACATGTTCTAACAACTGGGTAGTGTGGAGTTACCAGCTCAGGTCAACCCCAGAACTGCGACGCCTTAGTTTCTGCTATAACGAAATGCAAGAACGCTGGCGTAAAAATTATACTCAGTATCGGAGGCGCAGCTGCCTATTCTAGTTTCGCCTCGGCAGATGAGGCCTCAGCAGCCGGTCAATACGTATGGAATGCGTATGGCGGCGGAAGCGGTGTCACTAGGTACGTACATGTCTCATCCCCGATTATACAAAACTATCACTCACTTAGCAAAGGCCTTTTGGTAACAACATCGTGGATGGCTTTGACCTGGATCTTGAGCTAGCAAGTTCGTATCTCATGCTCAATCAGTTTTAACAATTACTAACTTAGTATAGATGGCAACCAATACTTCATCCCTTTCCTGAATACGCTTCGATCAAACTTTGCCAGTGATCCCAGTCACAGTTACGTGATCACAGGAGCACCAGTAAGTTAATTCCACAAAGTTAATGAGTAAATACAGTGTGCTAACTTCGTCAAAGCAATGCCCCATACCTTGAGTCTCCCTAGAATTGCCAGTTGGGGCTCATTTGCTAACAAGAACAACAGAGAACCTAATATGGGAATAATCATTCAGGGCGTGATCTTTGACTATTTATGGATTCAGTTCTACAACAACAACAACTATACAGTCCCCTGCAGCTTGGGTATCAATGGCGGAGCTCCTTTCAACTACAACAACTGGACATCCTTTGTTGAGACTACTCCATCTAAAAACGCAAAGCTCTTCGTTGGTGAGTGATCCTGGCTATATTGGTTATCATATAGCTTGTACTAACAGCTTGCAGGTGTACCCGGTTAGTATAATACATACCTCTTTGTGAAATATGGTAATTCGAAGGTCTATTGATGCTAACAATCCGTAAGCGAGCCCATTGGGAGCCAACGGTGCACCGAGCGGTTCAATCTATTATGCCACTCCACAGCAACTGGCTACGATTGTCGCCGAAGTAAAGGGAAACTCAAACTTTGGCGGCATCATGATGTGGTCCGCTGGATTTTCCGATGCTAACGTCAACAACGGCTGCACCTATGCTCAAGAAGCTAAGAACATCCTGTTGACTGGCTCTCCTTGCTCCTCCGGACCGGTTACTGCCTCGCTTCCACCAGTCCCAACTTCGACTTCGGCCTCCTCGCCACCAGGAAGCAGCTCCACTCCTCCCTCTGGCTCCGGCTCCGTTCCTCAATGGGGACAAGTAAGTTAACCTCCATAATATGCAAAAGACATTTCATCTAACATAGAATAGTGTGGTGGTAGTGGTTACACAGGACCAACTCAGTGTGTGTCGCCATACAAATGTGTGGCCACGAGTGAGTGGTGGTCTCAATGTGAGTAAACGCTTGGGGTTCATCACCTAAAGAATCCACAAATGGTGAACTCGGAAACACCAAGTGGCCAAAAATTCTCTTCTATTGTATATAGACAATTTTGATGCAGCTTTGCATCTATTCAAGTACATGTTTCATCAATTTGCATATCTTGAACATTATTTTACTTCAGCCTCCGTATTATTAATCCGGGCCGTGGCTAACATCTGCTTGTTCAATTATCGCTATGTTCTTGGGAAGTGTTACTTCGTAGTGAACCACGTCGCGTATTGCTAATTGGTGAGTAGAAATGTACCGCATGTATGGAGTAATAGCGTTCAATAGCTGGGGTCATTGAAAACATAGCCGTATATTAAATCCTACCGTAAAGTCGTTGTTCTTCCATATGTTATGTCTGCTTAATATTGGTGCTCAAATTTATATCTAAGACCAGCAAATCATCTTCCAATGCAGTAAATCATTAGCAGCCTACCGATTAGGCACCCTAGCTTTCCTCATTCCTGTTTCACTCATTGCTTAGAAGTACTGTATTCGTATGTCATAATGCTATACTATGCAGCGCTAAATATATCTTGTCAAAAACCAGTCAAATGATGTGATTGGTTATGCTTTAGAATGCCTAGTTGCTGATTATATCGTCATCTCACTCACAGTATCGATGTTGCTCCTCATTCCTGGAAACTTCCTACATTCAATGGCTGACTGCGTATCAATTTGTAGCAAAGATTATCTACGACAGGCAAAGCCTTCAACACTTCAAAAACATGCTTCCACTCGATATAGTCCCAAGCAAAAGAGCCATTTGAGGGTCATTAGTACAGGACTAGTCGTGGCAAAGTGCGTCAAGGTTTACCTGCTTGCATTAGCTTCCCCTCAAAATGTAGAAAACATCAGTCATCTTAGATAAACAGGTTTCCGTATTCTAAATTAGATAATTACTTACGATCTATCAAAACTATGTTGTAGGTATCGCTTTCTTGCGTTTATCTTAAACTGCTCCGGTAGTCAAATAAAAGCTATGGGTTCAAACCTGCATGCTTCTTAATGGCAAGGAAAGCAAGAAATGCGCTGTGAAGGCGATGCTTTCATATATGTCTATTTAATTGACTTTTTTACTTATCAATCTTGCCCTAATTGGATCAGATAATTAACACTTCGGTTAGCTATTCCCAGCCGACCCGGTACGGATAAGACGTACGTGGGGGCACTAAGGCTGCAGTGACTTGGCCACGGTTGCCCTGTTGCCCAGATGTGGATTTGTAAATTATGATGTTGTCTAGAATAGCTCAGTATAAGCTATGGTGATCATTGGCGCGATAGTACTCGTAATAAAGGCGGAAGGCTTGGATGATGACGCTCTCACAACAAGGATTCTATTGCCGTAGACGCAACTCGGAACGAAAATGTCACTCGCTATACGTCTACTTTCGCCTGCCAAATAAATCGTCAAAGGCGATTTTAGTATTGATTTTTCGTCGGTAATACCTATACACGCCTGTAATGTCTATTGCTACGCGTTAATTCCCAACCATGCGCGGCAGATCATAAAGCTGTTACTATTTGGGAAGAAAGTTTACGTGTAGGCTCGGATCACACCCACATTTTACAGGGTTACTACAAGGAATTTGTAGAATGCCATTTTGAGTTCTTTAGTATTCTCCTATCGATCAAACCGGAAACCAAAAGTATGCACTCAGAGTACGTACATGCATGTGCCGGGCCACGCCCAGCCGTATACTTCTCCTATCATTCCAAATTCAACTATTTCCGCTGCTAGTAACCCTGTCAATTAGCGTGCTGCTAAATTATGTTTAGTCGGCCATTAGCCCAGTTTTGTGATTTGGACCGTGTGTATGTAGCCCGGGTCGGCTGGAGGTAACTAGCATTTTGATCCAAAGTTAATCCAACATTATAAGAAGAGCTAACATTCTTCAGCTCCATTGAATGCTTGTCTTCGAAGAACTGCATCTATATAGAAAATCCAAGATTCTAAAACAAAATCTCTCCATCTCTACAACTCAAATCAACACCTTTCAGAATATCGCGAGTATGGATTACGACTACCGCACTCTCCCGCCCTCGTCTTTTATACCATTCTTCGAAAGTGATGATTCTCGCTGGCAGGCAGTGCAGGATCGAGACATCAATTCTGACGGATTATTCGTCTATGCAGTCAGAAGCACAAAAGTATTTTGCCGACCGGTTTGCAAATCCAGGCATCCTCGCCGATGCAATGTCTCGTTCTACGCGACAGGGAAACAAGCACAGCTATCGGGCTTCCGCCCATGCAAGCGTTGTAAACCAGAATTAGAGGGTCTCATGCCCGAGGAAACGGCGGTACAAAAAATCCGCGAGTTCCTACAAGAGCTGGAAAGAACAGGAATCAATGATGAAGGCTCTTATCAGCTCACCTTGAGTCAAATGGCGAGGCAAGCCAAGGTATCGAAGTGGTATTTCCACAGAGTATTTAAGAAGTCCATGGGCGTAACCCCTGTGCAGTACCTGAAGATATGGCGCGACACGATTCATACGCAAAATCAACTTGAAAATAACGGCATGCATTGGCTTGATCAACCAGCCCCCTGTACCGCTGAATGGCCCCAGCTTACGGAGACATTTCCGAACGGCGAGGACTTTTCGACGGATACCCTCTCCAATGTCACAAGCGAGAATGATGAAGTAATGGCTGCCGACTTTGCTTTTCCGAGCTGGCTCACTTGATGTGGACATTGCTACCGAGGTTTTGGTGGAAGAAGAAAAGGCTTGGGGTGCTGGTAATACTCTAAGCATAGATTGTCATAGCTTATTATTCTTTCTCTGTCTGAAAGAAATAAATATTAATGCAGCACAAGAAAACATCCTCTTCAAATTCTAGTGAACAGCAGAAACGCGCCCGAGGCACTCAGGCGTTTGAATCTCAAGCACGCACGATCTCGTCTGCATCCCCAGTCATGTAGGGGCTCAGGGATGGACACATCTCTGTCTTTTTACGCGTATCTGACCTTTACATGCCCGTCTCGGTTGACATCATATTTTGCTAGGTTCACCTAATCTTACTAGAGAAGATTTTGTCCACGATTGCGCCTTGCGTAACCGTTATAAAATGAAGTTGAATGGAAGGTGTAGCAGGGCGAGAGTCCCCGTTTAGGCGTCTGATTGTCGAAACGTAGTAAGAAAGGTTGTCACACCTAACATAGTCTGACAGTTGAAGGCCTGCTAGGCAACCGTTTTATTCTGCCTCTCGCTCTCCTTTTCTGCATACGGCTGGGCAGCTCGTCAAGACGGTGGCGCTGGGCTTGTTTCGTCAACGTGGTGCGGCAGAGGCTGCTTATGCTGCGTGTTCTACTCCGCAAATCACTTCACTAATACCAGTTGTGGTGCATCCGATCCGACGCTAACGTCAACGCCACCTGGCGCCTCCACAACGTTCTTGGTTACAGGAATAAGCCCCGATATTGCGTTTGACAAGCCCAAGTGCGAGGCTGCATCGCAACGCCATTTGCCAGCAGCGGGAAAAGCGGAGCAAGGCTTGCAATATAAGCAAGTTTTTGCGCCGCAGCTAGCAGAAACTCGTACCTGCTTTGCTCCGGGGTAGCGACGTTGTAGGTATATAATACTATTTTACAGCCACAAGACACTGCCTATGTAACAGTTGAATGTGTTATAAGTTGTCAAAAGCCTATGTCATCGGGCTACGTGGCGTTGAAAGCTTGTTGAGACGCAATAGAAAATGGATCCTAATTTGTCTACAATGGAGTGTGTATAACTAGGTACTTCTAGGAATATTATTTTTGAAGATTTTGAACAGCGAGTTTCCATATAGGCATGTGAATATAGTCTCTCATATGTTACCTTGGAGCTAGTTGTAAAAGATGGCTTACGGGATAAAAAAGTGTGTGAAGCATGTTTTGCTGCGCAAACTTATGAGTCTACTCATTCTCAACTCGAGCTGGCTACTCATGAATATAATCCGGCAGCAGTAAATATAGGTATAAACTATAAGCTTGTCTAATCATCGCTTTGTTACTTTGGGCTTGGCGTCAATGTCAATAGTACACTCGCACTCTTCCAATTTTAGAACGACACCAACTGGTTGCCGTTTTCTTTGGTTCCTAGGCACCCATACTGCCATACTAAGCTTTTTGGGCCGTTCTTCAGCCTCTGATGCTAACTTGATTTGATCATTAATGCGGAGTTTTACAATTTCCACCTATTCATCTGTGACTCCGCATCTTCAAGTATCTGTATTAGATAAACATAGGAGGTACTCGCTGAGCGTTTATGGCTGATTGGTATAATAACAAAGCGTCCAAGTTACTGCTATTTGCGAGATCATTTTGTGACCAGGCCTGCTGTATCATGGTCCGTAACATCATAAACTTTCGGAGCGGCCTGCGCTCTAATAAAGTCTCTATCGTGACTAGCACCAGTCGACGCTCATCCTCCGTCGATGCTTCAAGTGCTATGACAAAAAGGGGCCAAGGCCGATCACATCTCGCCGTCACCTCCAATGCCCTGTATGCCTCGGCCGCCAGTTTGTTAACATGTGGGGTGTCTCGGGGACTATTACGGGCTACTCGCTGGAGATAGAGAAGCGCGGCAAGGCGATAAAGTTCGGCGATTTGAGCGTTGTATGTAGATACTTCGTCCAGCTTTGAGATATCGGATTCCTCGCCTGGGCTGAGACGATGCAACCGCTGTTCCAGGATTTCTAGGCGTTCGTTGTGCTCTGGGGATCTATAATGCTCGGAATCGCGATCAAGGACGTTATCGAAAATTTCGTGTAGAATGTCTAGCAGCTCGAGTGAACACCCCCATGATGTCAGAACCTGTATCAGACGATTAGCTTGAGGGATTTATTCTCTCAGTTTCCTATTTGTAATAAAATAACGGGAAAGGAGAGGGGATGATGCCGCTACTTGCAGTGTGCTGCGAAACTGAGTGGGGAGGCTTCGATATGATTTTCCTCTGTCTCGCTACCCATGTCTGCTGCTCGTCTTTCCGAAGCCAGTGAAGAACACTGAACTTGCACATGGTGTAATAGTAGAAAATCCAGTCCATCATGGTGGCGGAATCTCCCTCGTAAGTATCCCCAGGGGTATATATTGTATCGACGATTCTTTTGGTGCCGCTGAAAAATATGGCCCAGCGAAGAGACGATTCGCCATTTTCCATCTATATTTATGTACAAGCAGTGAGCTCATGTATATATCCATCAAGTGGTTTGATAAAGCAAGAGAATAGTTTGATTTTTCAAGATGGGGGAAGGGCAGTGATAGGGGACATACCTCGTAGACACTTAGCAGCATGCTAGCTGCGATTGCCTGTAACGCTTCATCGTTATCCCACGGCAGAGACCTATCAATACTAGCCTGTAAATGTTGTATTGCCTCATTTTGGTGCTGTATAGCCTTTGAAGGCACGACAAAAAATTGAAAAGATAGTGCTAACAAGGCTTGGCGAAGAGCCATAGCAGACGACTTGGTGCTGTTTGCAATCATCTTGATTAGTAGTTGCTGAATATCAACTGCATTATCCCCAAATGTCATTTGTACGATTGAAGATTCGTCGCCGCCTAACACGGTTTAAGATCAATATGCCATGATATGTATGGAGAGAAGCGGATGCAACATACCTTCTGAAGTCAAATATGCAGATTGATTCGAATAATGAGAGGACACTGTTTCTGGTAAACGTGGCAGAGTCACCTCGTGAGCGAAATGATTTTGACAAATTTCTATACAACATTAATTTTCCAAAGATCGCAGCTTCATATGTCAGCTTCAAGCTTACTGCTCCAATTAGGATCTCGTAGCCGCACTGCCAATTCTATGTCTTGGTTTCCTAAATCGATAAAATAGAGTGGTCGACCATGTATTGGCAGTTGGACTTTGGGAACACAAAAAAAAGCCCTTCGGCTACCAGGTTCTTTTGGCCATGACAGGAGAATTCCATATCCTACACAAACTTCACCGCGGCTCTTACAGCTTCCGCAGGATGGAACTTGTCTATCACACGACTTCTTTCGAGCTGCCTCTCATGTTATTATCCAGTGGGATAATTCCATATAGCGGAGCTATTGACGTACCTCGACAGTTCCAACATCTTTTTGGGCGGCTCATTATTTGCGTTTAATACGGCAAAGTCCCCATATAGCAGAGTAAGAAGTTGATGAATCTGAATGCATTGGGAAAGTTCTTGCGCTAGTGTTATACATCCTGAGGTTCGCCACGGAGTGAATACGTGTTATCACGCGTGATGCAACTAAAAGTAAATATTCCATTCACAAAGTGGAACTTTGGATATATTTTTTTCACGGCCCCTGGCGAAGCTGCCCCTCTGCTTGTGTTGCTACGGAACATTTTGTTCAGCTGTGTTGCTGCGGATGTTGACAGTGCGTGATGGGGGCGACGGCACAGCGAATCATGACTAGCCGTTCCAACTTATAGGTGCTAGCGGTTAATCTTTATTTATTAGTTTTTGGGAAGTATTTAAAGGCATGCGACGGACAGTAACACAAAATGGTATATTCACTGACAATTCAGACTCATATCTGTTTACTTTGGCTATTGTCGTCCATTGGGCTCTGCTAGTGTTTGGTTACACTGTCTCCACCTCCGAGATTGAAACAACTCACACACAGAGATCGAACGCCAAGAAGCTTGGAATCATACACTACGGAGAGGAAAATGAGTCAACCAATCGAATTTTGGTCGCATCGTATAGGACCTAACCCTTGGAAGAAGTGCGACTGGATTTTCCCCTTAAACATTGTCTCCACGCTAAGAAAGTCATGAATAGTGTAATTGTCTTCGAGGAACTGGGCATCCCATACACAACCAAGTTTTTGGACTTTGGTAACAGCGAAGGAGGCGTCGAGCACCCTGATTTTCTCAAGAAGAACGCTGCAGGACGAGTCCCGCTCATAAATGACCCCGCTACTGGTAAGCAGATAGAGGGACGGAAGCTCGTGTTAAAGAGCCAAAGCTAATATCGCTGCACTCAGGTATGATTCTGACGGAATCCAACGTTATTAACAACTATTTGGTCGACCGTTATGACAAGGGCCACGTATTCGCCACCAATACAGAGCAAGACAAGTATCTCGTTGATAAGTATCTCGGGTTTCAGAGTAGTGCGCAAGCTCCATTTTTCGCTCAGGTTAGAACACCCTTTTCGATCCTATTATATTTGCGCCACCAAGTATACTTAACTGGTGTTTTAGACAATGCAAATGAAGAGAAAGGGCAACACGGATGGGGTTGTTCATTTTCAGAATTTCGTAAAGAGGACTCTTAAGACCGTTGATGACGAGCTGGAAGGGAAAGAATACCTGGTAGGCGGCAAATGCACTCTAGCGGATCTGGCTTTCGTCCCATGGGATCTCATGCTGGACTTTGTCCTTGAAGGAGATGCCGAAGCCGCCACTGCCCAGGACAGGCAGAAGCTGTATCCTAATTGGTACAGATGGCACACTAAGGTGACTCAAAAGCCGAGTGTTCAGAAAATGATTACATTGAAGAAGGAGGCCAATTCCAACTAGAAACAAGAAATAGAACAGACTAGAAGACTTGATTGACTAAATTTATTATCGTGCTGATGGATACAACTTTCTTTTCACCCGCAATCCTTCGCTTTCTCCTCTTCTCAGCATCCGATACATACGCAATTTGTGTTCTAACCAAGCGAGTGATAGTAGTAGAAAAAGTTTTGACATGTAAACTGTTGGTTTTCAGACTCAGAAACACCATCTCTAACCAGCATACGTCTCCTTATTTGAAAGCAGACGCTGTACTCTTGGGTGATTGCTTTATCATTCTGGAAGTGCCGAGGATCAAAGTCTATCTGGGAACAGAAGATACTTTGGATTAATCAATGAGCATCAGGAAGTTGTTTTCAAGTACGACGCTTGCAGGGAGAGAAAGTGCCCTGGGCTTCTACTATACAGCGTATTCTATACGATTCTTTAGCGCGGTAATGGCAGCGCTGGTGCGTGATCCACCATCTCGAGATTGATGACGATCCAAAGCGTTAAAATCTCTTATGCGTATCCACTATGAAGCAGCCTTAAGATCTAAGAGTTGTGCCAAGTTTTGATATAATGAAACTGTATCAGTGAGGATTACATGTAGGCAGGTAGGCACACGACTCATGCCGCATTCACTTCTCAACGTTGATCTCCTAGCATGCGTTAGCGCTTATCCAGCGTTCAGCCTCATGCTGGAATCACAACCTGTGTTTCAGGACACTTGCCTGCCGTATCCGCTAAACCTCGCTCCCACCACAGGCTAGTTGAGAGTTGGCACCCTGTTAGCACCGTACCGGACATGGTAGGCTGGAGAACTCCGCATTGTGTCATATCGAGGCATGATGTTTATCTGAAAGGAATATTTTCCGTCTGTGTGGAAGCACCCTATGAGCACCTAAGGCGAATCCACTCATATTTTCAGCGCATGTTGAGTAACTTGGCGGAAGTATTCCGCCATGATTATACGCTCAAAGTATTCCTTCGTTTGGGTATGCTACCGTAAGAGGCTAAGACGACATCGTATCCTGTTTATTATACAAGAGCAGAGTGTCGAGCGTACCCAATTGACTGGTAGGAATCTATTGCCAAGTTGCGATGACGCCTTGGCATTATTTATCCAATTCAGTATAAAAAGATATTTCCAGCGAGTAAAGAGTAATACTGATTCATATAGACTTTGCTTAAATACTTGTTCTGTGTTGATAACGAAAAGGCGGAATTCATTTGCTCAGGCCAAGCTGTTATCAGTGGCAAGGACCGGATACCACCAGAATCATATACCTGAAGGAACGCACATTGTTACAACTCGCATTTTGGCTATGCAGCATGCAGTGTGATGAAAGCTGATTTACTGTCATAAGAAAGCATGGAAGTAACAACAAAAGCACCTCACAGAACCAAAGGTAGGTGGGAGGTAATAGAGGGCGGATATGGAAACTTGGTGCAGCTTGGCTTCGAATTATTCTCTAAAGTTGGGAGGAACAGCTTGACTCTTTAAATAATTTGATTCCATTAGAACCAAGATATAAGTTTGTGGAGGTGATGCGAGGAGCAATCGTATACTGCCGTTCTTTTGGTCAACAGCAAGTTGCTATTAGCCCGTAATATGGTTGCGGAGTGCAAGAAGAGAATCGTCTCTGGGACGCACTACTGCATGTGTACGATAATAGATCGGCGCAAATAGCATGCAGTGTGTCACATTTTACAAGATCGTAGGAATTAATAGGAGGATGGCTTTACCTCCGCAAATCCAATTGATGTTACCTTAATTACAGAGCAACAGTCATTACGGGCGATCAGAGCTCACTGCATGGTAGTTTTAGCGTCATTATTCTAATTTTATTTAATTCGTTGACTAACCGCTGTATGCGGCCGGGCCGGACAAGAAGCAGAGGCCGGGCAAAATTGAAACACACAGCGGCTGAATTATACACACAACTAAGCGCTGATCAGCTTCTATAGAGGTGCTCATATTATGTGCTTATCCATTTTACGTTTACAATTCTTGGCGCTCAATTTGACGATTGATCTTGTATGGAATCTTTTGACCAGTTTTCCTTTTCCTCTTCCTGTTAAGGATATTGCAGATGACCCGTATTCATCCATGATCCTTTCGTAACTGCTGTGTGATGATACAATGCCACGACGTTGGGGGAGCATCTTGAGCTGACCCGGAGCATATCGTTTATATTTTGCCCTTTATGACGATATAATTGAGGAAAACCGTTTTGAATAACAAAATACAGAGAGACACGGCTAGAGATTTCTCACGATGAAAGTAGCCTGTAGCGAGACGCCACAAAGTCACGGCGCTGCGAAAGAATAATAGTTGGCCAACCGGGTTGCAATGGCGCGCACACAGTAGCATCCGTGCTTTTCCGGCGGAGCAAAGTGGGCTCTACGCAGGTAAAAAAAAAAATCTCCTGATTGTGTCGCCAGCTTTCGATTCCAAAGGGCAGGTTAGTCTAGCCACACAGAGCCTGGCTGTATTAAACTTTTCCATACTCAGAAAGCAATGCGTTACCAACAATGCGGCCATCTCGACTAAGCTATCCCCTGCTTAGTCGGGCACAATGGCCCCAGGAGGATTTCCTGCACTATGCTCAGCTGTAAGCTTTTCTATAGTTGCGATGATATCAGACTTACAAAGCTTGATTCCATTTTTTCCCACTTTGTTTTGCCTGTGATTCCATTGTTGGATAGCGTAATTTGTTAAGGCAGATTTCCATAAATAAGATGTATTCTTCTCAGTTTCACAGTCTCAATCACTTCACTAGCATCTAGCTTCACCAAACATCTTACCAGACTCTCAACCTACTTCAAATCCAACAGCCAACCAATCACCTCTCAAAATGGCAGAAAAGGTATAGCTAATGACTCAAGCGTATATAGCATCATACTAACATATTTTTCTATAGTTTACTATTTATACCTCCCCTGAGTCCCAGTGGGTAGGCGTCATGCACTTGGCGCTGGTTGAAAAAGGTCTCAAGCAGGACGTAGATTACGATGTGAAGGAAGTCAGTCTTTGTAAGTATCAGAGCCTTTTCACTCCACAGATGAAACGTACACTAACTCTTCATTCTTTTTAGCAAACGGCGACAACTTCGCTCCCGATTATATCAAAATTAACCCCAACGGGACGGTGCCCTCTCTGACTGCCCCTTCTCTCTCCAAGCCTATCACGGAAAGTGCCGATATTCTACGATGGATTGATGCCAGAGGAACAAAGACTCTCGAACCTGAAGACGCAGCTCGATCAAAGGAGATAGTTGATCTCGTGCACTCACCAACCATGAGCACCAACCTAATTCTATTTCAGGCACGAGATGCAAATGAGATGAAGAACAAGCAAAATAGCTTCTGGAAAACCTTCCTTGAAGGTCGCCAATCACGTTTGGACAAAGAGCTCGCCGCACAGCCCAGCCACCCATTTTATGTCTCCAAGACAGCTGAAAATCTGTCTGTGACTTCATTGTATCGGGCTGATGTTGGACCTACCCATGAGGATTTCTACAAGATGACGGACGACATGTATCGCACTCTGGCTGCAGGCCTTAACAAGCTCGATAGTTTGATTGCACTACCATATGCGGCTGGCTCGCGGGTTAGTGAGGCAGATTACAACGCCGCTCCATGGCTCTCACACGCCATGATGGGGGCCGATACGCCAACTAAAGACGTGCAAGACTTTGGACCTCTGGAACGCCTGATCCAGAAGACGGTGCCTGACTTCAAGATTGGTTCAAAGACCAGAGAGTGGTGGGCAAATCTTGCAAAGACGAAGGCGTTCAAGGAGGTTTTCCCTACTTTGCACTAGATGACTGGGTGCTGCAGGCTGAGAAGCGAAACACTTGCACGCTTGACTTCAGGGACGAAAATAAATGAACAATAATGTATATTAATAGACTGCTATGGTTACAAAAGTTACTGCTTTGACAATTAAGCTTTTATTATATTACGAGTGTCATTGTGAAGTATGCTCTTCGAGTGGATCGCGCCCTATAACACCGGCTTTTCAGTTGGGTGGATTTGTTATTGCTCACTTATTCATAAATGACTGAAAGTTGCACTATAATTAAAGATAGTTTAACACACGTTCACCGCTTCTGGCTTCCAATTGATGTTTCTTCGCACACAGAGCAGCTCCGGCACTCCTATCGAACAACCCGGAAAGTCTTAGCTCTTTTCTGTCACCTCAGTCACGACATGCGTCTCATATGCATCAACGTTCTCTGACGCGAATTTGCGAGCCGAAATCTTTCTTGCGAACAAAATGTCAAGCTCTTCATATGTACGTCCCTTTGTCTCAGGCAATCTGAAATAAGCCCATATGAATGTGAGAAGAGCGGTGCCACCCCAAAAGAATCCTGTCTTTCCAGATGCATTCCAAGCAGTGGGATTCATGAAATAGGGCTCAAGAACCTGTGAATGGTCAGCAATTCATGTCTTAGTAGACATAGTATATGCCCAAAAGGCAACTTTTGAAGGAGCGTACCTGAGACACAATGTTTATGATCTGATACGCTGTTCTAGCCAGCGAAACCGTAAGTGGACGCAATCTGATGGATGATGTTTCCGAGACGATCGCGTAAGCCAATGGGCCTACTGTTAGAGCATATACGAGGAGCCACAAGATGCAAAGGGCAGCTTCTGCCCATATCGCGTCCTTAGCGGAAGTCGCAGCATTGATGATGCCGATAGTGAAAAGAATAGTGAAAAGTATGCCTTGACCGGACACATATAGGGTTCGTCGACCGAAGTGAGTTATCAAGAACCATGAAAAAACTGTTCCAAGAAATGCGATGGCTGTACCTCCCAGATTCAATTGATACGCGTGGTCGGCGCTCATACCGGCTGTAGTAAAAAAGTAGCTGGGCGAGTAGGCAAATGAGCTTCCAGAAAGAATCTGGCCGAGGAAGGCCACGCAGCAAATCTCTGTTCGGCGGAGATCGGTGCCCTTGAAGCACTCCACATAGGATTTGCTTTCCTTAGCTTGCACCGCTTCAATATTGACAGTGTGGACCATCATGGCGAGCTGACCGCTAATCTGGTCCTCGGTTTTATTTCCTCCCAAGCGTCGTAGACTTTGTTTCGCGTCATCCACGCGGTCCCTTCGTACAAGATACCATGGACTCTCCGGCGCGAAGAAGCAGACAATCATAAGAGGGACGGGCCAGATCCACTGAATCGCAAACGGGATGCGATAAGCCCATTGGTCTTGGCGGTGAATTAGACCTTCAAGCACACCTGCTGCGATGAACTGACCAATTGCCCAGCACAAGTTTACATAAGTCGTAAGATAACCTCGCAGATTTGTAGGGCAAACCTCTGACGCATATGATGGACTAGCGACGGCGAAAACACCCCATGATAGACCACAGAGGATTTGGCCTACCAACAATACAGCAGCGGAATTGGCGAAAAATACGATGAAGATGAAAGCGTTCATGAAAAATAGGGCTCCGATCATAACATAGCGGTAGCCTAACACAGACACAAGATAGCCGTTCAAGATACCGCCTAGACTCGACTCCTAGATCAGCGGCACGAAATGCAATGGAATGTTTAGACGGTCTTACCGAAAATAGCACCCACGGTACTTCCCATATTCAAGCCAGACTGCCACGGCGCTGAGACCTGATATCCAATTGAGCCTCCATGGTCTTGGCCATACTTCTTCGCAAATTCAGGATAGCCGAAAAAGTTGCCCATCAAGATTGTATCGTAGCCCTCCATGACAATGCTCATTGAGATGAGCATAGACCAAAAGACAGCCTTGCGGTTGCTTTTGAGGGCCTCGAGTAGCGTTTGGGAATGCTCTTCGTCAGAGGCATGCTTGGCATCGACAATGGCGCCTTCGCCAAGCGTATCCTCGAGGTGGGTAGCTGCCACCTTTGTGATGTTTGATTCCGCCATTGTTACAGTGGAGTGACTGAGTTGCCGTCACCAACCAAAGATTACTCCCTGGAAAGATCAGAGACAGTTTCGACAAGAAGTCTTTCACGGGTTCTAAGGTTGGAGAAATCACGAAATCCTTATACAAATTGGCGAGCCATTCTGTTGGAGCAGTCGCCAGTCAGCTGGCATGACTAGCTCGTGCAAGTTGCTGCATCAACGATCATTGGAGCGCCAAAATTGTATATCCAGGGACTTTGAATGGTCTAAGCTGCAAGGGATAGGTCAGCGCCGCCATATGTCGAACGATACGAGGCGTTGTTGGATTATTTATCCAGAAGGCTAACTGGTATTAGGCTATATTTCAAGTCTTATAGTACTAGGGCCCGACCTCGTAAACCATCTCCTCCTACACGGCCTTGACAGGCCTTTCGTCTTACGGAGTTATACAAACTCATCGACTTCTGGTCTTCTAGCGACTCCCACTTCCCGACTCCAAGCAGCCAAACCCCACGCTCGCCCCTCTTTTACCCGAGAGCAGCTCGTTCTCGTGCTATCTGTTGACGACTTGGTGTAACGGAAGAACAGCATCCGCAGCTCAATTAGCACTAGACTGAGTGCGCTGTAGGCGAGCTAATGACCTGGTTCCATTTCACTCCGCAAATTCAAGGATCTAGACTAGATGCAAGTGTGGAGTAATATGGCACGCTCCTGCGCTCATCGTGGGACACAGGTCTTCACCAAGGTGATGGGCCTGGCCCGACATAATACATACCAACTGCAATAGCACAACATGTGGCGTGTCACCGCTCTCACGGGAGCATCAAAGCGGCTAAACTCCAATTATACGTGGACTAAAAGTTGTAGACGCCATGCAAAAAAGCACATCTCGGACAACTATCGTAAGCCGTGCTGAATAAACCTCTCCCGGTGTCTCTTTCGGAGCAGTACTTGAGAAATGAAATGGCTATGTCCTACTTTATTGCATTCAGTAGTGAGAACGAAGCGTAACATTCATGAGATCGCATGCATATATCTAATCTTCCGTAACAATACCCTGCACCATTATGGTGTGCATACAAGTATCTACTCCGTAGTAGGCTGTGCTTTCGGCGGTCGTATTCCGTATCTGTAAAAGTTATGCATAAGAATAGTTCGGAAGATCGGATTCATTTGAGCCAAGGCGCGCTGACTTAGTCGTGTTTAGTGTGATGTATCACAATGATTGAGATGATACGAAGGGAAACGACACTAGTCTAACGCCTTGACTTTTCCCAGAGCTCGCATGCGAAACGTATTTGATTGCTACACGTGCGGAGAGAGTATTGATAAAGATGATTGGCTTTGTTCTTGAGGAACGTGATGCAGCTAGCACAGGTCGTTTGAGCGCACAATAGCTCCATGCACTCAGCCTAGAGTCTCTGTAGATACAAATAACAATAATGCCACAGAGAATCCAGTCGATTCAAGAACATAGTCCGATGATATTGGTTCTTCTGTTGGGAAAATAGGGAGCGCCAGTTTTGTATGGGTATGGTCATGATATCCGACTATTGGATCCAGTTCTTAATATTCTACTGAAATAGACTGAATTGGCAAACAGCGCAATATTGGAGGTATAGATCGTTCTTAACATAACCACAACTGCAAAGCGTCATATAAGAGCAAGCAAAGATTTTTCATTCCTAGTAATCTTCCTAGATAAGCATCCTGTTTTGTGGACTTGGGAAAACATTTCCAGTGGTCCGCTATATCGGCTTCCGGTGGTTAATCTGTGGTGTCTCATAAGTAAGCTGAACAATGTCATTACCTCGTTATTACAGCTTAAAAAAAAGTAATTTGTCGGCTGTGCCACGGCTTGGGCGTAATAAACATCGTACGATTTATATCCTGTTAAGGCTTCCGTATCTACTTCTATCTAGTTATGGTGCTCACTAAGTGCTACTAAGCCTGGTGGAGAAGAGACCAGTACTACTGCTATTTACCAATGGCAAAACTGCTTTTTGGCGCTCCAATCCCATCTCTCAAAGCCAGACCCAAAGGACGCCAAGATGCAAAGATGTTATCATTGCTGGCGTCGCTGCTACATACACCGAGTTCCGTCATGTTTAGCCTAAACGGGGCATTTCACGAAAGCCCCGCGACTACCACTAGCTTTGCATGAAAAGTTATGGAGCTCTCTTTAACGTCTGATTGAGGAGTCTCTTCCGTCGGTTATATTACCGCTGGGTATACAGGTCAATCGACAGTAGGAGGAGTAGTCAATTACAGATCAAGCGTTTTCGCAAACGGGCATCATGAAGTTTCGTGATGGAATGTGGCTGCCCATTGAGGGCAAAAGGACAGAATACGCAGAGGATATCTACACTGTCACGCAGAGGCAAGACGGCCGAGCTTTGTCTTTGCTATGTCCCACGAAGCATGTTCGATCGAGAGGAGATACCCTAAACCTGCCCACTGTAACACTGGTAAGCATGCTCAAATCTTCAAAAAGGTTGGTCGGGGGGCTCATAAATCGTTTAGGATATCGAAGCTGTGTTCGATGGCGTAATTTCTGTTGAGACAACACACTGGTCTGGAGCTGCCAATAGAGGGCCTCACTTTGACCTTTTTCCTGACGGGAAGCCTGAGGACCATGCCAAGATTTCTGTATCTGATAAAGGCACAATAATCTCGTCAGGCTCTCTTAGTGCCACGATTCACCCTAACCAGCACACATTTGACATCCGCTTTCATGCAACGGATGGATCCAAGCAGCTCACATCGTTGTTGAATCGCAGTGTTGGATTTGCATATGGTCCAGCGCCCAGCAGCCCGCTTCAGCTTGATGACATGAGAAACTTCGACCATTACATCTTTACACAGACAACGTTGAGTGTGGGGGAAACTGTTCACGGACTTGGGGAACGTTTTGGTGCTTTCAATAAGGTGGGCCAGAGCGTCAGTCTATGGAATGCAGACGGCGGTACGTCGTCGGACCAAGCTTACAAGAACGTATCTTTTTGGCTGAGCAGCCGCGGTTATGGTGTATTTATCGATACGCCGGATCATGTCGAGCTTGAAATTGGCAGCGAACGATCATGCCGCGTGCAGACAAGCGTGAAAGGACAACGTCTGAAATGGTATCTGATTTATGGACCTTCGCCAAAAGAAGTCCTCTATAAATACACGATTTTAACGGGCAGGGCCGGCCGGGTTCCTAGCTGGAGCTTCGGCTTGTGGCTTTCGACATCGTTTACAACAAGCTATGACGAGAAAACCGTCTCCTCGTTTCTAGAGGGTATGAAAAGCCGCGATATTCCGATCGAAGTCTTCCATTACGACTGCTTCTGGTTAAAGGCGTTTCATTGGTGCGACTTTGTCTTTGACACCGAAATGTTTCCCGATCCCAAAGGCATGATAAGTCGAATTAAAGCTAGCGGACTTGTCCAAAAAGTCTGCGTTTGGACCAATCCGTATCTCGGCCAAGCTTCGCCTGTTTTTAGGATGGCGGCAGAGAAAGGGTATCTACTTAAACGAAAAAATGGCGACGTGTGGCAGACTGATCTCTGGCAGGCTGGAATGGGACTCATTGACTTTACAAACCCTGAAGCTACCAAGTGGTTTACCGGCTGCATGGAGCAACTCTTTGACACGGGTATCGATTCCATCAAAACGGATTTTGGAGAGAGAATTCCGACAGGTGACGTCCAATGGTATGATGAAAGCGTGGATCCGTCAAAGATGCACAACTACTATTCGTTCATTTACAACAAGGTTGTATATGAGGCTTTACAGAAACGATACGGCGAGAATGAAGCAGTTCTCTTTGCGCGATCTTCTACCGCCGGTTCACAACGTTTCCCATTACAGTGGGGTGGTGACTGTGAATCAACCCCCGAAGCAATGGCAGAATCGCTTCGTGGAGGTCTATCTCTTGGCCTATGTGGTTTTTCATTCTGGAGCGTGGATATCGGTGGATTCGAAGGCTCCCCACCTCCTTGGATCTACAAACGCTGGGTTGCTTTCGGATTATTAACATCTCACAGCCGTCTTCATGGCAGCAATAGCTACCGCGTTCCATGGACCATTGATAACGACGATCAAGGAGAACAGAGCTGTTCAAAAACATTGGCAAGGTGGACCGCTCTAAAGGCCCGCCTCATGCCTTACCTCTACGCACAAGCTGTGGAAGCTATTGCGGGAGGCCTTCCGCTGAGTGTCCGCGCCATGTGCCTTGAATTTCCAGAAGATCCAACTTCCTGGTACTTGGATCGCCAATTCATGATTGGATCCAAATTGCTGGTGGCTCCAATCTTTGAAGAACCAGGAGAGGTAGAGTTCTACTTACCTGAGGGACGGTGGACGAACTTTTTCACAGGCGAAGTGAAATTGGGGCCTAGATGGGTGAGGGAAACTCACGACTTCGACACGCTACCATTGTATGTGCGTGAAAATACAGTCCTAGTTTTGGGTAAGGAAGGTGAAAGACGGACAGTATATGACTACGTCAAGGACATTGAGGTTCGTACATATCATGTCAGCGCTAGGGCTAAGGTGAACCTTGTAGATAGTGACGGTAACTTGAAAGGTACTTTGGAAGTGGATTCGAAGGATAATATCGAAACCAGCTGGGAAAAATAGAGACAATGAGATAAAAATGTAGCTTAGTAGTATAGAAATGCTTTTACATGTTGCATCTCTGCACAGGTAGTATAGATTAGCTATCAAGGGCGCAGTACCCAGTATACAATAACAAAGAGAAATATATTGCTATCATTGTAAATGCCTTGAGGTATCTTGACGGGAGCATATAAGAGTTCAATAGTGGTTCAAAGCCGTCTTGATGAAACAGTTCAAGCCATCAAGACTCTAAAGAGCGAGGGATACCAATCTATAGTATCTCACATTCACATATGGAGTATATAGCGGGACATTATTTTATCTCTCTGCCTCGCATTCACAATCAGTATTTTGCCCCCTAACTGGCAGATGAGAGTGAACGATGGCTATAGTATGATGCATTTTAGCTACCGTGATCGCCTCCTACAATACCAGTGTTAAATCAAAGTTCTTGACTTATATATAGAAGTTCAGTATTACTTGAGTTGAGTCATTAGTGCTGGATATTAATTGTGACGCGGACAAGCCATATTCATGATCTTTATGCGCTGTGTGAAATGTACTCGTAAAACAAAACCAAAATAAAATACGCCATTGCAATCTAAATACTCTACACAATGGAAACGACAAGGAACCAGGTTGGAACGATCTAATATATGGAGATTTGTCAAGCTCCATGATGTGATCCAAGGCGTAAGAAGCCCTACGGTAGCATTATGAACTGCAAGTATGCATGAAAGTGTTGCCAAGTTGTTACTTTGCTAAGTGATGAAAACATATTGTTACCAATCTATACGTATAAGTCGTAGCTAGACTGCAGTATTACCAAGTCTGTTAAACCATAAAGGCGTAAAATACCAAACGCTAAGCATAACCGTTTTGATGCAAGTGAATCCACAAGTAACATATACAAATATTTAGAACGATATAACACTAGAGAAGTTGCAAAATAAAGTCAAGGATGAGCCTCTACCGTCCCTCTTTGTTCAGCGTCTCAAGCTGTGCATCCTGAGAAACTGGCAGATAGGTCTGGCCCTTTTTGCTCTGTGCATAACGGTCCTTAGCCCAGCCGTATAGGGCACTTCCACCTAAGATCAGAGCCATGCTGCCAGCACGGTTGGCAGTCAACGGCTCTCCCAGAGTTACAACAGCGACGGAGCTCTGGGCTACTCCTCGCGCGGCTGTCACAATCATGTGCGTAGTTGGGCTGGTAACCTCGAGCTGCATGAATGTGGCTATTGTGAGCAGAAATCCGGCAACGCCAGTCAACACCGCCGTGCCTAGGAACTGGTGGGCAGTAGCAGATGCATCAGCCGTCTCTGCTGAGCTCAGGACAGCTACCGTAGTTCCCATTTCTCCAGACAGTAATAGCAGCGGCAGATAAAACGCAATAGCCATGACATTCGACATCCAGACCATCTGCCACATTCCCTCGCTGCTTTTTCCGAGAAAGCGCTTCACAACCACAGACTCGATAGCTGTAGTAAAACTCGAGATGACTCCAAGCAATACGCCTTTCCCGCTGGTTAGCATCTGGCTATAATCAGATGCCATTCCGGCGCCAAAGCCGGCCATCACCAAAGCACAGCCGCCAAGCGACAATGGCGGGTAGTATGGGCGCGGTCGAAGTACGAGAAGCGATAAAATTAGAGTAAAAGGGAGCAGGAGACCACGAGCGATCTGGTAGACGGAAGCGTTAACCGAAGCCAAGCAGTACGTCTTGGCGAGGATGCCGACAAGTCGAGCAGCAGTGAGTGGAAGAAGTGCAATCCATGCCTACAGATTATGGAGATTGCATTAGCAGCGACTCTTCAGCTGATAGATACGATTAAGATGGCAGTTTCAGCAGCAAGGGCACAATACTATCAAGCTGTCCAGACTTTAACTGCCACTTCAACAGAACATACCGAAACGGGCCTTGACAAGGTAATCCACTTTGTAAAGTAGCCGATAGTTGTGAGCAGTACAACCTGTACTGTTGTCTGGAAGGCCAGCAGCGTCACAGGGGCATCGATACCATTCAGTGCTGACTTGGAGAGAATCGTACTCAAGATGGCACAGGTGGAATGGAAGAGGACTGTCAGAGCAACTCGGCGCCGGGACGGCGGTTGCGGCTCTATGACCTCACTCATGATGAAAAACTGGTCGGGGAAAAGATATTGAACGAGTGACTAGAAAAAAACAGCAAATGAACGGCAGGAAAATTATCTCCCAAAACACAGCTCCAGAGAAAAATATTCTACAATGAGTTTACTTCAAACCATTTGTTACGAAACGAAAGAAAAAAGTCCGGAGTAGTGATTGCTATGGCTTTTGCAGCCGCAACTACGAGCCGCACTACTGCTCCAGGATCTACCTGGGAGTAACAGTTAAGGGGTAAGCTACGCTAATGCCGCTCTGACTACTCCATATCCAGGAAAGATATCTGCCTTGTGGCTCTCAGGCTATGGATGGCAAGGTTGCCAGGAATTAGAAGACGCCGCTAGCCTGAACGCCTGCGAATCCATAGCGGAGATTTCTTATCAGCCCTGACTTAGCACAGGCCCCAGCGAGGCATCAAGTGCCTATTGCACCTGGAGTTCTGGGGACTATTTATTTGCTTTAGCGTATCTGCTAAAAGTGTTTGGTCGAGTGCTGTCCATGGCTAGTATTCAGCTAGAACGTCTATATGGGTCTGCGAATAAAGGCTCAACTTCCACGACTTCGAGTGGACGATGGAGTCTTGCCATGCTCCATACCTGTAACTCGGCTCTGCCAAGTTGAGAACCTCTTTTGTAGCGATCGGCCGTTAGGCGTCTTATCTGCTCACCCCTTTTCTGTAGAGGAACGGCAAATCTACTCCGTAAATAGCAGGAACTAACAAGACACGAAATGCCAAGTGACAAACCTGGGATCTATCAACTGCGGCTGATGGTGAGCATGCGCGTGCCTCACGCAACCCCTCCAATAAGCACAGGTTGTCCGTTGACTCGCACCATGATGAGGCGCGCTATAGCGCTCAGGTTCAATCCCTGATTACGTCGCCTCCTCCGCACTAACGCCTTGGCAGGCTCCGCTAATAAAAATGAACAGAGTATCGTCCAGCCACTCATAGCGGCGTATATTGCGAAGCCGTCCTGATGGTACAGTTGCCAAGACTCAACAACTCCCAAGAGAGATGCCGCATATGCCGGGTGACCTCCAAGTACCCAGTACTATCGGAGGTTGCTGGCTTGATCCTTGCAGCAACTGGACAATAGTAAGCGACCAAGGTCCAATATTAAAAAAAGAAATGCAGAGGGAAGAGGTAGAGGGAAGGAGGGGGGGAGTCTCGGATGGCTTAAGAGAGTCCGGAAAGATAGTTTGGCGCAGGTGGGAGAATGGAATCAGAGAGAATATTCCCTTGAGTCTAAAATGCAATATATGCTACATAATCCATAGATGATAACCCAGCCCAAGAAGAAGAAAAAAATGTGTATCTCCGGAATTATTGAAAAGAAATGCTGTATAAAATCGCTGTAGGGCGTCATCATGATGAGCCAGTGTCTGCGTCTGCCGGCACAATCCCGCTCTTTCTGAAATCCTCATCCATCCATTTCCTCACATTCAGCCTGTTTTGTTTCATTAGCTTCTTGGCTGCAGCTTGGACCTTGTCCTTCTTGTCCTGGTATGCTTTCGCGTCCCCAACTACCCTCTCAACTGTCTCCATTTCCCTCTCATCCGGCTCTGATAGCCAGACTGCTTCGCGCGGTAGATATGAATATGCCGCAATAATCTTTTCGCTCGCTACCAGAGGAACTCCTGCAATAAGGGAAGCAGGAACCGTAGAAGACGCTTTGCGATCCAAGTAGGTATCAGATGCAAATGCAGGAATCACTGCGTATGACTTTGAGAGTAGTCTGTAAAAGTCGGGATATGAAAGATCCTCGTCAAACGCAACGTTGTTGCGAATGTTCTCAGGAACTTGGACGTGCGGGCCATGTCCGATTAAGTGTAATTTGACTTTGTCGGCAGGTTGGCCGCTCGTCAAATCGGTCGTTCCATTCATCTTCTTGACGACATTGTCCAGGCTGCCAAAGATTCGTTTGTAATCTCGACGTTCGGGAGCGTAATCTCCCTGCATAGCTAGTGAAACTTCGCTTGAAGACTCCTCGTTTGTCTGATTAATCGGGAAAACTGGAGGAAATGTTCGTGCGGTGACGGTTGCCTGCAAGTCTTTCCACTGCGTCACAGACTTTTGTAGAAGAAAGTCCACAGTATGTTGGCTGAGGCCGATGAAATCAACTCGTTCCTGGTCAACCCATTCTCGGACGACGTCGACGTGTTTGCCCTTGTTCCAGTAGTCGGCATGGTGGACTAAGCAGAACAGGTGTGTCGTTTCGTTGTGAAGAAGGTGTCGAAGAGGATTAACTACCGACTCTCGTTTTTCCATGTCCAATTCACAGGTCGTAGAAATAACGAAATGGGGAGGAGGAAGATTCTTGACATCATCCTTGAAGGTGTTGGAGTTGTTAACAGATAAGATTGGTGTTTCCAGCTCAAGGTCGTTGATGATAACATCAGACTTGTAGCGTTGTTTCGCAAAATAGAGCCTCAGTTCTGCATTTGGGTGTCCTCCAAAGGCATATACCAGCGCCGCCGTCACTTCGTCGTGGACACCAGCAGACTCGACAATGGCGATGCGAATGGGTTCGTGTTTCTCACAGGGGAACCGATCATTCCACCACAGCGTGTCGTCGTCATCAGTAAAAAGGCTCTGCCATATCGGTTCATCACCAAGAAGTAGATTCCTGGTGCTTTCACGGCTGCTCAAGAATAGTAATGCAATAGCAAGAAGAATAAAGAATAAGTATAAGGAGCGTAATCGCCTATAGTAGGCGGTAAAGGCCATCTTGAGCATGTTGAGAAACAAAACAAATCATAAAGGTACAAGAAAAATAGACATCATGCCCTTTCACAGCGGCATATGGAACGAGAGGTAGAAAGAAAGAGTTACTAAAAGATCAAGGTTAGCATGAGCAGGCTGCCCCGGATCGTAGTTTAAAGACCCGAGCCCTTCTATGATACTGCCCAGTAAGACTATTACTGCTTCGTACGACTACACCCAAGAACCCCAGTCAGCCCCAGGCCGCGACTTTCCATATGCGTACGTAGCGAGAGACTATCAATATTTCACTTGTACCACTGCCAAGACAGCTCGCGCTCTCCTTTATGTAGTGTGCCATGGTTATGGAGTGCACTAGCACGACTATCTTGTAGCAGACTACTCCGTAGAAGTAGTTAGTGGGGACGATCCCGGCAATTTTTGTAGTGACGCTACACCAGCGCCAGGCCCAGATTAGGGGCAGCCTCACGAATACTGGCATGGGGGGACTGAGAAATTGCCATTCTGAAGTACCGTCTACCTGCTTGTTCCTCTTCTTGATCAGCTTTGCTGGTCTTACCTACGCAGATTGCCGTTGCCGCTAGATCCTCTGAGCACGTCCCACTGTAGTGTGATCTCTCAGGCCAATTTTGTCCCATGACAACTACAGCTCAGAGTAGGTGTCGTTGCCGGCCTTGAGGACGAAAGGTGTAGTGTACACTTCTCACGATGCTGCTTGCGAATCGCTTTGGCAGGGTCACGATCATCGCGGGGGTGACCCTTCTGATATCGTTTCTCTTGGTGATTCTTGCACAGAGCGCCGATATTCGGTCACATCTTCCTAGTTCCACTGCCTCAATATGGCCAGCGTCGGATTGTGCTGCGGCGGTAGAGCGCAGGAAGAATATTTCCTACGATCTCACAACACCACCTTCGGTTGGATGCGAAGACATTGTCAATGATCTCCAACAAAGACTTATTCAGGCGTATACGAAGAGCCTCAAGGGTGTTCGATATGCGAACATTTGGGGTTACCTGGAAACAGAGAACAAGGGCGATGCCGCCATTTGGTCTGCGCAACAGATTCTCATGAGCATGCTCGGCATTGAGATGATGGAGGCCTGCAGGTACGGACCTTGGCCCTTTTCTTCCCTTTAAAGCATCCCATAACGAAGGCTTCTCATCCTAACTAATGCCGTGATCAATAGATTCGTGGATAGAGACTGCGACATCAAGCGCTTTCGCAAGGTTCTCGAGGACCATCGCCCCAACTCAGCCATCATCATGGCAGGCGGTGGCAACTTCAACGACTACTACTGGGAAGACCAACCTTCACGTATGAAGATGATTGAGACCTTCACCAATGTCTCTATTCGCGCTTTTCCTCAAAGCGTATACATGACGAACCCCGAGCGCATCAAGGCGACCGAAGAGGCCTTTGGCAAACACAAAGATCTGCAGCTTGCTGCGCGCGATAAGCCCAGCTACGACTGGCTTGACAAGACCTTTTCCCAAAAGGAAGGTATTGAGAGTCATCTTGTGCCAGACATTGCATTCATGTGGGGAAATCGATCTGATTTCAGAGTCAATACACCAAAGACGTACGTACTTCCTGCCGCATGCTTTGACCTTCGTGTTTTCATTTCCCGCTCTAACATCTCTATGCTTGTACCCACAGTCATGATATTCTCATTCTTGCTCGGAAGGACGCGGAAATCTCCGATGGCGACTCTTCCGACATTGAATTTGGCGAGGGCGAACTGGACCTGGGCGGCAGTGTAGGCAAAGTTACCTACCAGAAGGTTGACTGGAAATTCACCCACACGCCGGATATCGACCCGCCAAAGACTCGTGATGAAGCAGCAGGCTCAACTGCGCCCAAGCGAGAAAACGGCAAAAACCAGCGAGCCTGGGCCAAGTCCATTGCCGGCTTTGAGCTTCTGGGCTCAGCGCGCTTCGTCATTACCGATCGCCTCCACGGCCATATCTTGTCTACACTTATCGGCGTCCCCCACGTTCTCATGGACAGCAAACTGGGCAAGAACCTCAACTTCCACAACACTTGGACTCGCGACTGCGATTGTACCAGGGTTGCATTCAGCATTAACCAGGCGCTCGACGTGGCTCGCCTTTATTTTGAAAAGGAGGGAAAAGCCTAGAAATCGCAAGGCTGGTAACACTAATTTCACGCGTCTGCTTGGCATCCACATAGATTAAGCCACAGAAGCTTTTTGGCGGGTTTTCAATTTTTCGTCATTAGTACATTGTAGTATATGGATTTTAGGACACTTAGACTGAGAATAATGATCCTTCAACGTACCCGCTGAGGGTGCGATGCTTCACGATCTGGTATTAGCAATGGTTAAGCTTAACCTCGTACCTGACTAAAGGCACGCTTGCACATACTTGCTGTACCCCTTACGTTAGTTACGATAGGAATACTAAGGGCCTTTTCAGCAAAGTCTTGGGCGACAAGAGTGGATTTTAGTTGATTGATGCTCCAGAATTGAAAATTGCAGCTTGCATTAGCAGCCATAGTGCCGTTTCGCGATAGAGTAGCTACGCGTGCCTTAGCAAGCCACTTGACATAAACGAATGATGCTAACCAAACAACATGACTCAAGGTCCAGCACCGTTCTGTCGGTATCTGTTTCCACTGAATTTTAGCCCATAGGCCAACGGCAAATTTACCAAGCTTGCCCCTGCAACTCTGTTCAGGCCCCGTCTTGTCTATCAAATGGTAGGTGTGGTTTTGCGGGAGCTGAGAATTCAACAGAAAACACTTTTTTTTTAGCTTGACAAGTAGTCTAACATTTCGCTTCTTGAAAAGAATAATTATAACATTGGCAACTTGTATGTGCAATGTTACACCGTGCTATAAGTTACAATATGGAGTTTTTAAGATATGCACCTATAGAGTGGAAATTATGTAGCACCAGAATGAGCCACAAAGTTGCCTTTATTGACTTGGCATGCCGCATCACACAATCTGCCAGCCACCAATCTCAATTGACTCAGACACATTTTAGAACTAAACGGGGTGATAGAGATATCGCAGTTTGTTTCACTATGGTTTCTATTGGTGCATCTCTATTCGCATGTCGAATTACTCCCATCAGCAGCAGGCGATGCGAAGTTCGCCTAACCTAAACCATCCCCATTCTCAACAACTTGTTTCCAAACTCCAGGAAGTAATAATCAGCATAGACCAAGCCATGATCGCTGTATCGCACTAAAGCATATTCGTTATTATTCGCTGTTGCGTGTTTTAAGATGCAGTCAAATGTCACTCCTTCGGCCTTGATCTTGGAGTCGGCATCTGCGACAAGCTGTGCTGGATCTGTGGCTTGACACATATCTATAGTCTCCCTTGCGATGCGCAAAGCATCATTCAGATAGCCTGATCCCTCTCCCAGGATTTGATGCAGTAGTAGAAGACCATTGGCGGCAATCATACCGGCAGAGGAGTCGCGTAGCGGTCTATCACCTATGGGCGCATCAAAGTCCCAAAGGGGAACGAAAGGATATGCATGTTTGGCGCTGCGTAGGCGCTCAAGGAAGTGCTCTGCCAGGCGGATAGCCGTATCTAGGAATATCTGTTCCTTTGTCCAGATATATGTTTGCGTGAAGCCCAGTATGGTCCATGCTTGGCCCCTAGAATAAGACTCATTAACACTGTTCTGTCAACTGCAGAAGTAAGCCTCACCTTGACCATGTCGAATCGTCGCTGTATCCCTGATGGGTATGCTTTGTCTTTAGAGATCCATCGCGAGGATCAAAGTTGACGACATGCCATGTAGAATCGTTACTTCGAATCAAATTCCGCCTGACAAAATGGGCGTGGTCTGTGGCAATATCTATCAGCCGCTGGTTTGATGAGTGGTGCCCAGCATAGAATAGGAGATCCATATCTGCATCTCATTAGTTCAAGTTGTCTCTCTTGACCTCAATCTCCAAACATACTGCACATGCTGTCAACAATGACGAGGAAATTAGAGTCCTTATCCGTAATGTTATATCTTGTGCTAACAGATTTATCCCAGCTCCTGACTGCCTTCATTCTGTCATCGTACCGAGATGCCAAGTTACCTGCGGCGGTCATTACAGAAGCATGGCTGTCATAGTTACCCGTCAGCTCCCAATCTTGCCGTAAAGCAGGCTGGACTATGAATCCAAGGTCATGCGTGTTAGTTCGCTTAGCCATCTGGTGAAGAGGAGCGGCCCAAGTGCGACACAGAGTGAGCAGCTTTGCATGAAAATCTAGGCGATCAATGCCTGGTAAAGGCAGATACTGCGGATATTTGACGTATCTTTCTAGAATGCAGTACAAACTCCCTGGGAAAAAGCCGCATGTCCAGAAGTTGACCTCCTTGGTAATGTAACGTCCTGGAGTCTCTCCATCTTCTGGGGTCCATTCAGGGTATTGAGATGGAGCTTTCTGCTTTTCTCATTAGAATATTAATTTAGGCACGATAGTTGTGGAACATTCAGAGGCAGACTTACGCCATCCTCCAAGTATTCTTCAGCTACTTTCCAAAGCTTCGCCGCGATAACCTCAGAATACAACCCAGAAAGTTCAACTGCAAGCTGATGGCGAGGAAATGTTTTGCTCGCCGTGGTCGTTACATCGGTAGCGGACAATACTGAAGATGGCGTAGGCGGGCTATCTTGGCTGGGCTTTCGCGATAGCCCATCCTGCGAGCTATCCCGCGATAGATCAGTAGAAGACGCCATTTTTTGTTTAGAAGAATTGAGAGTGTTTTCAATTAGACTGCTCGCTGAGTTGAGTGAGACAGATTATCTATGTTCAAAGACATGTGCATGACTAACAAGTGCAAGTGAGCAATGTGTGGCTCGCCTTAAAAAGGCTATCGTCTCAATATAGTTGGTGGAGCTAAACTCACCATCGTTTACCGGGTCGGTTATTCCTACGATGGCGGAATAGATCAGACTCCCCAAGCAGATCATCCCATGACCATCATCGCCTTCAATCGTTCCGGTTTCCTTCAGCGGACACAGCTCTCCGATACTTAGCCCGACACGCCGAAGCAGGCTCCACCCCCGCCGACTGGAGGCGGGACGCGGACAATCGGTAAGTTCATAATGGCATTTTATGTACGGCCTAGTTTCGAGAGGAATTTCTGAGAACTTCTTGGTGGATGCCACTATTGGTGTAGACGAGGGCAAGTTCCATACTTGTGGCCATGGATCAGCCAATATATGAGGCATGCGTAGTCAAGCTGCAGTTTTCTTCCAGAGCTTCTCGAGCAACAGTGCCGTAGACACTCTTATTTCGAGGAACCAACACAGCATTCCACACACCATGGCAGCTCCTGTAAACGGAGACCCGAGGTTCAATCCTCTCCACGGCAACCCGTTTGAGACAAGAGACGATGTCGCCAAGGCTGTGGTATCTCTATTCGAACCTTTATTACCTTTTTTCTCAGAAGGGTGTGCCCGTGTTCAAATTGATGCGTCCACATCCACTTGGGATCGTGCGGCCTGTGACTTGGAGGGCTATGCCAGGCCTTTATTTGGCATTGCGCCGCTGGTTGCTGGCGGAGGGCAATTCGACCACTGGGACAAGTACAGGGAAGGACTGAAGAATGGTACAGATCCGCAACATTCAGAGTATTGGGGACCAGTTCCATCAATGGACCAACGCCATGTGGAGGCAGCTGCCCTTGCATATGCGATCTTGCTTGTCCCAAGTCAATACTGGGAACCACTCGAAGACGCTGTAAAAAGCAACGTCGTTAAGTGGCTGCTGCAGAGTCGCAATGGAGAGCATGGGTCAAATAACCACAAATATTTCCGCATCATGGTGGATCTGGCGCTGGAAAGTGTTGGCGTTGAAGTCGAGAGCACCGGTACAAATGAATATTTGGATGATATGGAGAGGCTATATATATCAGATGGCTGGTATCGCGATGGAGAAGACGAAGGCGACACACGCCGTATAGACTATTATAACCCGTTTGCCATGCACTACTACGGTCTATTCTACGCCGTCCATCGACCTTCAGACAAGGCACGCGGCGAACGGTTCAAACAGAGAGCCCGAGAGTTTGCGCCAGCCTTCTTACACTGGTTCGCAGATTCAGGTTCGAACATTCCCTACGGCCGCAGTCTAGCGTACAGACAATGTGTTGCTGCATACTGGGGCTATCTGGCAGTAGCTGGGGTTGAGGCATTGCCATGGGGCGTCATCAAGGGTATATATCTCCGCAACCTGCGATGGTGGGCGGCACAGCCTATCTCAAGACGAGACGGTATCCTGACGCTTGGTTACGCGTATCCAAATCCTTTCATGGCAGAACGATACCTATCCACCGGTTCTCCTTACTGGGCTATGAAGGTTTTTGGTCCACTGAGCTTGCCTGAAGATCATCCATTCTGGAAAGCAAAGGAACTTCCCATGCCAGATCGTCCGTCAATCGCTTCCTTTCCAGTGCCCGGCCTTGCCTTTATGCATATGCCTGGCCATACGATTATGCTCAACTCTGGACCAGACTCAAATAAAGCCATGCGCTTTGTACCGGAGAAATATCTCAAATTTGCCTATTCAAGTCGATATGGTTTCTCAGTAGAGAGCGATAGCCGAGGATTTGACGTCGGCGCTTTCGATAGCATGATTGCGCTGAGTGACGACGACATACATTATAGGGTGCGCGAACATTGTGAGGCCGCTAAAATGGCTGGGGATAAAATATACTCCTTATGGCGTCCATGGTCAGACGTTATTGTTGAAACATGGCTCATTCCATCCGCCAATTGGCATATTCGCGTTCATCGAATCCAGTCGCCTCGAACACTTGCCACTATCGAGGGCGGATTTGCAGCTCCAAGGGCTGACTTTAGCGTGGATAATGTTCATGTGGATGAGAAAGCGGCGTATGTGTTATGCAATGAGGGCGACTTCAGTGGCATACTGGATGCTTCATCGCCATCAAAGCGAGTTGGGAGAGTTACCAAGCCTCACGGCAATACTAGCCTGATGTTTCCACGCACGCTGGTGCCTCAGCTCAAGGGAACCGTTGAAGCCAACAAGACACAAGTGTTTGCATGCGCTGTCCTTGCGGGTCCGAATGGGAAGCCGATCAAGGAGCAGTGGCAGTTTCCCCCTGAGATTCCGAGCATCGAGGAGCTTGAACGGGAATTCCAAGACAAGGGCGAAGAGATTGCTATCATGAAGCCATACTCGGCACCAAGATGAAATATTTTCTTGTTAACATAGATAATTAATTATTTTTATTGCAGTCTTTGTCATTCAATCAAGAAGTTGACCTTCATTACATTGTCGATGCATAGAACTGTTAGTCATAGGCCTATTTCACCAATTATTACTATAAAACTTGTACAACGTCTTCCTTTTAATTCCATTATTATATCATTTATATCACCAGTTCAATATTTTATCACTTGTAAAAGATGAAAGAGAGTTTTACGGCCACTGTGTATAAGTGCTATCGTCTTTATAACTCCATGTGGTTGTGGTGACAGTATCGTAAATACACCTTCACCGTTAGTGATTTTTTGTGCCTCTTCCATTTTTATAGTTCTGATGATAATCATTGGAAGAATCTTATTTTCTTACTCGTACCACTTTTGATACAAGTTCCATCAATTGGATGCCATGTCGACTTACCTCCTGCCATATAGCGTGAAGCGAGCCTTAGTTTCGGGTCATCGGCACTGGACCCCTGTCTTCGGGCAGCGTGTCCGAAAAACGGCGCGCCTTTACTCCGCATGCCGAAATATTGATCCAACTGCTGTTGGCAGAGCTACCGGCGTCTTCAAAGCCTCCATCTCGAAGAGCACAATGTCTCGAGTCTTCATACGGAGTTAGTAATATTGACTTTAGGGACTTACCCCACCCCAGCCACAATTCCCTAGATCAAGATTGTACCCCATGGGGAAGATCGAAGCCATTCTCAATGGTCATATGCCATTTCCCAGGAGATACAAGGAGGGCGGCAAGCGGAGCGAGACTTGGCCGGCTATCAGCACCATAAGGGCTAGAGGGTGAGTTGGCTTGGTTCGGCCCGTCCGTGAGCCTCGCCTACGCTCCCTGTTATGCTGCTTGTATTCGAGTGGCCGTAAATAAATGGCAGTGTCCGCTGTGAATCAGAAGGGCTCATCTTCGTTTCCTGCTTCGTATGAGCTGGGTACTGGAGCATCTTCAACATCCTTGAATAAGTTCTTGATATCAGCTTACCGGTACAATGTTTCACGTCGATAAGGCTGCTGTCCGCGGCGTCGAAGGCCATACCCTTCGAGAAACTGACAAGCGGGACCGCTTTTGGTGGCACTACCCAGGTCTTCGCAGCCTCAACTTTCTCCTTCTCGGTTGCATCGTCTGTGATATGACCAACGGATACGATGGCTCTATGTTGAATGGACTTCAATCGATCCCCTCTTGGCAGGATGCCTTGGACCACCCGAAAGGCACTCGACTCGGTACGATTTCCAACGGCACTCGATACGGTCAGCTCGCCGCTCTACTTGTTGCCGCGCCTCTCATTCAATGGCTTGGACCACGGCGGCCTATAACTATCGGTTCACTCCTTCTGCTCATCGGGGTTGGCCTTCAAGCAGGCGCCCAAAACTACGCCATGTTCGTTTTCGCTCGTTGCTTGATTGGCTTCGGTAATACGATTCAGAACACAGCATGCCCGATCCTAGCCTCTGAACTGGCCCATCCTTTCCAAAGGACGCAGATAATTGGCATTCAGAACACAACTGGCTCGCTGGGCCAGATCATGGCTGCATGGATTACCTATGGCACTTCGTTTATTGTGAGCTCTTGGTCATGGCGTCTTCCATCACTTCTTCAGGCCACCTCGTCTTGCTTCCAATTGGTCATGTCTTTCTTCATGCCCGAATCGCCTAGATGGCTTGTGTATCAGAATCGCAGCAAAGAGGCATACGACATTCTCGCCAAATACCACGCAGAGGGGGATGAATCCTCAGAGTTATTGCAATACGAGATGGCAGAAATCGAAGCGGCCATTGAGGCGGAGAAAGTTCAAGCGCTGTCTTCATGGATGGGCTGGTTCCGCACCTCCGCCAACCGATACCGACTCTTTATCATTGTGACTTCTGGTTTCATCATCCAATGGTGCGGTAATGCCTTGCTTTCATACTATATCCATCTCGTCTTCAACTCTATCGGCATCACCAACAACAAGCAGCAGCTTCTTCTTAACGGCGGCATCACCATCAATGGCTGGGTTTGGGGCAACTTATTCTCGCTATTCATTGATAAGATAGGCCGCCGTCCTATGTGGCTCATTGGAATGAGCGGCATGTTTGTGGCGTTTTTGTTACTCACTGTATTCACGGGCGTCAACACAGGACTCAATTACGAGAACCATGCTCTGGGTCGTGCAACTATCTTCACCATTTTCCTCTTTGGCGTCTTTTACAAGATGCCTGGTTGCATGCTCAACTCGTACGTTGCCGAAGTTGCGCCATTTGACCTACGGGCCAAAGCCTTTGTTATCTCTAGTTTTGGCGACGCCGCGGCCAACATATTCAGCGGATACACAAACCCTATCGGCCTTGGCGCCATCGGCTGGAAGTACTATATCGTATGGTGCTGCGTGCTTGTTAGCAACTTCATCATCATCTATTTCTTTTACCCGGAAACGAAAAATCTCTCGTTGGAAGAAGTTGCGCAGCTCTTCGACGGACCCAACTCCGTTGAGACAAAGCTCCAGGAAGGGACATTGGAAGTTGAAGACGAGAAAAGTGGCGGGGTTAATGAGGCTACTTCTGCTATTCACATCGGATAAGAGGTTGCAACTGATGTATTTGAATAGTATAGTGATATAGTGTGCTTAGCAAGAAATATGATTTTACTAGTTAGTTGTAAACCATCCACTGATTTACGATGCATAGCAAGTAGTGAAGCAATACTCGTCCCTAGAGTGCCTGAAAATCGCCATGTTAGTGGTGGAAATTTTGTCCCAGGATCACCAAAAGTCGCTAGGCTTACGATAGCAACGCCATAGCGCGGACAATAGCGCCAGCATTCGGCTTGTCCCCCCGCAAAACAGCTCCTTGGGCACACCAGACTGGACCCAGCATAGCATCGTCTGGCTCCATCACGCGGCAGCACGCGACGCATGTCGGGTCCTGCATTGACGCACCCATCAAGTACACCAATCCCAGCTTCCAAGCCCGCTGGCGACTCAGCGAATCTGGACCTATCGTATGCCTCTCTTCCTTGCTACCAGCCATCGTACATAAGCAGAGAATCCCCAAGGATGAGCCAGATCCCGCACAATAGGACAAGTCCAGCTGGGTCAGTAGCTGGAGATGATGAAGGTTCGCCACATGAAGATAGTTTACCCGCGTGCCTTTCTTGCAGGAGAAGGAAGTCGAGATGCTCCAGAGAGAGGCCGAGGTGCGCACAATGCTTCAAGATAGGTACTACAAGTCACGCCTTTCACGTGGCTTGAGATGCCTGTTAACAAATGGGAACTATAGGTGTTGAGTGCCAGTATGTAGTCAAGCAAAAACCGGGTATCAAGGCAGGGGCAGTCGATAATCTCAATCGACGGTTAGGTAAAACATTTTATTTTCCAGTCTATATACAATAACCATCTATCGTATCGCTAACCGGATCAGAGGTGTTGGAACAAATACTCCTGGATAGCTCTGGCAATACAAGAGCCAGATTGGCTGCTTTGCTAGACGGAGATATTGCCAATCTCAATGGCCATAGATTCCCTCAAACAGCGACCGGAATTGGGCAAGAGGGACAAATGACACAAGAAGACGCAATAGGATATGGAACTCGAGATTCTTCTCTTGCTTCCACTTCCCGGGCGGAACACCATCTTCCGAAAAGACAACGCATGGATGAAAGTGATAACGATACTGGAGAGGCTCAGTACTGGGATGCCGATGATGAGTCCTGGATCCCTCCACTGCCGCCCGTTTCATTTCTGGAAGCGGTTGTCGAAGCCCACTTCCAAACTGTGCATCATTGGATTCCGATTCTCCATGAAACGAGATTTCGGGCCAGGTTCAAGGACCTAATTGAGAGGCAAAAGATTCCTGTACTTCTTCATGCTTTATTATCTGCCTCGATCAAGTACGTCGACTTTGAAGCCTTTGGAATGAGTATGCAGGATGTTGCAAGACAGATTCGCGTCTCTCGAAAAGCAGTAATGTCTCATGCGATGGAATCACTCTCTATCCAAAACACTCAAGCTTTGGTCATTATTGCCTTTGACTATGTGCGCATTATGATTGCCCCATTCTTATATCATATGCTAAAGATCTAATAGATGGGAAGCGGCCACATCTCAAAGACATGGCCCATCATTGGCTCTCTGACCAGAGTCGTCGACTACCTGCAGCTAACTATAGAACCAGAGGAAGAGTCGCCGAGGAGACCTCTCTTGAAATCCTTGGCTATTCTAAGTACGGCAAATGATTGGACAGAAACTGAAGAGCGACGAAGGCTTTTCTGGAGCGTTTTTCTTTTGGATAGGTAAGTCTGTTGCATCAATGAACGCCCATGATTCAGCTACTGATATCACGCTTTAGAATTTGTTCGGTCACTACCGGGTGAGAGGTTGGAGCCATCGACTTGTCAAATCGTGACTGACCGGTTTAGGTGGCATACAAGCCTTACATCAGACGACGTTCACCGGCGTTTACCTTGTGGCGGAGCAATGTGGGCACGCTCTGAGCCTGTTTCTACGCCGTACTTTGGAATATGGGATAAAGCTACCGCCAAGATAGGCAACTCAATATCGAATGCGCCAACAATCTATTTATCACCAAAAACGGCGGTTGATGATCCAGCTCCTGGGTCCAATGCTGGCGTGGATGTATCCAAGCTCGGGGCCTTTGCGTATTGCATCGAAGCGACGGAGAATCTCAGCCAAGTTACATCATTTTTCTTACAACAGGGTGTCGATTTTGACGACCGAGATGCTGTCAAAAACTGGCTCACAAGATTCAAGGAGCTTGACTTGCGTTTGGTTCAGTAAGGCACACTCTACATCCTATTACGCGTCTCTGATTTGTTAATTCGTTACTTTTCACAGTTGGAAGATGTTTTTGCCGAAACAGTGGCAAGATTCGAACGTTTCTCGTGATGTTCTAGTCATTAAAATGGACCCGAATCTTACTCTCGCACACATCTCGCACAACACTTCGACAATCCTCCTCCACCAGCATGTTGCGTATCCACCCACCCGATGGAAAGATGTGGTCAAGCTCCCTAGCTCGTGTAGTGCCGAGACATGCCATCTTGCAGCAGTTGAAACATCATCTATTGTGCAAAAGTATTTGCGGTATATGGGCGGAATTGTCAACAGCCAATTCGCCTTTTGCGCTTTCGCGGCTGCGAGAGTTTTGCTCGTTCACTGGCATTCCTGCAAAACAGGTGTATTAGACGCTGCCTTTTTTGACCTTTTACAATGCCTGAGAGACATGTCAGACAAGTGGCGTGGATATTTAAAAACCAGCTCTACTGTCAACGACCTATCAGGTCAGGAAGGAAGACGAATCAAGAACCTCCCTAGCAGATATGTAGAGCAGCTTGAGCATTTGCATGCACGCTTCCTCACCGATATGACATTCTCGACGATGGATTTCACAGATATCCTTTGCGATGCGAGCTTGAACGACTATACCGAGAAATTAACACACAATACACCAATACCCACCAGTCGCGTTAATCATGGACAGTTAGGAAGAGCATATCGGCGCTATTCATCAGGATTTGAAGCATATCAAAATGCTGGCGTGCCTTCTCCTACAAGAAGGTCGGATCACCAGACAAGCCATCGGTCCGACGGATCTCCTATCCGTACGCGGCATTCTGTAGCATATGAGGTCCGTGGCTTCAGAGGACCTTTGGAAGGGACGGCTCTTTCATCGCGACCTCAGGCTGCGCAATCGCCAATAACGACACCATCGCCAAATGAGCGTAGGAGAGGCTTGGACAATTCTGTTCATCTATTGGCTGAGATGAACACGGCAGATAATTATTCTCACAGCCAGCCGCTTATGACTGAAGAAGATGAGCTGACGACCATGTCGAATATGCTACTTGGAAACCAGTTTCTGGAGATGGATCGCGTCATATCACTTCAAAGCACGGATTTCTTTAACTTTGATTCGACTGGAAGAACAGGCTTATCAGGTTAACTCAACAGCAAAGGCACGATAATATCCTGAGCGCAGATGGGTTTCTGTGCTTTATAGTTTGAGCCCGGCTTTCTTAAAGAAAATGATATTGTCGTGCTTGGTTGACTATTACTATTTATGACTATGACTGTGGCTTATGACTTTGTAATTATTGGATGGATATGGTGCTCCGCAAAACTATGAGCGGATTTATGTGCCATATTCTTGTTTGAGGTTTTAGCATCGGACAGTTAGAGAAGAAGCTGCGCAATAGCTTCTGTACGACACAAAGTATGGGCAATACGTGCTGCTGCACATCGCAGGTGCATCCTGACTTCGTCAGCGTTAGCGGAGATCGGGATATCGGGTCACGCCAGCGGGCGGCAATACGCCGATGGCCGCTACAACGATCAGCAAAGGCCCGATTCAGCGTCGACCGCTGTGGATCTTGAAGGAAAATGGCGGCCAATGAATATTTCACACTTCAGCACAGCGAGAGAGATAACAGACCAAACAGAAGAAGGTAGAGAGTAAGAAGAAAGGTGGTAAAGAAGCAATCTCCGAATTGAACAATTTCTGGCAAGGAGAGAAAAGAAGGACGACAATAATATATAATATATTTTCCACTTCATCTAGCGTTCTCCAAAGGGCTAATACGTACGCGGTGCGCTGACAACTCAAGATGTCGACGGCTCATCTGGATTCCCAGGCAAACCTGAAGACTATTATTCTTGAAGGAAGCCGCTTGATAGAGATACGAAGACGTCTGCAAACAGGAAAAGACGAGATTTTAAATAAATCTTTTGTCATTTTGAAGAAGAAAGCTGATGGCTGGCTCAGTCAAGGACCGTGGTCTGTTATGGAGAAGAAAAAAGCTCCTCCAAGCGGGGATATGCACGACTACACCAGCCAAGCTCCATATTGGTGGCCATCATCAGGACCAGACGGGAATCCATACGTGCAACGAGACGGAGAGAGGAATCCTGAAGTGCTTAATTACTCCGATCGTGTCAATATCGAAAAAGTCCTCGCCTCAACATTGGCTCTTGGTCTTGTATGGTTTTACTCTGGGAACGAGGCATACGCCAAGCACGCTGCGGATATCATCAGAACATGGTTCATCAGCCCGGAAACACGAATGAATCCGAACCTCAACCACGCTCAGCTTATCCCGTTCGCTAATACGGGCCGACACATTGGGATCATCGACTTCTCACAGTGGTATACTACGCTCCTAGACATTGCCGTCATTTTAAACAGTGGCAGTTTCTCAGGCGCGTCAGCAGCTAGCTGGACGGCCGAAGATATGGATGGATTCCGTGATTGGAACAGGGAATTCTTGAAGTGGTTGACAGAGAGCGATTTTGGTAAAGCCGAAAGAGCGGAAAAAAACAACCATGGCAGTTTCACTTGTATGCTAGTGTCCGCTATTGCACTGTTTGTTGATAACAAGCAGCTTGTGCACAAAGAAGCGGCTAGCATCCAGCACGATATTAACGAGACCATAAACCCAGATGGAGCTCTTCCCGAGGAACTTCAGCGCACTCGAAGCTGGCACTATTCCAACTTCACGTTATTAGCCTTGACTCGGCTCGCTATGGTAGCTGAGAAAGCAGGAGTAGACCTTTGGCATTATCGCGGGCCCCAAGGTCAGGGAATCTTCAAGGCAATTGAGTATCTTTTACCCGCTGCAACTGGCGCCGCAGCGTGGACATCTAAAGACATTCAGTTCGAACGATACGCTGCGGCGGACATCATCCGTGCTGCTGCTGATGCGGGCCACAAAGCATCGCAACTAGCTATCGACGCAATCGAACTACCTCCGGAGGGAGACTTGTGGCCACTGAGGCCTGCGCCGGAACAGCTAGAACCTGTTAAAGTAAAATCAGGGCAGATTGCAAATTGAGAACAGGTAGGCTTTAGCTTGAGAAGAGAGCAGGAATGAAGAAAAGTGATGCTACTCTGAAGACATTGGATCTTGAATGGTGGGTTGCATGGAATGGTAATTCAAATTCTAAATATATATTGAGCATCTTAAATATAAATATCGTTGCTATCATTCGCTTTGTATGAGGAATTCGACTTTCCTTAGTCAGTAGCGGTCAAAAAGTACAGAACACTCTCTCCAGGGCCCAAGTTCGAAGCAAGAACCGACGTGGCGACTCCAATATCGCTGTGATCAGGGCCGCCGGCGCCGCCACCTCCAAGAACTCTGCGTACGCTCCACCCCGGTGCACCATTTGGCTGGCCCTCAGCGATACCCAACAGTGATAGTGAGATATTCACAAGCTGGTTTCCTTGCAAGCTCTTTCCGAAACCACCCTGTCCCAGATCTGGTCCGTAGTTTGCAAGAACAACAACGGCGTTCTTGTTAGCTGTATCAGGCCCAGCAATCCACGCTTGGAGCTGCTCAGATGCTTGTGAACCTGGGCTCGCAGTGCCGAACGGATTCTTCGGTTGCATTGGATATTGATTCGTAAAGTCAGCAACCGACTTGAATTCTGAATCGTACAGCAGTTCCTTTCCAAGAGTATCGAGCTGCGTCAGGTCAGAGCCAGTAATTTGATTGGCTCCCGCTCCAACCCAGTGAATTGCAACTGTGTATCGCTGGACATCTGAAAGGCCAGTCAATGCTTGAGCGTTTCCGGTGTACAAGTTATCCATATCGGGGCGGACCATGATGGGAGTGCCTTGGCGTGCTGGGTCTTCTTCCTGTTGATTGATGAAGCTTCGATACTGCTCAATGGCGCGCTGTACAGTATTGAATCCCAAAAAGGTGCTTTGGCCCTGGTTGTTGATGTCTTGGTCCAACCGTATGCCGTCAGCATTTCCACGCCAAAGGAAGAAGTCTGCCGCCGTATTGCGGTCCAGTTTCCATGACAGATCTAATCTCATTGGACGACTAGCTTGTTGAATCGCCTTGTGATACGCCACCGCAGCTAACGAGTTATTCGCAGGCAAGTTTTCGCCGGCGGCAGGACTTCCTGGAGTCATGAAGTCGAGTTTAATATAATCGACTCCCCTGTTTCAATATGTTAGTCCGTAACACAGATTTATACGCATCAGTTCTCACATTGCTGCCCAGTTGTTGACCACAGAATTATGCCACTGCTGCACGCCATCTTTGCTGAAGTCGAATGTCTGTCTCAAGTTGTAGCTTGGCTGGCTTGTATCAAACAGTGTTCCGAGCTTAATATTTGTCCCCTGTACCGTGACGCCTGCATCTGCCGACAAGGCGCCTGGAAGCGCATATATTCCGAGGAGCTTTCCCTGGGAGTGTAGACGATCGGCCAAAGCTGTCAGGTTCGGGAAGACTGAGGTGTCCGGGACAAGGCGACCAAATTGATCGCCGCCATTTCCTGACCAGCCTGAATCTATGCTGCACAAAGTATATCCAGCAGTAGTATTTAGAAGATCACACTGGCTCTGAACATTGTTTTGATTCAGGACGAAAGAGGTGCCCCCGCGGGCCTGCATGCCGAATGAGTTCCATCCGCGAGGAGGCCCATTGAATCCATTGGCGCTATTGCCATAAAATGGCACAAAGAGCTGGCTTGCGCTCACTGATGTCGCTATTAGCGGGACGGCGATAATGGAAATCTGGTGTTTGCTTCGCATCTTGGTGTTGAAAATGATAAATTGCAAGGGTGTATTAATGAGAAGACCGCAATACTGAAGAAGATTTCTGAATTGCCGGCTTTTACGTGCTATGCATATTCTTTCTTCTTATAGCATGACTTCCATTGAGAAACCGATCACAAAAGGGGTTAAAATCGGCCAAGAGTAAGCAAAGACTAATCGCTACCGTAAAAAGCCGGTTGAGGCGGAATAAGCTATAGACAACTTCCTTTTTGGAGGCTAGGGTTTACAGATGAATGTTTCAGTTACGTAGCTAGCTATTCACTGTGCGGAAAAGGTATATCCGCAGATTTACATATCCGCAAAGTCAATAGTCGCGTACCAATTTTTGATACCGTGCCTTTGAACCAATTGACGAAAATGAATTACGGCAAGCATCTAGTGTACAATAGGCTCAAGCCCAAACTCACTCTGTAATCTCCATGATCTATTAATCAAGCATTGCCAACTGCATCCAGTCCTACTAGCACAATCAACATTACAGTTGTTTCCACAACTGCTGAGGCTCCTGCAATGTAATATGTCATATCAACCTGATTCCATACAAATTAATTCTTTCCTGAGACTTTCCTAGTGTAGGCAAAATCAGGTCGACTGCACTCGGAGAGCTGATCATTCCCCAATGAGGTGAATCGGAATATAAGCATACTAATCCTGTAGTACTTAGGCCAATAAATATCGGGATTCTAAGTAAAACTTCCGTCTGCGCTATAGCAGATGACAGCACTGCGTACTAGCTCTATCCTCGTATTAGGCGTCGCATAGCCTGTGAAAAGCTCCATATACGTAGGAAAAGAGAGACAAGAAAGGCAGTTAAATTTGCAGATCGTACCAGTTTCGTATAATAAGCTAGCGTTTACTGCTGATGCATTTCCTTAGAAGTAGACTATAAATATCTAATTAGCGGGCTGAAACAGGTAATCACATATTGTTCAAGCCCGATTTCCATGCACAGGCGGTCTGTTGAAAGCAACAGTATCTTCATATACTTGTTATTTGCATTACAACTTTCTAATCGAGCTACCAAGCATTACCTAGTAGCCATATCCACTATTTCGCTAGATGCGTGCTTCACCGCCGGATAAGTGCAACCTCGGGACAAAAAACATCCGATGTTTTATTCTCATGCGGATAAGTAGAGAGGTTGAAGTTTAGGACGAGTGTTAATTCGCCTCAGAGAATGCAGTAGTAGGGGTGTTACTGTACCATAATGAAAAAGGTGTATACTGGGCTTCACCCCGCTTGACGAAGGTCTTGTTTTTGTAACTGAATGAGTATAACAATGAGCGACCTATTGTAAAAGTACTTGTCCCTCGAAACGCATAACTTTTATTTTTGGGATATCGATAGTTATGAAATCCAGTCACACAAGTCGTTTTGATGTTTACCCTATATTCCTCCTTTCTTACATACTCATGATACAACCCCTATGTTAGACACTTAGACTACCCAAATCCGTCGTCCTTTTCATCAATGTTAAACTATAGTCTCAGGCCATTTCGTAAACCTCTGCTACTATACTATATATAAAGAGCAATCTTGTTTAAGATTATCAAACTCTATTTCCTCCCCTTTTTTAGGAACCTCCCGCGGATACAACATTTCCACAATTGGATAGAAATGTATATGACCAATGCGGCAAAAACCGCTATTGATAGAGCCAACATCCAATACCGTGTTGGTTGTTCGGCCGCCGTCATGCCTAGCTGGCTCAGGACAGTTTTGCTATCTGTGGGATTGGGATGATCTTGCTGCTCATAAACGTACGATGGCGGGAGCTTGGACACTTGGATAGTGGAATTCTGTAAGCTTGTACCGTCTCTGGATACTGCTTCCACAAAAGTGAAGGAGTGTTGTCCTGGAATCATAGCAACGGTCTCAAAACCCTTTTTCGCAACACTGGCAATCAGAGACGGCTGCTGAACTTGGTCTGGTGATTCTGAGCTATAAAAGTTCCAAGACGTCACTTCAGTTGCTCCATTCCATGACGCATAGAGGACCGTTGTGGCCGTATCTTTCGTTGCTCCATATATACAGGAGGCAATTGCAATTGGTTCGCTCACGTGTAGCGAGGCCTTCCAGCTAAACTTGTACTGCCTATACTCGGCAAATCTTTCATATTGACTGTAGACTTGTTGAATGAGGGTTCCGTCCAAGGAAAATTCGCTTGTGTATCCAGATTCAGACCATGAAACCAAAATGTTCTCATTCTCCAAGAATTGGATATTTCCACGGCGAGCAGTGTATAAGCCGTCAGGCCTGTCCCACTTTTGAATGACAGTTGCTATCATCGGAGCTGTAGCCGTTGCTAAAGAGACTAGTAATGCGGAAGAACAAGCGGCGGTGATCGACACGCCATCAGAGGCATTGTCTAAGAACGATATCACTGTATGAGTATCATTTTGGCTGTAGACTTGGGCATCGTGCTGTGAACTGAAGGTGAAATTGTTTGTTTGTATGAATGAGGAGCGCGGGCCACCTAATTGCCAGATGATAGAGCCATCGCCACCGGATATGAGGAATATCGCGGATTGATGCCGCATAGACACGAGGTAATGCCCCTGAGGCGTTTTCTTTACTGAATTGATATGACTGGATTTTGGAAACATCAATGTCAGCAAATACTTGGTAAAGTACGACACCTTGAGATGGAATGAACGGTCAGTAGCAAGGGAAGGCGTACTAAGCATCTTCAGGTTGCGCGGAATGAGTATCTGATGCCGGAACGAAGTCAAATGCCCACCATTCAAAGATGACCCTGTTCGTTTCTATCTCAATCTCCTGGAAGCCGTTATTCCTGACGGTTGCGTTGGCGTTTTCCGGGAGGGTTGATTCGCCTGGCAGGCTTTTCTTCGCAATCAGTACTATGGCGCTATTCCCATCGTCAATGACATTGAATTCGTGCATATCGATATGCACTTGCTTTCCCCCGTCACTCGCGTAAACAGTCTTGACGATTTCGTATGCAGAGTTCAAGATGATGCCCACGCCACTCGCCGTAGCGACTGAAACCGGTCCCACGTCGCCCGCTATAAGGGACATCGCGTCAAACCCTCGGTATCTTATCTTGCGAAAGTCATACACGTTGGACCGATTGAAAAGCATAGCTCCGCTCCAGATCAATTCCTAGTATGATAATCTGAATTAGCCTATTGCTGTAGTATGGGACAAAATTGTTTCTGCTAATTACCCCATGACTATCAAAAATATGAGGGCCAAACTGCCCTGGGACATATGAGTGAGTATCCGGTGTGTTCAGTGAATCAAAGGGAGCATGGAACCAGCTCCCCGGGCTGACTAAATCGTCCCGATATGTTGTAAATTCCGGTATAGGGGGCTTTAAATCTGGCCTCTATTCATTGGGCAATTAGTGATACCAGGCTTTAGACCCTGTGGACGATAGTGAGGGCGGCATCTAGCGTGGTGATTATTTAAAAACCGCCCGCGCGAGCGGTACGGCTAGAGCACACACACAGAGAGGACGTTGAAATGGACGGGGAACTACTAACTGAAACATATGTCGCTAATCCTCTGTCAGTATTCTTAAATTCAATTGCAGATACCCGCCATATGGAGGAAATAAGCAGACAGCATGCTAGGTGCAAGTGTAGAAGCTGCATGGCTCTCGCCCGTCAATAGTTTGCAGACGCTTTGGCGAGCAATGATAGCCTTCTGTGGGACTAGATGAATAGTAATTCTGGATACCTGTAAAGGCCGCACGCAACGCTTGAAATCTGCTGGCTGCTTAAATGTCGCTTTACATATACATGGCTCAGTAGGTAGTGTAAGGAAACGTTTCCACAATCTTTGCGATTATGACCTGTCTTACAGGGGAAAGCGAGCTAGAGCTGTGACAGACACAACCTGTGAAATCAGCCTAATAAAGGCATTCTAAGCTATAACAAAAGCCGAATTCTCCGATTCATGCATCCTTCCCGCATTGCATCCTTGTCTTTCCGAAGATTCTCCTCGTGTCACGGAACAAGTCTAGATTATTTAGTTGTTATATTTTCTGGACTTGCCCACCCAAGCAACAAGGCTGCATGGGGTTCATTTTGTGGTTGGTCGAAGTTCATCAACATTAGCTGTATAGTGAATAGTAAGCCATCATTCACAGCCTTACTGTTTGTTTTTCTTTATGAATTTTAAGAAGCAAGTTTCGTTACTATGCTCTATCATTGCTAAAAAGGCACATACTTTATATGGATAAGTCTCCATTATAGGGAACATGATCCACTGTGCCTCAGTATGCAATGCGGCCTCTTATAGCACGGGAGCCTCGACCAAAATAGAGCGCGTGTTACACACTATTCATTGCCGATCATCTACTTTACGGCCCTGGAAGCCTATTAGCGGCCCGCCGCATGTTTATACACAACAGAAACACGGATGCGAATTTGAGAGAAGGCAATGGCATGCATTGGAACCTTGTTACCGCGGCAATTTAAGCTTCGTGAATGTTTAAATTCTTGACTCAAGTCCACCAAGCCCTTGAGTCGGGTATAATTATCGCTTCTATATTCTACCCAAAGTGATAAGTCATTATGAAGATTGTATCATCTTTATTCCCATCGATAATCCCATGTGGCAATTCTAATTTGTTTCCTCCTTATTCGGCTCAGAATTCTCATAGTTCGTCTCTGAAGATGCGATTTCAGATTCTTTTTGCTGCTCATCCGGCACGTGGCTGCGAACAACCAGGTAAGTCGGGACAACCGCCAGCCCTAATCGAAATATTAGATACAAGAGCTTTTTGTTAAAGTTTTCAAGAGTTCTTTTTACATACCAAGAAGTATTGTGTTAACGGCCAGCGGCACTCGCCCTCCGTACCAGTCTCTTGTATTGAGGCCATATGACACGGCCTGAGCAAAGCTCTCTTGTCCACGCAGAATACCGGTCAAGCGAGTCAGTTCTGCTACATCGTTCGTCATGGTAGCAACAAGATAGTACAGCCAGTTCTGGGCCGCCTGTTGTGAAAAGTTCCATAAAAACAGCACAAAAAAGCCCTTGACATAGCCGGGGGTGCTCCAGTCCAAGAGTGGAGGATTAGAAGTAAACTGTTCTTGAACAACCCAGCCGTATACCCAAGAGAGAATATGCACTGCAACGACATAGTAAAATGCATATTCCAAACGCTTTTTGACGGAGAAACGGGTCCAATCGAGCCACTGGCTAAGAATCTGCGAGGACAGCAGCGTAGCAAAGTTGCTTATAAAACCGATCAAAGCGCGGCCGCGTACGCTGAAGTAGTAAGCTTCGAAGTTGCCGGTGTACTGATTAAAATAAGCAGCCCAGAAGATCGGGAGGAGAAGGAGCACGTTGCGTCTCTTTGATAGGTGATACAGAGCCTTGAATTCCGCAAAGAACGACGCTTCTCGTTTGACGATGACACGCGATCCATCGCTTCGTTGAACTTTGTGGGGTGGAGACAGGCATAATGCCAAGGGAGCCGCCAGACATTGTAAAACAATGAAAATGATGTAGGTCACATAGCCAACGCTCCCTTTACCTGAAGTGTTGACGTTCAAGCCCAAGACAATAGAACCGCCGACAATGGGCCCCAGTGTCCGGAACCAGACCCATATGTTCAAGTACCTGGCTCGCTTAGAAGGTTCTGGGTATCCGAGAGCGATGGCTCCCTCGCTTGCCCAAAAAAGTCCAGCTGATATTCCGCAGGCCACAGCGCCGACAAGGACGAACCATTCGTTGCCGAAGCGGTTGTTTGTATAGAGACCAGCAGAATAAATTGGGTAGCCCAGGGCGCCGAGAAGAAGTGTGTAAGACAACCCGATTCTATTCGCGATTGGTCCACCAAATAGGCAGAAAAAACCCATTAAGCCGAACACTAAAGCATTGGCGGCGTTGATCAAATATGGCGATTCGGCTCCGCCAGCACCTATTGCGGGTGCGTGTTAGCTTGACGACCTTGAGGTAAAGTGAAAGATCACAGATTAAAGTCATCGGAGAAGGAAAAGGGTACCTAGAGAGTTCATTGCATTCCATAAGCCAGGTGCTAAGAATCCAACACCTCCGATAACACAGGCATTGAAGAGCGTAGTCCGATACCACTGCCGCTTCCCATTCAACACAGGCGTGACACGCTCTTCGGCGCCATCTTTGGATACACTGGCTTCTATGTCCGCCATGATGTTTATTCGAGTATCCCCTGTGTTGTAAGGGCTTCTGCAAGATGCTGATCACTGGTTACAAGGACATGGCTGGCTATTTATATAGCTATTTACATTTTGTATGAGATTTCCAGAGCGATGGGAAGGTCCACTTAGTTTTTTTTCGCCTCCGATGTATAATGCTCCTTTCCGGTATAATGGCCGAGAGTTTTCTGCTCGGTTAAAAGCTACCAGGTTTTTGTTTTGTGGTGCTCATTCTCTGCGAAAATGGCGTAAGAGATCAATGTGGAGCGGTGGGCCAATGACATGAATCAGGTAACCAGTACCGCGACGATCTTGAAGGTAAGCTTAATAGATTTGATGCGTGTAATAATTTGTAGATGCGTTGGAATATATATAAACGGTAAAAGTGTAGGATGATCCTCTTTCCATCAATGGCCATTTATAAAACCTGTTTCTCAAGTCCCTGAACAACATCAACAATTGTCCATCTACCCGGCTCTACCTGTGTTGAGCCCTCTTTTCATGGCACATATAGCCTAGCTCTAAGCTCACTTCCCTGTTGTTTTCCATGATTAACCCGTCTATTGTGTACCACATATACCGCGATTTGGAAAGCGGCGCTTGCGATTCCCACTGAAACCATTACAATCATCGTGCGCAAGCCAGTTGAATAACTAACGATCAGTTAGCCAATTACCAGGTCGTAAGAGAGGGGTTGTGTGGAACATGGTAAACCTACAGCGGCTTGTCATCAGCTTGAAAGTATTGCGTTCCTACCATAAGGCCGCTAATAGCGGACATCACCCACATGCTGCCATAAAGAAACGTTAGGTCCATTACAGGGGCCGAACATATATGTGTGAGCAACTTACGCAATGCTTATACTCTTTTCTCTAGGATCTGTGCAATTGAGTTGAACCCATGAGTTGTGGATAGGATGATAGCCAACTGCGAAACTGTTGACAGCCGTCCATAAACCCCACCTTGACCACTTCCCGACATGAGGCTGAACTTGATGAGCCACTATCAGAGTGACCAAATAGCACGTCTGAGCAGCAATTACAGAAGCACCTCGCTGATTGGTTCGATCGCTAATAAATGCGAATGAAAATACGACAGCAAGTGCGATAAATGCACCCACAGCAGCTAGAGCGTTTGCTCTGGTTCTATCGAAGCCCAGCGACCTATTTACCGTGTATTAGACTTTTGAATAGCAGCATGTGGGCATTCTTGAAGACTCACATAATGATAGAAGGGGTATAAGTGGTTAAGGGACTCCACGTGGAGAATACCACAAATGTTGAAACGAAATGCGGCCAGCGGCGATAGTGGGTCACGGTTTTCCAGATGATTGCTAGAGGAATCTTCTTGAGTCCTTGCTCATCTAAATCCTCCCCGCCATCTAATTCGAGGCGCCGCCGCAAAATATTCGAGTCCATTTCCGTAAACTTGATTAACCCCTGGCCAAACAGAGGTTTTGGATGTGACGGCGATCCAGGTAGGAAAAGCAAGAGAATCACGGAAACCGAGATTGTGAACAGACCCTCAACTATGTCAAAATGCATGGGAGCGTCAGCCATCTATCGATATCGGATGTGAGCACCAAGCTGGGAAAGACCAGTTAATCTTACGTAAAAATAGCCACTGCCATCCACGAAGACCACGATGTCCATCCAGCTGCAAGATCCCTGAGGCAAGCAGAGGGCTAATCGCATTGCCGCCAAACATTCCGAAGAAGAAGATGGCAACTCTCTTTGCCAGCTCCCGTTTGGTGTACCAGGTCGATAGCGTATAACATGCTCCCGGAATGTATCCAGCCTCGGCAAATCCAAGAAGAAGGCGGGTGGCGAGGAACCCCCCTCGATTCTTAATAAAAACTTGCATGATCGCAATAAATCCAAACACTAGTACTTGTGCAGATATCCATTTCCGTGGTCCAACACGCTGGAGAGCCATATTGCAGGGAATCTCGAAGACAACAATACCCATGAACATGAGCTGATTGCCTAGGTTAATTGTCGACTGAGTAACGCCAATGTCAACTGCAAATCCTCCAGTTAAGGCACTCGCAATGTTCATTCGATCAAGCTGGAAGACTAATAGCCCGAGAAATAGAAGCGGTAGCACAGTTGTGTCTACTCTGCGTAATGTTAGAACTGATTAAAGGCAAAGGGAATATTAGATGTACTTTGTGCGAGCCTTGAGCTCTTCCGCCGGATTCCATGCTGGTTGTTGCTCTGCTCTAATCGATATACTAGAATCTTCAGGCGTTGGATCGCTTGTGAAATTGCTTAGCCTTTTCTCGTCTCCCTTGGCTGATGCTGATATCATCGTATATTAATAAAGTAGAAAAAGAATTTAACATAACATATGGATTAGCGCAAGCTGTATGAATGTTGTGCTAAGTGAGCAATGTAAGTACGTTAGAAGCACCTAATCTATTCAATTTGAGAATGAAAAGCGTGATATAGAGAGATCTTCAAAAAGGGAGTCTCTCTTCTTTTTCACTCTAGCCTTCTGTCATTATGTCACCTGTCAATGAAATCGTAAAGCCGGTTTGCCGCAGGCCGGCATTATGGCGTGCTAGAAATGCCAAGTACTAAAACTCCAATGCAAAGATACAGATCTCACTTCTTTAATTACTAATTTAAATCGGCAGTTGATTGCAAAACAGTATCATACACTTTAATATCTTTGTTTATGAGCAGCTTGCCGGCTCGATTTGGCACTAAAATCTTAACATCCCGTCCGATGGTTTGTACCTGGCGATGCTCCGCAGCCGTTCTATAATTGCCGACTTGCACATCATAGGCTAGCTCAGTATATATTAGCGAGGCTACCGAATTGCGTGATGCAGTCCACCATTGCGCAATAGCGAGATAGCGAGATAAAGAGTGGTTTCCAGCAGTAAGAACAGAGCGAATCCAAAGAGCACTCATTATTTCGTTCAATATATTGACACATGAATACTCATAGTAATGCGGCGCGTGCGGCGTATGCGGCAGCTTGTAGCTAGTGTAAAATATCCAGGCATTAGCATCATTGTAGATCCTTTGAGAACTTTGGATCAGTTTTCTTAAACTGCTCATTCTCATTTACATAATTACTTTTTAAACCAGTCTATATGAGTGATTCCTTGTGTTTCTTCAAGTTTATAGATTTTGAATTGGCGAATTGCAGCTTAAGCTATGGGCAGTGTTCCTGTACGGCGAGTAGCCGTCATTGGCGCCGGACCAGCGGGAGCTATTGCCATTGATGCTCTTGCTCAAGAAAGGGCCTTTGACGTTATTCGCGTTTTTGAGCGTCGAGAAAGAGCGGGAGGATGCTGGTAGGTCAATTGGAACTGTGTTGATTGCTGCCCGCGATAAGTCCTATTATGTCTTCGAGCAAATATGGCCCTGAAAACATCCGCTTGGAGGCACGCAATTCTCATTTGGCTGCTAATTATATGGCAGGATAGATGATCCGTCGCATCCTCCTACGCTGTCCAATTTTGAATCGCTGGCAGCGCGTACAGCCGATGCGCCGCTCTCCATACCGAAGACGCTCCCGGCCCAGACACAGCCATCTGACCAACCACGCTTCTCTGAATCGTCTGTTTATCCCTACCTAGAGACGAATATCGATTCCTTGCCTATGGAATTCAGCCAAGAGCCAATTCCAGTTGAACGAAGCGAGCTTTCAATAGCCAATCACGGACCAGATACCCCATTTCGCAAGTGGGACGTTATACAAAGATACGTCCAAAGTCTTGTCGATAGAAAAGGCTATAGCGACTTTGTTTCTTACGAAACAACCGTTGAAAAAGTAGAAAAGGTTGGCACAGAATGGAAAGTCGTATTGCGAAAAAATGGGAAGCACCACGATTACTGGTGGGTTGAGTGGTTTGATGCCGTCGTCGTCGCCAGTGGGCACTTCTGGGTGCCATATATTCCTTCAATAGACGGATTAGAAGCATTTGAGAAAGCAAGGCCCGGCAGTATAATCCACAGCAAACATTTCCGAGGCCGCAAGCAGTTTGTAGGCAAAGTAAGTTATGCGCCACCAATCAGTATGTGTGCCATCGAGAGGGTATCTAATGCTATCTCTACGTAGCGCATTGTCGTGGTTGGAGCATCTGTCTCTGGAGCTGACATTGCCTTTGATCTTGCCAACGTCGCACAAGCTCCCGTCCATGCCATCACCATTGGACACACGATCAACGGATATTTTGGAGGCGAAGCTTTTAAGCATCCGAAAATAACAAACCATCCTTCAATTGCCAAGGTTGAGGGGAGAACTGTTCATCTGATAGATGGAAACTCTATTCCCGATGTTGACTATATAATCTTTAGCACAGGCTACAGCTGGTCTTTGCCCTTTCTCCCCGATGTCCCTATACGAAATAATCGTGTTCCAGATCTCTATCAGCACGTCGTCTGGCAAAAGGACCCGACATTGCTGTTTGTTGGCGCTGTGGCTGCTGGGCTGACGTTCAAAGTTTTCGAATGGCAAGCTGTTTTGGCAGCACGCATTCTTGCCGGTCGAGCTGTGCTCCCACCTGTTGAAGAGATGCGCAAGTGGGAAGTCGAGAGAATCAAGGCGCGCGGAGACGGTGTGAAATTTACGTTGATATTTCCGGATTTCGAAGACTACTTTGAAACACTTAGACAACTAGCCGGAGAAGGAGAAGAAGGGAAGGGGCGCAAGCTCCCGCGGTTTCGAAGAGAGTGGGTAAGAGCCTTTCTGGATGGCCATGAGCGTCGCAAAGTCATGTGGCGACGACTCAATGAGAAAGCTCAAATTGAATTGAACGCGGCCCAAGATGGTAAACTTGAGATTAGAGCACGGCTGTAATAGCATTGTATATTCAACACATTACATGGATTGTCAATGCCTTGACCTCTAGCCTGTGCTCGGAACACGCGAAGCGCGTATTTACTCTGTCGGAATCCGTCAAAAGTAAAAAAGGACTATGGTGACTGTGTATATGGGTTAATGAACGCTTTGCAAGAATAATTACTATCTCTGGGCATACATCTATTGTTGAGTGGCATGGATGGCGTCAGAGTGCATTTTGCTTTAAAAGGTCCACGGGCGTAAAAAACTCGCCATCACATGTCAGGGTAGGTAAGGTATGTATCCTGTAAAATAGCCCCCGTTCTGAAAATTCATTTCTCCAGGTATATTTTGGCAGCAAAGGCCGGTTTTCGCTGCAGTTCCTGAGTATACCAAGTATTTACGTAAGAAGTTAAAACCATTACCTACGACGCATTGAAGTAGTGATTATTTATTTCTGTTTGATGGCTTTAAAGAGGTAGGATTCGTGCCACATGGTACGCTAAAAACAACCCTCACAGTGTCCGAACGTACGGTCTCCGCAATACAAGTAAGCTTGACCGACTCAAATGGAAGTGGAGCGTATTGTGCATTAGCGGCAGCCAAGTCTGGGACGGATGTCGTCGTAGATTGCCCTTTCCGCCGTATCTCGACTAGCCTCCATCCGCTAAACCGCAGGATGATGCACGAAGTCGGATCAGCATTAATTAGATATAACATCTTATAGGCCAAGGTCCTTATATGATAATAAGATCGAGACATCTACAACGAGTGTCTCACAAACTAGATTAATAGAGCTGGGAGGTATACAATTGGAACAAGAGGTCTTTGGAAGGTGGCCGCAGTCGTCCATCATTATAAATACCCCGTCTTTGTCAGCTCTTTGGGGAAGGAAAGGGATTAATTTCAGAGACCTCGCATATTCTTCTTTCTAGGCACGTTAAAATGACTTCTTTCGATCTCACGTCTTACAAAGCCCTATCTTTTGATATATATGCAACGCTCATTGATTGGGAGACGGGCATCCTTGCACAGCTTCTACCATTACTCAGTAGACTTTCGAAGGGGCATTCACTATGGAACAAAAGCCTGGACGATATCTCGGATTACCTGCTCATCAGATACACAAATCACGAACATAGACTGGAAATTCAACACCCAAGTGAGAAATACTCAAAGCTGTTGAGCATGGTGTACGAAAGTGTCGCTGCGGATATGGGAATAGCTGTAACTCCCAGCGAATCAGAGGCATTTGGTGGCGCCATAGGGAAATGGCCGGCATTTGAGGATACCGTGGCCGCCATGCAGAGACTAGGAAAATACTACAAACTCATCGCGTTGAGCAATGTGGACAAGGTGTCATTTGGAAATACCTTGCGTGGTCCGCTTAATGGCGTCAAGTTCGATGCAATTTATGTTGCAGAAGACATTGGCACGTACAAACCAAACCCAAACAACTTTAATTACCTTATCGAACATGTAGGTCGGGATTTCGGGATCCAGAAAAGCGACATATGCCACACGGCACAGAGCCTACCGTTTGATCATATCCCTGTTGCATCAATGGGCTTTCGGCCCGCCGTTTGGATATCTCGCGGAGGTGGAAGAATGGGAATGGGGGATCTCGAAGCGGTGAAGGATAAGGTTAATATTGGAGCGACGTATCATACGCTAGGAGACATGGCTGTAGCTGTAGAAGCAGCCTTTGGAAAAACTGAATAATAAGTGTCCGGAGTCTATCCAACGGCTAGGTAATAGATATAAAACAAACTCCACCCCACATTGCAACTTCTTTTTCTAAACTTGAGCTCTTACATTTCACAAAAGCAATAGGTCGACTCCCAATCGCTGTTGAACTGCTTTCCAGTCTAACACGACCTGATCTGGTTCGACGCCCTTTGCGAGGGCTTCTTGTGCTCGATCATGCCATATCTGGCGAATAACTGTTCCAGCTACCAGGCGGTTTGGGATTCCAAGTTGGCTTGACACTGCTAGCCAATGTTCAACTATTTGTTGGTCTGCTTCATCTGTGGCCTCTGTAGCAGCAATAAAGACAGGCCACATCGATATGGCACCTCCCCGAATGTGGATGAATGTCATAGCATCTAGCAAGACCGATCTGACATACTTGCTGACACCGCGTGGAGGAACCTTGAGAATGGCTTGGTATATATAAATCAGAGCCGCTGTACGGAAAAGTCGAAGATGAAGACAATCCAAGAACCTAAACTGCTCCGTTCTAGGTAATAATTTCACAATATTCTCCCGTTCGGGAATATCCAGATCAATCGCGCATTGCGCGTCATTTTCAGGCAACAATTCGGCTATATAACTCTGAACAATAATCCAGAGATTCTCAGGGACATCGCCATGCGCAATCCGTTCCATGAATAGTCTAGTTGATGAAATTATGCGCAAAACATCGCAGCTTGCACCGATCGTATACCCAAAGTTTCGGCGCAAAGCGACGCCTTCGAAAAGAATTTCGGTGATGGGGGAGCGATTGTGAGGCTTGGCATTTCCAGTTTGTGAAATCTCGAATGAAAGGGCGATGCTTTGAGATATTACCCAAGAGTGCGTGGACTGAGCCCACGGCTTTTGCCGAACAAACTGAGTCACAAAACTTCCGGCTCCGTGGAAGTGACTCCTCCAAGCGACCGAATCTCTTGCTTGACCCTGTTTTGGTAAGCGACCAATACATTGAAGATTTGGGCAAAAAAGAATCTGATGTGTACAGCTACTCACCTCAGAGATCATTAATGTATATAGAGTAGCAGCGCAGGCATTGTATTCCGCTTCTTTCGTACAACTCAGGGTTTGACTGAGCTCTCTTAATGAAGCACCGTAGTGCTCCAGCGCGACTGACTGTTTTTGATGATGTATCTGTCGGTTTTCTTTGTACAGATTCGCCAAGTTAAATGCAGACTGAGCGATGATCGCATGATACAAAGCTCGTGAAGCCGGAGATGAATCTTGCAGTGCTGTCGATGGATAAACAGATTTCCAGGGGTTATTCGTGCTGTCCACTGGAATCATAATAGGAGCTATCCATGTTACGTAGTGGTGAAATATTGTGGCCTCATCTCGTGACGATGATAAACAATCATATATGGTTGGTGTAAGGGGCCGGAGTAGAGAACAAAAAGCTTCGATGTACGGCGTGGGGGGGCTCTCTGACTGAGAAGAATCTGTTGAAGATGCAAAATCTTGTAAATTTAAATCGGGCTTTTTTGCAGTGGGACGATCCAAGATTGAGGGGTCGGCTTGCTTTGTCGAATGAAATACTGTAAAGGGGCTCAAGGGCAGCGAGTGGTCCGCAATCGGAAGGTCGACGCTATCCATCTCCTCGATCAGGCGCTGAAGGTGATCGTCACTGAAAGACGGCCAGCCACGCCATGTTTGCTCAAAATCCATGCTTCTTCGAGAAAATGGAGGATAGGTGCCGGTCTTTTGGTCTACCCAAACAAGCTGGATGCTGTACCCTTCACACTCAAGCCTGCATTTCTTGCACTGCTTGCATGGTAGACCTGCACCGCTGCACTTGACGCGCCGTCGGCGACATGTCCAGCAAGCGGAAAACGATCTTGTGACTTGCTTCCGAGGACGAGGCATCGTATGTAAAGGTCAGTGAAGTTCTCTCAAGATGTGTGCTTTCTCGCAATCTCAGCGGTCCGACAATACGAGAATATGAGAAATGCGCGAACTGGCGCCTCTCGAGAGGAAAATTGGTTACATGAAAGACAGCATATGAACAACGGGTGGGGTTCGCGGGGAATTTCCATCGAAAGCCAAGCTATGGTAGCGTTTATTTGGTGCCCAGTGCATGGGCGAAGGAAGATACGGTGCTTGGTGTAGTGCTACTGTAAGCAGACTAACACCGAGGAGTCATACCGGCCAACGCAGCGGGGAAACCAAAGATAAGAAACATGTGTGGTTAAATGCGCGTACAGTGCGTATTCTTGTTCATGAGATATTGTAATATTACATTATACGTTCGAAGTGCCTTATGTGGTCATTTTATAGAATTATGCATAACGGTCTTTGTGATTATTGTACCTGAATCTATTCATTAATGTTAAAGCCATTATCTGCTTTTTTGTGATTAGTCCTTGGTAATTACTTAGGTACTTAGTAAAGAGTCTAGACTAAATCTTGACAGAACTCAGTCAAATTACACTATAGCCAAGTACAAAGAAGGTTCTTCATGCCACAAACTAAGGTAGTAATTTAACACCACTGTGGCATTTAAACCTTGCTTATTTCGATTTGCAGTTTTCCTTTGTCCGCTTCTTCTACCAGCTGTTGCAACCTATCTTCCTTAGGCACTGTGCTCGACTTCCAAGGCTTAACACCAGAAGCAAAAAGCTGGTCAATATCTAGATGGTTTAACGCCGGTTAGTGCATTCCATTTTTGTATACTAGCATTCGAAACAGATTTGAAAAGAGATCATTTACCTTCAAGACTTCTTCGCTTTGTTTCAGGAAAAAAGAAGTAGGCATGCAAGCATGCTACCACATTAAATGTTCCAAAGATAATAAATGTCTTCCATTGGATATTCTGAAAGGCTGGTGGTGTATAGTAATTATTGGCAAATCCCAAGATCCAATTAGCGGACGTTGCAATAGACACAGCTTTGCCTCTCAGACGTATAGGGTAGATTTCAGATGGATAGCACCATGAAATGGGGGCCCACGTAAAGCTGTAAGTCGCAACAAGAAGGTATGTAAAGGCAATTATTGCAGCTTTGGCGGATTTGGAATCGTCATTCATTGTCCATGTGACGGCGCTTGATCCGTCGAATCCACCAGGGACATAGTGTCCATATCGGGCCATGACACCGGCAGTCGAGTACAGCCAGATCATCATGAAGAATGCTCCTCCAATGAGCGCGGGGCGTCGGCCAATGCGGTCGAGAAAGAGAATCGCCGGTAGCGTAAAGACTACATTGATGATGTACTGAACACTCGATGCAATGAGCTTGACATTGCCCGTAAGGCCAGCCATCTGGAATATGTACACAATGTAGTACAACAGAGCATTGTTGCCGCTTAATTGAGTCCAGATATGGACAAAAATACCGTTCGAGATACGATGTATATTGTCGCGATGGATCAGCTCTGCCCACTTTACCTTACCTTGCGACTCTGAAATAGCCATAGACTCTCTTATTTCCGCATATTGAGCTTGCACAATGGGAGCTAAATGATCTCCATTTCCATGAATGCTAGCAAGCACTTCGAGCGCTTCTTCCCATCGATCTTGGGAAGCAAGCCAGCGAGGGGACTCCGGGATGAAGAATAAAGCAGTTAGCATTACAAGAGCAGGGAACATTTGCACTGCCCATGGAACTCGAAATGCGACGTCTGTCTTGCTGTAAGACGCCCCGAAGGTGATGTAATACATGATGAGGCCCTATATAACACATATCAATAAACGCCGAGTGATATACTGGTCATTATATTTAACTTACCCCCCAAGTAATGCTCCATTGTTGAAAGCTAAGAATGCGGCCTCTTATCTCAGGGCGCGACAGCTCCGCAAGGAATAGCGGCGCAGTGGAAGTGAACAGTCCTACCAAGGTCAGTATTTGATGCTTTCGATGCAGTGCTACCATAAATATCATTTAGCAGGAGCCCAGCTTACCAACCGCTCCACCACACAGCAGCCTGCCCACTATCAACATTGCAATGTCAACACTGGCAGCACATATTATGGCGCCGATGACAAAGATAACGCATCCTGCCATCAAGGTACGCCTTCGGCCAAACCTATCGACAACAAAAATGTTCACCAGGCATCCTAAAAATGATCCACCAGAGATACTTGCGGTAATGCCGCCTTGTTGATCGGCTGTTGGACTGTCAAACTCCTCTTTGAATGGTTTGGTACTGAGGATCGCGGAAAGAGATGATATGTCAAATCCCTGTAGCAAGCCTCCAATGACTAGGAAAGCTGTAATAACATAGATGTTACTTAATTTGTAAACCATTGTGACTTATTTCGCATAATAAAGATTTTCATAGAGTATATGGAGGCTTGATAATGGTTGTCGGTGTTGCAGAGCACGCAGCAGCTAAGAGTTTGAGAAAATACTGAGGAGTCTGACGCCCGCAGACAACTTCAGACAGTCGACCACAACATATTTGATGATATAGGGGGGGGGGGGAAACAGTGAGGCTAACAAGCATTGATGAATGAGACACTCCCCGCCATCTCTCCAAGTCTGACTTGATATAGCATGTGGGCATTAATTGAAGTATTACACCGACCTCATGTACTAAGCTTCTAAGCTCCTACATACTGATTACATGGGTCGGGTAAAAGCAGCACGAGGCGGGGCTTTCAGGCTCTCATTTCCAAGACTGGAAAAAAGCAGCTCTGCCGTCGGCACAACACTTCCGTGAAAACCGGGGTTATTCCCGTGCTGCCTTTACTAAACTGTCGCGACATATATAGAGATGATCACGACATCTACTAAGGGACTAATTGCTGATTGTTTTACAGGCTCCTTCGTTGAAAACAGGCGTTTAGCAGTTAATTCAAGCAATGTTTCTCGGCGAATAATATCAACGTAGCGAATATCGCAGGTCTTGGCAAAAGGACTATGTATTTGGACTACAAAAGGACTATATATTTGGACTACTCTAAAATAGGATACCGAGAGTCATGGCGGCTAGAAAGCCCGACCTGTATGAACTTGTGGTACTGCGTATGTAATTGCTCTTGTCAGATAATTTATGATTATATGATGCAGTGCGCAAATACGTCTCAATCTCCGGCATCGGCTCAGTCTCTCAATCGCTATTACAAGTGAACGTGTGGAAGGAAATAGTGTGTGACCAAGAAGGAGATAATAAGTGAGTTCTACGGATTCTATGGAGTTTCATAGGACTATATCAAAAACGTATGCAAAGCCTTAAGAGGAGACTTAGAGAGAGAGCGAATTGAATCAGAACATTCTACTTCCTATGGAGCGCATCCTCTTAGTAAGTTACAAAATAGATTGATATCATGAATATCGAGTACTTTAGCTTTCTAATCTATCTAACGTTCCTAAACTGGAATACTGATTTCTGTAAAGGGAATTAATCTGACAGGAGCAGAGAGTCCATACGGCTGGCCACCATAGCTACTGGCGTATTGTGATTGCTCCCAAGATTGGGTGACATTGACTTGTAGCAGCCGGTTTCGCAACGTTGAAGATACTTCAATCTTCACATCATTCACGCCACTGATCAAGAATGGAGTGATATCAACAACCGCATCTGTGATATCGATAGGACCGGTCCAGTGGCCATTGATCCAGAGACGTATAGTGTTGAAAACAGGGCCTAGGTCTATCAGCGCACCATGAATGTCTTTGGTAGGATTCCAGGCGAAGTGTGTTGTGTATGTACCAATTCCAGATGTGTTAGAGAGACCAGAAATATTGTACCAGGGAATTAATGTATCAAGGGTCAGGTTGTGGTATCGGAATACAGATGTATAGTTGTTGAATCTGTCTGTATTAGGAAGCCAATCTTGAATACTGACATTCCAAGGGCCAAGCTCCATTGGAGTAGTTTGCTCCTCAAAGCCATTCAACGTAAAGGTATGATCATTGCTCATTGTGATCGCTTTTCGTCCTTGCGAAGAAGAGCGAGCGATGATAGAGTGGCTGCTTGCTGAGTAGCTCAGATATTCGACGTTTGTTTTGACGACATGAACATCAGGAGTCTGGGTCTCGGGGAAAAATTTCCCAGGTGCAAAACCAAGGATTGTCGACTGATTTGATCGTAGTTCGATCCAAATGTTGAATCTATCACCAGATATCGTGTAGTTAAGAACTGGGGTAATAGCACCCGTCCAAGCATCCAACTTGTAAGGAATGCCAGTGCCTTTGACAGAAGCTACTGTAGCGTGATCTTGGTATATGTCCGAGTTATACGCCCAATAATAATCAACGTGATTATCCACGTCGATTCTATGGACGTATAGTATGGGAACTGGCGATAGATTTTCCGCTGCGGGCTGAATATTTAGCTCTTTCAAAGCGTCTACGACTTCGCTCTCCGACTGTAGACTTCTAACTGAAGGAAGTTTTAGTAGTTTCTGCATTTCTTGCTTGACATATTGGTCGCATGACTCGCAATAATAGGGAGTTGTCTCGGGCAGACTGCCGACAAAAACAATTGGAAATCCGTTGCTAGCATACTCTGTAAAGCGACCGACAGCTTCCGAGGTAATATTTGTAGAATTATCCACGATAAAGGCAGAGAATCCTGGGCCATCTTCTGCCAGCAATCCATTGGTAACAACGGCATTATCCTGTAGAGAATCGTTAGAGCCATTAATATGCTTGTGCATTATCATCGAACTTACTAGTTTAAGCAGCGAAGGGCTGACAGAAACATAGGAATATCCGGCGTACTGCAATGAATGATCCCAGAAGATATTTTCTCCCATGTTGTAATGTTTGATGTCAACCGAGAGATATTTGTGACGATAGATACCAATGTCTACTCTTGGCACCCCAGTCTGAAGAATTATCTGCGTCCTGGCAATCCAATCGCCCATCTCTTTGACATGTGCCCAGCTGGGCTGCCGTGGTCCCCACATCTCAGAGTATAGCCATTCAAAGGTTGTGAGGCCAGGCCACTCGACTTGCGGGCGAATGCCAGAGTATGGGAAGCCATGCGTGACGATGCGGTTGACACCACCAGCATAGTTAATCTTGCAATCATTCAGAATAACAGGCCAAGTTATGGCGTATGCTTCATAGCGGTGCGCCCCTAGTTCGCTGGAAAAGATTTGCCTTTTCCCCATCATTGCGCCGCCTCCCATGGCTCGAAAGGCGTCAATCACTCCATCAAAATAGTTGGATTCTGTCTCAGGAGCATCGATGTGTGCAGCTGCTGAGTTCATATCCCACGGTGGTGCAGCATTCGGTGCGGTCGCATATGGCTGCAGACTTCCCTGAATGTTCCATTTGCTTGTCCATTTAGAGAGTCCATCAAGATGGTATTGCTCGTACAACTCTTGCAGACACTGGTAGTAGTCATTGCGCAATTTCCAACTTATATCCGTCCCGTTCTCATGGTCATTGAAGCTGTAGTAAAAGTAGCTATTTGCGAGTGTACTTGGAGGAAGACCAGTCGTACCGAAAAGAGCTGGTAAAGCTGTAGTGATATCGTAGCCGCGTGTTTGGCGAAAGTACGACGATAATTGGTCTGTCCAGAATAGCGTGGCTCTAAACTCAGCAGAATCTTCCCACGCGTACATGCCAAGCTGGGACAGAATATCGCCGTTTTCTCCATTCATAACATATTTCTCGGTAAATCCTGTCCAGAGATCCGTTCCCTCTTGGCTAAAGTGATCGACCACATAAGCAAACCAAGAGGCAGGATTATTGGGATTGGTTGCATTATTAAATGCACCTTGCGCAGCTAAGTAGCCCGTGCGACGCTGATAAAATGCAAAAAGAACATAGGCATTCCCATCAGCTGGAGCCGTATAGTCTAGTGAGCCATCTTTGACCAGGCTCGTAATGTCGTGAACACTATCGAAGTCAAGTTGAGTTACACGACCATCAGGGGAAGGCACTTTGAGAACAAATTGAGTTAATGACGGGTTTAATACGTGCTGGAGGGTGTTGGAATTTTGAATATTACCTTTGCTTTTGCGAGCGACTACAGCAGCGACAAATTTGTTGGTGAAGTTTGTGAAAGGAGCAGAAAAGTCTGGCTTATTCGCATAGCCTGCATCTGTGCGACCAGGAGATGGGATAGGACCGTCAAATGTCTGGCCTGAGTCCAAACCAACACTGCCATATGCCAACTCAGTATTCATCCCCGGAGAATCAGGATCCAGAATTGGGATTGAAGCGCCCTGTGTTGGCCCCAAAGCAAAATCGACGAGGAGATCCAAATCTTTCGAAGCACGGAGCATGGTGTTAAACTTTTGCCTCCACTTATCACCTCCGTAACCATATATTGCCGGATCTACAACAGCCAGCTCGATTCCATAGTTCTCCAAGCAAATAATCTCAACTCCACCCCATCCTGCCGCTTTGATCTCCTGTAAATCTGCGTATAAGACACTGTCATCCACATCGGCGTCTGGAACCCAGTAACGAAACGATGGCCGGGCCAACCCATTGGGATTGGCAAACTCCGTAGGAACATCGTATGTAATCCACGGAGCAGGACGGTGGCCAAATCCAGGGCTTTTGTCGACGGCCACGGAGACAATAGCCAGCACCGCAATGCCAAAAAGTGATGACAGTGGTGTCCTCATTGATAGCTATGCTTACAAACGACCAACATATGCCGAAAAGAATCTTGGTGCACTAAGAGAAAGTTCATGGCTCTCAATACGCTTGAAGTCGCCGAGAAAGCAAGTCAATCGACTTTAATGACTGCTCTAGACAACCTTTCATCCGACGCAACATCACCACGTGGGTATCTCAATCAGCGATGCCTTCGCCGGTCCGTCGGCCAACTTCATCGCATCATCGCGGCCCTGCATCATATCTTTTACACATTTTAGCCGTCAAAGCCTCGCTGTCGGGTCAATGCGCGGGTCAATGAGTACCGAAGAGGAAAATATGAGATGGTCTCTTCTCCAGATACGGCTAAGCGGAGATGGTTCCAGGCATGCCGCTTTTAAGCTGCTCTGCCTGTTCCCTTGCAATTGGCAGCGATACGATGACGAAATTGAGCGATAAAAGGCCTGATTGGAGTAAAATTTGACATTCAGATGACACTGGAAGCTCCATTACATATGCGTGCGCCGGCGGTGGCACACCTGAAGGCCTACTGAAAGGTTCCGATTGGTCGGCTTTCAAGTCCATGTTGCCCGCTGCTCGACCCTGGCCGTGGTGTATCAAGGCAATCTTGCCAAGCATATGCCAGTGGCCCTAATTGCAAGTTAACCTTCCTATCTTGAAGCAAAGTCCTGGTCAATAGTGCCTATGGGAGTTATGATGACAGACTCCTTGGCGGTCTCCGCTACATATGCAGGCAATTCAAAACGTCATTCGCAGATCCATAGCAGTGTGATTGTATTAGTGAGTGTAACAAATATACGCATACTACTAGGTGTAAAGCGGTCCATTCATCGGAGGATAAAACCTTCCAGGTTGGACTTTGACGCCCAGAGATTAATTGTAATCAAGGCCAGTCAAATACAAACCTGTTTGCTTTAAATAGGAATAGTGTCTGGCTGCCTTATCAATAGCGGAAGCGCTAGAAAGTCTTCTCGGCTGACTTTATAACCGCAACGATGAAGTTTCTTCGCCATATCGTACAGCTTTTGCCTGCCTCTCTAGTGTTTGCCGCGTATACTCCATCATCGCCCGAACATACCTGTGTAATCCCGGCTTTGAACGATGGGCGCGATGACGCTCCCGCAATCCGTGAGGCATTCAATAAGTGCGGCAACAATGGAAAGGTCATCTTTCAAAAAGACACTACGTACAGTATCCAAACGGCTCTTCAGTTACATAACTTGAAGAACGTTCAGGTGGATATGCTTGGAACTCTTGAGGTGATATATATCGATTGATCTCCAAGTCTTCGATAACTGACAATTTTAGTACTCAACTGATGTTCGGTATTGGATCTTGCACGGATCGTATTATTATTTCCAGAATATTTCGATTGCAATGGAATTCTCAGGCGAAGACATTACAATTGACGGCCACGGCTCTGGTACTATCGATGGCCAAGGGCAGGTATGGTATGATCTGGCACTCGGTGTGGGTGGTTTATATGGACGGCCTATCCCATTTTGCCTACGGAATGTCAAAAATGCCGTAGCAAAGAATTTTAAAATTCTTCAATCGGGTAAATGGTGAGTTTCTATTTCTTCTACCTCGCCTGCGTGTTATTGATAATGTGCAGGAATTTTGTAATGCTGGAATCTCAAAACATTCTTGTGGATAACATCTACCTTTCATCTACCTCATCAGACGACCAGGTAACGTGTTAAGCCTTATAACGCGATCTGTTGGTGAACTGACGCAAATAAAGGCGAATCCTGGTAATCTCGGCAACACAGACGGATTTGACACTATCAACAGCGACAATATTACGATTCAGGTAAGAATGTCATTCTTAGGACCAAAAGCAATTCAGGTATAGGTGCTGACGGGATCATAGAACAGCTGGGCAAACATCGGAGATGATTGTGTCAGCTTCAAGCCTGGCTCTACTAATATGCATGTGAAAAACTTGACCTGCTACAACAGTGCCGGTATCGCAATCGGCAGCCTTGGGCAGTATGAAGGGGTGCGAGACGTAGTTGAGAACATCACTGCAGAAGATGTCACTGTAAGTCTGTCCGTGAGCGCGTTGCATGATGATTGCGAACTAATATATAACACCATGAATAGCTTATCGGTAGCCGCAATGGTGCCTACATAAAGACATATGTAGGCAAGAGAACGTACTGGCCTCCCCAAGGTGGCGGCGGTGGCAACGGCTATGTTCGTAACGTCGGTAAGTTTCCTTCTCACTTGGCCTCTGTGGGTCTAAGGCGATCTAATGCGGTTTCAAGTGTTCAAAAACTTCCACATTGAGAATATTACTTCTTCGCCCGTTCTCATTCAGCAATGTACTCACTGGGGTGGATATAACGTGCCAGCCTGCGCCGACACACCCGCTACTGGTTACTTTTCCAACATTTCCTGGTCTAATTTCACCGGATACATGAATGAAAAGGTTGGAACTAAATCGATTAGTTGGGCGTGTTCACCACTTGCAGAGTGTGAAGGATTCTCATTCAACGATATCAATGTCAAATCCGCTAACGGAACGGATGGAACCTACTCCTGCAGTAACGTGGTCGGGTACGACGCGACTTGCCAGAAAACTGAATAGTGATGATGATGTATATATTCAGCGAATATCCGCCTTGTCTATTTTAACGTGTCCTCGCGCTTTGTGGCTAGACGTAGTTGAGAAATAAGTGTACATGGCAAGCTGCGCGTTAGGTCTTGGGGAGGACATAACCCTCTTCTAGTTCTTCTCTCCTGTGAATGGCATGTTAGGAAGCAAATAAAGGGAACACAAGAAATTGATGTTGACTGACAAAAATATTCCAAACTCAGAAACATAGGCCAACCAATGTTTCACCAGCTCATCCAAGACTTTAGGCTCCTGTTCAGCCAAGTCATGGACTTCTCCCATATCTTGGTCCATATCATATAACTGCCATTTCTCAGGACCCTTTGGCTTTGGGATGAATATTGCTTTCCACTTTCCTTTTCGAATGGCTTGATGGAAAAATAGCTCCCAGCCGGTTACATGATCTTCGTCATGAACGTGAGGGGACTTCTGTAGTAGATGCGATATCCATGATTTACCCTTCACTGGAACGATTTGTCGACCTCGAAATTCCTGCTCCGGCAATGGAATACCTGCCAGGTCCAGAAGCGTTGGAAGAATATCCATAACAGTCGTAAATGAGTCAGTAATGCGCCCATGAGAGAGCTGAGCAAAGCGAGGGTAGTGGATAATGGCTGGACACCGAATACCTCCCTCTGTGACATAACCTTTATGCATTCTACTCGGTGCTGTTGAAGCTTGTGCCCAGCGAGGACCATACCAAATAAACGAATCGCGGTTACCTAAGTTCTCATAGTCGTTGTTATAATGCTTATCAATGGACTTTTTGATAACATCTCCAGTCACGGGAATCGCTTCCACGATGGCTCCCTCGGCACCGTTGTCAGACATAAAAATGACAAATGTGTTGTCCCATTCACCAATCTTCTTGATGTGATCAATCACCTTGCCAATGTTCTCGTCCATTCTATCAACCATTCCTGCAAACACCTCCATGGTCTTAGCAGACCACGCTTTCTCCGCAGCTGACATTTCGTCCCACTCTTTGGTTGACGCAATGACCGGGTGAGCTTCGATATCCTCGGGTAAAAGTCCAAGCTCAATCTGCTGTTTCAGCCTTTTCTCCCGTAACACATCTGGGCCATCATCGTACTTTCCCTTGTATTTAGCAATCGATGACTGTGGCGCTTGCAAGGGCCAGTGCGGTGCCGTAAAGGGAAGAAAGGCGAAGAACGGTTTTTCTTTCAGTGCAGCACTGCGCTCTCTTTCGTCCAAAAACCCAATGAGCTTTTGGGTGAATTGATCGGAAGAGTAAAAATCCGTTGGAAAATCCTTCGTTTCTACTCTCTGATCGTCTTCATAGTATAAACTGGCCCAGTGTGCAAAAATAGGTGTACCATCCGGGTGTTTTGGTTCGTAGGCATAGTGGCTAGACCCTCCGGGTAATAGGGCAAATGAGCGATCAAAGCCACGAGCATGCGGTGTGCGCTCTTTGGTCAGGCCCAAATGCCACTTCCCGCTCATACACGTAAAATATCCTGCGTCTTGAAGAATCTCTGGCAGAGCCGCGACTCGAAAGTTCAAATATCCTTCGTAGCCTGCTCTTTCGGACCATGGGACTGGCGGATCTCTTCCACGCCCCCAGTATTCCATCTGACCAAGGCCGGCGATATGGTTGTCAGTGCCTGATAGTAGCATAGAGCGTGTGGGAGAACACATGGATGCCGTATGGAAGTTCGTCATGCGAACACCGGTAGGGGAATAAGCCAAGGCATCAAGATTGGGTGTTTGGATCTCGCTTCCAAAAGCACCGACATCTGAGAATCCAAGGTCGTCTGCGACAATGAGAAGAAAATTCGGGCGTTTGGAGGTGTTCATGATTATTTCCACGGGTGGTATGCCAACCAGACGCAATATTCAACGTTGAAAAGCGATTTTACATATCACGAATGCCAAAATGACAGACATGGTCTTTTTCAAAGCAAACGCCTTGTCTTTATGCTTTCACTTGGGCAATGGTGCGATTATGTGGGTTGTGTGCGAAACGTTCATTACCGCTACAGGTACCCAATTGTGTATCTGTCTGGTGGCTAAAAGCAGCAAGCTAACGAACCTGGAAGCCGTAGGCTAATACGCACACATCGACGTGGTGGGGGTTTGGCGAAGGACTAAGATGCAAACTTACCTGTGATAAGCCCAAGCCGCATACGAAACGCTGTGACGGTTCACGACTGCGCCCATTTTAAAGCTTTAAGCGTACTACTACGAGACGAACTAATAGGCTCACTCTTTGACTAACTAATAGGCTCACTCTTTGACTAACTAATAGGCTCACTCTTTGACGTATTGCCAAGAGAGTTTTGCATTTCTCATCGCCTGGAATAATACGGAAGTGCTCGCAGCGTTGCCCAAGGGCCCGGCAATAGAAACCAATTCCCTTTCTTTAGTTTAGCAGCTTGGTGGTCGATACTAACAGTGTAATTAGAAGACAAAATGATCTGATCCCGTGTTTGGGATGACTGCACAGACTTTTAACCCACACATATATGTTTTCCCTATCGCAAAGCACCTTTCCATATTGTACAGATCATAATGACTACTGGCTCAAGTCATAGCTGAAAGGGCTTCAAATTGAAGAATATCGCAGCCAGAGCTAACCCTGTTAATCAATAGCCTAGGTACACAACGACAATATATTCCAATGTCTTAGGACTTTGGAAACTGAGTGTTAGTTGACAGCACAGACATGAATTAAGACACAAATACTGCAATCAATCTCATCTCTCTATTCTTGTTACATAGCCTAGATTTTCCGTCCTTGACACTTGCGCTTTAACCGCTTCGTACCCATGGTTAACAGTATCGTAGTTGTTTTGACATCTAGTTAGACTTGTTCTTCGAAGCCTTCGACTTTGCAGCCTTCTCTTTGGCAGCAATTTGAGCTTCAGTATGATGGGGTTCACGCTTGTCAGCCCAAGAACCGAACTCGTCATCTGCAGGAACCTCGTCACGAGCTTGGTGCTTGTTTCCGGTCTTCTTCTTGGCAGCGGCTTCCTTGGCAGCGATCTGTGCCTCGGTGTGATGAGGCTCACGCTTATCAGCCCAAGAGCCGAACTCATCATCAGGAGGAACCTCGCTTGCTTCGCGTGCCTGATTCTTCTTTCCACCCTTCTTCTTGGCAGCAGCCTCCTTAGCAGCAATTTGAGCTTCAGTGTGATGAGGCTCACGCTTATCAGCCCAGGAGCCGAACTCATCATCCGGAGGAACATCGCGAGCATTGTTCTTCTTTCCGCCCTTCTTCTTGGCGGCGGCCTCCTTGGCAGCGATTTGTGCCTCAGTATGATGGGGGTCGCGCTTGTCAGCCCAAGAACCGAACTCATCATCAGGAGGGACATCGCGAGCATTGTTCTTCTTTCCACCCTTCTTCTTAGCGGCAGCTTCCTTAGCAGCGATCTGTGCCTCGGTGTGATGAGGATCTCGCTTATCAGCCCAGGAGCCGAATTCGTCATCCGGAGGAACATCGCGAGCATTGTTCTTCTTTCCGCCCTTCTTCTTGGCGGCGGCCTCCTTGGCAGCGATTTGTGCCTCAGTGTGATGGCGAGTTTCAAGTCCTTCGATCATAGAGCGCACGAACTTGGTAGCCAGAGCTGCACCAGAACCCTAATAATCCTATTTAGTCTCATATAAATGGCAGTCTTGGAGGAAATTCCTTACGACGTAGCGGCGCTCCATATCAGTAGAGCCGGGCGCCAAGTGGCCGGAAGCCATAGGGGCCAAGCTGAACATGGCAAACACCAAGGCACTAGTAACTGAGGCAGGACGCATGGTGAATAAGAAGCAAAGGGTTGTTCAAGATAAAAAGGAATTGTAAGACAAAAAGATGCAAGAAAAAGAGAGAGATTTGATTGAAAGAAGACTGTCCAGCAGTCAGGAAACTGAAAGGAAGAAAAGGAAGAAGGGTGAAATGAAGAATGAGATGCCGGATGGGGTTCCAACATCCAGAAGAGACGAATTGAATGTTCTTTTATAATTCTTGGAGAATACCAGCCTCTCTGTAGACGCTCTTGGAATAGGCGAACCAGTTCCACCCCTCGGCTCAAGGTATCGTCAGAAACTTGGTTGAAACAGAAAGCCCCATTGACTGTTTTCCAAACATTCACAGGAAAGCGCTAATCGACACCGACTATCAGTCTTGCTCCGAAACTTCTGAATAGTCCTAAACTATAGGTATGCTATAGCGAAGCTCCATTTTTAAGTCGGGGTTGCGCTAGGCGCCCCTACTAGGAGGTTACAGCTGTGCATCACGAGAAGCTGTGAAACTGCCGTATTCAGACAGTAGCTCGCGACGCAAATACGAGCGACATTTTGGCCTAGTGGTTTTAAAAGTGGTGATCTTTTCTTCTGAAGTGCCTAGATGTCACATTTAGATTCAAGATGAATTGACGTTTGTTCTGAAAACTTCGGACGCGTATCACTAAAGTCTCCTTGCCCCCCTGTGTCACGCACCAGACCAGCCTCCTAAGCTTGATAACGGCGAGTCATGGCATTAATTCAATTCGCCTACTCCCTCTCTCTTATGAATTGAACAGAGTCAAATCCTCCAGTGGCATGCGATATACCAAAACCTTCTCTTCTTCTTTTTTTTTTTTTTCAGAATTTAAGACAACTCCTTTTTTTTTTTTTTTTTTTTGCCCGATTCACATCACCATGGCTTTCGAGTATCGATCTCTTGAGGTGGCTTTTCCTGGCGAAAAGCCTACCCGTCTGTCATCCGACTCTTCTTCGACATTGCAAGCAATTGACGACCTCGACTATTTATCAAGCGACTCGGACCCGTGCTACAAGTCTTCTCTCCGTGGAATAGCTTCTAGATGGGCTAGATCTAAGTGGCTATGGGCCGTTCATGCCGCTCTATTGTTTACTTCATTCGGGATGCTCGTCATGACTATACTCTTGCGATCATCAACTCTATATCACATTCGGCAAATCTCAGCTTGGTGTAAGTCATTTATAACATGATATGACATTTCAAAGCAGCTAATGGTATATACAGCGCCCGCCGATGTATCCGTCGAATACAGCCATGTTCGATATAACCTTACAACCAAAGGCAATCCCTTCGTTGGCGCTGGGCCTGAGGTAGATGAAGCCTGGAGAGAAATCTCCTATGACAGTAAGTGTGCGATGAATAACTCTGTCAATAAACAAATCTGACACTGGCGTAAAAGTGGGTGACCAATGGATACCAAAGCACGACATCTCGAGGTTGGATATGCCAGACACTTCACTCAAAGTCAATCATCCTGTCACTGGAGAAGAAGGCTATAGAGTTGGTATGGAAGTCTTCCATCATCTACACTGTTTAAACCTTTTGCGCCGGGTCACCTACAGGGAATACTACGAACCACTTGGTGGAGAGTTCGGCCATGGTCCAGAAGCCCTTCAAGCTCATACAGGTATGTATATCGCAAACTTGGCACCGCCACGTCAAAAACGTTGAGGATCATTTAGCTAACAGATTCATAGATCACTGTATCGAAGTGCTGCGTCAAAACATCCAATGCAACGCAGACATCGGCCTGTTTACTTTCTATATGATCCCAGATGACCCTCTCGCTTGGCCCGAGCTAAATTCGAAGCACGTTTGTCGCAACTTTGACAAGGTGCGCGAGTGGGCGGTAGATCACTCAGTAGGAAATATGGAGGTGTTGGAGCACTAGCTGTGTTGTTTTTCATCTTTTCTTGTGCCTTATGTAGATAGATAGCAAATAGCCTTGATTTCACGTTAATAACCATCTTTTTCTCTATACATTCGTATGGGTGCACATCGCCACTTGCCTACCTTACCTACATATTATTCTTAATCACTATGATATTCACCTGCACAACTTTTACTTTTGTACAAAGTTTTGTTTCTTTCCCTTTTTTCCCCTAACCCTTTGGGTGATCTCCCAAGAATACTCTATGGAGATGTTGATCGCCCAGGAGAAGAATCTCTAACGCTAGAAGAGACTAAGTCTCCTCACCTGAAGTTCGCTTGCTAACCGAACTAAAATTTGCGATGAAGTCAACTAATTTTTCACTTGACCACTGGCCGCCTAGCTGATACCTACTCTCAGGTGTATATGCGCCCGGGGCAGTCGGCACTAGACATGGGGGATTTAGTGCTCCATGATTTTATGGTGAACGAACGGTTGCCACTATCTTGAAACCCAGACCAATGTAGTTCGGTGTTGATTCAGCTAAGGGGCCCGTGCGGAGTATTGCATCAGCCCCTTCGTGTTATAGAATTGAAACAGAAACAATTTGGCTTGTACTTCATTGGTGCATTTACTCGCCCAGTTACCAAACATCCAAACATCAGTTTGACTACTGGTATAGCTTGGCACATGTTGTCGCTCTTCGCGAAGAGGGGATAATGTCCTCCATCATATGGTTCTTCTTTAAAAATGAATCTTGTCGCATCAAACAGTAACAGTTTGAGCTATGCATTAGAATTGGAGGTAAAGGCTATCTAACCCTTCATAGCTCACTTTTTTTCCGGCGGGCGCCTCTTCTTCCTTCTCGCACTTCCGACAAACATTATCCTCTGCTGGTTCAGAGAGATTTACACATTTCCTTCTTCCTCTATTCTCTTTTCTCATTGCGTGGATTGCTGTTTCAAGGCATTGTATACCTTATACTTAAACGATCAGCCGTCTAATATGGCATTCTCTAAAAATTACTCAAAGCTCAGGGAAAGTCACGACTTTCAGGAGGGCGAAGATGTTGACTTGGAAGATAATGCATCTGATGCGACCAAATACTCCTCAACCATTGAAAATATGGATAAAGCAGAGCTTCTACCCTATCGAGATGATACAGACGAATTAACATTATCATCCTTAGCACAGCAACTGCGAGCTAGTCGATTCAAAATGTCCTCTGACTTATGGACATGGCTACGATGGGCGGTAATTGTTTCACTACAGAGTACTCTGATTCTGTTAGTCTTTTTAAAACAAGACAACAACACACAGCCAAAAGGCGATCTTCAGGAAATAAGCGGCAGCGATCGATATGTCGAGACAGGCAGCGATATTAATGGCCTTTACAAGACATGTACGCATCACCGGTTCTGCTTCGTTACTCTAAAGATTTTTATTTAACCTGTGTTCCATAGTATCTCACTCGTACACTTTCCTTAAGCCGGAAGAAGACAAATACTTTCCAAACATAACGTCGAATGATAATCGCATGGAGATCCGAAGAAACTGGGATATGTTGATGCCACGTACGTGACAGCCACTTAACCCTCCATGCAATGTCAGGTTATGCTAAAAGATGTCTTAGTCGGAAGCGGAAGCGTTATCATTCCCAATTACGCGGATCACCCTCTACTTGGACAACCCATTACCGACGACCCCATCCGTTCTGGGCCGTTGTTTGAGGCATCATGGACACATGCACTACACTGCGTAAGTTATATCACGGAACGCCCCTACTTTCTACTACATCAGAAACTAACATTATTCTTCAAGTTGTACTACAGCGTGGACAGCTATCACCAGTTGATACTGAACGGGCCGAGCGAGGATGACAACCCAATGCATGCAGCCCATTGTTTTGAGTATCTCCGAAACAGCATTCTCTGCAACCTGGACATGACTCTAGAAGGATCTATGTCAACTCCAGATGATAAAGACAGAGGACAGCCTCATGTTTGCCGCAACCGAGAAGAAGCCATCTCTTGGATTGAAGCTCGAAGGATGGACGATGCACAAGACATCGTTGGCCCTTGAAAAAGAATTTTAAAGGCGAGCCTGATGTTATATATACTTCAGTCATGTAATTTTTAGCGAAGCTTGATTGAAACTACATAGAGCGTTAATTTAAAAATGATTTTGATCAGGTCATTTTGTCGATTGCATCTCTTCCCCAGTCCGAGGTAATCAGACAAAATCTTGGGCAATGACGAATAAAACTACTTTCGAAAACGGATTGGCTAGAATCTAGTAAGTAGAAGAAGCGATTTAAAAAAAAATGATTGCAGTCGAATAAGCTGCTATGAGATTGCTTGCCTCACATGGTTGATCGTCGTTTTGACTTTAGGCGGGGAAATTTATACCTGGGCAGGTAGATTGTTGTCTTCTAGTTGTAGTTATAGGCTCAATTTAAGCGTTAGCGGCCTCTGAAGAGTTGGGTCCCTTGAGAGCGTGTGGTGCGACCTATCCTGCTGCTATATCGCCCAGCCCGGTTCCCTGCCTGTAATAAGATAGTGATGGGTTTATTAGCATCTCTCGTTGATTACACAGTAGGTTGAAGCCTGTCGCGTATACAACTTTAATCTCATTCGCTCATGCGCAAGTGCTGGATAACACAACGCTATTTCTTCGATGAGTATATTTAGACGCTGCCCAGGACGTAGGCTTCTAATTCACGTTCATTTACTGTTGCGGCGTATGGGCCTTAAGCTCACACTTCAGCTTGAACAAGACTTTCTCTTTGTTAGTACGTCAGGCTTAATCCTCGATGAGAGTAGTATTTCCGATGCGCAGCGTGGTAAGCTAGTTGTATAATATTATGCTTATCTTCCCGATCATTGGAACATGCATGCCCGCATCGAGCACAGTTCTAGCATCATTAAATGTCACTATGGAAAAGACTGAGCCGTAGCAAAGAGTGGACGTATAATGTTGAGACCGTTGGGTTGTTGACTTCTCCCAGTCTAGCTTTACCAGCACATCAGCATTGATACCTGTCAAAAGCTTTTTCAACACCACGCCCAGGATCAAGACATTCTCCAACCTTTGATCTTTCATCGTCTCTTGCACGTACCCTGTAGCAATAGGTACTAGCCGCGAAGATCTGGTGCCGGTTTACCGTAGCCCGCGACCCCAGGAAATGTCAGCAGCAACAGATTCGGGCCGTTTTTATTACGCGAAAAGAAGCCGCTTTACATCAGACTTCCCGCTATTCTACTGCAGTAGGAGGGAATGCATGGCTCGGAATGGGTTTCCATCGCAGTGCGTGCGTGCTTGCTCTTCATTACTTTTATGTGCCCTATCTAGATGTAATCGTGTCGACTGTATGTTGGATTTGTGGCTCGCTTTCGCACCTCATTTTCCAACCCTTCCAGCTCAGGGTAACTCCCTGTACAGTCTTTGTAAGTCTCTGTGAGCTAAGAGAACGCTAGCCATTGCCTGGGACAGATTCGCGTTTGTCTTTTTTTGTCTTTCTGCCAGCGATTGCATGCGCCTCTCAGCACATGGAGCTGTTTCCAAAGAGCGTGTAGCAGAACTCGAAAGGAGGAGAGCTCTTTCTGGTTCCTGCAGAGAATGATCCGATGGCGAGACCTTGGCTTTTATACAAAACGCTACAAGCTGATAACGCCGCGAAGACGGGCCTTTTGTTTTAGTGTGATCATCTGCAATCCGCCTACAGTACATTCTTCATCGTACATGGAGGGCATGTGCAGGTGAAAAATCGAAAATAGGCTATAGACCGATAGCGCGTATTAGCGTAAGGCAGCGACCTAATCCAGTGCCGACTCCCCGTTGAAGCACGTAAACCAAGAGATTCACTGCCCGTATCTAGATCTAGCACCTCCACGTCTTAGCATTTTGGTGCTAGTAGAGCATCTACCCCGTATTCGATTGCCTTTTCCATCTTCATTGATTGGTTCCATGTCGGGTCTACCTCGGGGGTGCTTGTGAACTTAAATGACTATTATCTAACTGCTGAGAGGATCTTTTGTTGTTGGAGCATACCTTCTTTGCCTGTTTTTCTCCTATTGGCTACTAGTCGCCATTATTCATGTCACGGGATATGCTAGGAACGGCTTTTCGAAGGAATAGCCCGAATAATACGCCATAGATTTCTTTATTAGACTACCTATAAATAACTACCTATGTACTGAATAGCACATGAACTAGGTTATAAGACATATTTTACGAGAATCTGCAACTTAATGGAATAACAGTGCGATCAATCACTATTTGGAGCACCCGGGCCATATATCGGCCTTATCCACCGCTTACATTTCTCAGTTTACAGCAGAGCAAACCCTGTGATAAACAATCAAGAAAGCCGTCAAAAACCAACATTTTTTTCCCCCTTCAATCTATAATATGGGCAGTCCTAGCTGGGTAATACCGGTCGCTGCGCTCAGCACAATTTGCGGCGTTGGATTCATAGGCGTTTGGTTTTGGTATGTACTCGATTTTTCCATGTATAAGCGCGTTGTAATATTGATTTGATACCTACCTAGGTTTCCACGGTTGCTGAAGAAAGGTACACAGCAAGAGCTTCAAGTTTTAGCCACAGAGCGAGCCGAAAGAGATCGATATCTGCAACAACGAAGAGCAGAAGAGGGCAAAGTTGTTCAAGAAACGCAGGTTACGCCGGCGCCAAAAGACGAAACCCAGGCGGCATAACACGTCTTACAATCCCACTGGCAGCAACAATATGATCACACTATTGAGATGGAGTTAAATAATGCATTTCTGATGATATCACACATGAAATAATAGATAGCGGGTATGACTATTTACTAGAGTCAATTTAATACTACATTTAAGTTTGTCTAACTATCGAACAACATCTCATTATGGCACTCTTGTGCACTTGGCCATAAAAGCAGTTCAATGAGCCCATATACTAGCCCTTACCAACAGGTCCATTGCGGCATAAGTAGTAGGGCACCTGACCAACCTTGTGAGCCCAGTTAACTCGTGTCTCTTTCGTGCATTACATATATCTCTTTACTATATCGAAAAAATATATCTGCATGAAGTTGGGTTTTTTAATACTTACAATATTGGTGCGCGCATCCTTTGTCCCACCCAATGAAATGGGGTGTTGATATGGCGTTCAGCTGCTGCTGCCCATGCTATATAATAGTCAAGGACGTGCATTTTTAACATCAAATATATAAGAAATAGAGCGGGTTTTGTATAAACTACGTGGTGGAAATAAAAAAGATTGATATGAGACTTTGTTGGTAAACAAGTTGGTAGGCTATTTGCACTTTCAAGCTGTAATGCAAGTGACCTATTTAAAGTGCCGTATGTGGTACGCCAACTCTAGCGCTCCATACATGCGATAACTTCATGCTATCCTGATACTTTTACATCTTGATAAACATTGTCCAGTAAGGCCCGGTATGCCACTTCTACAGTTTGCCGCCGAATATTGCCTTTTGTGGCTGTCCGTGGGAGTGAGCTGGGCGGAACAGTAATGACAAGTCTCGTTGAGGTAATGCGCTCATGAATATATAGCCGGGAATGAAATGGCTGTATCCTATCCAAGATTGTCCGCTTCAATTGTTCATGGTCGATATTGGAAGCAGTTTCCACAAACAAGGCTGGGCTGGGCCGCCCTGTTCCGACTACAATGCAGCTATCCACCAAATCTCCACAGACTTGGAGCACATTTTCTTCAATCACTCTGTTTCATGTGAGTAAGATGTAGTAGTCATAGAATGAGCTTGATTACCTAGTATCGCAACGAAGACTGTTTTCGCTCTTAATCCAGTCATCATTACGCCCACAAAATTTGTAGCATCCTGGCTTAATTTCCATGAATAGATCTCCAGTGTGGAATTTGCCATCTTTCTGCCGAAAGGACTCCACAGGGCAGTCTGGAGACTCCGGTAAGATGATCAACTCTGTGAATTGACGGCCGTTGTCCTCCGCCACGGCCGGCTCGAACATATAGACCGTACCGGGCAAAGGGCGAAGCAAGGCAGCATCGGAACCTGCGCCATCGATAGACACCATCATGCCACCTACTTCAGTGCTTCCAAATATATTCTATGATTCATTAGTAGATGTATAGACGCCAACTGGAGATTGATCTCACTTACCGATAGCTTCAACCCGTGTTTATACGCCCAGTCTTCCTCCTCCTGAGGCATGGGCAATCCGCTGTACAGAATCGAATCCAGCATTTGTAGATCTACTAACAGCTTTGGGTTTTCTCTGGCTCTGCGAAAATGGGCTGAAATAAATGTACTAAACTGGTTGAGGCGGTTGAGTCCGCACCGATGGACCATGTTTTGCAGCTCATCTGCTGAGAAGGCGATTTGAGAAGGCTGGATTGTACAACTTCCATGCTTAAGAAATCCCATAATCATAAAGGATTGAGCAATATGACACAGGCTTCCCCTATCACTATATCAGTATACAAGACATATAGCAAATTCTAAGAGTGGCTGGATTGGGAGAGAGATTACATCCACACTGTCACATCTCGGCCAGACGCGGCTCGTGGTGTCGCAACAACAGTAGATTTCTTCACCATGAAGTCAATCCACTTTCCAGTGCACGGAACGAGCTTAGGAGTGCCAGATGTTGAGCCGCTGGTATGAAAAATGAATATCACGCTATTGGGGCCAGGAGATTGTAATGGAGGAAGAGTCCCAAGCTCCTTGCTGGAAAGCGAATGAGGCAAAGAGTTCAAAGAGAAGTGGGGTACTAAACAGTTTGAGATGTTCAAACCAAATGAACCGTGATAAATAAGAGCTGCAGCGTTTGTTTTGGAGATGAGCTCAAAGATTACGGCGGGATTAGGCAGTCGAATGCTAAAGAGCTGTGGGATGTACCCTGCCCTTGAGATACCGTAAATATGAAGAAGGTCCAAGTATGTGAAACCAGGAATCCTGTTAGAAATTAGTAAATTATTCGCAATCCGAGTGTATAAAGTTGTAGACATTCCATAACCCAACAATTGATCCAGCTGAAATCTCTCGGGAGAGGAGAACACGCCTCCAAAGCAAGGCATAACGCTCCACATCATTTAGGAACTGCTCATAGGTGACTGTATCCCAACTAAAATCTTGTTTTTGATCGCCATTACTTTCATGGGGAATCAAAAAGGCTGTCTCAGAAGCAAATTGAGAAGCACTCTCGTACAAGACGGAGAGGTGTGAAACAAGATTTTGCTGACCATTGGAAGTCATACTGATACACCGATTATCAGACCGGCGAGAGAATGCGAGACACTCCAAACGTGATAGGGAATAGTTTGGTCTCACAAAAGAAATAGCTCGCCTTGAAATACAAACCCTGGGATTATAAGCAATAGCGTTCATGACACGATCATTTATCATATTAGAGACATCCCTTGTCATGTCTCACTCCAATGCAGCTGAACAGTAAGACCTCACATGAACCCACCACAGACAGAAGCCCGCTAGACAATAGGCTCGACTGCTGGCGAATTAGAAGTCTCGGCAGCGGGCCTTGGTCAGATAGCACCAAGCGAGCCGACCCTCCCGTTTCGAATGAGGGTTAGTCGACTACGGGAAAAATTCCTATTGAAGTAATTCATCAATTTTTGCTAAATAAAGCAAATGAAATGCTGGAAAAAAAAAGTCGAGACAAATCCCTTTTCGAAATACGGGTGACTAGATAGGATGTAATAGGTTAGAACAGTTTAAAATACTTTACTCCCCATGTCATAAGATATCTAATACCACTTCAAGCCGCGGCTTATGTTCTGTATTCTCCGTATAGAACAGAGGGCGCAAATTCACGTCGCAGAAAACTCCATCTTACGTACCGAGCACATTCCCAAAGCAGACATATATCGCTGATATTTATGCTGCCAAAATTGGTTGACCAATGAGAGATTGTGGCGAGTGGCGGCACGACTTTAAACGATTGATAATCAACGCTCTTTTGGGTAGATGGCATCCAAATCCGAGAACCTAATTGATGAAACCTGGCAGGGAATCTAGCATGCAAAAACCGAAAGGCTATTAAACTCGCAGTAAGTGGGCTTCTAGGCATTTGTTACCTATCGGCTTCATCCGTATGTATCTCAGAGCTAAAGTATTCTGTGTCTGACTATCTGTGGGCTATGTTCAAGTTTCTTGCTGAACTATAAATGAGATTTTTTGAATGTCCCGAAAGGCTAGCTATTGCGAAGAACAAGGAGCGATTCCCAAAACCCCACCAATAGGCTAAACGGGCTGACCACCAATCTCAAGGCACGTGCTATGATATCTATAAAGTGCCTCGCATAGAGTAACATATGCATCTTAAAGGACTCTTCTACACAATGTAGCTCCTGGCAATGTTACTGCTGACTCTGCTGACTCTAGCTATTTGTAGTAGATTGTTCCGAAGGCGTCAGAGGCGATGGAACATTTAGCGTAAAACATTGTTATATTGGCCAAATTGAATGACTCTGTCGCTCATCTATAGCCCCGCTAGACTCAGAGTAGAGTGATTTTGCAAATGGGTATGTCTATGTAAGGTTCTAGACTCCGTAGCCTGTCAGTAACATCGAACGAGATATTGACCTTCGACTATGTCGCCTGTGAGCACGAGGATCAATTGCGGATATTTTCATGAGACATATTGCTCCGAATTGCCCGCTGGCAGTCACCATCCCCCTGTGTTTTCCGGAGAAGAATTTACAAATCCAAGTCAGTTTGTGTTACAAACAAAATTGTAAGCTAATCATGACGTAGTAGAGGGATAGAGTCGGTTCTTGGAATGCTGGCATTGTACCATGTGATATGCGCTTCGATATAAAGATGCAATACTATCTCTTGGTAGCAATTGGCTGCAAATCTTCAAGAGTCTTTGAAGCTGGCAGTTTTTATCAAGTTCTTCTTTTCAGCCCAAGCATTATAATCAATGTTCAAAAGATCAACATCTCATGACTTCACAAACCTAGTCATCCGCGAACATGTAGCGCTCAAAACCGCTCTTTCGTCGCATGGCAAAATACACATAGACGGAGAGTCATTAACAGTCGCTCAAGTGGTTGCTGTTGCGTTACATGGCAAACCGTCGTACATATCCGATGACGCTACCGTCCACAGCAAAGTTCAACAAAGCGTTGACTTCTTAGAGCAAGAGCTAGCTCAAGGACGAACTGTCTATGGTGTTACCACGGGCTTCGGAGGTAGTGCCGATACTCGCACAAAAAAGACTGAAGCCCTGCAAGATGGACTGATCAGATTTCTCAACGCCGGGATACTCTTACCGTCTGATATGGGCCATGTGGCTCATGATGATGTAATGAGTCAAGGCATATTGCGCAGTCACGCCTTGCCTCGAGCAATTGTAAGAGCAACTATGCTGATTCGGTCCAATTCCCTTCTACGCGGACATTCAGGAGTGCGAATGAACGTTATTGGCACAGTAATGTCTCTTCTCGAGAAAGACATTATTCCTGTTATACCGCTGCGTGGTAGTATTTCCGCATCTGGGGATCTCGGCCCGCTATCTTACATTGCTGGAGCTGTTCAAGGAAACGCTGATATATATATGCGCGTCGGAACTGCAGCTACCTATGGCAACCTTGCTGGAACTGTTGTCACGGCTAGAGAGGCGCTTCAAGTGTCGGGAGTGGAACCACAGCGTCTTCAGGCAAAGGAAGGCCTTGGCATTGTCAATGGCACATCGGCAAGTGCCGCAGCTGCAGCTTTGGTCATTCATCGAGCTAAACAGCTGGCGGTTTTGTCACAATTTCTGACAGCCATGGGAACAGAAGCACTTTCTGGGACAACACACAACTACGACTCATTTATTTCTGCTATCCGGCCCCATCGAGGGCAAGAAGAGGCAGCTGCCAATATCACCAGCTTTCTTCAGGGATCTCGGCTGGCATCCCAGAGCAATCCTCAAGGACGAGGACTAGCACAGGACCGGTATGCGTTACGCACTGCGCCGCAGTGGATCGGGCCACAGTTGGAGGATTTGCTTCTTGCTCAGCAACAAATTGAAGTTGAGCTCAATTCAACGACAGACAATCCATTGATCGACGTCCAAGGTGGGCGCATCCACCACGGAGGCAACTTCCAAGCCATGTCTGTTACATCAGCTATGGAGAAGACCATCTTGGCTATGCAAAACCTGGGCCGTTTGCTATTTGCCCAATGCACGGAACTCATTAGCAATAAATTTAATAATGGGCTGTCTCCAAATTTGTGTGTGGATGAGCCTAGCTTGTCCTATACGTTCAAGGGAATCGATATCACTATGGCTGCATACATGTCTGAGCTGGCGTCTCTCGCCCATCCCATCAGCCCACATGTTGTGAACGCAGAGATGGGAAACCAGTCTCTCAATTCCCTTGCCCTCATTGCATCCCGCCGGGCGATGGAATGTGTTGAGATCCTATCTCTCATGTCTGCAGCTTATATATATGCACTTTGTCAAGCCGTTGACCTGCGATGTCTACACTTGGAATTTATTGAGATGGCGGAGCCAGCAACAAAGGATATGGTTAGAAGTACTTTTGGCTCAATTATTGAGACTTCAGACACTCTTTCGGCTTTAGAGAGATATGCCTGGGACTCTATACTTGAAGTGTGGAGCAAGCTATCTCATCTCGATCTTGATCAAAGGTGCCTTGAAACATCCCGTACGACAGTTGGTGATATTGTAGAGTTTCTGAGCTCTATGAAGCTTTTGGCGACAATGAAGCATTTAGAAGACTACCAAATACGAGTTGCAACCATTCTTAGTCACCTATATTGCCAATGTCGAGAGCGCTTTTTCCTAGTCCAGGAAACACCAAATTATCTGGGATCCGGTTCAAGGTGCATCTATACATACGTTAGAAATCGCATTGGAATTACATTACATCGTGGATTCTCCGAGCCAAATCAACTCCAATCAAGACTGTCTAGTTTGAAATCGGACAAAGCTCACAAGTCCAAGTCTTACAAGCCTACCAATGGCCAGGTGGATGTATCTAATGGCATCGCCAATGGCGCTGCAATTCGACATATCAGCGAACTTAGCCAGGAACCTACTGAAAACTTCCAAAAAGACTCAGATAGCATCGGATCTATAGTAGGGAGAATATACTTGTCAATTTGCAATGGTCAATTACCAACGCACATGTTGGAGTTTTATGAGCCATGATGCATGTTGGATGAGATGTATGTATAACATTCTTAATATATTTATAAAGCTTGTAAACAGAATATCCATCTCCCAGTAAGTGAAGAGACCGCTATTGTTTATCACAATTTCAGCAAAAGGTCCATCAGCGCAGGGAAATTTGGCGACCTAGCGTTAAAATGTTAGTTCGGAAAACAGAGAGTCTGTTACCAGCCGACAGTTGTAACTTACCCTAGGCCAGAGACTGGATCCCATCCTGTAGCTGCTGGGAATCCTGGGGAACTGTTGCATCCTGGATTGTGACCAACTGTGACATCGTGAAAGACTTGTGGGTTTGAATACTATGGGGAATATTGTAAACAATCATTCGACCAAGATACCGAGTGCGAATAGTATTAACTTACCAAAACCGGATGCAAATAGCCTAATGTGCTTTTTCCTGCTTCAAGTCGGGCTTCATTAATCAGTGTTATCACTGACGCAAAAACAGGCGATGAGAGAGAAGTCCCTCCTATTAGCTGCCATTTGCCTCCGGTGAAGACCACTTGTCGGTCTCCAACAGCAGCAACGTCTGGGTATCCGCGACCTCCGCGGTGATAAACACCACTACTGACGGATGAATAGTTTCCATCGATGACGAAATTATCATAGCCATCAAAAGGAAGAGAAGACTCGACTTGGGCGAAGTAGGCTGCCACGGCTTCTTGCTGGTAGCTGGGAGTTCCAAAGATTTGACTGAAACCTCCACCGCTCGCAAATCTGGTTGTCGCAACTTCATTAAGTTTCTCATAAGGTAACTCAGGTCCTGTTGCATTGGCGAAGCGATCCCATTGCGTGCTCCCGACAGATAAAACGTACGGGCAAGAAGCTGCTGAGTGCGGAGAGAAGATTTGCTTCTCGTTACCGCCACACTGGCTTTTTTGACCTACACCGACATCTCCAGAGGAAGTAATGATGGTTGTTCCCTGTAGTGCCAGTTTCATCCATTCGTTGCATTGCCGTTTAAAGTACGAGTCGGGAAGTTCTCCTTCTACCTGATGATATGATATGGAGATAACGTTGGTTGGCTTGTAAACACCGCACTGTAACTGACCCTTGTATCCACCGGGGTTGGGATCAGGGTACACCGGATCCGAACAGTCCGGGTCAGTGCAGTCTCCTGTTTCTCCAAATGCGCTGTATGTACAATAACTACCATCGATGGCATCAAGGAACGCTGTGAAATACCGTCGTTAGAGAAATGACACAGTGTGGAAGAAGTAAGTAGGCGTTGTTTGTGCCAATTGTAGACGTACTGTTCCAAAATCCATTGTATCCACCATGAGATTCATACCACTGGTCATCTTCTTGGAAAAGAACTGTCCCTTGGGGATAAATCAGTGGGATGGCCGAATTAAAATCCAGCGCTGATTCAGCTCCATCCTCCACATTCGTGAAGTTAGATGGATCTTCAATTGCTCCAACTGCGCCATCGATGAGTCTTTCTTCTGGCCATGTGCCATTGGGTATATAGCTAGAGCGATTAAAGGCGTCAATGGTGCATCACAGTAGGAATGATTTCCCAACTTACGGATAAAGCGTTGAAAAATACACATCCAATTCCTGACGGCTGTAATGATCATTCGAGGATTCAAAAATTCCAAGCTGGTTACCTGGAAATGCCGTTGTACCATTCGGTATTGAGTATTGGGCTAGAAACAATTAGTCGCTTCTCGCCATGCGCATAACAAAACAATCACGGTGGCGGGATGTGTCGCTGCACGGAGAACATGAAGCTTACCTCTTGTGCAATCCGCGGTAACATAAATACTGCATGTAGTACTATTGGGATTAGGAAAGCCAGACAACAAGGATACATCGGGTCGCCCTGAGAGACTAGCAGCTCGCTTCTCGCTAGGAATGCTCAAATGGGTCTTGGCGCTGCCTGTTCGAAGCCTAGTGCCAGGAGTTACATAGTCAATGTGCTCTTGAATATTACTAGGAACGTGATATTTCTCCGCAGCTATATCCTCGCTACCGGAATTGTGTTCCCATAGGAAAAAGTCAGCGTAGAGGAGAGATTCCACTTCTTCAACAGAGGCGTCAAATTGTAGCCACTATATAGGGGTTAGTTGGTTAACACAACGTTCAATGTCATTTAAATGAGATGAGAAAGCACCTGTTTGTTTACTGATTGACCAATGCGATCTGCAGAGATCCCAGACTCGGTGAGCCATGCTATGACTGCGTCAACACTAGACCGAGGTGGTGCAAAGAAGTCGATAACCTCCTCTGGAGTCATATGGTTCCCATAGTGGAAAGACGTAGGATTGGAACTGCACAACGGAATGAGTATTTGTATAAAGGCAATCAGATATCTATATGTCATGGAAACGCAAGACTTCGTATTGATTGCCCAATGGATCCAGCCGCCATATCTTACATTTCCAATAGCCGCTTTTCTCCGGCAGTTAAATTGACTTGCTTAAGGCCAATTCTCATAGGCAGCTTCACTGCACGCGGAACTTTCTCCTTCTTAGTCCATTTGTGGACTACAGGAGAAGAATGCCGTTCGTGGAGCCTATGAGTATTCGGAAGTTCTCTCGCATCAATGCCAAGGGCAGTATCTCGAGTAATAGGACCGGCAATGGCATCAACAATAAATATCGCTGCAGCAGCAAAAGAAGAAACTTTAAGTAGCATATTGAAAATCACCTTTAGATTAAAGGCTGATCAATCCTCGCAAAAGAACGAAACACCCAATAATTTAACAGTAGTACATCCTCCTATAATATCTATAAGACTTTGTCTAACGCATTATTACCATCCATACGATATATGGCGTGCTGATCATAAACCCCGCGTCCAAGACTGAAAGGGCAGGTACTTATAGAGACAATTAGGCTAGAAAATGGGAAATAACGCAATATGACCGAATCTTGGACATGAGATAGATCGAATTGGCAGAATAATTAAATGCCAAGAGATTCTCGGCACGTAAAAGCGTCTCTTCATTTTCCTCTTTATTGTTATTGGTCTATTTGCGTCGCGGAAATTGTAGATAACAAATACAGATACATAATATCCACATGATCTTGAGGCATATATGGATTCGTCATATACTGCTGCAGATAATATCGAATAGATCTGCATCACAACAGCTGTGGTTCGAAAGTTTTGAAAGACAAAGTGTTTTCGCTCTGTGACAATAAAGCCACTATACCACGTGTTTATAACGTAAGAGTAAAACAACAATCCAGCCATAAATCGTAATAAGTCTAATTAATTAGAGTAAAGACACTCCTGCTTTCCATTAATAGCTAAACGGTTAAAAAAAGAAAGGTACATCGCAGCAAGGACTCGGGAAAGGGAATCTATGATAACTACTTAGTTGTAGTGTATCAACGGACTGTTATATAATCTAAACCATAATGGAGAGCCAGCCATAGCAGTATGGCCACGGTATTGTTCAAAATGTGATGTTTGTCCTTTAGTTCAACTATTCACATAAGTCAAATATGCTATAGGCCTAGGCTAGCGAAAAATTTGCAAAAGACTAGACCTAATATTAGGGAAAATAGCTTTATACATATCCACTCACCGATCTCACTGTTTCTTCAAAGCTATTTGGTGTAGCACTGGTTGCATCAGACTACATACAGATGCATTGAAACTATATCATCATACCATCTTGGTTACTAGCCTTACGTGATGGTTTTAATCGGCTTGTTCATTGGCATCGCGGTTAAGATATAAGCGATGTGCAGTTTTGTTCTTTTTTTCTGAGGTAGCGCTTTGAACAGTAGGGTAAAACACCACACGACTCGCTGTAAAAAGTATTTAGGCATTTTCCATCGTGATAGCAGTACCTTAGTATTCCATCTCCTAGTTAAAATTGTACAGCCCGCTCAGGGCGTTCGTAGTTGTGAGCAAAGCCACTGCGCCGATTAAGGCAGCCCAGTTCAATTGAAGCCATCAGGTTTGATCACCGTTAGCCAGCTTGATGAGGGCAACAGAATCGTTCGAAGCCATCAGGCTTGATTGAGGCCCCCTTTGAAAGTCTTAACTGCGCCTAGCCGCTAAGGATCACCGTCAAAATATGACACGATCATATATGCCTGTCAGAATTAGAAACTATCAGTCATCATCATGTACGAGATTATATGCATTATTATAGACTATTGGTTGTGCGTTGTATGCGCGTAACGCGTTAAAGAGAATCCTTGAGGCCGTATGGTGAAGTATCTCATATATCGAGCTTACGCAATGACTTACCAGCCGAATATTCGTAAAGGAAGTAGCTCGGATCTTACGCTGACGATAGCTCGTTGTACAACCGCTCTTTAGGGCAGGATAGCGAGCTACTAGGCGTGGGGGCTATACTACCGTATACCTAACTACCGACCGATATAGCGACACTAGCTCTACAAGTGGCTTTTGTGTATGCTCAAGACACTAGATCTTCTTTACATTTGTTTTGCTACAAATTGCCATAACTGCTGACAGCGAATGTACGTGAAGTATACACCAGGCTCTTACTTTCAACTGCGTTGGCTATTCTTATACTAAACCTGTAGTAAATATGTGAATTTATAGTATAAGACCTATCTATTTATAACAAAGACTTTAATTGCTCTGATACGCCCGTTACATCTTCATAGGTATGCCAATGCCCGACATTCGGCAACACTATAGCTTTTGCGCCTTTGATACGCCGGGAGTACTGCTCTATGACTGCCGGTGGCGACACCTTGTCCTCTGTTCCTGTTACAATCAACGTCTGTGCTGTTATAGCCTCCACCGCCAATGTAGTTGTAGCCATTGCTAGCGCCCTACACGCTTTAGCGTAAGACTTTGGGTCCTGTCCGAGTAAGCTCAGCCGAGCGGCCGTCATTGCTATGGGGTTTGCTCTTTTTGTATTCTCCGAAGTGCCATTTAACACGACGGCGTCTACAACGGCTTTCATGCCCTGTGTTTGAGCAAGATAGCCACGCGCATCGGTACTCATCCTTAGTGGCTCTGGGAGAGGTGAGGGCGGCGGACCGAGGAGCAAGAGCTTGCTTACCAAACCGGGATTTGCAAGTGCAAAATTCAATGCAATTATGCAACCCATGGAATGCGCAACCAAAGTAGCGGGATTCGAGGCACTAATCCCGGCAACCTTGAAGATGTCTGCAAGATCGGCTGCCAGAGACTCCATAGTTAACACACTTAGCGGATGTGTTGGGCTGAGGCCGTGGCCTTCAAAGTCAAAGAGATGTAGAGTGGCTACCTGCTGCAGCTGTAGATGAGAGATAATCGGCGAGTAGAACTCAGTAGTGGCGCCAAGACCGTGGACGAAAACAATATTCGCCTGGCCGGAACCGAGACGTCGGTAATTCAGGGGTTTGCCATTGATGCTGGTTAACCCTACGCTGGCACCAAGGGAGCGGCAAGCATTGCTAACTCTAAAGGCTGACTGGGAGGCCACCTGTTTGGCTGCTGCATTGTCACTTGTAACCCTATTGCGAAGAGTTCCGATTCCAGAGACAGAGACAGCAATCTCATCGCCGTGCTTTAAGTACAATGGCGGAGTACGTCCGAGGCCGACTCCAGCAGGCTTTAACAGTTATTAGCCAAGTAACATAAAGGTTTATAAAAATTCATACCGTGCCGGAAGCAATAACATCGCCAGGCTGCAAAGTCTGTCCTTCAGATATTGTGCTAACAAGGGTTGAAATATCGAAGATTAATTCATCGGTTGTAGCGTTTTGCCTCAACTCGCCGTTCACATACGTCTGAACCCGCAAGGTCAAAGGTAGATCTTCTTTGGGAACAGCAGCAGGACCCTAAATACAAGTTAGTAAATAAGCTATTGACTGGATTATGTATATATAGTTCCTTACCATAGGACAGAATGTATTAGCTGACTTGCCAATGAAAAACTGTTTATGATCTCTTTGTTTTTCCCGCGCTGTAAGATCGTTAATGATTGTATATCCCCATACATAGTCCATAGCGTCCTCTTTAGGAATCTGAAACCCTGCTTTGCTGATAATTATACCAATCTCTCCTTCATAATCCAAGCTGCGTGTAAATGCCGGATGCAAGAATATATTATCGCCATCTCCAGTAATAGAGGTCGCGCGTTTTGTAAAGATAACGGGGTGACTCGGTCGGTCAACTGTATCTGAGCTGTCGTATCCCGAAGAATTGAACTCTCGTGCATGGTCCATGTAATTCTTGCCTATAGCAAGTACGTCACGGCATGAGAATGGAGCCAGAAGCTTGACAGAAGTCAATGGGACTGCAGAACCAGATGCAACTATCTGCAGGGGCCCAGCTTCAATAACCTGATAAAGATTCTCCACAGGATGACCGGAGAGGAACCTCAGAGGTTGCACTGTGCCAGCTTGCGAATCTAGGTGGCCAATTTGGCTAACACCTGTCTCCAAGTTGGCAAAAGCAGCATATTGAGTTAACCGTGGTGTATCAGAGCCCATTGTCACTGTCTGTTATTGCCAGTTTTCTTTCTTCGTTGTCCTTTCTTCTTTTTTTCCCACTCCGATTTGATGTTAAGAAGTTAGTAGCGATGTTATAAGGGCATATAGATATATAGTCCACAGGTAGCGAGATGTAAGCCGTGAAAAACAAATCATCAGCAGGCTACCTATCTTTGGCGGAATTGAGCCGCAGCCGACCTACGTTTTGAGGCTCCCCAATTTCGCGCCACAGCGATAATATCCGGACCTTCCGGCATCGCGGATAGATACCGCCGAATTCAGTGTCCCAACTTGTGGCCATATGCGATGGTACGCAAAGAAAAGCGGCATACACATATGCGGGGATGTGTGCGGATAGGCAGGATACCGGAAAGTCTCCGGTTCCCATGATGGAGGCTACGCGGCTTATTGACCGGGTAAGCTTTACATACAGATACTAGCATAAGTCCAGTCAATGCCAAAACCGCCGGTACCGCTGCTCAAACTTGGCTAAACACTACATGACACGCATGAATGATTAGCATGACAGAACTTGCAGTCGCGAAATACATTAGCATAAGGTAGCCAAGACAGAAATGGAACGTTTGGAGCCTTATGTAAAAGGAACAAGGAGATCAATGTCAAAGAACAGGTTTGCCTAGTAGAACTACGACTGCGACGCTTTAAAGTTGAATAATAGACTTATTCAGCAATAAATTAACCCCAGTGGTTTCAACTTAGTTACGGATGGGTACAGCTGTAGCTGCGGTCGTATATCCTGTAAGAAGACATCCAAATTAACTCGAATCACGTTTGCCTGTAGCAGAGGGAAACAATCCTGGGCTTTGATTGACGGAGCATAGGCCGGACTTGTCTCGAGGACAGTTGTTGCTTGCTTTGAGCGCTGGTAAAGGGCTAACATATGCACGATATTATGATGGTTGGATGAGGACTCTGGTCGCAAACGCTGACGGATGGGAGCTACTTTGTGGAAACAAAGGCTACTGCCACTGGCTATCACGTCATGGAATATATCAAGAGGACCTCAAGCTCTCTCCCTAGTTACTCTACGTCCACCGTGTCTAAGTCCAGAATAGTCACCAGCATGCAAGCAGTAATGACAGCGATATGGAACGCGTGGAAGCCCCTAGCCCACAATTATACCCTTGGACAAGCAACCCTCAACTCACTACAAGTTGATTACTAGCCACAATATAGATATCTGCTCCATAGGCATATCTAACCACAGTTCTAGCTTTCTTTCCTTTACACTTTTATATATCAATCCATTATTTGTAGGCTGTCTTTTTCCATAAGTCGAAGCGAAATGTCCCGAGCGAAATGTCCCGACTTGCTGCTTCTTCCCTACTGATCGATAGGAAGGGATCAAAGGCAGGCCAAATCGGCGACTTTTACAATCGGCTTCACAAGCCTAGACTTCTGGATAACAAGCACAGCAGTTCTACGCCCTGACCATTTTTCCTACAAATAGTTTTCACTTAGAATATTGGCCCAGCCGCAGTTTGGAGTGAACAGTTAAAATAAATAAAGTTAGAACTACACACATAAATTTTCATGCTCAATTTAAACCTGCGGATATTTGCGCTGTAGAAGGAATTGGTTTAAATAACAGGAGAAAAGTCTATAGAAAACAAGCTCAATTAGATTCTTTTTGCGTATAAACAAAAACTCCTGATTTCTTGTCATTACTTTTGCCCTTTGGGAGTAGTTGCTCTAACCTCCCCCCCTCCCCCCCCCCCCTCCAAAAAAAATAAAAATGATCCAATCGAAGAGTACCCCCACATATATCTATTCTCCAGAATATAACTGTACAGGGTTTCTACTCTCATGGTTCAGTTTTGCTTCATTAACGTAACGAAGTTAGGATTGGCTGTACTATTCCCTGTTTAATCTTCCAGTCAAATGATCCATCGGAATTCATAACTGGCAATGTGGTCGGTTTCGGAATCCTTCTTGGCTGCTCATCGCCAGTGATATTCTTGTACACATGCCCATTTAGGACAATAGTGTGAGACAGAGGCGAATCTTTGCAATCAATTAAATTTATACATAATTCTTTTTAACTGGAAGAAGGCTAGAAAAGAGATCTGGTCTAGAGCTTCATTTGATCTTGTATATAAACTTATAACGAATGTATAAATCACAGCCACGTACCGCTCTCGACTGCCTAGAATCAACAGATTCGAAGACAAGAAGACGGAAGGACGTTAGCTCGCTATCCCACAGCTCAGCGGTGGCAGCCCAGGCTAGGCCCTTGTGATCAGCACGCTGACAGAGCCACGGGAATTGTTGACTTACTCGAAAGAAAGGCGACAATAAAGCCCAGCAATTCCCTCCAATAAGTATGCTCGAGTTATTTACCATATTAACGCAAGCCAGGAGGAGAAATTCGATATCTAGAACGACAAGATTTATCACACGGACCCAGATCGAACTGACTGCGGCGACAGTATAAATGAACGTGAGGATCATCCATGCGAAGAGATACATAGCCAAAACTTGGTTGAACTTGTCCGTCAGCTCGTTCGTGGATGGGTCGGTATATGCCCGCAAAATGCCAGACCAAGCAACCATACCATAGCAAATGATAAATCGAAAGCCGCGTAGGACGGAAAGACCGTAGCCCCGAACTGGGCAAGATCAGTTTCCACGTCAAGAAGTGCAATAACTGGACCCAACCATGTTTCCCGCAACGAACTCCATGATGCCTGCCAGAGACTGACAGATGCCGCCATCAAGACCAGATTTCCAACCACGAGGTTGGGTCTGCCAATTCCTCGGGCACGGACTCCATATAGCGAAAAGATGGAGATACCTGCGTTCCTAGGCTTAGGTATGATTGGGCTCAAGGGCAGTTAATACACACAAGCGGCAAAGAGAGCAACCCCAAGGGAGTTGGGATCGAACAGTGACGCGATCAATAATGTCCGATGATATGGAAGAGTAAAGTATATTACTGCTTTAAGGTCAGACGAGGAGATAGTATGGGCCGATGCTTGTCACATACGACCAACAACTCAAATGCAAATATTGGAAGCGGTGTTGAAAAGTGCACTGAGAGAAGCTTGAGCACAAAATAAATTGTCCAATTCTAGAATGGTCCAACTAAAATACAAATACGGGCAGGAAGCGGCCCATTTAAGCGCCTGGGTTATTGCTTTGCGCATCTGAATGATCGCCAGCCAATTGCGTTAAGGGAGCTGTTGATACAGAACTACTAGGGCCTTTAGTAAAGCGGTTGTATTTAGCGACTGTAACGTGATGTTGGTAAGACTACCAATTCTATATTTAGTTATTACGTTGCAAATTGAAAACATTTGCGTACGTATTGGTCAAATTAGAAGGAGTAGTGCCGACTACCGCTACGCAATGCTGGAGATAGTAAAGATGCTATGCTTAGGTCTTGTAATTATTAACCGAGTCCATTTTTAGCAACATCAATTGTGAAGGATTTTACGCCTGTTATCAAATGATGACCTATTTAAATCACTAGCTCTCCCGCCATAATGCGTCCCTTATTGTCACTACGGTTCTCGGTCGACTAAGATCAGCTACGTTGATATCTCTATTTTTTGGTTCCGAAAATGTCGGGTACTCTATGGTATCCTGTTTATAAGCTGAAACTCACGCTTACCATTCAAGATCCTGACATGCCAAGCCCTCGATACCATACAGTTGTATTTGTCCAGACAAATGAAGATGGCAAAGGTGGTGGCGTCAAGTTTCATGTAACTGGCGATATTGTCACAGGCATGCACTATGAGTCGACGCCATACGATAATCCCGATATGGAACCAACTTTGTTCTCAAAAGAACTCATCGGATCCACCAAAGCTGCAGATTTCCTACCACAATGGGACGCTGTTCTCGAAACCCTTCAACCACCTCCGAAGCAGAAGGCTTTTAACACTAAGACCATGAGAACTGAGCCGGTAAAAAGCTGGGATCCTCTTACTTTCTACCTACCAGGAGACAAACGGCAACCTTTGATTAAGTGTACTGAATGGATAGAAGAGCAAGCCATCCCGATACTTATGAAGAATGGCCTTATTGCCACCGAGGCCAAATGATTACGCCTTGGCTTTATAAGCTGGTGTTCTGCGTTTATCTAAGCAGATAATCAAGGTGCCTGCTTCTTACAGAGTTTCATCGGCTAGCACAGCATGATTTCCCATGAATCATGAGCATTAAGTCAAGTTAGGATGCATGCTAGCTGAAAGAGAGATTGAAGCAAGATTTGCCAACTTACAGACGCTTATTTTATAAGCCTTCCATATACCAGACTTTGTGGAGAATAGAAGAGCTTAGTTACAAGTGGTAAATTAAAAAACTTTTTCACGTTGGTCAATAGTTGGCGACTTCTCATTTTCAAGGAGAGATTGCCACAGTTGACTGATCTACGAACAGGTAAAAACTCCATGATAATGTAGAGTCTCTCTCTTTTGAGCACCTGGCCAACCGAGATCACGTGCGTGATTTACCATACACGTGCCTATTAGGCAAATAATCTGAACTTGCCTTTCCTTTGCATATCAGCACCGCCGATCGATTCAGCAGCTACCTGCTTAGGTGTCAACAAGCACTACTTACAATTCGTTCTTCTACGGCCGCAGACTCATCCATAATCAGTCTTCTACCATGGAAAAGCCCACGGAGTCATCAGACATGATAAAGGATATAAAAGGAAAGGAAAAAATAGAAATTAACGACATACTCCCAAAGTTCCCAAAACTCTCATACCTGGATGCGGTTTTCGGAAAAGAGATTCACAATTATTGGGGAAACCGCGTTCTCGAACACACCAATTCTAAAGGCGAGCTGCTAGCCTTGAAGGTCAGCGACCCAGATGGCTTAGATCGCTCCCAGGGCGAAATGATGAGTTACGCGGCAGAGCACGGTGTATTGGCTCCCCGAGTATTTGGAACCTACGACATTGTTACCAAAAAGCCTATCGCGCGTGTTATGGTCAGCGAGCGAGTTCCTGGTATACCCCTAGTAGATGTCTGGAGGGATATGTCCCAGGATGATCAGACTTCCATCAAAGAGCAGCTTCGCGCTCAAATACGACATATGCGCACTCTAACACAGCCATTTATCGGCCGCATTAACAAACAACCTACTCGTAACTTGTACGACACCACTTTTACTAGATACTGTGGCCCCTTTGAAGATGAAAAGTCATTTGATGAATGGTGTGTCAATCGACTCTACGGAAGAGTGTTTCAGCATAAGAAATGGGAGAAGATACTAGAGAAACAGCGACGCACCTCGTCTGGGAGATTTGTCCTGACCCACGGTGATCTTTCACCACGCAATATTCTTGTGCAGGGCAGTACCATTACAGGAATAATTGACTGGGGACTAAGCGGTTTCTTTCCTGAACATGTTGAGTATGCCACAGCCGTGGGGCTTAATTCTGGGATGGAAAAATGGTGGATTCCTGTATTAAAAGAGGTGTTGGAGCCATGTTCAAAAGATATGATCAAATTTACTGGTCTAATCGAGGAGAGGGTTGGCTCATATTGAGCTTCAGGTGCAAGACAACGCTTCAATAGAATAAATATCTTATTCGCTAGCTGCTGGACGTTAAGTCAGCAAGTAGTCCTGTTCTAATAGATCCGCATATACGTTTAGCGAGGCGCCAATCAGAGTAACTACCTCCCACACGCTCTTCGATTGGTACAATCGTGCCCATAGACGCACTGTCTGCACACTGAGGAAGACACTTCTCTCGTTTGTTTTCCCAGAGACAACCCTATATTCTGTTTCCGCAACTAGCTGAGCCACAAACTCCAGGAGCCGTGTCTCTGCTTGTGTCAAAGGTGGGCTGGGGCCTTTCACTGTGACGCAATCTAACCACTTTGAGAGCAATAAAGCACACTCCAGGGAGCATAAAGCATGCTGGTTTGACCAAAACCTGACTTGGGTTTCGGCGATATAGCTAAGGCCTAACTTAACTGGAATGCTAAGGGCGTGCGCACAATGAAGGGCCGCCTGAGTCATTCTCTCGCTTCGCTGAATTGAGGGACTAGCATGAAGCGACTCTGCGATCAATCGGGGATTCCAGCTACTTAGATAGCGTATGGGGCCCAAATTCATATTAAGTCGAATGTAGGCCAGCCTCATAAGAGCTGTAGAGGTGAAGGCAATTGGGCCATGGGGGCTCAAGGGATCCATTGAAGACTCTTGATTCTGTTCCCAATGTATAGCCCAAGTTCGAAGGGCGTTCTCAAAAGCGCTCATCTGGTCTGCTGAGAGGCGGTCTTCAGGCCGTTGAAGAGGAAGTCGGACATTTCGCACGAGCCAAATTTGTTGAATCAAAGCATGTATTAGCGCACATCCTCCCAATGAAGAGAAACTCGGTTGATTCATCTTTAGCCTCTCGTGCGTCTCCGTGATGCCACAAAACAGCCCTCTGAAAGCATCTCGAAAACTTGGGCCCGTTTGAGCCACAGACTTGCGTATAAATTCCCACTCCTCTTCGCTCTGGGCCTTCCACTCTTTTTCACAGCTCGGGAGGTCGGCATTTAACTCGTTTGCCCACATAAGAGGTGGGAGATCGAATACGATGGTATGCATATTCAGGAAGCAGAATGCAACAAAGAGGATTCGCTTAATATTCTCATGACGGATCCAGCTTTCCCAATCATCGTATAGTTCTTGGTGCATACGAAGTTCCTCTTCTTCCCTGATGAGGCAATCCAACATGCTGCGCATCGACAGAGCATCTAACGCGGATCCTGGTTCAGACCAAGTTGTGATCGCAACCAAAAGAAGCACTGTTTCTAATGTTTGAATAGCATTTTGTTGCCTGTCTCTGAGGAGGCTAGGATCTCGTCGACGGCTACTTTCTTCTAACTGCATGCTTGATGCAGGTGGTGGTTGAAATCTCTTTCCATCGGCAGCGATACGGCGTGTGGCTTTACGCCTGCGAATACGTTCCAGCACCAAGGCCTTTGCCACATGAAATAGATCAATGCTTATGCTCAACTCATGAGTATATCGAGCTCCAACTGCTGCGATGGCGATGAATAACTCTGCCGTGATATTCTCGGGTCTAAGAGACGGAACGTGGAGAAAGGGAAAGTGATCATGGAAAGAGCTAAAATATCCCCCAAAAAACCTAGCCAGTACGTGTCTTGATGGTAGAGTAAATTTTCCATCAATACAATTGGAAAAATCTTCCAGCTCGTTAATTATCCGTTGCCGACAGTCTGCAGATATGTGCAAATGGAGACCTTTCAGATGTGAAGTTGAGTCTGCTGGCTTATAGCCCTCTGGGTGGAGTAAAGGGAGCTGAGATACGGCTTGGGAAAAAGAATAATTGGCATCCTCTGTAGTTGGCATGGCAGTGGCGGAATTCTTAGGCACTGGTTCGCCCGGTGCCTCATTGCCCGGCAAAGAACTAGGCGGCAAATTTCCTTCGGAGCAGGGTACGAAGAGCCCAGGCACTTGGAGAAGTAAAGGGACTGGTTGGTAAGTCGGAGAAAATGGATGGGTAGGAACGGAGACGCTGTCCATAAAAGATGTAAAATCGTCTATAGGTCCGAGCGGAAAGTATTCGCCATCATTATTTTCGAGAGAAAAGCTGAGCTGTTGATGTTCATAGTTGTCTTGGGCAGAAATGTTGTCATCGTATGACTTTGACACGCCCGTTGCTATAGGAAAATCATCGGTTGTACCCAACGGAGTGTTTAGGCTTCCAGTAGTATCTTGGACTGTTGAAGTTTGATTCAAGTCTGGCGGTGTGCTGGAATGGTCTGTTGGGGGGTTCAACAGTCCATTAATTGATGTCAAAGGGTGCCGAGAAGAGTACGGTATTGGAAGAGCATCCGCAGACAACGAGTCTGATACTGTCTTCGAGCGGTGGGAAAGGCGGTCATGCCGAGAGAGCAAATCTCTTTTGATTCCATATTAGCACCGTCTTGTTCAATTTCAATGACCGAAGTCTCACTTTCGAGTGAATGATTTTGGGCATTGTGCGCATCGAAATGGCTTCTCTTTGGTGTCTGCAGACTTTTATCAATACGAGTTTGTGTGCTGGAGGGGTTACATTGGCACCCACGCGATCTTTCATGCCTCTGGAGGTGTTCGGACCTTGAAAACAATCGACTGCACCGGTGGCATTGGTATGACTTTGGGGGTGCTTGCCGGCTCTTTGGCATAGTGCTGCAAGCAACCTAAGAAAAAAGATGTAGGATGTGGGGGAAACTTGGGGAAATTTGGGGCAATGCAGAGATTTAAAAGACGTGGATAGAACCAGTGCGTGTATGCGTACGGCTTAAAGTGCATGTAGCTCCTAGATTTCCTTTGCAAAGCGTGCCAATCAAGGCCTAAGACTCACTAAACTTGTTAAAGATGCTAGTTAAGGCTCACTACTCCAATTTGGAGGTTATCCATGGCATCTGCCATGCCCACTTGGTACCACAACGGCGTCTTACTCATAAAACTCCGCAAAGTTGCTTCGGAGTTTAGCTACGCGCGATCCAGCTCAGTTGCATACCACTAACACTACTTACTGTCGAGAGGCATCATAACGTCAAACAAACGCGCTCTTTCAGACATTCCTAGAGTTATAACTATGAATTAAATCTCACAAATATACACATGAGAGTCATCATAACGAAGCATGATTATTCGCATTCCTGGAGTTATAGCTTCGTGGCCGATTTAGTACGGGGATGCATACCTACGTTTAGAGTCAAGTGATGCCATATGTCATTTTCTTGATAAATGGGCACATAATTTACACGCTATAGCATACATGCTCCTATCGGATCCTCAATGCTTGATTGACTTGAGCGTTTCGCGGGCAGAGAATAGCGTAGGGTATGTGGAGCGCACTCCAATAAGATCTCCAATTTGGGGTTCGGAAGGCTTACTTTAAGTCGCTAGCCTGTCGCCGGTACCGCCTTGATGGTCGACACCGGGCAAGCTGTGACCGACGTTATCCGTCTGTATGACTCAACGAAGTTGTTAAATACATCAATGCCAGTCCAAAAAATGAAACGGCTCAAAGAAATATCGCAAAGAGGAAGATTGCCTAGGTAAATTAGTGCCAGCGCTATCCAATTACACGCATCTACCTTGGCGGCACGCAACCATGTCGGAGCGCAGTTTCACCGAACTGGCACAAAAAGTGCTGGACCACTGTGTGCTGGAAAGACAAAACATACCGTCGCAGCCGATTGTTAAAGTAATCCCTTGGGATAAAGAGAGAGATATAGGGAATATCGCAAGACCGCCTCAGTTTCCAGCCTCAATTGACACCACTCTTTCGAATGCAGAGACAATCTTTGGTTATCGGGTCCGCATGGACCATCCAAAATTCTTTGGCTTCATCCCATCGCCAGCATCTGATCTGTCCTGGTTAGGCGAAGTCCTCAACTCGGCTTATAACACGCATGCCGGCAGCTGGTTCCAAAGTTCCGGACCTAGTGCCATCGAAAAACACTTTTTATCGTGGTTGACTAGGGACATAATCGGATATCCTGAGACAGCTGGAGGGTGTTTTGTTTCCGGCGGCTCAATGGCTAATCTGTCCGCACTCATGTTAGCACGGGACCAGAAACTCTCACTGGAAGAAAGAAACAAGGCTGTCGCATACACTTCTAGTCAAACGCATTCATCGCTGGCCAAAGGGTTGGCCATTCTTGGATTTTACCCTGCTCAGATCCGCAAAGTCGCCTGCGATGACAGCATGCGCATTGACACGACGTTGCTAAGGTCAGCTATTGAACAAGACAAAGCTGCGGGCAGAATCCCATTCCTCATCGTTGGCAACGCTGGAACTACAAACACTGGCACCGTTGATCCATTTACAGAGCTCGCGGCCATCTCCAGAGAACAAAACTTATGGCTTCATGCTGATGGTGCGTACGGTGCATCTGCCCTACTTTGCCAGGCACGCCGCGCCATTCTTAATGGTGTTGAGCTCTGTGATAGCATCTCTTGGGATGCTCATAAGTGGCTCTTCCAAACATATGGCTGTGGGATGGTTCTCGTACGACATCGCAAATTTCTGACGGAAAGCTTTGGGACGACTGCAGAATACACCCAGGACGCCGCCGAGACGGCTGAGTCGCTACCAAATTTCTGGAACTATGGACCCGAACTTACGCGGCCGGCAAGAGCAATGAAGTTGTGGTTTTCCTTCCAACTCCTAGGGTTGGATGCAATCGACAAAGCTATCAATCGAGGGTTCGAATTGGCGGAGATAGCACAATCGTCACTAGAGCGCCTAAAAGACTGGGACATACTGTCTCCAGCACAGATGGGTATCATTTGTTTCCGGTTTCATCCTCCCCATGTTCCTGCTGCAAGTCTAGATGGTTTGAATATGAAGATTTCACAAAAAGCAATCGAGAATAACGTGGCAGCGCCTTTGACGACGAGAATACGAGAAGTTTTGGTACTCAGGATATGCTCAATTCATCCAGGTTTGAGTGACGAAGAAATGGTGGCTGTGATAAATGGGCTAGACCAGCTTGCACATGTGCTACTGTCTCGGCTTAGCAAGGATAATACAGGTGAATAACCAGTAGAGCTAGGTATATATATGCGGAGTTGGCATGCCTTGACAGGGCCAAGCGCTATTGGTCGATTCTTCATGGCGCATTTAGGCAATATACCGGATTCCTTTTTGCGTTGTCTAAAATGATGCAAAAGCGGTGTAGTGATTGATTGGGATTGTGCAATTAAAAGAGTGCGGGTTAAATGAAGAATGTACACATTGCTACTGTTCATTGAAGCTGGTCTTCAAGAGCTCCGTATATCTGCGCCAGTGCTTGAAATGTTATCGCTCCCCTTTCTCTTCTTTCTCTTTTAAATTCGACTAGAACCTAAACATACCTTAATCTTGTTTATTAAGAGTATCTATAGCATGAGGCGATCAATCCTGATAACCTGGCTCGTAACAGCCGTGGTCATTCCAGTGGCCTCTGTTAGCTCCCATCCCGCCCAGCTTCAAGTTTACGACTATGTGCGTTCTATATCATCAATAATTCGCCGTGTATCAGAATCGTAGCCGCTAATAGTTTGTCGCAGGTGGTTGTAGGAGGTGGCACTGCCGGCTCAGCTCTGGCGACGAGGCTAAGCCAAGGCTTGCCAAACAAAAGCATCCTGTTGATCGAGGCCGGCCCTGAAGCGTTGGATGAAGATCGCATCAATATTCCTGGCATGAAGGGGTCGACACTGGGCACAATTTACGATTGGAACTTCACTACCGTGCCCCAAAACGCACTCAACGGCCGAGTTCTTGGAGCCAACAGAGGCAAAGTGCTTGGTGGAAGCTCGGCATTGAACTTGATGACGTGGGATCGATCTTCTTCTGAGGAGTACGATGGCTGGGAGCGACTCGGAAATCCGTCCTGGAACTGGGAGAACATGATTACTGCAATGGAGATGGTGGAGACTTTTACAGGTATCAATACGTCTAGCTATGGCGACCAAGGAGTTGGTACTAGCGGACCTATCCACACGGTGATAAACAGGGTAATACCCGCGCAACAGGACCTGTGGCTGCAATCAATGGCTGATTTGGGGATTCCGCATAACCTCAATTCTTTGGGCGGGAATCCTATCGGGTATATGAACCAGCCTAGCAACGTCGACCCGCGAACATGGGCGAGATCTTACGCTGCGAACTCTTATATCCCAGCAGCAGGAAAGAATCTCCATTTGCTACTAGGGGCGCGCGTGGCCAAGGTGAACTTACGCAAGGGCCAAAGTTCTTATACTGCAATTGGTGTTACGCTACAGGATGGCACCGTTATCCAGGCTACGAGAGAGGTCATTCTATCCTGTGGCACAATCCAAAGTCCAGGCCTGCTAGAGCTGTCCGGCATTGGAAACAAGGCGGTACTCTTGAAGGCAGGTGTAGACCAGATTATTGACCTCGATGGCGTGGGGGAGAACTTGCAGGACCACGTTCGATACCAAGCATCTTATCAACTGAAGGATAACTTCACTTCGTTTGACATACTTAAGTACAATGCCACGTATGCAGCCGCACAGCTTGCATTATGGCGTGCAAAGCAGCCCTCTTTGTATGATTACACCGGAAGTGGATACGGCTATCTAAACTGGCATCAGGTGGTGGGCAGTCTAGCTACCAAACTCAACTCTCTCGCACAACATGTGGTGCTTTCGCTCGGCTCTATTGTCGATAAGAGAAAACTACAGTATATTGGGTCACTTCTGTCGCCGCAGGTGGAAATAATCTTCTCAGATGGCTACACGGGAGTAAAGGGCTACCCCGCTAACGGCTCCTCTCTGTATGGAAAGGGCTTCTTCACTCTTATTGGTGTCGTGATGCATCCTCTCAGCCGCGGCACCATTCACATCACCTCTATGGACATCGATGCTACACCGCAAATTGACCCACAGTATTTATCCAACGAGTACGATGTGCAGGCCGCTATTGAGGCTGCCAAATACTGCCGCAAGATTGCAAATTCTGCGCCGCTCTCTTCAGCATGGGTGACGGAATATGAACCAGGCGGGGCTGTCCAGACGGACGAGGACTGGCGTCAATATGTTCTCAACACCACCCTATCCATATATCATCCTGTTGGAACATGCGCCATGCTTCCTCAGAGAGACGGTGGAGTGGTAAGCCCAGAACTCATAGTTTACGGGACTACTAATCTACGTGTTGTGGACGCAAGCATCATCCCCGTTCTTCCGTCCGCACATATCCAAACAGCCGTATATGGTATCGCTGAGCGTGCAGCTCGCATGATTATTCAAGACTCATAGCCTTTATCAATTACGTCAGTATTGCCTGCTATCATCGGGAGACCCGTTTTGATCTCTTCGTGAAAATTCGATTCGTGAAATTTGCGACGAAATCAGCGGTTGACTTAAACCAATAGAGATTTTGAAAAAGCTCTGCGACACAACAAATTACCTCACAACCAATCTTCATGAATAGAAACTTCTTTTCTGTAGTCGCGTCCGAATATGAAAGCGGGAATTTTCCTGGATTGCATATGAGTGATATCATAACCCAATGAGATGCAAGTTACACTCTTATCATAGATAGCTATTTAGCCTCAATCCTGTGTCTGATGCTTTTAATACAGTCTGCTTGGTAACTGTTTCACATCACAGAACCAAATATTAGCCTATAACCCCAGTGGTTGAGAGAGTGTCCTGGTTGGTCGGTATATCCGCACAATCTAGTTAGCCAACTGTGTCTGGGACTAAAGTATTAGAATATGGAGTTAAAGCCGTGAGCTTACATGGTATTTAAATGGGTCTTTCATGTATTCTAACACTCGCAATTGGCCTCGGATATCAATAGCCATGCTTACAATGCACAACTAAGTTCTTATGTAGTCCTAACTGGAAACTCTAATTTTGATAGACATCGTTGTGTTAATCGGCGAGTCCCCAGAATACAATCTTTGCGTGTCAAATACACACTGCTTTAAATCGAGCACAGAGCTAAACCGTCCGTAGTAGCAAGGTTGTGTGTCAACATTGATTTACGATTTGATATTGGGCGATTGCTGAGTTTAGCCGCTGACATACGGCTACTGCATCCCTAATATAAAAACGAGAAAACCGGTAGGGCTTTGTTCAAACGTTATCCCCTAAAGTATGCCATCATTGTTTTCAAGACAGTATATTTACGTCGAAGTACCATGCCTCTTTTCAATCGCATCACCTTGTTATTCCTCTTGGCCGGCAGCGAGGCGTCGACGCAACAGCACAATGCCAAGAGTACCTTAACGTCACAAGAATGTGTAAGGCTATCAAAAACCGCCGACGGCTGCCCCCGTCTCTCTTTTTCTTCACAGCAGTATCTAAAACAAATGCTGAGCATTGTTTTGCGTAGTGCAACGCCATCCGTACCGATTTTGCCTCCATCGTCCACGGTCCAGGGAGTAATGACTACAACGACAGACTCTCTACCTATTACTCACGGCAGCAGCATGACTACTCTCCCTCTTGCTATGTCAAACCCAAATCTGCTGAGGATATTTCCCAGATCATTAGAATTGCGACATTACACCACTGCCAATTTGCCGTTGCTTCCGGAGGGCACATGGCATGGGCGGAGGCGTCGAATACTGGTGATGGCTTCGTCTTTGACTTGAGGGACATGAATACGATCGATATATCAGTCGAACATCAGACTGTGTCCCTGGGGCCAGGATCTACGTGGATCAGTGTATACAAGGCCATGGATGCCCGCAATCTCACTGTCCCTGGGGCACGAATGAGCGACGTCGGCGTTGGCGGGTTTCTGGCTGGAGGTGAGATGGAAGAGCAAATACCGAATTCCGTGTGCTAACTTATCATCGCTAGGTGGTTATCCGTTTACATCTACAACTCCGGGATTTGGTGCCAACAGCGTCTTCAACTACGAAGTTGTGCTCTCTGACGGAGCCATCGTGGAGGCTAATGCAGATTCGCACTCGGATCTTTTCTGGGCCCTCAAGCTCGCTGGCACCAACTATGGCATTATAACGCGTTTCGATATGAATGCAGATGCTTCAACAGAAATCTGGGGAGCAGTCGGACTGTATCCGTCCACAGAACAAACGAGAACCGAAATATTCCCCGCTTATGAAGAGTATTCCCACAGAAATAACAACACTGACCTCTTCATATCGGTAGGCCACCTTAAAAGTATGGGTAAGAATATGGTCATGACTTGCGTGGTAAATAGTGCAGGTCGACCAGTGAAACCCATGTCACCTGTTGAGCCTGTCATCTACAACGAAAAAATTGGCCACAGAAATGAAGTCATCCAAGACCCCATAGACTCGCTGCTCCAGACGCCATCTCGCACAGCCTGGTTCACTTTGACGATCAAAGTCAACATTAAGTTGTTTCTTGACTTTGGCAAAATAGCAGCCGATGTATTTGCACCTCTTGAAAACGCACCAGGATTTTCAACGATACTGGGCCTCCAGGCATTTCCGAGAAGGTTTATAGAGGGAAATAGCGGGTCTCCAGTATACAAAACCATGAAGGAATCTGGTGAGGACCTAACACGTGGGTTTTTTCCATATCTGGCAGTGTGGAATAGCCATGGAGTTGCAGAGAAACTGACGTCAAAAATACAGTGGTTCTTATTATGACGAATTGGGAAGATCCGGCGGACGATAAGAGAATGAAAGACGCCACCAACAGACTAGGTGAATTGGTAAAAAATGAAGCTCGTAATCTCGATATGCTAGTCAATTTCACCTACCTTAACTACGCGAACAAGGATCAGCCCGTGTACGAGCAGTCTCTGACGCCAGAAGACTTGGCTAGAATGCTCAGAATAAGGGATAAATACGACCCGTCAGCTATATTTAGAACACAATGGAAAGGTGGATTTAAGCTGCCAGAGACACCTACAGCAAGAGATGCGTCTAAAGATGAGCTCTGAGTTTGCGATCTATGATGTTCAAGGTAGGACTATTTGGTTCATGTTCCAAAGCAAATGCTGGCCCCCTACCAGCTCATAAGGCCATTTGAAGATGAGTCCTGACGCATACATCTAGATTCCTACATTATTTGCTCGCTTCATTCTTCACAGATGATGTATCTCTTGAATTAACTTTTGAACAATAAAAGAATCCGCTAGGAAGTTCATGAGATCTATGCCTTTTGGTACTATCGGTTCTATTACTTGATGATATGTCTTGCTTTCGAAATTTGTCGCAACTGATTTGAGTATCTAACACTTTCTATTTCCCGCTTAGGCGCCTATCGGTAATATGTATTATTGTTATCGAGCGAAAGACTGTGCTACAAAATGCTATTATGTGTTGGCAAGCCCGAGATCAACGTTTATATCGGAACGTTTAGGAGCTAATTGACTCTCTCTTATATTCTATCGGCGCGCTTATTGTCTTTTGACGTCCTCTTATCTCTACTTCGTTTCCGCTTCGTTCATCTCAACTGCTAGAGCTAATGTCATTATCAGCCAGTTCCGAGATTTTGTAGTCGTTTTTAATGAATCCAAAGCCTGAGAAAGGGCGGATCAACTTGATTCTTACTGGGCACAGATCATGATCTTCCACAGACGGTCGTTTTGTTCCTATCAGAAACTTTCGCAATGCCCAGCCCGGATTCGGTTCGCTCCGAGTCAGGACCTTAGCTGAATTAGAGTCAATAGTGTCCAAAGCGTGTAATTAGGACTCCAGTTTAGGGCTAGTGCCAGCGTTATACCCCTGGAACGATGGAGCTGCCAAACCAATAGTGCAGATGCACGGAGCCAGCTGAAGGTTTTGTGGATTTTCATTTTATAATGACCCAACGCCTAGTGAATCATAGATGTCGAGTACAACAGCTTACGCATACCGCCTGAACTTTCCTTTACAGCAGCATATCTACCGGATGCTTGATTGAACGACCTAGATTTGCCTCGTTGTAATCATCTTGAGTATCCCGGTTGAAAGTCTTCTGAAGTGTTCGATCACCCAAGTGCTGGCGGCTGTGAAAAGGTTATCTGGTGGGCAACCAACTGCAGAAAGCCCAGGGGAGAAGTCGAACAGGGATCCGATGCATAGCTACAACCATTTACTAGGGCCAACATATTTGCAGCGAGTAGTTTAAAGAGAGAGATGCTGCCCTTTCGGTTATCATCTCATTGACTTCCTTAAAGATGCAATCTATTGACCAAGAATCCCAGTAGTCTAAGGATTTGGCTTACACAATAACCGCCCATGAAGCATCAACATCTCTCCCTCCTAGCGCTCAGCGCCACAACCGTCTCGGCTGCGCCTGGTATTCACCTGGGTGAAGGTATCGATTCCCGGAACGACTGCGCCCACGACAACTTTCTTCGGTGCCTCATCGCTAGCCCCAGTATCGCAATTCCTTTCTGCAGTTCTTCGGTGAACGTGTTAATCTCCCTACCAACTGTGACTGTCACAGTCACACCCACCTCGTACGCTTGCTAGCCCCCCGCCCGACAATATCTTACCACACGCCGATCGAAGTTAACAGTGCATTGAAGCTTCGTCACTGCCACACATGTGACTACAGATGTCGAAACATTGACTGAAACATCCATCGAGCTCCTAACGGTCACCCCGACCCCGATCGCAGTCGAGACACTAACCTCCTCGCCCCCGGAAAAGAGAGAGAAAAGGAAAGCCTGCCCGGCACCAAATTGCATCCGTGCGTTGAACCCTCAGCCATCGTCCGCATCGCATGGGTGCTCGTGCTTTTCAGGAAGCTATCTTGCCACCGCTTCGACTTTTACATCTACTGTCACTGCCCCGGCTGTTACAAAGACGTCACAGACCCTTTGGAGAACCGAAATGTGAGTTCAATATCTTCGGCTTGGACTAAAGAACTTTTCCTGACTAGACTGCCCAACCTAGATCGACGGCCACCGTCATTGTTACTATGTATGTATATGTTTAGATTTATCCTGATACGTGGCTCCGCTGCCGCACTGGAGCGCGCGATTCGCCACATCGATCTCGACCTTGCTGACTTTTCATTCACATAGTACATCAGAGACTACCGTGCTCGAAAGAAGCCCTAGCTCTAGCTCTAGCTCCCTAAGCTCCATCCCGACCTCCTCTGTCCCCAGCCTCACATCCACCCCCCCTGGCATCACGACGACTTCTGTGTCTTATACGACTATAACGACCTACCCAGTATCATGCGACGCCACTCGCAGTGCAATTCCTATATGTGCAAGCTCGTGTCTCAGCTCCGCCGCCGTGACGCAAGCGAGGTGTGGAGCAAATGATAATATCTGCCAATGTCAAAACCAGGCGGTTATTCAAGGTGCAGGA